GTATGCCAGTCGGTCCCGGGTAACCTGGTGATGCGATAACCAGGCTCTCTTGAATAATAACGACGCTCTGAGTGGTCGGACCAAACATTCCTTTCTCTGTTGCTGCCCAAACATCGTGGCTCACTGCCACCAATATATTTCCTGCATCAACCGACCCTCTTGGGCTGTGTGGCTGGCCAAAAACGACGAACGGGGAAAGAGATGCACATTAGAATCGTCCGTGGGTGCTGCAACTTCCCAGCGACCGATCTTTCCCCACGAATGAGAAGGCCCGCGCACCTGTATCATTGGCGCCGGTGACACCACCTATCATTTCTCATGCTCGGGTTCCAACGGTTCGCGTTTGACATGTCAGCTGTTCGTTGCGCCTGCTGCTGCTGGCTGCGTGGCTTGTACCAGAACATCAGCTTCACTGGTACGGACTATGAGAAAGCTCATACACCCAGGTACCTACAGTCATGACCGAATGCAATTTGCTGAGAAGACGGCGGACCTCGTATCCCGATTAGACGGTCACCGACGCCGCGGGAGGAATCGGTTGCTGATCATAACCAATATATGCATGTAAGTTTATACCAAATAGGTGGCTCCGGTGCGTCCCAGTTTACGGCCGAGCGCGGTGCCGAGGGCTCGGCCCGCCCCAATTCGATACGGATACATGCGCAAGGGCGATCAACCTTTGTCTCGGTCAGGGGCTTCGGGTTCACCCGCCGTACCCATGCACAAGGATTTCCTCCATCACAAAAAAAGCCCTGCATTACTGTGGGAAACGACATGTCGCTGCTCTCGTTTGGGCCTGATAGGCAAATGACAGGTTAGAGTGCTAGTTGCCATCAACCGAGATTCTTTGGAGCAATATAATCATTTTCACCACTGCTAAATAGATGAGGAATCATGGCGACTTATCGTGAACCTAAACACTTGCCCTGGGCTGTGCGGGATCGATCTCCTAGCTCTTATGCCACGTTATACTTACCGGGCATTCGGTTGACGTCTATGTGATGGATCAAACCACTGCACTCTGGGCACAGTAACAACTAAGAAGCTCACTGAACTTATCAAAGTAGCTTGTTTACAGTTTGTTTAGAAATCTTGAATGAAGAAGTTCTTGTCAACTAAAGCGACTCCTGTAGTATGCTCAAGATGCTCTACTTGTCTCTTGGAGACATAAAAACTGGTCGTTATAACCAGGGAAGGTTCCTGTATAATGACACGAATTGTATGCTCCCCCTTGCGTCATAATTTCTGTGAGAGATATCTCCCCTATGTCTCGATCGCCTGCTTCTTGCTTGGTGCACCAGACCAGTCTGTGCTTGCAACTTGGTGGTCGTGTTCCCGTTGGCCAATTATCACTTCGAATTTCTGCATCTTGTTAGGTGGGAATACTGGCAAAGATGGCTCAGAGCAACTGACAGGACCCTCGAATGTGCTTCCATAGACCAACCAATATGTGGTGATAAGAGTTAAGAAAATTCCCAGAACGACAGGCACGTAGTCTGCTTTACGTCAGTCAATGGTGAAATACCCCTTAATAGAGATGCTTACTCATACTGCTTCCTCCCACCGGTAAAGCAGAAGGAAAACAGAAGAATACAGATGTCACTACTACGAAGATGGCAGCAATGTAGTTAATCACCAATCCTTTTCTGCCCAAGTTGAAATACACTTGCTCAGTCCGATGAGTAGACAGGACGTGTCTGCCACGTACTAACAGAGCGATGACGGGAAATGCGTAGGAGACGTTCAGAAATATTGTGCAACTCGCGGCGTAGGCGCTGAATGCGACTGTAGGTCCCAGGTAGAGTAGTCCAAATAGAATGTTGAACACGAATGTAAAGATAATGGTTCGAATTGGGACGTCGAACCCTGGGGCGATGCGTGCGAAACTGTGCCTCATAAGCTTGAGAGCATGCTCACCAGGAGAGGGAACTAACTAATCATGGTAAACGATACCCTTATCGCGTGCCATTGCGTATAACAACCTGCTTGAGCTTGTCACACAGCCGTTGGTGCCGTTAATGAAACAGACCGCAAGCATGAGAGTAAGGATTGTTGCAGCTGCTCGGCTGCCGGTTGCTTGCAGTATGAGCTCCGAAATCGGCATATTGGTATTGGTTGAAAGCACAGTGTTGGGATCCGTGATGCAGAAAAGGATCACCAATATAAAGATAATACCCCTGAGAACATTGTCAGGGGAAGAAGCACCGCATGATTTGCTTCTGAAAAACACAAGGCTTACGTTGCGCCTCCAACCATAACAGCATACATCATAGCCCTGGGTACGTCTTCAGACGGCTTTGGCATCTCTTCGGCCATATGAATAGAGGCGTCGAAACCTATAAGAGAAAGGGCAGACTGAAGGAGTCCCAGCATCCATGACATTCCATCAGACCATCCTGTACTGTTTTCAAAGTTTGTAAATACGTAATCGGCACCATTCTTTTCCGATGTCGAGAGAATGACGATGCTGATGATCACTACGGCAAGAAGGGACCAGTACACTGTACAAAATCAGCAACGCGCTCCTGAGTATAACGAAGTTTACCAGGTCTTACGAGCTGCATCATTCCAGCGGCCGAGGACTCCATTGCCAAAAATATTGGCACCGGTAGTGAAAGTCAATATGGCGAGGAAGATAAGGTATGTTTTCCAGGGACGAATTTCATACGCACTATCCGATGCGATGACGGCAGCTGACGAGATGAACTGGGCTGTTTCCTGAGTCAACAGAAGCATATTCCAGTTGAACATGCCCCATACCCCCGAAGAAGCCCTCTGTTGTTACCAAGGTTAGCCAGCCGGCGATATTGGTCCATCCGACCCAGAAACTCTGTCCTACGTCAGCTGTCTCTCTTCAATGTAACGGATCAACATCGAAAAATGTGTGTTCGTTTTTCTGCTGTGGTGAGACTTACCATTGAGGTTCTCCATCTCTCAGTACAAATGGCATATACAAAGTGATATTGACCCCCCGCCGTCGGCCAGATAGCCGCAAGCTCACCAAGGCTTGCGGCGAGAGCTAGGTTACATAAAACGCAGAAGATGAAACCGTAGAGAAAGGAGACAGAGCCGCCCGATGGGAGGACAAGACCGATCGATCCCGCAAGGGCAATCCAAGTGCTGAGAGGGCGTTTAGCGCAGCATGAGGTGGCTGCAGCACGCCGGAGGGACTCACTTTAGGATTGCAAAGGTCAAGGCAACCATCGTCAGCCGAGATAGGCGAGGTTGAAGATGACCCTGTTCCTGTGGTGTCATGATCATTTCGTGGAACTAAAGGCTTGGTAAAGGGTTAAAGAAAATTGGTAAGGTGGGTTACGTGTAACAAGTTGAATCAAGCCACAATATACCCCGAGAGGTGGTTAGAGATCTGGGAGAAGACCGAGCGGCTTATCTACCTGGATAATTGGGGAGGAAGAAAGAACTATACCTGACGAAGCCCAGCCAAACTAGTGCTGCCTTCATCTGCCTAGTAGCGCATGTGCGTCTAGTGACCCTACGTTGAGCGAGTGTTATCGATCCTGTGGCTCCAGCCGGATGATTTCATTTTGTTATGGTTGATGATGAGTCAATCACATGCAGACTTCCCCTGGGGCATCCTATCTATCCTTAATTTGACCAATTCGAGACTCGCCCTCAGACCATGTGAAATGCTGGTTCGAAATTCACGGTGGCAGACCATACCGCATTGAATCTTGCTGAACCTGGAGCGTCGATTCACTCATGAGAAAATGGGCCCGTCAGCATGTAAGACACAGCACCAAGTCCACGGGATATCATCTTATTTCGACGCCATCCGAATAAGGTTAGCACTTTTGCCGAGCATACTTCGTATATGTCTACAGGTGCCTTCCAGTCTCGCAGTTCGGCCATCGGAAGCACGTCCGACCTCTGGAGGCAAGCTACGGACACCCGGGCCCCAGTTGAAGTTGAAGGCCAGCTTAACCCGGGTAGAGTTCAATGCTAACTTGGTAGCAGTAGTTCAAGATCGCGGAGTCCTACTCTAGACAAGTTCCAGAAGTCCTAACCAGGGACCGCAGCACCGGACATATCAGCTTCGTAGATTATTTTCTTAGCATTAGCACTCTATCACTAGCAGTCAAGACCGGGAGGGCAAGATTAGCCCGAGTGCTGTGCGGCTCGTATGGGTCTACCCTGGATCTTCCCGCTGAAGAAAGGCATAGAAGATTATGAGCGAAGGGGTTTAACTGGTCAAGCAATGCCATCCGCAGATTGACTGAGGGGAATGTTTCATTATATCTCATGGTCAGGACTAGCGCGATTCCAGCGCTTGCACTGGCTACCGAATAGGCGTGTGTTCTCTCCCAGAAAGACAGACTCAATTATCGCTTACCTCGTTTCTTTATTCCGCCAATTGATCTATTCGAGCTTGGATCAGGAAACTAAGAACAGAACATAGCAAATCAGGAACTATGACAGCCCACCGAAATATTGGTCCCCATCGTTACTTTAAATTACCCCTTCGGAGCAATCTGCAGTTGATCACTTGCGATGCTTGATGCTTGACTGCCCATGATGAGTTGACTCTGTAGCAACGCCCGACCCCACAGCGGATGCACTCCGCGGGAGCGTAAGCACCTTAATGGGATCCTTGGCCACAATTCTGGAAGGAGTTCGCGATCAGGATGAGGCAACAAATCCGCTTATAACTAAAGGTCTTGCGAATGGGAGGCTGCAACAGGCGCAAAACGCGCGGACCAGTCGTACACGTACCCACAGAACGAACCATGAACCAGGTCGTGTTGCCCGCCACTGGGGTCCAAACCGCCATTGATGTTATACCTGGTAAAACGTAACAAAAACAGGTTCTGTTGCCTGTTGTCCATTGAATGCATGACTTTGCGATCGAAAGAGAGGGGTTTGTTATGTGTAATGAGCAGCTGGGCTGTATAAGAGGTTCCTGCTCCGACAGTCGGGACATGCATGGGGTCAAAGAGTAGCACAGCTTCGCTTACGGCCCCGAAAAAGCGTGGCCAGCTTGCACACCAAAGGGAGAGTGACCATGACCATCCGTGTGGGTGCTGTTCAGGCCGAGCCTGTCTGGCTTGACCTCGATGGTAGCGTGGAAAAGACGATATCTCTGATCGAGAGCGCAGCCCAAGATGGCGTGCAGGTTCTCGGGTTTCCTGAAGTTTGGATACCCGGCTATCCCTGGTAAGCTCGGTGAGGGAGCTGGCGAGTCAAGGTAGCCAGGCTAACAGCTATTTGTCTTCGACCCAGGTCGATGTGGACGTCAAGTGTCATCAACAACACTCACATCATCCACGAATACATGAACAACTCGATGCCACGAGACTCCGACCAAATGAGACGAATTCAAGCGGCCGTGAAGAAGGCGGGCATGTTCGTCGTGCTTGGATACAGCGAAAGAGACGGTGGAAGCTTATACATGGGCCAATCGTTCATATCCCCGGAAGGAGAGATCGTCCATCATCGAAGAAAGATAAAACCAACACATATCGAAAGAACAATATGGGGCGAAGGCCAGGCCGAATCTCTCAAGTGTGTTGTGCCGTCGCCGTTTGGGAAAATTGGTGGATTGAACTGCTGGGAGCATCTCCAGCCTCTACTCCGCTATTATGAATATTCGCAAGGCGTCCAAATTCACGTGGCCAGTTGGCCAGCCGAGTTCGAGATGCCGGATCCGAAAAAGATTGCTTGGCTATACCATGAGACAGGCGAGGCAAGCTATCGCGCCAGCCAGTTCATGGCAATCGAGGGGCAATGTTTCGTGCTGGTAGCATCACAGATTCTGACGGAAGAGAACGTTGAGAAAAACAACTTGACAGGCAATCCAGTCACCAAGACCGTAAGTATCCATTCATGACCACGCAAAGGCCACCGATAACTAATAGACTACTCCGCAGCCTGGGGGAGGGTTTTCGATGATTTTCGGACCAGATGGAAAGCCTTTGTGTGAACCGTTGGGACCGGGCGATGAGGGGATCCTGAAAGCGGACGTGGATTTGCGGGACATCGATTATCCAAAAGCGTTTATCGATGTTGTTGGTCACTACGCAAGACCGGACCTATTGAGCTTGTTAGTCAATCCGACTGTCGACACGCACGTAACGACTATGCGCAAAGAATGACCTTTGCAGAGGGAAATTAAAGAAAAACAATCTTCGGGTATTGCATTGTATATAGAGCCTGGACAACAGCGCACTTACCGCAAAAAAAGTAGCCGAGGTCTCAGATGAACCAAGGAGCAGCAATATTGAGATCCACTAGGTCCCACCATTTCACACTTGAAGCCCGTCCGTTGTCAGCCTGGAGGTCTTGCTGCTTCCAGAAGGACTCTATGATATCCCGTAGAACGTAGATGTTCCCGATACTCCGCTCGCTGACCATCATGTCCAGCATTTGCAGCACCTCGATTCTTTGCTCGTCCGTCTCGCTCTCACAGGCGATGACAAACAATGGCCAAGGGCTTGTGCAGATATCCAGGGACCTGAGCACGTGGAAGGCCTGGTCCAGATACATGCCCCTTAGCTCGCTCGCCTGACCAGTGCTGCAACACCTCTGAAAATAGAGATAGGTGGCAAGCCTGTAGAGCTCTGCAGTCGTAAGAATCATTGTGCGTTGATGCTGTGTCAGCCGGTTGGCGTACACAGAGTCGAGGCGTTGATCCAAACTTGATAAGCGATTCTCAATAGCGTGCCTCTCATCATTGTGGCGGGACTTCTCCTCGGCGGACAGACTGGCGGAGTCCCCAGAAAGCTCAAGGGCCCGAAGACCATTAACGTAGCTGATGATCTCCATGACCTCTACGGAACAGCCAAGGGAACCAACAATCTAGTCATTATTAGTCTTCTTCAACCGTAGGTGGCGTGGTGGTGATATCAGCAGGACTTACTACTGCCGTGTCCAGATGCATATCCCTCCTGAAATGCAAAGAGATAGGTCCATCGGGATAATATTGGAGCGGATTACTGAACTCGCCTAGTACCTCGTGGTAGAGAAACCAGGTGTAGAGGAAGTTGTATCTGACGTAGCCTCCTCGTATGTTCGCAAGATTGTGGAGAATATTCTTTGCGCCGTTCAGGTGAAGACTCCAGTTGCCTTCCGACTCGTCAAAGACCTGTAGCATGTCAATAAGGCGTCGCAGCTTGGGACGAAGACCCGCGGGTTCTCACATTGTAAACACACAGCATCATGGAGGTTGCAAGCTGCGTTTCTGTGATGCCGACGGAATCGGCTGACAGCGACGAGGACAGAGACCGTAGGGCTTTGGCCTTGTAGGGGAGCGCTTCTTGGGGACCCCAGCGGTGGAAGGCGGAGAGCGCGAGCATGGCATTACGAAGGCCGTCGGATGCAGAACTATAGGGGCCTAGAGCCATCGGAAGGATATCATCGCGAAAACCATTATTGATGTCGATGGTGGAAATCATTCGCGAGAGCCGATCTTCATCTATAGCAGGGTCGGTGAACTCCTGCACATGGCAATGAACTTGGTCGGAGCCTACTTACAGTATGAGATCAAGTATGGCTCCCTGTCTTGAAGATCTGGCATCAGTGAAATCGGGCGCGTTGGACGCGGCGTGTGCCGGGCGAGTGGTAAGCTGACAGCCAGAGCGTCGTTCCTGGCCCGCATGAGATCGTCGTAGGTCACATTCAGAAACTGCTTCCCATAGTATTTTGAGTTGCCAGGAGGCAGTTGGGTTTCGTAGTCAGGCTGTCGATGCTTTCGACGGCGACCGTCGGGCTGGTCAGGCCATGCCAGCCGGATGCCATAGCCCAGACATTCTCTCCCGGTCCGGAGGCAATTGTTGCACGCCGGATAGCCGCGATCGCACCCAATCTTCCGGTCTGTCTACGAATTTAATGATTTGGGAGACTCGGGGGATGTGTGGCAATGTTGCTGGTCTCTTACGTTTGCATGTCCAGCAGCCTTGGGCGCGTCTGCCCAGCTCCATCTTGGTAAACCCGACAGCGCGGTCCGACGATCGAAGTTCGGCGGCGGCGGGTCCCGTCAAGTCTCAGGCGCGATTCAACCCGAAAGCATCTACTTCCACTGTTCTTGTCCGTGCCGTCTGCCTGCGTCGGGCGCCTTGAGCGGCGTTGCAGCGAGGCTAGATACAGGAGCAGTGAGTTCTATTTATTGGAGTTCGTGCGAAGAGGGAGGAGGAAAGGGTGGCAACTGTCTGGCCTGCTCCATTGCAAACGGTCGCTGGCTGAATGCCGTGCCCCACGTTGTAAAGAAGTAGCCTACGCCTTAAGTGAGGGTGGACTTTTGAGAACATGCGACGGCAAGGAATTGTTAGCACTGGTCCCGCATCCTTTTCTCCAAGGGGCCCTTCCGCACTGGGCATGCCGCCAGGATATCATTCGACGACAGCGCTGGTGGTGCATGGATTGGCTGTCGCGCTTGTTCGGCAACCAGGCTATCTCCAAACTCCGATGCGTCTTGACCTGGCCGCGTTGGGTACTTTGGACCTTATCTTCCACCGGTTTCTTTTGCAGACCAGCCTGGCGCGTTAGTTGGTCCTTGGAGTTCGGTATGGCGCATGGGTGACCGGGCATGTTCACGGCCAGGCTCAACATCGGAAACGAGAGGCTGTGCTCCTACGCGAAGGTGCACACCTGAGGATGAAGAAGCAAGTTGTGTGTAGATGTTCAAAAGTACCTTTGCACGTTGGCAAATTACCATCGAAAGCCGTTAGACTTATGCATGCTGGCTTACCTGGTTTGCGAGTATACAACCCGGTGCTGAGCAGATTCAAGCTCATGCTAGATACCCTACGTCATGCTCGTAAGATTGCCCCTGATCGCTGGGACAGGCATGTGCTGTAGGTCAGCAAAACTGGCAAGCTCGCAGGCTCACCGGCGCCATGGTTGATTTCTAATGACCATGCAAATAGTCCATCGATGTGGACTGAGACACGCTGCAATTGGCAGCAAGCGATATCCTGGTTACCGATATGCTCGCTTAAGCGTTGCCAGTGAGTTGCCTATAACTAGCCTATACCCAGGTGGGTCACTCCGACAACGAGGAGCGGTCCGGGGGACGTTGGGGGATGCAAATAGCAGCACATCTCCGCCAACCTTGCATGACCGGTGCGATGGGTGACCCTGGGAACCAGATATAAAAGCAGTCCGGGGCGCGGGGCCTCCCAATCTGCGGGCCAAACGAACACTCACACACACACACACACACCTACAGTAAGTAGGATGAAGGGAGCGACGCGAGGGTATGCCAACAGCGTATGTACCCTACGGGGTACGTATATGACTATTATAACATGGGATGTTTCCAGTCTGGGGAAGGGGTCCAGGGGGCCTCTTGTGGAGGAGGTGTGCCCAACGTGCAGAGCGGCAGCGGGAGCAGGCGCGCGCATGCCCGATCTGGACAGTGAGACTGCAACTGTAGACTTTTTTGTGCATGGTCTTTTTAGTGCGCCAAAGTACCGTGCCTCACTTCCATCTCCCTGGTTTTGACAGCTTGACAGCTTCCAGGTTGTGGCCGGCCAGGGGATCAAAGGGTCTGGGGAAATCGACACACAGCGGCGAGATCCGAGTACGCTGGCAGAGCGGACCGCCCAAGCCTTTTCGCCAAGCTTCGGCCCCTATGGCTGGCTGTGGCTTGACCCGTCCTCCCCCACAATCAGCCGCCACAGCGCCATACCTCAGCGTGTCCGTGCACCAGGCGGCACCTTTTCTCTAGGCCCTTCAGTTGCTCAGCGTGTCAGGGCCTCTGGGACTCCCGGACTCCACTTGTGGCACCCCAACTGGGTTAGCGCGGTGCTCGGCCGACGGGTCGACCACATGGACGGATTGGCGCGGCGGCCGAGGTCCATTTCACATGTGTCCCAGGTTGGTCGTCAATGCCAGCGTCGATGTCATCTTCCCGAGCTCTCCAGAGTCCTTTACCGACTAACTTAGTGTTTCGACATTGCGACTACAAGAACCGAGTCGAACCCGGCCAACTGATTTCCCTTGCCCCCTTTTAACCTTTTGGCTATATCTGCACTGCTTTGCATCTCGCTTGCTCCCCGGCGACCGCAATCACTACCACCACCACTCTATCTTATCACAAGCTGCCAAGATGGGTCTCAAGAACGGTACGTCCCTGCACCGCGTCTCGCTGTGCTTCCTCCGCCATCGCGCCATCTTGCTAACGTCGACCTCGCTGCAGACAAGTTCCCTTCCTCGGCCGCCTTCGACGCCATCAACTCGGTCCTGACCTCCAGCGAGGCCGACAAGAAGGACGCTATCAAGCAGGGCAATGCCATCTTCGCCTTTACGCTGAAGAACAAGGCCGGCGAGACAGAGAGCTGGCACATCGACCTGAAGGAGAAGGGCCAAGTCGGCACTGGTCTCGGAGCCAAGCCAACAGGTGAGCATGGCCCATAGTCGCCTCTGGAATGGAGCCGTACGCACAAATAAGTAGTGCTATGATGCTGACGACTGGTCCCGCTGCAGTCACCCTCTCGCTGTCGGACGAGGACTTTGGCAAGCTGGTCGCTGGCCAGGCCAACGCACAGAGACTGTTCATGTCAGGCAAGCTCAAGATCAAGGGCGACGTGATGAAGGCCACCAAGATGGAGCCGATCCTGAAGAAGGCGCAGACCAAGGCCAAGTTGTAGATTACCTGTATTTGTTGGATGGCGTTATTTCTGCTCGGATGCCCGCGCCGCAAGGCGAACTCTGCTTCGAGTGCCGCTTCCGGGGAACGGAAGACATACTGCGCATTTCGTTTATTCACAACCCAACGCGGAAAACTAAAGATACCAAGGTACCAGAAGTCAATGATAGTACTATACCCCAAGACCTGGATTTGGTTCCTGGACTACTGCGACCAGGGTACACACTGCACGTGTCTCAGCCTAAAGTTATATGCTTGCCTTGACGCTCTTGGATGACAACATGTACGCTTGTAGGACGCCCGACTGTTCATACAATCTCAACAGAAGGTGAGGCGTCTCCTGTGCAGGAGACGTGCTGATCGGTCCTATGTTAGGCGACAATTATAACTTGACCCATGACACGCCCTTGCATGGTGGTAGAGCCGCGATGAGGGTTCACAATACACGAGCAATTGGTATGCAGCAAATGTTTCAGGCACTCTCAATTGGCATGGAACCGTGGCCAAGTCAAAGCAGCAGGAAACGTTTGACGTGTTTGCCGGGCGTGGTTAGTATGAGAATGAATACCTCCTCTACAACAACTGCTCGCGCCAAATGCCGATCGAGAACTTGTATCACATGCCGAGCCATCGGCTTTGGAGAGGTCCGAGTCAGGAACAGGTGGTTGAGAAAGAATGATTAGCGAAATACGTTTTGGGTGCTTAGTTGGATGGACGGCCATGCGTGGTGATGTCAAGGCGACGATCTCGCCCTGGGGGATCCGATGCTTGCAGTGGAGGACAGCTGCCAGCAAGCTGTCCCAGTGAGAGGTCCAGCCAACAGCTTCTGCAACTTGGACACGCGCCAGACAACTGGATGGTCAATTTCTGACTGGCTGGCTGGCTCGTCGGCGAGGAATGGGACGCTCCGACCCAGTCGCCCTTCATGCTGTGACGCCTGGCCAAAGCACGCGTGAGACCTGTCAGCCATTCGAAACTCACAGGTTGGCTGCTGGCCACTGCCCAGCTTGCCGGCGGCCCTTTTTCCAGGCTTCGAGCCTCGAGTGTCAAGGACCGCCAAGTTACAGGCTACGCCTCCACCACACCCAGGATCCACCTACAGCCAGTAGGTATGTATGTAAAGCCATACCTAGTAGACAGCCGGAGGCTGGCAGGTCTGTAGGTACCCAGCCAACCAGAGGGAGGAGAGAGCTCGTGCGCGTCGCTGGCCCCTACTGGCCACTACTGGCCACTAAGCTAGCTAGGGACTGGCCACAACTGGCCTCTCTGCTCACCAGGCCCCCAGTCTTTTGCCCCGGCGTCCCAGTTCCCGCTGCTTGCCTGCCAGCCAGTGGCCCTTTGTCACGGTGATCCACCCAAAATAACGACAACCCGACTGCGATTTCTTCGTCGCCCAAAAATTCGTGTCGACGACCCGCGAGTATCGCGCGAAATCATCCCCAAAACACGCCCTTTTCTCGTGTCCGATGATGCATGCCATCGAGTGACGTCCATCGGCACTGTTTTACATCATCACCTGCAGCCCTCTGCGCCAGCACCGCATCTCCTCCGGCGCACTCACGCTCGCGGTCTCTGCGCCCTGTTGATGCTGATGCTGATGCTGAGCATGCCGCCTCGACCCGTCCATTTCTAGACGAGTCCATCTTCTCCCATCCCGCGCCGCGCTTCGCACCTTGACTACGGCCTCACCGCCACGGCCATCATCATCAGCAGCCCGCCTCCACTTCCTCCCGGGCTGCTTCTTCCCGGCTCTCTCCATCCGCTCTCCGTGTAGCTAGCTACCATGAGCTTCAACCCCCAGCCCACACCTCGCCGGCCGAGTGCCGCGCCGAGTCAACGCACGCCAGCTTCCAGCAGGTTTCGCTCCTCCCTCGTCCCCATGCATCGGCCCAGCCCTTTGCGCAGCTCGCAGTCGGCCAACAGGGTCGCCGCCCCTGCCGCGCCGCCTCCGCGGGACCTGTTCAAGACTGCCACCCCGAAGCCGAGCCGCACTACCCCCTTCGCACCCAACATTCCGCCCTCGGCCGCAAAGGCGCCCAACTCCATCCGCAAGTTTGCCCCCAAGGGCACCGGCGCCGGCCTGGCTGGCACCTCGTCGCAGGAGCTGTTCAAGATGAGGATACCCTCTCCCGACCCGGACTTGACGGGCGAGGCGCTGGCAAAGGCCATCCCCGAGACCATGAGCCGCAAGGGCACCGTCTACGCCGACCAGTATCTGGCCGACAAGTGCCCCAAGGAGTTCGATGACGCCCAGAAGCGACAGTTCTTCTGCATCCTCGACCTGCGCAGGCTCAAGTTCGCCGCCAACGAGATTTTTGCCAAGAAGGACTGGAAGCTGAACATCATGAATTTTGCCAAGGAATACGAGAAGAGCCGGAGTCTGATCATGTTGCGCTACGGCCTCTACGAGTTCAAGAACGTCAAGCCCTCGGAGGAGGTCATGAAAAAGTGGAGGAAGGCACACAATCTGCCTGAGCCGAGTCCCAAGCCTGAGAAGGCTGCTCCTGCTCCCAAATCATCGCTCTTCAGCACCGGCACAACGGCGTCGAAGCGCAAGGCCGAGGACGATCTGCAACCTGCCGACAACACGCTCAAGACCTCGACCGTCAACCAGAACAAGAGACGGAATTTTGAGCAGGAGCCTGCAGACGATGTCCATACGTTTGCTCCATCCCCCGTCAAGAGCAAGCGCAAGGCAGACGAGGCCGAAGAGACAGATGAGAATCAACGTAATAAAATGCAGAAGGGCACACCCTCGGCTGCGAGATCCAGGCTGGAAGGAATCATCAACAATGTTCAAGCAGGCAGCTCTACGCCCTCCGGCTCGCCCTCGAAACGGCCAGCGTTCGGAGCGGGCGTCAGTTCGACCGCAAGCGGAGCATCTGCGACACCTCTTTTCGCCCTTCCCAAGACCGACGAGGCCCCCAAGTCTGCATTCTCCACAAAGTCGAACCCCTACGGGCCGCCATCAAACGGTGTCGTTAGCTCGGGCAAACTGACGTCCTCCCTTTTCCAGGCCGGCCAGACGTTGAACGGGCTGGGCAAGGGATCTGTGCTCTCAGGTCACAAATTTGGCGAAGCCCCTGCGACGAAGTCTTCTAACATTTTTGGCTATCTTTCCGAGAGTTCGGCCAACAACAGTGGGGCTGAGAATGGCAACGACGACGACGCTGACGGCGAGACCGACTCCGAGTCGGAGTCCCAACCCGAGACTGGCAGTCAAGATGCACCTCCCAGTTACGAACCAAGCGCTGCGGCCAGCGCCGGCACCGCGACACCCCCCATCGCCAGTGGCGCGGGCGGGTCGCTGTTCAACCTTGGCAAGCCAGCTGCAAGCACGCCAAACCCGTTTGCGAGTGCCTTTGCCAAACCCGCGGAGTCATCCGCGGAGAAGCCAGCCGACGCCTCTGCGAAGGGTGGTCTATTCGGACGTGTGTCGTTCGCACCCAATGGGCAGGCATCGGCCGAAGAATCCTCGAGGGCGCAGTCTCCGGCGAAGGAAACATCTCCTGTAGTGGAGGCCACAAAGACTCCCGCAAAAACACCCGGCGACTTTACATTCAATCCTACAACAACACCTATCAGCTTCAGCTCTGGTAGCAACTCTATCTTTGCCCCCAAGCCAGCCGCAGCGCCGAGCTCAGAAGACTCTACTGCGAAGGAGGTGCCCAAGGATACCGAGAAGGCAGCCAGCACCACATCGTCGATTTTCGCAAATGCGTCAGCCAAGCCTGCACCTGCAGAACAGCCTACCCAACCACTCTTCGGCGCAAAGCCTTCGGAAGCATCCACCAACTCTTCGCAGCAGCCATCGCAGTCACTCTTTGGTAATGCCAAGAAAGAAGCCGAAACGGAGAAGACGGGAGCCGCACCCCCTACCAACTCTTTCTTTGGCGTCAAGGCACCGGATCAATCTGTAGGGACTCCCAAGCCTCTCTTTGGCAGTGTTGAGAAAGCCCCTGAAGCAGGAAAGGCAGAAGCACCTCCCACTGCCCCAGCGACTTCTATCTTCGGAACACAGAGCTCCTCTTCTACCCCCTTCTCATTTGGAGGTGGTGCTCCTGCATCTGCACCCCTCTTTGGTGCCACTAGCAAACCCACTGAGCCCGAAAAACCGGCCGCCCAAGAAGCGCCCAAGAACCTCTTTGGATCACAACCGTCCTTTGGAGCTCCCACGACAACCAACGGCGCCTCGGCGCCTGTCGACAAGGAACAGCCTCATAGTTCATTCAATCCTTTCGGGGCTTCTAACACGGCCAATGGTGCTTCAACACCCGCTCCGGCCGCTCCACTGTTCGGCGGATTCAAGCCAGCCGCTGAGCCACCCAAGCCTGCATCAAGCGTTTTTGGAAACACCAATGCGCCCTCGTCGGGTAACCTTTTCGGAGCTCATAATGCTTCTTCCGGGACCAACCTCTTCGGTGCCGCTTCTCCCAATCCCTTTGGCGGGCCCAATTCAACAGCTTCGACGAAGAGAAGCGCCGAGGACGACCTTCATCCTTCCAAGAAGACAATGTTTGGCAAGTCCGATACCGATAACAATGCGATTGGTCAGTCTTCATCAACACCGATGACTTTCGGTGCATCACAATCAACAATGGCGTCAGACAACCAGCCAGAGAAGAAATCCATGTTCGGCAACGTCGCGCGTGAGGGCACGCCGACGAATAGCCCCGTTCCTGGCAGGAAGATCTTGACGCCAAAGAGACTCCAGAAATCGGGTGCATCGCAGGCCAGCCAGTCCCCTGCACCATCGGCTCAGTCCAGCTTCAATGATTCTGCCATGTTCGGATCCAATACTGCTAAGCCTGATGCCTCTACATCTGGCAACATGTTTGGCAACAACACATCATTCAGTTTTGGTGCGCAGAGCAACGCGTCTGGCAATGGCAACCAGAACGGGGCATCTTCCTTCACATTTGGGCAGTCAAATCCCCAGGCCAATGGCCCACCTGCTGGGAGCAGTTCTTTCACCTTTGGAGGAGGATCAGCCCCTGGTGGGGGTTCGTTCACGTTCGGAGCTGGCGACAGTGGCCCGTCAAACCCCTTCGCTAGCACGAGCGGCCCCCCAACACAGTCATCTGGGGGCTCGGCCACTCCTACTCCCTCCGGCTCCTTTAATTTTCAGTTTGGTGGCCAAGGAGCATCGACACCTGCGCCAGCTGAGCAGAGCCAACCTATGTTCGGCGGTGGCCAGACCAATGGAGCTGCCGCAGCGCCTTCTTTTAGTTTCACCTCGGCTACTCCTCAACAGGGCAATTCCAATGCTTTTGCACCGAAGCCTGCCGCAGCCAGTCTATTCAGCGGCCTTCAACCCGGCGGCGCCGCACCTGGAGCCAGTAAGGAGCCTCAGTTTTGGAACTTTTAGCCTTAATCCTTGAGACTAACTGGTTCCAGACTCGCCATTCCCTGCAGCCTCAAGTATTAATACTACTCCGGTCAACGGGACACCTGAGCCCCAACAGGCACCCCAGGGCGATGATGATACTGCGGAAGCTCCCCAAGAGCAGATCTCGCTCACCGAGGGCGGCCCCGGAGAAGAGGACGAGATTGTGCTACACGAAGTCAGAGCCAAGGCAACCAAGTACGTCCCCGTCGAAGCCGGCGCCGAGGATAGCCCTGCTGGTAAATCACCTTGGAAAATACAAGGCGTCGGCCCTCTGCGGATGCTCAAGAACAAAACTACTGGTCATGTGCGAATCTTGTTGCGTGCTGAGCCACGAGGTCATATTGCTATGAACAAGATGCTCATCAGTGGTATCGAGTACCAAGCCATTGGCAAACAAGTCAAGTTCATGGCAGCCAAAGATGATGGAAGCGGGCTTGAGACTTGGTTGTTACAAGTCAAGAAACCTGAGTCTGCCGTCGAGTTGGCCAGCAAAATGGAAGAGAACAAGGCTGCAAACAAGTAAGATGGGAGATCAAGCAACGTGAGCTCTATCCTCGATAGTCTCACCAATGAAGACAGACCCTTCCACCATTACGCGACGGATGCATGACGGATTTAATGAAGGGACAGGCTGGAGAAATATACTAGATTATGTTTATTGTTTGCGCGCCATGGAAACGTCCACGCACTTCGAAGCTAATATATCAGCTCTCTCCATGTGTTATGATGGAGTGTATTGAGCACTTCCGTGTGCATGGCCGTCAGGTTTCCCAGAAGAATGGGGGCAAGAAGAAGCTGTCTGCCCAAGTTGTCTGTTTGCATTGGGAAAAGCGACGGGTTCAGACTGCACGAGCATCAAAAAGGGGTTTTGGCATCGGTTATTTCTGGCTTGTACGTAGTTGTGTCATAGGTGTACATACACATACGATGGTTCTTTCTGGGACCCCCGCTGCATTCATCACTATAGCTGATGGCGAACCTCGTAACCGGCTCAATTGCGCTGCTGCTTGCAGAGATCACTTATTGTGAATGCCCCCATTATACATTCCATGGTAATCGAGCTATTTCAGCACTACTGCGTGAGAAGATCTATACTGACTAGGGTGATCTGCCATTACAAGGTTCGTCATGACGATTGCCAAGACGCGTTCCTGACTATAGGCCATCTGCCCAATGACTAGCGGGTCCGCCTTCGCGGCTTGATACATATCGTGACGTATTACTTCGGCCTCGACGATGAGTCTGAGCTACTCTCTCCCCCATCCCAGGCTGACTACGGGGGCCTGGGATCGAGCGGAGAGTTTGGAACAGTGGTTGGTTTCAGCCAAATATATACCAACATACCTAAACGATTTCACGGAGCGACCATCATGTCCGATGAAGAAAACCCCCAACCGGCCTCCTCCTCCCCTGGGACCGCCGCGGTGGGTGACCACTCCTCAAAGTCATCGCGGATCGAGAGGCACCGCCGGGCCCATGGCTACACATCCGCCCGCGTCTCGCTCAAGGAGCGGCTCTCGCACTTCACGTGGTCATGGTTCGAGTGCACCATGTCAACGGGCGCCATCGCGACCCTGCTCGGCCAGCAGCCGTATACGTTCAATGGACTCGTCGCTATCGGCAAGGTCTTCTTCGTGCTCGACCTGGCCCTCTTCGTGCTCTTCTCGGCGCTGATCACTGCGCGGTTTCTGATGCATCCCAGCGCCCTGAAGACGCCGCTGCATCATCCGCACGAGGTACGTATCAAAGCATGTTGGAACGGTGGAGGGAGTGAACCTCTAGTGCCATGCACACGTCTCGATATATGCATTCCACGAGTTGCTGCTGGAGGGTTTGTCGTATGATATCGTCACGACTGACCACGGGCACCACCAGAGCTTCTTCTTCGGCACCCTCTGGGTGTCGCTCGCGCTCATCCTCTACGGAATCCAGGAGTACGGCGTGCCGGCGACGGGGCCGTGGCTCGTCCGCGCCCTCGAGGTGCTCTTCTGGCTGTACGCGGCCTGTGCGCTGCTGGTCGTTATCTTCCAGTACCACGTCATCTTCGACGAGGAGGAGCTGCCCGTCCGGGACTGCATACCGGTCTGGATCCTCCCGGCTTACCCGTTCCTGGTCCTCGGGCCCCTGGCGGCCGTGCTGGAGTATTCACAGCCGCAGCCTGCCGCGACGCCCATCTTGATCAGTGGCCTTGGTGAGTGACACTCGGCCCGGCCCCTCAGTAGGGAACGAAATAACTAACTTCTAGCCATGTAGTGTTTGAGGGGCTGGGGTGGAGCGTGGCTTTCATCATGTACACAGTTTACTTCACGAGGCTGATCAACAGCAAACTGCCATTCGAGTCCAAGAGGCCTGGCATGTTCGTCGCCGTCGGCCCGGCTGGTAAGCTCGATGCCCCTAAGCCTGCCTTCTCGGGACTCCCTACTGGACTCGGTGGATCTCGAGGACTAACATCGGGCTTCAGGATATGCGTCTACCACCCTCGCCTCTCGAGGCATGCAAGCCCCCATAGTGATCCCGCCTAATTACCTGGGCATCACCTCGGTCCCCACAGGCGACCTATGGAAGGCCTTCGCTGTTCCGGCCGCCATGTTCGTGTGGCTGCTGGGCTTCTGGTTCTTCGCGCTGGCGACCGTATCCTGCCTGAAGGGGGCGCGGGCCATGCACTTCACGCTCAACTGGTGGGCATTCATCTTCCCCAACGTTGGACTCACCATCGGCGCCATCTCCATCGCCAATGCCATCGACAGCTCGGGCATCAAGGGACTGTGTAGTGGGCTAAGCGTCCTCCTGGTGGGCTAAGCGTCCTCCTGGTGGCCGCGTGGTTCATCGTGGCAGTATTTAACATCAGGGGCGTGTGGGTCAGGGAGGTTCTATGGCCTGGGGTGGACGACGATATGGAGGATTTGGAGGGGTGGGTGATAGATGGAGAGGAGAGGCAGGACTAGGTTTTGATGTATGGATTCGAATGGAAACAACTGTGTGTTCCCAAGTACACCCTGATGGCAAGCCGATGGATAAACATTGCCGGACCTTGTTATCTCTGAACCTAGGTTGGTTCAATATTCATCGATCCAAGTTCGTCACTTTGTTACCGCGTAACAAGCCTGAGAGGACTGGTCCTGAAGCCACGGGCGTGCGCACGGCAACCAACACTTGGAATTGCAAGTGCATGGCAACGCTTTCCAGTCAGCCAGCAGCTAACTAAACATGATCCCCTGGCAGGAACTCGATCGGAATTCTCCAAGCGAGAGTTTTGTTATTGGTCCTCTTTCACGTTAGTCGAAGTGCTTGCCCCAGGGGTGGAGCCATGCTAATTAGAGTGGGTAGCCGTTATACTACATCCAGTGGCAACCCGGCCGGTGCCCATGTTGACTAGACACGTAGCCAGCGACAGCAGCACCGTACAAGGTGCTTTGGCTGCAAAACACGTGGTCGCCAAGTTAATTGACAGGCCATTCTGGATAATTTATAGCAGAGGTTGGTGTTTTAGTGGAGTAAATCAATCCTTTCAGCACTACTCACCGCAACAGCCCTAGCTATATTTCTTTGACAACTTGCGGTCTGAGCAACGGGAGTGGATAGCCGGCCCCGCACCTCCGCTACTAGCTCGATGCCTGCATACTACCCAAGTCAAGTACTTTGGGGGCTAGTCCGCGTTGAACTGATCTTCTTCAACCATCAGCATTGAAGAAGAGATTGATCCCGCCGCCTTGGTGGTTCCTTTGCACCTTCCTCTCAAACTCTTCACTCTATATCAGTTTAGGACTGGAGCATTGCTGGTCAATGCCTCACGTGCCGTGATTCCCTTCCTGTGCCTCTGGAAGGAAATCAGGGTACCATCATGCATTGGGGCAATCGTTACAATGCGCTGTATCTACTCCTCTGCATCTTCGCCGTAGCCTCTGTTGACTTGGCTTTTGCGGGCGAAACAGCACACGTTCGGGAGTACTTCTTCGTCGGCGGGCAGTACGTGAACACGAGCGCGGGAACGTTGTTCCAGAACCAAATTTACGTCGAAAAGTTGAGCCCTTCACAGGTCAAGCAACCTTACCCTATAATCTTCCTGCATGGAGGTGGGCAAGACGGAACCGTAAGTGGCTTTGCGGGCGGCATTATCTTCACTTGTAGACTAATTGTCATGATAGAACTTTCTAAATAAGCCTGACGGCGGCAAAGGATGGGCCTCGTGGTTTCTAGATCAAGGCTATGAAGTCTACGTGGTCGATGAGCCCTCGCGGGGTCGCTCTCCATGGAATCCATACGGAGGATTTCCCGTGACGACGTACTCGGTGGAGACTATCACATCTCGCTTCACAGCAACCCAGTTGTCGAATCTGTGGCCACAAGCAAAGCTACATACACAGTGGCCCGGTGTAAGTCCTCTTCACCTCTTGAGTCGAACTAAATTGGCTAAACGGATTCTACAGCCGGGAACTCAGGGTGACCCAGTCTTTGACGCTTACTACGCGTCGGTCATCCAGGGCACCGCCAATGGTACTGAGCATGAGCGCGCGATGAAGGAAGCGGGTACAGTTCTCTTGGACAGGCTCGGACCATCAATACTCGTTACCCACTCGCAGGGTGGTCTTTACGGTTGGACGCTCGCAGATGCGCGCCCGGACAACCTCAAAGCTCTTATCCAGATCGAACCCAAAGGTCCTCCTTTCCAAGAAGTCATTTTCTCGACAGAATTTACACGACCATGGGGGCTGACGTCGGTTCCCTTGACCTACACCCCAACTCCGACCAACGCTTCGGCTCCTCTGGACACGCAGGTTGTTGCCTCAGACTCAACCGACCTTACGTCCTGCGTTTTGCAAGCCGAGCCAGCCCGCCAGTTGCCGAACTTGGCCAAGGTTCCAATATTAATTGAAACTGGCGAGGCATCATACCACGCCATGTATGATCATTGCACACAGCTTTTCCTTCAGCAAGCAGGGGTCAACGCAGAGCACCTCGAGCTGGGAAAGACAGACATCCATGGCAATGGACATATGCAATTTATGGAGAAGAACAGTGATGAGATAGCTGCCAAGCTCCATGAATGGATCACCAAGACGGTGAGCGGCTCATGAACTCGAGGATCTGGGTTATGACTGCGAATACTTTACGAACAGCTCACGATGACACGAGATGTACGACTCAAGATCTCTTGGCACCCTTTCCAGATATCCATGAACTCCTCCGGGGAAGAATGGTGGAAACCAGGCCGTCCCTTCTTTGATATGATCATATGATCATGTAAATTCCCTTTGTAGCAACAAAATAACAAACATAACTATATTCAAACAAGTGACTCCTTTATTACTTATCTGCTTGGAAATTGCACTTCTCCAACGGTTTCTGATCGGACAGGCGAGTACCGGCCTAAAGGCTGAGGTGGATTGCCTCTGCTAATCCGACGTCACAATTAGGATTAGGCACAGAACGGGGATTCTGCTCATCGTATTCCTCAAATACCAAATACTTGCGTATGTGCGTGTTACATGTATTCGAATATTGTATCTGCATATGGTCCCCGGCTATGTTACTGATGCCAGCGCTTCAATAAAGCGAATAGTTTCTTTGTCCTGTTCTCTGCAACGCATTTGCCTTGTTCAATGTTATATATAATGTCCAGCTGTGCCCAGACACTGCCATGTACGATGAAAGTTTGTGAATGAAAATAGAGTTCACAATATCGTAACCCTGATCCCCTTAGACCCTTTTTTCGTTTGATAAGTAACGAGGTCATGATCATACTTGACATCGTCAATCGTGGTCTCGTACAGTTTCATATGTGGCAGTACTCGCAATGTTACAGCCGCTGTCACTAGATATAACTCGCACAGTGCAAGGCTGCAATTACCTGAGTGAGTACTTGTTCCATGGTCTGCTTCAGGTATAGCGATACTTACTTCATTCCCAGGCACTGCCTGCTTCCTTTGGAAAAGGACATGAGGTACTTTTCCATTCCGTGCTTCTTCTGCCCGTTAACATCCAACCATCGCTCTGGTATGTACTCCTCGGAGTCTGGAAATATCTCTTCGTTGTGATGGTTGATGACAGAACTCATGCCAATAGCGTATCCTCTTGGGATGATGTATTGATATTGCCCCTTGCGGTAGACCAGGTCCTCGTCTCGTGCAATCCTGGGCGACCGCGGAGATAGGCCATATGTCAAGCGCAAGCCTTCATTTATGACCGCCCATAGGTAGGGATACTTCTCAAGAGTTGTCCACGATAACTTCTTGGGGTCAACATCCTTCAAGTCTTGCCGAAGCCGAGCCGCAACCTCTGGCGCTGCAAGAAGGTAATACGTGATGGCTGTCAAGGTAGTCTGGTCAAGGTTAGGTAGATGAATATGTTAACGAAGACTTTAAAATGTGGGACCTACCGCTGTTGTCTCAGTTCCCGCTGCCTTGAGAGAGAAACCTTCCCCTGAGAGGCGGTAAATTGACTTCTCCTCTTCTGGAAGGGAGGAGTCTAGTAAATCTGAGAAGATCCTACCATGGCCCCGATCCTTTGCAACTCGAATTATGTGTCCGGGAATGGTTTCTGTCATTTCGGTCATGAGTAGCTTGACTTCAGCAGACCCGTATTTGGCAAGATAGGGGGCAAGGTGCACAAGATTCCTAGCGGGAGGGAAGAACCTGAAGAAGTACGAAGAGCTTGTAAAGGAATCAAATGCAGCCTTGAAGTTGGGCAGCCAGTCTTCTTGAGCCAGGAAACCAAGCGGTCTGCCGTATGCATACTGAGAGATGGTATCAGCTGTGAAGCAGTTGTATGCCTCGATCATGGGAATCGGCGCCTTGTTGGAGCGCAGCAGCTTGTCACAAAGAAGTTGGGCAAATTCATGAACTTCAGACTCAAGCTTAAGCATCTGTGCTCGTGAGAAGAACCTATTCACGGCACTCCGCCGTATGCGGTGTGTCTCATGATCAATGGTGGCGAACGATGACTGAGACAGCGGGCCGGCCACCGTATTGAGATAATGCTGCTGCTTGTCTCGCACCCTGCCAGTAGTGGGATAGATTTCCTCGGTGAAGTCAGGATCATTGCAATGAAGCTCTTCGGGGTTGATCCGAACGATAGGCCCTGCGGGTCAAGTCAGTGAGCTTCCTTTCTCTAACCAAGCCAGCCGAAGACCTCGTAAGTACGAAATCCCAATGACAAGGTTAGTAACAGGGGCACCACTATGCTGCCGGCAGCACTATTCTTCCTTTTCCATAATTGCTTGCATTGGAACAACTCATGATGTGCAACTAGCCAATACACAGCCCGGCATCCCACCACCCATTTCTTATACATTCCGGTATAAAATACATTCAAAACTCACCGTAGAAATCATGCATCCGCTTGATCTCATGGCTATATCTTCCTAGAAGAACAAAGTCGAACCAAAACTCGTAGATGAAGGAGGCTGCTGCCAGCCTGGGGCCCGGGAAACGGTACAGCGGGTGAAAGGGGGAAATATTGTACAGAGCCAGAGCTAAGCGATAGACCACCCAAAGCCCCAAGAGACGTAAGAGGTTCTTGATTGTCAAGATAGCTATCAGACCATCCGTTCCAATCAAAGATGCGTCGTGATGGGAGTCCATGGTGATCACTTGCTTGCTTCTGCGTTGTATGTGTGTGTGTACGTGTGTATGTGCGTTTGATGAAGTTCACAACATATTGAGGTCAAAACGCAAGGTCTTCGGCCAGATAATGCGACCAAGTATCAAGTCGTGGATTCTCCACCCATACATACTACAAGATATGCGCTGAACCCAGTAATCCGGTCCTTGTGCTAACCCTGTTGGGCTGTGAGGAGGGGAAGAGATGTGATGTCCGGGTCGCTTAATGGTGGCAAAGAATCAGTAAAAGACGAAACGGCATCCGCTGCAGAACTTGCTTTTCCTCCATGAAATGGATGCTCACTTATGATCGCAAAATGTACTTAGGCATGATACCCCGGATGAGCTTCACCCCAGACTAGCGTTTACGAGCTTCCTCTAGAAAGTCCGTCAGCTCAATATCTCCTTACCAATTAGACGAAGATGCGAACCATCTACGAGGCAGTGGCGAAGGATATTTGCCAGATTCATCCGATACCAACGCTACTGCCGCACGCATCATACTATACTACAACTCGCGCCCGGTTGTACTCCTTTAACCATGATTGCATTCGCACGTTGGAAACCACGAACACATATTCTATTAAGAACGAGAACGAAAAACAGAAAAAAGGACCAAAAGATTTAGCAGAAAGAGACCATAGTTCCATTCTACAGGTGGAGGGTGACAAACACCGATGATCGAAGTCCCGCACCAAGCCAACTGACAAGTCAGATTCACACTCTACAATGCAGGAAAACAGGGGAGGGGACCCGCGAACTCAGTTGAACCAAGCTACTGGCGCATCGGACATGCAGGTGTTTAAACCTCCAGGATGAAATAGTGCGTGCTCGATCCGCCCCATGTTGATTGTGGCTGAATAGACGCTCATCGTTATGCCATTTGTCGTGATCCCCTCACAGCTAAGCTCTATGCTTTGAGGCCTAGAACACCCTCCCCCCTCCTTTCACATTCCCTCCCCTGATGCGCAACTCATTGCCTAGTCTTAGTCGTCTTGCTGATCGGCAAGTCCTCCGTATGGGGGGTATCAGGAAGGGTGCAAGGTAAGTAGACGCCTTGTGTTCATTGGGCCGGGGACCGGATGGTACTAGCCGGGGCTCTACCCTGGTGTTCTATAACCACCATGGTAATTGACAAGGGATACGCTAGCAGTAACCGAAGGGGGGACGTGGTTGGCATCTCGATTTAAATTGTAACTCAAAATACCTCAGAAAAAGGAATTCTCTGCAGCTGTGCATTTGGAGGCTACATCCTTTCATCAGGCACCTTTCGGGCCTTCGTATCCACATGCAGCGGCAAAGATTGAATCTCTGCGCCTAGGAGCCTATGGCGGGCGAAACTGCCAGACAAGAATACCTGTGGACTAAAGATGTAAACCCTAATCGTTGCTCCCTATATTATCCAATATATCGACCGATGTAGACTGTCTTACTCGGCTACACTCAACACTGAAAGCAGGCATCCTGAACCAGTAGTGACAAAATATGGGTTCCAGAACACTGCATCCCGACATTCCGTTTCGTTTCGAAAGGCTTGGATCGAAAAGACATTGAAATTGAGTAAACAAACGTCACTTTTACACAAAGACAACGGTCTGTCCGCCCCTATTTGGAGGCTAAGAACTGTGGCAATAATGCTGCGCAAACCCCTAGCAGAACCCAAGCTTCAACTTTGAGTGATTCGCCTGCGACAGATTGGCCTGCTCGAGTACTCCCAAGAATTCGGGTTTCTTTCTACCTCGACTGCGATATGCGCGATATTATGAAGTCAATATGATGCGTATGAGATGACTAACCCGCATAAGTTGGACAGACACGTCGAACCCCCATGTCTAGGTTGGCGTTCTAGGGATATTGCCCAGTTTGAGCCTCATATCTGAGACAAACCCGTTAGCCACGCTGGTATCCATGTGAACTGGATTTTCTGAGAAACTAGATCCAAAGAAGTACGCCACACACACCACCTGGGGTGAACCCACCTACCCAACAGCCCAGTCAGCTGCGGCATCGGTTTGCGCATGATTGGTGTCGGTTGGCTTGCTTTTGGTGAGCGGGATGTTGGTGCAAGATCACCGTCTACGCTTTAGCGTTTCGAATCTACGGCGGTACACCGTTGAACAAGCACAGGCTACGGGAATACGAGAGTAATACCGACGCTTCAGGCTACTTCATGGAGCTTGGGTCGGCACTGACTGCCGACCAGGGTGGTGACAGGGAATGAGAGAATGAGCTGTGTGAATGTCGGAATCCGAGTAATCTCCTGTCGGATATTCTTATCTTGGTGTGGATGAGAGGCAATGAGGGTCTAATGGATCTGATGGCAGAGGTGTCCCAATTCTGCCCTAATAAGAATACTCTCGCAGGCTTGGTACCCTCTTTCGGGCTATTTACGACAACATTAACGTTCATTGGCGCCTAGCAACATTCGGGGTTTGACATGCCTAAGCACTCGGTCACTAGCTGCATTCTATGGTGGCTAGCAGCAAGTTGTTCCCTCGTAAAAGGAGTATCTGGTATGTGATGAATGAAGGAGTAGAGGGCAATCCCTACCTGTTTACTGGCCAGGGGCGTCGTCTCCAAGATTCGCAAACAACTTCTCTACATATTCTCATTGAGCCCTCCTTGACGTGATGAAAAGAATAAGGAGGCGTTATCCCTTTTCGCGCACCGAACGACGCTCCTTTCCGATTTGGAGACCCCGGACCGTGATTGGGAGCTGCCGTCACATGAGTAATTATCGCAGGCTTCCAGGGCCTGAGAGCTAAAGTGACAAGTCTTTTACACCCCTAGACTCGTGGGGACCACATAATAAGGAATGGGGATTTGCTTTTGAAGTTCTGAAACCGATTCGTAGTCCAGTAGGTACCAGTGTCCCGGTATCTGCGGTATTTGGAAAACTGCACAGGAAGTGTTGATCCTGAGCCAAGGTTGAGGATATGAGCCAGTCGCGGACTACTGAGGAACACGTTGAAAAGATCATGTTTCCTCTTCCAGAGAACAGAGCATGTTACCCTCTGATCCTCGATCACCATCACAAAATTGAGTCTTCTCTAAATTCCATTTCTGCCGAGAGTCGTGATGGCGCACGTCAAGTTCTTTCCTATGCCAGGCCTAGTGCAGGCACATTTGGTCGCCAACTGTGTGGTGATGCTTATTGCCATAATTGTTGTCGGATTTCGAGTTCTGGGACGCTTCCTCGGAATCGGTGTAGGGCTGGATGACTATATCATCATGTTTGGAACTGTGGGTTCACCTATTACTGTGGCGCGACGCAGAATCTCAACTGACTGTGTCTGTTATTCTAGGCTGTAGGGATAACTCTCTTGGCGTTGAACGGGCTTTGTAACTTCCCTTCTTGGTTCAATATCACGAGCAATCCAAAGCTGATCAACTTCCTCAGGGTGTACAATTGGCATGGGCTACAACCTCAAACCGACCGTCCCAGAATATCCAGACCGTAAGTCAAGATCTTGTCTCGACTGGAATCCACTGCGCTTCACCCGAAGCCGAATCATATCTCTTGATCTTGTCTATCTTGCCTGACCGCCTGAAACCTAGTACTAGCCAACATGGGTACAGTCCTTCAGGTATGGAAAACCTCTATCAGACCTCAATCACACGGTCACCTACTTACACGTTTGGTAACAGGTCCTATTTGGATTTCAGATACTATACCTCTGGGCGCTGGCGCTGGTGAAGCTGTCTGTCCTCTTTTTCTACCTGGTACGAGTGACCACTGCCCAATCCCTGCTACGGCGGAGGTCTCCCTGAAGCAATGTAGTAAACTCTCGGTCCACTAACATCAACCAGAGAGTCTTTGTTGAGCCACGAACCAAGCTAGCTGTTAAGATTACCATAGGAATTGTTCTGCTATGGGCTGTAGGTCACACTCTGGGCATGGTATTTGCGTGCAGTCCTATTCCATTTCAGTGGGATCCAACTATTGTAGGGGGGTCTTGCGGAAACCTCATCACTCTCTACGCCGTTCTGATCACCACCAATATCATTACGGACCTCATGGTCATGGCTCTACCAATGCACACTGTATGGCACCTAAAGATGCGGATGGCAGAAAAGGTCGGCCTGACGGCTTGCTTGACCCTCGGTCTCGCGTACGTACAACAGTTTGTTTTCCTTCATTCATTCTTTTCTCGTGCTGATACTCAAGCTAAGTGTGGTTGCCACGACTTGCGCCCGACTTGTGAACGTATTCAATAACGATATGCGAGGCAATCTGATCGGCACAATGCCCACCACGATCTTCCTTTGCGTGTTTGAAGTCAACCTAGGGCTCATCTGCGTCAGCATCCCGGGGCTACGCCCATTTTACAAGCGATACAAGAACCACAAGTCCTCGTCCAAGATCTCAGGCTACACGGCAGATGTCGAGAGCTCCTTCAAGGACTCCAAGGGGAGCAAGAATCGTTCGGATCCTGGGAAGGTCGGCACCTCCGCCTACGCTGTGAGCAAAGGTCCTTCTTGGGAGTTAGAGACTTTGGATGGTCGAAGAATGATGGACCAGGCCGGCATGACCTTCTACAAAGATAACAGTGCTGGGGAAGGTGATAACAGCAATGACAGTGGCTCTGAGAAGAGATTGACGAAGGGGGGCTCACTACAGTCTTCTGCAATTGCGATAGAAACAAGGTGGGCTATTACTCGGGATTAAATGAGATATTGGGGAATTTATCACCGGGCTAGATACCCATGCGACCGCGTGATTCTGAACAGTCGGGGTACATTAAGGTCATTTATCTGAGCAACAAGGATGGGATAGTGTCTTTGCCGGTCAAAACTCCAACAGGTCTGCACTTGGAAGGCATACATGCCTAGGAAACATATGATACAGTCAGTTTCACGTTAATCCTCTGAACTAAGCCGCATCGCTTTTAGTCCTTGGGAAGTAGCAAACGCCGATTTACATTTATTGCAACTGTATAAAGTTCTGAACGCAGTATCAATCAGCGTCTGTCATTTAAAAATGAACGTGTTAGAGGCCATTTGGCTTTGTGGCCTGAGGAGAACCATGAAGTCCAAACCAGACATATCCGGGTGTCTTTCGAGGCCAATGGACAAGGTTGAGGGTGAGGGTGTAGCTTCACAACATGTACAATTTCGCGCATCACCAGACCGCTTACATGAGTAAATAATTGTCATAGACCGAGTTGATGGCGCAGGAGATACTGGTATCTTCACTAGGTATCGCTAAGCATAACCCGAGACTCGACCCCCACCACTCAAGTGGTCGAAAGGGCGGCATGTCATCATGCCATAGCTCGTCATTTGAGTCAATGCCACACGGATCGATCTCGTATCATACGCCATGTTGCGTTTGAGACATTAGCTGAAAAGGCGGGCTTGGTTCCAGTATCCGACGAAATGGAACTATCCGACGCGCAGTTCGTTGGCCTAGGACCAATATCTTTAATGCTTCTCAGCTAAATTGAATTCATTAGAAGGTTCGACCTAAAAGGACCTTACTTAAAGAATGAAATGTTGTCTCCATGGAATGGAGCTCTTCGGACATCAATGTGTAGGCTTTGTTGTCAAGTCTGTCGAAGAATTCCATGTTACGCCGACGAGCAGACTCTCAGGCACGTGCCAACAAAAGCGATGTATTCGCGCAGCAAAAGAGTCGCTACAAGCCTTGCATTAGTGTTCAATCGCACAAGCAGCCAACGTATACAATCTCTACATTCAATTCAACAGAGCAAGGTTACCCGGAGCCACTTGCAACACCTATGTTTGCCCATCGTGTAGCCCAATATTTTTTATTTTATTTTTTTGATACCCTACGATTATGACCAATCACGCGATGACGGACGGCTTAATGAGCCTCAACCTTGGGATTAACGAGGTATCTGGCTGCCTTCAAACCATAACTTACCAAGATGGGCTCCGCGCCGGTACGTATGTATCTCAAGGGCTGCATGGTGCACGCCTCGTCAAAGGAAACGTCGAAGGAAAGAAACGTGTTCTCCAAAGGATATGTATGCTGACCGGATCGCCGGCGATCCAGTGAACTGCTGACTGTGCAGAGGAGGAATCCATGGTCCATTATACGCACGCCTATTGGCGTTGTCATCGTATGTCGTACACGTTGCGAGGGAACAGCCCTGAGCTACGGTCATGCCCCCTACCGCTCGCATTTGCCGCATATACTTTACCATCGACACAGTCTGTAAGCAGACTGCAGCATTGTAAGCAGACTGCAGTGATGGGCCCTTGCATCTTAGAAAATTCTCTCCTGTTCGATACGTATGCGCTGCAATGCAGCGTCACTTGGCGGCTAGGGTCTTGACCGTGCGTGGGACCTGTGGTAAGAGTCGCGTCACTGCACATTTCCCGCTGCACGCCAACACCTTACTCAAATCTTAGGGCCATTCTAGGCAGGTCGGTAGAATGAAACAGCGCGCAGAACTTTTGTACAAAACAGCGGTGGAGTTATGATTCTTTGGCAGCTTTGCAATCTGTAACTATCAAGTAAGGCCACCTGTTGATTATGGATATCTATCCCATACACATAGATTTATTGTGCCGAGACCATTAAAAAATACATCTAACATTTTTCTTACTCGATCAGGCCTGGCAGATTTCACTACACCGAATCATCATATATTCCTCACCGCAATTTCGGTACTCAGCATCGGCGGGAAGACAGGTGAGACCTGCAGCTTGCAGCATCTGAGTCGCCTTGGGGTGTGGGTAATAGCCCGGAACTTTTAACTATTACCCTTGGCAACTTGGGCACGGAAATTCCGGCTGAGCGGGAGCCCTGGGAGCGGGCTGGCGGGTTGTAGTGCAGTGATTGATGTGGGTAACGATGCCACGCGAATCTTATGCACCCCACAGGATTTTCATTCATGCCTGCTTCTAGAAAATTCAGAAACAGCCGGCCTCTTCCAATGCTGGCCTAGCAACGTGTTACCACTCAATCATGGTTTGGCAGGCCTGTGAAACTTGATCGGTATCGGTCTGGGCGGACCTCGGCCAAGAAACCCCGGAGGTTTCCTGGCGTACAAGCGGCGGAAGAAAATTCCGTCGAGCATACACCTTTTCCAACCCAACGGCAAGGGCGGCGCAAGCTGGCAGTTGTCTGCTCTAAAATCGGTAATAGCCATGCGACAGTTACTGGTGCAGTGACATTTGTCAGTGGCTGAATAGGATGCTGCCTTCGTTGTGCTTGGCCGCAGGGGCGTAGAATCGAAGTGTCTTGTGTGAGCCTTGCCCTTCTACGGGTTCTCGACCGCAAGGTCCCCCACGTTTGTTCGGTCAGGAAATGTTCTCGAAGCCAATAAGAAGTAAATGTCAGCACAGACCGGACAGGGTCAGAGGTCGTCATCTCGCGACATCTGATCCCATAGTCGTATCCCCCGTCAGAAAGGATTGATTCCGTCTCACACCCGCCGGGGGCCAAGTCGCAAGGTCGTACCCCCTTGTGAGATGTTGACGAGAGCGACCCGAGGAATTGTGCCGTCTCAAGGGGCACTTTCTGAGCTAGGTACTTGCCGTACGTGCCTGTCGTGTCAGCGGCCTGCCAACCTGTTCCGCACGTTCTCACTCGGAACCTTTGCCAAAAAGAATTGACCGTAAGATATGCTCCCGTGAGCCGGCCATTCGTCAACGATGTAACCAATCTTCAGCCGACAACAGGCCTGGGGATAGCGAGTGGCACAAGAGGCACAAGAAGCACGCGGCCTGACGCCGGCCCAGGTACCTTTTTCTTGTTCTTGGTTCTTCTCCTTTCTTTATGGGTTGGTGCTCGAGTCGCACAATGCCGGGGTGGGAAGCCGGTGGAATGTTGGAACTTTGCATGTCGACCCTTGAATCTCGTACGGATCGCCGTGCGGACACAAGTTACCGAGCAAAAGGAGCCCCATGTCAACATGTCGCTTTGGTTATCCCCCTTCCAGCACCAGCAGGCAGGGCCGCCCTGCAGCAACTCTCCACAGGCGCTAGCCGGACCAGCTCTGTGGGGTCCGGGGAAGGCGGGATGCGGGTAAGTGCTCCCCCAATTTTTTGGGGGACCGCCTTGGGCGCCTTGCTTTGATGAGCTCTCTGGAAACGGCCCCAATGTCAGGCGAGCGACCAGTTGGCATGTTTGTACTGTACCCCGAAATTTGATATTGAAACACGGCCAAAGCATGCCCACCTATTGCAGCCCAGGAATGGCTCTGCGGAATTGCACTGGTCGGCCCCAGCCTAGCGAGAAGTGACAAAACGTGATATGAGCTGGCTGCGGGTGCCTCGTCCGAAAGTGACGATGTGCTCTTCGCCCATTATGCGCTGGCAACGAAAAGCTTGGTTGCAACAGGGCGTCAAGCCTAGCTCTGGATCGGCGGGTTTCGCCTGAGTGACCACGCAGGTCGATTGCACGCCATGCTGATCTCGCCTCGAGAATTCCCGCCGTCTTACTGGGCTGTACTGTTACATGCCGCCAGGTCATTGCCTGAATGCCCACGCGTGTCCATCGGAGAGTCGTGCCACAAAACCCATCTGTGGCCCCGGCATTGCCCAGGTACATAGCTACATGGCCTTCCGTAGGTTAGCTGAACTAGTGCGAAGGATCTAACCCCCAAATCACCCCCAAATCTGGGGCAGGGCCGGGCAGGGCCAGGCACTGACTGGAAGGGAGTCGAGACGGACGGGATGCCGATGGAACGTGGCTGTTTGTGTTCGAAGCTGCGTCGTCCAAGAGCCAGGCGTGCGTGGTTATGCCGAGCAATGCTGGATCCCTTGTCCGGAAGTAAAGTTGCTTCTGGGCTTTAAATATTGCGGTGTTTCCCCTTGCGTCCGCAACCCGCTTACACTTTTGCGATGACTACCCATACCCACCAGCCGGCATTCTCATCATACCCATCTACCTGAGGGAAACTTGAGCAAACTTCTCTCGCTGATTCACCCACCACAGTCAACATCAAAGGCTGTTACTCACCCAGGCGACGCTTTGTGACGTGCAGCTTCTCCGTAGTTTTTCTTTCAAGAAAAAGGACACCCCTGTGTTCGGGTGTGGCCCCTTCAGCTATCCGAGATAGACTCAGACACAACGCCGCCGCCTTCCACAACTTTTCTGCAGTGGATGACTTACACCCACCGCTCTTTCCCAAATCGCCTCAGCCCAACACTTATATCAACGTCACGTCTTCCTCCTCCAGAGGACTTCCTCTTTTCCCCGCGCAATCCTCGGCTCTTCTCTTCTCCCAAGTTCCATATTCACTGCTTTTCGACCTCAGGTGGCTGTTTACAAAGAACGACCACCTTCTCCAACAGCTGGCTACCTCATCGACGAGGCCGTAATATCCTGCTCAGGATCAACTCTTCCCTGCCAATACCTTGCAAGGCCAAGACCCGGTACCCGTAAGTAGTATATCATACCTTTCACCTGTGCAGCATTCGCTGTGAAACCCGACCCATCCCAGTATGCGCATCGAATGCTCACAAAAGCCAGACACAACGCCACACCCATCACGATGCCCGGTCAAATCGCATCCCCAGTTCCCATCACACCCCCGCGCAAGGGCGTGCGACTGGTCACATCCGACGCCCTCTTCGCTAGTCTGAACGAGACGCTGGCCTCGCGTGACAACAGGCCTTCGACCCCGGTGCGCAGCATCAAGGACAGAGACTGGGACGTTCCAGCACCCCCTCCGCCAAGTCCCGTCAGTTTCCATCCCGATCAGTGGCGAAGCTCGATACGTCGCTGAGAGGCAACATGCTATTACTTGATTTCGTTGCAGGGGTTCAATGTTTGTCTTTGTCATGCCAGCATGGTCTGGTGGTGTCGTGGGGTTTCGATTCATCTGCATGGAATTGCATTGTAACTGTAAGGGAAGCGAGTCGACAGAGTGAACCTGTCATTTGGGAGTCAAGGTGTACAAAAAGGATCAGCACGGGCCTGTGAGGCTTGAAGACATCGGGTTATACAAAAAGGGCAGGTACTGGGAAGCATGGTGTGTTTGTAGTTATTGGTCTGGAAACCCAGAGCTTGTGGTAATAAAGCAGAGCTTACGAATTACTTGTCACTTTGCTCCACCTCGAATCGAAGTGTACCTTTATACACGAGTAATGTCCTGCTGGATGGTCTTGGGAAGTGTTGCGAGATGATGCTTGGCTCCTAGATAAGCAACATTGCTGTATGAGTACTCGAGTGAACCCAGATATCCCGTGGTACCTGCACAGCTTCGCAATCTCAAGGATGTGACTATCCACAACTCAGCGGACATCGACCAACGGAACCGAGAACACATCAGGCAATCTTGCAAACAGTCGTGAGGGCCCAGGAACCTTCTTGCCCTCGTATACCCTTCTCTATGGCTTGTCGATGAAATCAAGAAAGGTCTTGGTAAGGGCGGCTCCAGTTCTCAAACTCCGGGCGGTTGAATCCCAAGTCATCTTGGGAGCCGTGCCAGCGTCATTTACAACCCTCCCCAGACCCTGGCAATGTCCACGTGGATTCACCCGTCAGGAATAACGCGGTAACGTCTGCATAGCCAGATGGCTCTGATTCACATGAACAGCAAGGGCATCTACAAGGATGGATTTGAGCTCTCCTTGTATGCTGTATGCTGTATGCTGTATGCTGTATGCTGTGTGAGTGCCGGTCCTTACACTACTAACTATAAACGATCCGGCCGCTAGCCGCGATTGGAGGGTGGGTGGACCAGCGCGTCTTTGGGCCTGTGGACGCCTGGGCGCCTGCTGTCAATACAGAAGCCCCACCCAAGCCACCCGAAAAACGCGGGACGCAGCGCTAAGCGCCCACTGCAAACCCGTTCCTTTACGCGACTGACGCGACCCGACGCGTCTTTGACACGAGATCGTGGGATACGTTAATTAAGCCTTGTGTGTTTCCCGCCGGGGCCCCCGCCAGCACCTTCTCTCTCCTCCACTACATACACCACCACATCACAGCAGGAGGAATCGACGGCTGCTCTTCGTTGTACTTACTGCGTGCATCTTTTTGGGTTTGGGATCTGCATTGCGTCGCGACGTCCACTTCGTCCTGTCGAATTCACTGTACACTGCGCCTGCCCATCATCTCAGACGATCAACTATCATAATCGTAATCACCATGCCCGCCGCAGTCAAGCGCCAGAGGCCCGCCGTCAGGTCCAAGGCTGCGCCTCCCAAGCAACAGGCTGCTTCCAGCATCAGCACCTTCGCCCGTGTCTCCAAGAGCGTAGGGGATAGCCAGACCAAGAAAGAGCTGGCTTCTACACCGCGCAAGGAGGCCAGCGTCACCGCCATCACACCCGCCTCGCGGAAACGCAAGGCGCTCGCGCCCACTGTGGAGGATGCCGACGACTCTTCGGCCGACGAATCACCAGTTCCGGCATCACTACCCCGTGCCGCTCCTCGGGAGGTCCTTGCCGCAAAACGCGCCCGAGGCCGCCAGGCCAAGAAGTCTCGCCCTGCACCCGCGTCGCTCAAGCGCGGCAGGAGCCCAAGCCTCTCTGACTCCGACCAGTCCACCATCAACACCGACAAGCTGTTCAAGAGGCTGCGGCTCGAGTCTTCGCCGTCACGCGCCTCGTCCCCCCTCACGGCAGATACCTCGGTCGCCAACACAGATGTCGACTCTGACATCGAGTTGTCTACCTCCCCGACACTGCCCAGTGAGGTCCTCAACCTGGTGGATCTCCACACGGCGTTCTTGAAGGCCCTCACATTGCACTACGCACACAATGGATCTCACATCCCTGCCGATCTCCGGGAGCTGTGCCCCAATGTTGCAAGGAGTTGGGGGAAGAAGGCAGTTAGCGAGGCAGACATTAGAATCTGCCTGGGCGTTCTCAACATGAAGCTGAGCAGTGCCACCTTCTCGCTCTCGGATTACGGCCGTGGGAAGATCTGCATCGAGGTAGACCGGGCTCAGGTTTCTGGCCCATTGAACGAGAAACAACTCAACGGGACTTTTTACAGCAACATGGAGTCTTTGTGGACCCACTTCCTCGCCAGAGGTAGACGCGATGTAGGCGAGTTCATCAAGAGCCTGCCCAGGGCCTCGATCGCCGTCTGCGAGTCGATTGCCAAGGCCTCTCCGGTTTTGGCCAAGGGGCAAAAACGCCTCGAGGAGCTGAAGCAGGGCATCACGGCCAAGAAGCTGGAGAAGGAGAACAAGACCGCGCCCGCCGCTGCCGCCGCGGCGTCACCAGCCGGCAGCCCCCTGACCAACCCCGATGGCTCCAAGATGAGCCTGCTGGACCGCATTCGCTTCAAGCAGATGCAGAAGGCGGCGATGCCAGCCGGGCTCTCGGCCGCCCAGATGGAGCGCAGAGCAGCGCTGCAGCGCGCCGACGAGGTCGCGGCCCTGATCGGCATGCTGAGCCGGGCGAGCTCCAGCGGCATGGGCCGCATCAGCTTCCCGATGGCGACGATGCTCGAGAAGCTCAAGGACTCGTTCCGCATGGGCATCTCCAAGGACGAGGGCGCCACGTGCGTCCGGCTGATCGCCAAGGAGGTCGCGCCGGAGTGGGTCATGGTGGTCACCATCGGAGGCCGGGAGAACGTCGTGGTCGAGACGGACCGCCAGCTGAGCAAGGCCGAGGTCTCGAGGCGAGTGCAGGCTGCTATTGCGAGGAACTAGAGGTGGAGATGCGTTTGGCGGAGGATGGACCTGTGTTTGTTTGGATTTTAACTGCATGAGCATCAGGGCGTTCTGGATTTTGTCGCTTTGGTCCAGCATTGGCAGGGTACGCGCGGCATGGCGTTGCTTGTTGGAGTTTCTCCAGGATACCACAATCTCGTTACATAGGAGTACTGGTTGCTTGCTTGACCCGGCCGCCACATATCCAATATACGGCCGTGAAAAGGCGTTTGAATACACAAATGACATGAAAAGGTCACGGATGATGCTAATGTGTGAGAGATGTTGCCAGTGAGTGGCTCTTCGTCTATTCCTCTATTTTGATGAACCGGGAACCTCCAGCTCTCTCTAGTAGGCCGACTCGGACTATACCACACCAACTCTGGGCCATGCGGCCAGCTATGCAGTCTCTCCTAGTCCTACTGGCCTCCCAGTCGTCTCCCTTGACGAGACAATGCACACGTCCCCTCCCCCGCCTTGAAAAACCATGGCCAAGCCACTCACCGACTTGAACCCAGCCGAACGAAACAGTCCAACTATAGCGCGCGAGCCTTCGTTCCGACGTTTAAGCCTTCTTCTTGAACTTGGGCTCGCCGATGCCCGAGCCACGCAGCTTGACGTTGAGGACGCGCTCCATGTTGGCGAGGATCTTCTGGTCGGGGGCGGCGGTGCCACGCTCGAAGTCGGCGACGACCGAGGGCGTCGTGTTGCACTTGGTGGCCAGGTCCTTCTGGGTCATCTTGGGCTCCATCTGCTGCCGCGTCCTGCTGATGACGTCGCCGACGTCCTTGCCGATCGTGTTGGGCTTGATGATGTCGTCGCTGCGGTCGACCTTGGTCAGGCGCTGGCCCTCGACGCCGGGCTTGGTGGCCTGGGAAAGTGTGGGTTAGCCATGGCCGGGTGGGGAACAGCATTGGGAGCGAGTGAGTGGCTAATTTGGGCCCGCGAGGGAGTAGGGACGTGTTCGTCTGTTGTGCATTCGCCCGCAGGAAGAAAAACCAGAGGAGAACACTGAATTGGTTCGTCTTTGTTGTCGCGTGACGCTGACTTGGGGGGTTTCTCAGGGCTACCCACCAGGTGGTGACTGTGGCGGGGTAGGTGGGAAGGGCTGGCCGTGCAGATATGACGCAAGAAGCACCAACGGCGACAACAATGCCGACGATGTCGCACGGGCAAATCGGGAAAATCAGCTTCAATGACTTACAGCGTTACCAGCGGCGAACTTCTTCTCGGTCGAGATGGCGCCTCCGGCTCGTCTCGCAGCGTTCAGGGCAGCAGCGCTGCGAACGACGGTCTCACGCTGGGCGGAGCCGCCGCCACGGGTTCGGCTGCCAATCTTGGTCACGTCGTCCCAGTCAGCCATGGTGTGCGGTATTGTGATGAACTGTGTGAGTGTGTCTGCGTTGGTGATGGCGAATTTGTTTGTGTGTACTGCAGTGCAGTGGTCGTATGTGTCGTGCCTGTGTGTAGTGTGGTGGTGGTGGTGAAAATCGGGTGTCTGGTGAGACAAAGGATGGCTTTTGCGCCTGAGGTGCTTTATATGGCAAGGAATCCAATGGAATATGACGGTGTGAGTCGAGTCGTGGTCGCTGGCCCGTTCCCAATGCCCAATGGCCCCCCGCCAACCCGCTGACTCAATCGGGGAGGCAACCTTGGGTCCTTGGGCGCCCCTCGCTGGGCTGCAGGTGGCTGGTGGGGGGGGGGGAGCTGCTGGCCGGCAGGGTTCTACGCTCTAAAAGAGCCCAGCAATCCAGGGCTTCCTTCGCTCGGCCACTCCTTAAGTCCGACGAGGCGGTGTCCCTGCCGACCCAAGAGAGATGTGGCGCAGACATCTTCTCTGTTCACAAGCTGTGGCGGTTGGCAGTCGTACGTACCTACTGTAGGTACCCTCAGGCACTGGAAGCCCCCGGTCGTTTTGGTGGAGCTTGACGTACTTGACGTCTTGGACGCACATCCATCCACGGAGTTGTATCAGATTCGCGATGGGGCATCATGATTCACACCACCGGGCGCGCATAGTCGATTGTAGCCATGTTTCCTGATTGCAATACGCTCCGTTAGTCCTCGCTCCATCCTCCCGTGTATTCTGATGTTCGATTGATACTATAAACATATGCGGTCGCTTCAAAGACACACAACCTATACACCGTCGGCCCGTCGCAGCCCAAGAACCCGACGATCAGGCCCATGGACATCGCGCGGGGAATGCCCTGGCATTCTGCTCCTCTTGGCATTCTGACACTATCCTACTACCTCCTGTTTGGAAACCTAGGCGATGCGTATCTTCTGTGCTTCTGGACTTTGTTGTTTCGATGGCAAAGGGGAACGACTCTCATCCCGATCTATGATGGCCACAGCCTCGGTGTGAACGGACTTTTATGGGCGCTAACCGTCGCTGTGGCCAGCTACGTCCTTATTAAGGCGTGGACGCGAAGTGGCCGCCATGTTAAACTCCGGCAGTGGTCGGGCCCGACAAAGCCACTGCTGTTTCCATGCCGGACCACTCACACCAGACTGTTCCCAAAGAAGCACTCCTTCACCTACTCCTACCTCATGGTTGGTGTCCCAGTGGGGTGGGAGGGTTCTGCTGGAGGTATGATATCTACGGCTAGTCGAGACGTCGCCTCGACAGGCTGGTATCAGATCCACGCGGCAGACTATCTCGAAAGGGGAAACGGCCATCTTGGACTCAGAGGCAAACTAGATGATTACCTGAAGTCACAGGTAAGCCTGCTGAATACCCGACTCACCTCCATCTAGACTCACAAATTCCAGGGTGCCGACCCTTCGTGTTATCCTTACGCCTACTTGGTGACTGCGGCAAAGTTCCTCGGCTATCACTTCAATCCCATTTCGTTCTGGTACCTGTACTCAGCCGAGAGAGATATGACGGCCATGGTGCTAGAGGTCAACAACACATTTGGTGAGCGTCGAATGTATTTTTTGACTTCTTCAGATGCGGCCGAACGTATCATCAAAGGGCCCAGTGTGCCAGACACCGGCGGCCTTGAAGACAAGACGAGGAGAGGGCCCGCGTCTTCAACGCTGAGACAAGCTTGGCCCAAGGACTTCCACGTGTCGCCTTTCAACTCCAGGAAAGGCGGTTACTCACTCGTGGCACGTGATCCATTCGCACCCATGTTGGAGGGGGTTGGTCGGATCAACAACACCATCAACATGTCGTCGTCCAAGAGTCATCCCAAGTTGACAGCTCGCATTTTCTCTGAAGGAGATGCAATCGATCCGGTATCGATGGGCATGTGGCAGAAGCTCAAGTTCCTCACCGCCTGGTGGTGGGTTGGTTTTGTTACCTTCCCACGCATTGTGAAGGAGGCAGGCGTTCTTTTCTTCAAACGCAAGCTCCACGTGTGGTACAGGCCAGAACCTCTGAGGCAGAGCATGGGACGCCTCGCAGATGAAACAGAGCGTCAATTGGAACCAATGTTCAGGCGGTATCTTGAATATCTTGTCAGCCAATGCCCAACGCCTCTGGCTATCCGCTACATTCCGAGCGGTCTGGCAGACTCGCAGATTGAAACGTTCACGTCGCTGGCTGCCCACAACGACAACTCTGTGGATGAGTTAGATTTCAAGGTACTGACGCCAGTGTTTTACTCAAGGTTCGTATACTATGCGCATGATTTCGAAGCCCTGTTCTGCGAGCTGAACGAGAGTTGCACCATCTGGGTGTCGAGACCTGATTTAATCCCAAAGCTGGTCTTCAAGAAGCCACCACCAACTCTCCGACTATCGAGTTATTTCGACTATGGATATTTCAAGCTCATTCAGAAGATGCGGCGTAGGCCCGAACGCATAGTACGACCAATGACATCGAGCCAAGTCCCGACAGAGTTCTCAACACCTAATACAAAAAAGACAGACATTAGGGACTTCCGAATCTCTTCAATGGACGGCTATGTTCTTTCAAACGAAGAAGAAGACTGTCGGAAACTGTACCGATCCTTAGTCTTAAAGCTCTTCATCGCAGACCAAGTCGCCATGGGCAGTATGGATCTGCTTTGGCTCGAAAGCTTCATCTTCAGAACTGTGTTAGCATGGATAGCGACGCGCTGAGATGGGAATCTCGATGGGCGATAGTGGCTATGAAGCGAGCGCCGCTGGCATACCCCAGAAGACCTTTGTGAATAAATATACTATTGTTAGACTGCAGTGCGTATGCATGAACTCCAACCCACAAGCAAGTGTCCCGGATTACGCGGAGACAAGCCGTCTGCAGAACTGGACCACAAATACTTGGTATTGGTGGGATTTAGTTCGTCTGCCTAGCGACTCGAGTTTATGAGAGTGTGCCTTGTGCGGCTGAATAGCCTCTTCAGTCCTAGAATGTGCTGTGGAATATGCGCCTGCCAAGGCAATCATCCCTGAACTCCCTTCAACCAGCTGCAGCTTTGTGTTACTAGTCAAGGCCGGTGTTGGCTTTAACACAGTCAGCAAATGTCGCCTAACGAATCCTTGAAGTGGCGGTATTTCGCGAGGTTTCTTCTTGCAGGGCCATCCACAACCCGGCATCGCGATGCCACTTGATGTCCGTGGAAGGGTAACTGTCTAGACCGTCTGATAGGGATCACATTACTTTCCAGTACATGAACTAAATATCAAGCCCAAGAGCCAAATATGCAGCTCTTCAATAGTTGGGTTTCCATATTGTCAATGTGACGTTCGAACGGGGTGTTGTGCAATATGCAGTCAGACCGTTTAACGCCTCGACGCCGCGCCTCGCGAACGCTTGGCAATCTGTCCAGCAAGAAGTGACTTCGTATTTAGTAAATAATAACAGTAAACTCTGATTATTGATCCCCGGAGCATTGAGATTTCTGGTCTGCGCCTCTGTATCTCGACAACAGGTCGTTCCCAATCACCGTGAGACCGATGCGACGTGTACACGTGTTGCACCTGTTTCCGGACTATGATCCGCGAGCGCGGGATGATACCCGTTACCGAGACGCACGGTCAGGGGCGGGAAGCAGCTCGGTCGCAACACCGGGGTCAAAGCACGTCTTGCATCTCTGGGACCCCCAAGTTATATGCATGGCACGAACGGTTTGCCAAGAAGAGCTTCTTTCCCCGTGTTCATTATCGCTTTCTTCCTTCACCACCAAAACTCGCCAATTGGGTTGGGAATACAGAGTGCATCAAAAGCGCCTCTTCAGCTATCGCCGATCTGAATGCTCCACCATCGATTCACTGCAGTGGTTACACCCATGTAGCTGAGATGACCGGGGGGCTGTATGTGACCGTTCCTATTCGAGAAGGTCAGCAAGCAACATCGGAGTGTCAACAATATCACGACATGAGTGTATCTTGGGCCCATGGTCCTTGAATACCGCCGTGGGGGTTAATGAAGCAAGAGCTTGCCTGTATAGTGCTCTAGATGATAGACAGGGGCGTCTGATTCGGGAGAAGGTAGATTCAAGACCCAGAAGATCGCCGACCTAATCACTGGAACCCATGGATATCTCAAATCAAAATCATGTCCATTCGAAGAAGGATGTGGCTAATTTTTTGGCACTAGTTCGACCTCTGCGCTGACTTTGGAGTATTGTCCAGCCAACTAGGCTTACACGCGGCCGTTGAGAACTCAGCCCACCCACAGAATTACCCGATATAGCGCGTCGAGGCTCGCCCACCATCGTTGAATGCTCACTCAGCCCATCCTCACGCCAAGCCAGCCAACGGCCCATGGCCAACTTGATGCAGCCACTCTGCTCCCAGGTTACACACAGCAAGCCTGGCTTTCAAAGATAGCGGGACCAAGGGCCGTTACAGCACACCATGCGTTGAAAATGTCAACCCGGTCTCGGGAGGTCTTACCGGACGAAGGAGTTCGTGTCGGCTGCAGGAACGACCCCCTGTCTTGCCGAGTAGCTACGCATAGGGCTAGATTCTGACATGGTGGCTGAGAGCCACAGGATCGTAACGACAAAATCTTTATCAAGCCAGACAGCTGGAATTTGATGGATTGCAAGGATCTTCATCAAAGACTAGCCCAGGCCACTTAATCATGTCCGAGGAATGGCAGAAGGCCGTGTGTCGTTCTACAGTCCTAGGGGAAGTGATATTGTGATCACAACGCGATCTAATGTTCAAGGTTCTGTTTACTACTGTAATGTCGCCTCTGTTGAACTACACAATCTAAAGAAGCACATAAGCAAAACAACGCCTCCACATTCCCGTGGTACTGTAATTTTCTTGCTTAAGATGTCCAATCCAGTCCTGTGTCTTGTCGTATGTTCTTAGACTAAGCCTCCGTCTGCCGAGTCTCCGGTGTGGTTTCCAGGCATCGGCTCTTGAGTACAACCGATTGGCTCCTTGCTCATATCGAAGTGCATGCCGCTTCCTGACGCCATGTGGACTATCGATGCAAGGAAAACGCAGCGCGGCGTCGAGGACCTGTTGCGTGTCTGCATGTAACTATGTATGTGCAGCCGAGAGAATTTCTCTATTCCTGCACAACTATCTCGTCTGACAACGGGCACTGCAGTATCGCGCCAGTGAGAGCAATAGAGCAATCGTGATGAGCTTCCATGAATTTTGTTTACGAGTTGGGCTGACGCATACCTGGAACATGCCCGCGTATAGTCCATTCCCCTGTAAACATGCCATAAATAAGCATCAGCTTACAGAAGCGCCGGGGTAGCTACTTCTATAAGATGAGACCAAGCTTCATCGCTTTATCCATCAGGGACACCGCTTTCCTTGATATTGCAGTGCTCTAGTATTGACTCGGGTGATCTTCCTTTCGTTCTCGTAGTCATGATGCACTACAGCCTTTCGTTCTTGAGCGTGCCGGTTTCGTCACTTTTGCTGCTCCCTCTGGCGGTTGCACAGCAGAACTTCGACTGGGGCAAGGCAATTTCACGGACAGGATGGAATGTTACCGCCGACAGTTTCCAGACCGGCAATGAGGCAGCCAAAGCCATCGATGGCAACACGAGTACCTTCTGGCACACTCAGTATGGCGATAGTGTAGCACCCCTGCCCCACTATATCCAAGTTGATCTCACCAAGAGCTTCGTGGTGAATGGCATATCCTATCAGCCCCGGCAGGATGGTAACCGGAACGGCGATATTGGCCAGCACACGATCACCTTGAGCAACGACGGGATTACGTGGACGGACCCGGTGGAGTTTGGTAACTACCTCAGCGACAAGACAACCAAGTACACATTCTTCTCACACGCCAGCGCCCGCTATGTCCGCATCACGGCACAGAGCGAGGCCCAGGGTGCTGGGAACCAGTGGTCCAGCATGGCGGAGCTGAACGTCTATAGTCCGGACACGTCACTGAGCGGGGACACGTTCGCGCCCCCAGCGCCGTCGACAAAGGGCCGCTGGGACGCTACGGTGAGCTTGCCCATCGTGCCGGCGGCAGGCGCCATATCCGGGGACAATACGGTCATCTTCTGGTCGGCGTTCCGGCCGGATCTCTTCTCGGGTGGCACGGGCCTCACGGAGACGGCACTGTGGGACCCGCGGGGCCAGGCCGTGTCGGAGAAGACGGTCACCGACACCAAGCACGACATGTTCTGCCCGGGCATCTCGATGGACGCCAACGGTGTGATCGTCGTCACGGGCGGCAACGACGCGGCCAAGACCAGCGTCTACAACCCGGCGAATGGCGCCTGGACGACCGCCGCCCAAATGAAGCAGGGCCGCGGATACCAGGCGTCCACGACAATCGCCGACGGCCGCGTCTTCACTATTGGCGGTTCCTGGAGCGGCACGCGGGATGGCGGCAAGAACGGCGAGATTTACGACTCGCCGACGAACACTTGGCAGGCTCTTAACGGGTGTCCCGAGTCCGTCATCTTCACGAAGGACAAGGGGGGGATCTACCGGAAAGATAACCATGCTTGGTTGTTCGCCTGGAAATCCAACTCGGTGTTCCATGCAGGCCCAAGCAACGCAAGTGAGTAGTACCCGATAGTCCCTATTCACTCAGGGCAGGGAGAAATTCCCACACAACTACGGTCCCACTGGAACGAGCTGATCTCAGGGGCTTTTCGTTAACTGATGTCTTATCCACAGTGAACTGGTTCAACGTCAGTGGCACAGGGTCCTATAAATCGGCAGGAACTCGCCTCACGGCGCCGGACATGATGTGCGGGACCGCCACCATGTACGATGCCGTGAACGGCTACATTCTCGCCGCGGGTGGGTCGCCAGACTACGAAGACTCGACCGCCACCACGAATGCATACACCATCAAGCTGGGTAACGTCAATGAGAACCCCAAGGTCACACAAGTGGCCAGCATGGCATTCCCGCGGGCTTTTGGCGTCGCCGTCGTGCTGCCTGACGGCAAGACCCTAGTCTTCGGCGGGCAGTCGTGGGCCGACCCCTTTACGGACACCACGGCGGCCCTGCCCGCCGAGCTGTACGATCCGGGGACCAGCCGCTGGACCACGGTCGCGCCCATTGCCAACCCACGGACCTACCACTCCATCGGTTTGCTGCTGCCGGACGCGACGGTGCTCAGCGGCGGCGGCGGGCTCTGCGGCACGGGGTGTGTGCAGAACCACTTTGACGCGCAGGTCTACAGCCCGCCGTATCTGTTCAACTCGGACGGCAGCCGGGCCACGCGGCCCGTCATCAAAACCGTGTCGGCGATCCAGCTCAAGCCGGGGTCCGTCCTGACCGTGGCGACCGACGTAGCGGCCACCTTCTCCTTGGTCCGGTACGGGTCGTCCACGCACACCGTCAACACGGATCAGCGGCGGGTGCCACTCTCGGCGTCGCCCATCGGCTCCCTCAACTACAACATCACGTTGCCGAGCGAGCCGGGTGTGCTGCTCCCCGGCTACTGGATGTTGTTCGCGCTGAACTCGGCCGGCGTGCCCAGTGTGGCTACGCAAATCAAGGTGTTGCTGCCATAGGCGGCTGGTGGGTGGCACTTGGTGGTTGGTTTTCCCGCCCGAGTGCTGTATGTATTCAGGGAATTTGGGATATAACTGTACCGTACCTTTAGGTCTGAATAAATGTAACAGATAATAATATCTAGGAATGATTTGCGCAATGCTGATGTTGTCACTGCTTACACTGTCATGACATAGAGGCTTTTCTGGCAGCGCAAATGGAATGCAGTTCGTTCCTGCACATGATCCAGCCTGGCTTGCTGTGGTCCCTCACGAGGGCACCATTGGCCTGGGCTTCTAACACGAGGATATTCGTCGACTCGGATGTAGAAGCCTTTGACTGACGTGTACGCAGTCAGCTGTGGCTGTCGGAACCCTCTATCTGCCAACTCACTTGATTCGATGACGAAGAAAAAGGAACTTCGTTACCGCCACTTCTTTGGCAAATCAAGTTGGTACGAATACCAGTCAATGGTGGTGCTGGAAACGTGGGAAAGGACTGCAATACGATGGCACTGGGCTCGTAGCTTGTCGTTGGTGTGCGCGTGCCATCCCCTAACATCATATCAAATCATTATAGAGATAGTCTGATCTTCGGTCACTGAAGGAGGATACCCTGTTGAGTCTCTCCCACAGGCAGATCCTTGAAGAGGAAACTCGTTGGATCAATGGTGTGCAGGACGCAGGGATGCCAAGGAAGCTGTAGCGGGTATCTCTCTGCAGTCCCTGGAACTTCCCGCTGCGGCCATGTGTGAATTCCAAATACTGCCATGCATCTGAGCTTGTCCCCCTCACAGCTTTGGGCTGGTGCCACCATGGCGCTCCACATTGGGGGTCCAACTTGGTTAGGGCGGCTGCTGCTTTGGTTAGTTGGTTAGTATAGCACCGTCCAGGATAATGACAAATACCTCGTGGTTTGTACTCCCGACTGCCAGGCTCGCGGAATGCCCGACGGGAGGCGGGCTTTCATCGGGAGAAACTGACAGCTCGTCGGCATGGCTACATATTCTTGAAACAAACATAGAGCCCGGCAGACACAGGCCTGGAGGCGCTAAGGCTTTCGGCTGAAGTCACTGGCGGAGGATATGATTTCAACATGATGCGAGACCCGCGTTGGCGTGGGAAAAAAAGAGACACTGCTCTCCGCTCAGCGCTCTAGTGGCCGTAGGCTTACTCTGAGCCCAGAAGTGCTGCTAGCTTTCGAAGCTACCCCGCCACCGCAGGCTAACCGACCCCGCCATCGTCATAGTCGCTGGGTATAATGCAGCCTGCCTACTGTAAGTAAGCTGTGGGAGCTGATCAATGTGACCTCGCGGTGGCCGTGCTTCGTCACACTTGACATTCGCAGACGGGCGGAGATCCCACTACCCGCTATCTTGGATTTGCTGTCACTTACCCAAATCGCGGGTGGATTGGAAGTGGATTGGATTGGCTTTTGCCGTGTGTTGCGGTCAGAAAGCAACCCGCAGATCCCGGAGCTTATCGCTGCCATAAGTTACTTCGTTACGAATATAAGAGCAATCCCTGACTCCCATGTTGCTTCCTGGTTTTCTCCCCAGTCTGTCATTCTCGTTGTGCAACTGTTGCCGGCCTTCTACACAACGTTCTCAGCATTCTAATCTAACCACCTCATAAGCCAAAGAGACGTCTCTTACAACCGCCACCATGGGTCTCTCCGGTCACTGTCTCTGCAAGGCTGTCACCTACAAGGTTGACGCCGACCCTCTCATTGTCGGCTATGACCACTGCGACGACTGCCAACGCCAGAGTGGCTCGACCTACTGTAAGCATGAATTGCCTCAATTCAGTCCTATTAGGCAATGTCGATTAACACTGGACCTGCAATATAGCCCTTGTCGTCGTCGTTCCCAAGGACAAGCTGACCATCTCCGGACCGACAAAGAGCTGGGCGGGCAAGGGCTCCTCAGGACAGGCCGTCCACCGCATCTTCTGCTCCGAGTGCGGTTCCCCGATTGCCCACGACCCTGATGCCGCGCCTCCGATCATCGCCCTCAAGGGTGGTACTCTGAACGCCGAGGACAAGAAGAACCTGAAGCCCGTAAGTCCTTCTTAGCACGATCTCATTCCAATTGGCATACATCTAGGCGGAAGCTTCTGGATAGCCTTGATGATAACATAGCTGACATCTCATGCGACACAGGACACCGAGATCTGGACTGTCGGCAAGCTTCCCTTCTGCCAGGAGCACCTTGCCAAGCCCTTCGAGCACATGCCAGAGTAAAGCATCTCCTAGTGTTGGGAAACGAAATACGAATGCAATGATACTATAAGAGGGTAGCATGGTGGATGCGGCACTAGGTTATAGGAGTTGGCAATGGTTTTTTGGGAGTACACCATTCGTACCCCAGTAGTATTGAAAATAGCTCACACGAGAGCAGAAATGCATCACTTATAATGGTATTCAAGTTGGTACCGCTACTACATTGACGTTAAGGTACATCTGTTGTATACATTATCATATAAATGTGTCTCGTGACTGAGTTGCCATCTCAAAGTGCAAAATCCACGATACTCATCTTCCGGCACTCGTATCACTGGGTATCTACATGCATCCATTACACCAACTTTACAGTCCTATTTCACCTTCGCAGCTCCAGAATTACAATGCAGCCATCAATGCTCCTCCAGCCACCGCCAGAAACATGTTCTTAGCAGTTGCTCCCGTCGGCGCCGCGAAATTTGAAGAACTCGAACCTGTTGTCGTGGATGCGCGGGTAGTGGTGGACGCGGAACCAGAATCGGCGTTCTTGGACGACGACTTGGGGGCAGCAGTGGTCTGCGTAGACCCGGTGGCAGTCGCAGCCGTGGCACTGCCGGTGATCTTGCCGGGCCCGGCGTTGCCGCTGGCGGTGTAGTACAGGGTCACGGCCGAGTCGCCAGACTTGATGTCGCTCAGCGCGGTGCCACCCGTCGTCGGCACCGTCGCCGCAGCCTGGGCGCTGTTGAACAGGGGCTGGAAGGCGGCCGTGGGCGTACCGGTGCAGAGCAGGTTGCTCGCGGTCGTTATGACGTCCTTCCAGTAGGTCAGGTTGCGCTCCGTCAGCCCAGCGTGCACGTAGAGGCACTGCCGGCAGCCGAGCCACTCGGAGAAGTATGAGCCGCCGCACATGCATTGCGCGTGGGCCTCGAGGGCCAGCGACGAGGTGCCGTTGGGCGCGCAGGCAGCCTCGATGCTGATGATGTCGATGCAAGGCGGCACGCCGGCCGACTCGTCAAACTTGCTGGGTGAGCACACCGAGTTGAGGTAGTCGTCGTCGCGGACTAACAGGCTAGCGGCCTTGGGCGCGACGTCCTGCGCGATGACCGGACACGCTGCCAGTAACGCCAGAGCGACAGGAGTCATGGTGATAGACTTCATCTTCAGTACGTATTCTCGGGCAGGTGGTTTGGAGGATATAAGTAGCTAGATTTGGAGGGTAGACTTGGTACGAAGGCCAGAGCAGCAAAAGAAGAAATATGCTCACGGCTCCCGATGGCCTGACCGTAGGCCTTTTCATAGTGCTATCATTTGTGTCTGCCTGGCCTTGAGGGTCCACGATGTATCGGTAGCTTAGCCCGAAACGAGGTCTAAGACCGGTGTCAAGCATCGTTAAATTACACTTTTAACCATTTGTGTCCTGGCACCATGCTGCTTTGCGGCGTGGACCATTGCCTACAAGAAATCTCTACACGCTTGAACTTGCGATGCCCTTACGATTGGAGTCTTCGGCAAGGGGCTTCCGCATGGCAGATACGAATTTGAAGGGCAATCAAACCACCGCATATGTTGACGATCATGAGTATGCAGTGTGCTGGTAATAGGAGCGATAATCCGAATTCGGGCTGGTGCTTTCTTGTCGATCTCCTACAGTAACTAGCTTAGACGACTTTAAGCTTAACTTTCCTGGTGGTTCCGCGCTGGCGATCACAGGCTAGCAAGACCCCTGTCTACACCTGTCTTCATTGATGGCTCGCTCGTCCGAACTCTCAAACCACGAACGCTGAGCATCGAATTTCCATGGGGGGCTAATGCAATCGCATTCATTAAATACGAATGAAAGGTATTCTATCCTTTGCCGTATACTTTTTGCAACTGACCTCGAGAGAGGCTCAACAGCGGCTCGGAAACCTGACCTGCCTATTATCAATGAATCTGCTTGGGTGAGGTTTCGTGATATAGATCTTGCGTTGTTCTTCCGACTCGCTGTCCAAACGGAACTTTGAAATAGTGCGACCATATACCTGGTACTTCTCCAAGCCTTTCAGAAACTCGGTGAGATCAGTCGCCAGGGCCGCGTCACGGTTGGCAGTGTATATCGTTACTACACTAACAACAAACAATAACAACCATCTTTACAGTTTGTCAACTGGTACTTACCGTCAGCTGTACCAGAACCTAGAATCTTTCAAGGCTTTGCTGAGAGTACGACATGTGCAAGCATAAGATATCCCATAGGTAACTCTGACGACGGAGGGGAAGGAAATCTAGGCCTGTGAATGCAAACCAAAGATACTGTTTGGTTATGTTGCTTAGCTACACTAAACATGCGGGGGGCAGGCAGACTCGCGATGGGTGACTGGCTTTCCCGAGTTTATGGCTTGTGGTGCACTGCAACACCTTCCGCAGCATACAGAGAGCATCCGCCAAATAATAGCGTTGTCGCATGGCGAGAAATGAATGATATAAGCTTACAAAAAGAATGCGTAAGCTGGGAGGAAGCACCTCGCAAAGAATTGAAAAGTTTGACTACGCCAAAACTCATGCAACCGTTCTGCAACTCGTCAACCAAACTCCTTGCGGTGCAAATAGGTGTCTTGCGACAGCGATCTAGGCGTCGCTGACACGAACCTTGCCGTTCCCCTTCTTTTGAACCCACCCGCGTTCGTTATCGTTCAAATCGTAAATATGCGACCCAGCTCAGCCCAACCCAGCCCATGTTGTAACATGGCCAGGGCTTGCTTAGAGCTCACCATCTTCGTCTACCTCCTTGCTCAATGGGCCTTTCTTGACCATAATGCTCATGATCTCATACAAGGCATCAGCTGCAGCCATGGTAGTGTGTTCGGCATTGGTGTCGTAAGCAGGCTACACATAATATGAGCAGAGTTCCCAGATACCAAGCTCTCTAGCTTGACTAGACTTACAGCGACCTCAACAATATCAGCACCAATCAGGTTTAGATCCTCCAAACCCCTAAGGATAGTACGCAATTCCCTGGTGCTCCATCCGCCTGTCTCAGGTGTACCGGTAGCGGGAGCAAAAGCTGGGTCAAGTGTGTCGATGTCCAAGGAAAGGTAGACCGGGTTCGTGGTGCCAACACGCTCAATAATCTTCTTGATGATGCCATCGGTGCCGATGGTATCAATCTCGCGGGCTTCCACGATTTCGAAACCACAATACCCATCATTCTCGTAGTCGCTGGGACCGCTGAGCGTCGTGCGGATTCCAGCGTGGATGTTGGAGTCGTTGCGCAGCAGGCCCTCCATGGAAGCGTGGTAGAAGTATGTTCCGTGGTTGATGCTGGCGACTTCGGAAGGAGAGCCGCCGAAAACCTTTGGGCGCCCTGGATCTGAAGTAAGCCAATGTAAACACAATACCAAGCGCGGCATCACTGACAGGTATCGAGATGACTATCAAAGTGAACCACAGAGACCGGACCATAGGCTCTATTGATCGAGCGAAGCAAAGGCAGGGTGATGGTATGATCTCCGCCGAGAGTAATCACTCGAGGAAGCGTTTTCCCCTTCTTTGAAAATCCAGCCTTCTTGGCGTCTGTGGCTGGTGTTCTCGATAAGATGCTATAGTGACCTTCCTCAATTTGCTTGAGAGCCCAGGTATTATCGTAACTGTCTCACGTTAGTTTTCTTATGGAAGAGGGGAATCAGACTCTTACGAAGTCACTGGTATATCCCCACAGTCAAGTACGGTTGCCCAGCTGTCAAATGGATTCGTAGCGAGAGGGACATTGTAACCTCCGCTGTATCAGACAGGTCAGTCGATTCGCCTGGTCTTTCCTTGGGATTTTCCATACTATAGATTTAAACGTCGGGATCCCTGGCGAATTCCTGATGGACCGAACCGTGCTCCAGGCCTATACGAGGTACCAGTATCAAAAGGTGCCCCTAGTAAATGTCAGTTACATATCTGGTGCTTGCTGGTTCATTTTGCCTACCGATGAAAGCGATGTCATACTTGGCATCACGAAAGCTCAAACAGGGCTGGTACGGGAGACGCCCAAAGGTAGATATGCCGGAAAAGACAGAGTCCGCCTAAAGGAAGGAGTCAGGAAACCGTCCTGACAAGTAAAAGTTTTATGAAAATCACTGCCGAGCTGCTCCATGAACTGACCTGCGTGCCGCCATCCCCTGGCAACCTGTTGTACCACAAGGACTCGTGAGGGCCTGACAGAGACTTTTGGTCGTGTCCATTATGGGCAAGGGCTACAATCGCAAAGCTGACGATGGAGAGTGGTTTCAACATATTGTACGAAGTCAATTGACTATCTTTTACCTGGAGTACGGTGTTGAGAAGATGACACTTTCACGAGACTGGCAGAACGTCACTTTAATGAAGCCAACGTCGATTCGAGATCTGCCAGGTCTCCCACGGGATTGGACCACATTTCCTGCAGAAAAATGGCATGGGCCATAACCACTTAGAGCTTATCTCGGAGCTTATGAAGCCAATTGACTGGGCGTTGATGGTGAGCCATGCGTAGCAGACATGTCACGAAGCCCATTCCTGTTAGGTAAACCAAAGTCTCTCTGCAGACATGACATAGGGCCACAAGATGCGGGGCAGGAGATAGATAAAGCTTCCTGTGCCATCAGCTCGACCTTTTTTTCGCGGTGGCTCCGATGGCCCTTCTGCAGATCCATTCGCTGTTCCGAACGACTGCCGCCGACCCAGTACCAAAGTTCGAGGTGTTTAAGCCCCGAGTGGCCAGCCATTTAGTGACCCCAGGATGTTCCCCGAGGTTGATGAACAGCTGCAGTGGAGTTCCAGCTCTCGAGTGCGGAACATTCAACGGTTAACAGTATAGGCGATTGCGGAGCAGTCCACCACGGTGGGGTAGCTCCAGGGGATTCAAGAGTATCGATGACGAGCACTGATAAGAACTGCCGGACACGGGGCATTAACGGCTTCAAAGGAAATATGATGCTCACAGCAAAGATCGAGAGAGAGAGAGAGAGAGTGTGTGTGTGTATGTGAATCTTCGGCGCGAACATCCTCGCAGGCTTGGTATTGTGTAACTGGTCGCATACTATGGTACGTTACCACAGTATATTGGTACCAAAGAGCTCTACTGGGTAGGTTTTCATAAGCAGCAGCAATACATTGAGATACGGCTATGCGCGAAAAGAACTATGTCGACATCTGGAAATCTGAAAGGCTAGGGACTGGCTTATCACGGGTCTCGAACTTTGTAGTTATATTCACAGTCGGCTGTCCAGGAGCAAACAGCATTAGAGCTGGGACACATGTCACAGCATGAACTTCGTAATCCTGGACTACAAGCACCACTCCATCTAAGAAGGTTAGGGCATGCCAGTCGGAAGTGGATCCGCAGAGACAAAAAAATCCTGATATGTGGTAGGATGCAGTGGAGCTTTACTTGGACGAAATTTTTTACGACGGCAATGTGGGAGTGAGTGCACCGAAGGCGTACAAAGGTGCTGACATCTGCAGGGGCTGCCTGAGGCAACAGACACGTTTGCTAACCCCCCGGAAAAGCATCGATACACCCGGGGAATAGTGGATTGCCCACGGACCATTGGCCCATGGCATATTTGCTTGGCATAGCGATTGCGTCAGTGCTCGCATTTGGATCCAATCTAGTCTGGTTATAGTGCGATGCGTCTTGATACTTGCTAGGTAGCTGTTGTCGCAAACGAACTTCGAGTAATGAGTACCTCTTTGCAGTCACCAACGACTTGTCGCGTGTAGGTGAGTCTCGAAGTCATTGTCACAGAAGATGCTGCTGTCTCTGGTTTCTGTAGAAAGGTGTCAAAGCCTCTGCCGAAGGCGCGACTCACACACAACAATAATACCTCCTTTTTCTGGACCAGCCCCCTCATCGTTGCAGGTTGGCTCTTTGGCCGGCGAAACGCACATGTACGACGCGACGCCTGATTCGTCACAAGCAGCTGCAGACTGCAGGTCTGGCAAGATGGCAGGATAGCCTCGAGCCCTTCCAGAAGCTGATTTGTCCTTGTGACATAAAGGCTGCTGCAGGATGGCCCGCCGTCTACTCGCAACGGCAAAGACTCGTGGAGCACACAATGCAGAGTCTGCTATTGTCCTAGCCGGCCACACAAAAGCAGTTCGCCCACGCGCAGGTGAGGTGTCCCCCTCCGCGAAGGGGTTTCGGTGTTCCGGAAGGTGTCGCTCGCGCGCTCCTCTTTCTCCCTCTTGCTCGCTTCCCCTCTCCCCCAGTGTGCATTCGTGATGGTGGTCTCCCCCGTAGCATCTGCGATACAGAGGACATGGGATGCCACCATAAGTGAGGGAAGATGTCTTACTGAGGCCATCGTCAGATGACCATGTGAACCTACGCCCTGACCCCCCCAAGGGTGGACTCGTATGTGCTCGCTCGCTGGGCCTCTCTCTTACTCAGAGAGGATTCCTGCTGTTCTGTAGTTAGCCTGTCGCCTGGCCCAGATCCCTGGTGCCCCTCGAGTAGGCTGCTGCTGTGCCCACCTTTTTCGCCCACTCTGCCACTTCCGGCGCCTTGGTACATACATGACCTCAGCTGGTTTCGCACTAGCCTCCAAGGAACCCCCCAGGTTTCCAACCACTCGAACGCTTCAGCGAGGACGGGAAGTCAAAAACTTGCGCCTCGTTGGGAAAAGCCAATCCCATCCGTCTGATGTTTCTCGTCTGTCTCTGGCCCTGAAGTGGACTCTCGTGCTCGCAGCCGCTGCCAGAGGAGGAAGAAAGCCAGTGGTGCATCCTCCGGCGCCGCCCGTCCTCCACTTGAAACTTAGCTGCGCACGAGAAGCAATACCAAACCCGAGGGCATCTTTGCCTGTCGCAAAGCTGTGCCATCCCATCTTGCCAGGACGAGAAACCAAGCCCGCCTGCAAGCTAAACATGCATTCCGGGTGATGTGGTGCGAACTCCCAGACTGGACTCTTGGGGCCGAAAACGTGGACTTCTATTCTTCTTGTCCTTCACTGCGACTGTACATAGTACACTGGGTTTGACCAAGGTACGGACCATCGGTGCCGTAATCGTTCCTGAGAGCCTTGGATGGTCCCTGGAGCCGGTGGCCCCTCGTCATCAACGCCAACATAGGACAGGCCTGCCATCAGCCAAAGATAGTGCGCTGCCGTGACGCAAGCTCATGTTCGGCGACCACATCGACCACGATTGCGCCTCCATTCTGCACGACATATCCTCGCTCAGCAATTTCTGCAGTTCCACGACGGGACCGGTCTCTCTCATGATGCGAAGGGCGGCATAGTGGAGCAGCACTTGATGAGTGAACTAATCACGACGGGGACGTGGTGCAGACCACTAAAGGATACGATGCTCTCTTCTACCGAGACCGTTCTGCCGCCTACTAAGGCCGGGCTTTATTTCGATCCTCCCACGTTTGACAGCTCATCCTCGACCCTTGATTCTACTGGTCCGAGGGCGTTGCGAAAGCACAAAACCCTCCCTCATCCCAGGAACAGCAAGCCATCTGCCACGCACGGCTCACGCGCGCCCCATGGCTTTGGCCTAGCCATTGACACGAAGGCATCTTGGTCGGAATCCGGCTCGCAGGTATCCAGTGCGCCGTCGCAAGCCCGGCGCGCGGGCGGACCCGACCTGCCACCAACGCCGCCGGCTCACTCGCGCACCTCGTCCAGCAGCCACTCCGTCCTGCCGTCCAGTCCAACGTGCGTCGGCAGCCCAGAGCAGAGCGTGTCTAGCCTCTCGGCCACGAGGATACCGGGCACGCCGCCGAATCAGAAGAGCCCGCCCACGCCCGACGTGACACCACCGCAGCAGATGCGGCGGCCAAAGGGACCGCGGCCGCTGCTCTCGGATCGCATTCCCTCCAAGGCCACAACGGCCGACTCTCGAACCGAGTCCTTCAGGACGGCACGGGAAGACCCGTATTCATCGGACGAAGACAAGGCATCTATGCTGCGGCCCACATTACATTCGGGGAGAACGTCACGAAATACGGTGCGGCCAACGGACGTAAGGCGAAAGAAGCCCCAAGGCATTGGGCTAGGACTGGGGCTGGAATCAGACGATAACTTGACCCCAAGGACAAAACAAGAATTTTTCACATTTGATGGGGAATGGGCCGGAGGTGCGTCCGGAAGCGAGGTCGAGCAGGAATGGGACGAGAATCTTTTCAGGAATGTCACGGTGCGCAAGCGACGGCCGAAGCCAAAAATGGTCGCAGAAGAGACACCGAGAGACAGTGCCACTGAGGTGCTCGAGGATGTTACAGTCACTCCGACGAATGCAACAAAGGCTCTGCGCTCGATACCTCTGCACGACAATCAGCGACGCTATTCCTCGCCCAAGACAGTACCTGATCGCGACCGGGGCAAACGCCAGACATCAGCCTCCACATCGGAGCCACCGGTCAATGTCGACGCCAGGCGGTCGTCAGTCATGTCTTCCAGATCTACCGTGTCAACAGTCGTGGAGGCGATCCTGGTGGACGCGACGCCGCCACGGCGGAGAACGCTTCGTCATGTGAGAAAACAGCCGACTCTACGAGACTCGGCGCCTCGGATATCCCCTGCAAGCTCCACAGCATATTCCACGGGCTTAGAGGAGACGGCCAGATATCCCAGACCACGCATCGGCGTCGATGCCGGGCACACGGAGAGTTTTGCTTCATCTGGTACGGTCAACTCTCTAGCCAGCCGCAAGGCACGACGTGAAGTGTGGAAGAATGGCGGAGTTCCCGTTGTCGTCATTCCTGATCGCAGGGCGTCCATGAAGCCTGCGGGTACGCCCTCGCTGAGGTCGACAAGCAGTCGCAGATCACAGCGGAGCAGCAGCCTGAGTTCCATTCCCCTGTCAAACCAGTCCAAGGTGAAGGATTTGGCTCCTTACTTTGAACGGCCATCCCGGCGAGGTAGAGCCATGTCAATGTCGACATCTGATGGATCACTTCCGGGCGACCAGCGAACCATAGACTATCCTCCGATCGTACCACTTCGCACTTCTTCTCTGTCGGCCCCTACGAGCAGAAACAATTCCAGGAGCAACTCCCGGAGCAACTCCCGCGCAAATTCACTTGCAGGCTCTCGTACAAACTCCCTGACCGCTGCAAGCCTAAAGCTACACAATGCACTGCAGGAGCAGCAGGCGCAGGACCAATCACCCAAGATCACCGTGGAGCAGGCGTCAAGCATCCCTGACGTTGAGTACATCGCAGCAGAGGATGATCATTCGGATGAGAGACAACTTCAGCCGGCCCCTTCCGTCGAGTCGCACAAGGAGAGAGATGTGCGTGACCACAGGCCACTCCTTGACCACAACGGTGATCCGTTCTTCGGCAAGCGACTGACAGCGCACAACACCCCGTTTTCAATCGCGTCGGTCGAGACAAACGGGACACACTCTGCAGCCGAGGTTTCGGAAGCCATGGCGGTGAACATCTATCCGCACCAGAACCGATCCGTCCGCATGGTGGACCACACCTCCAAGGCGTTTGATGCAAACGCACTTGATAGAGAGCATTCGGTCGGGTCTGATGAGACTGGTGAGACTATTAAGACTGAGAGGATTGGTACAGAATTTGAGAAACCTAGTATCACCGCAACCGGCCCAGACGGTGAACCTGTCACACCTCCCCAGCCTCAGTTTTCTATGGATGACGTGGACTCTCCTCTACGAAACCCACGCGCACCGCCCGAGCCTCCTGCGATCAAGTTCACCCCGGCCACACCCTCTGGCCTCACGCCTGCGGCAGAAAAGATGAAGATGCTGGGCAACTACTTTGAAGCGGACGCGCCGGAGAGGCGGCCCTCCTTGGTCAAGCGAGCGCTGAGTCTGAGAAGAAGCTCTGCCAATGGTGTCCCTCGCAGTCCAGGCTTCCTTGCTCGCACGCTCTCACTATCGCGGAACATCCGCAAAGACACTGCTGAGAACCCGGATATGGAGGTGGGAGAGGACGCGGTTCGTCATCAATACCCAAACATTGATGACCCACCTCCGGACGAGGATAGGCTGCACCCTTTCTGGCGCCCTGCGTCGTCCCAGTTCGAGCCTGAAGACGACGAGGATTGGGTCTATGATGTTCAGGGTAGTGTGGACCGTGACGACCACTATTCAGCAGGTAGCAGCCGACCTGGCCCGCCTCGGCGTTCACTTTCATCCCGCATGAAACGCACATTCGCCATATTGCCGATCACGAACGATGATCACTACATGTCCGCAGGCAACCGTGCCCCCGATCGCCGCACCATCAAGCGAACGCCCAGCGGAAACCTGCGCGTGATGCGCCACCGCGACAGCTACTCCAGCATGCACTGGGGTCGTCGTTCATCGTCCTCCAACCGCCACGACGACGACAATGACGAAGCCGAGGGCCGGCCGTCCACAGCCCCGGACGTTCGACCCGGCCGCCGCGCGTGGGGCGTGGAGAAGCGCGTGGACTCGCAGGGCCGCCGCTTCTTCCCAGGCTGGCAGGACAAGATGGAACAGTACGGCTTCCAGAACCTGCAGCGCCGCCTCAGCGAGCACAGGCGCCAGAAGCGCAGCGACGCTCTCCGCCAAAAGATCAGCGGCCCACGTGAGGTCCGCGATGGCGTCGGCGAGGTCATCAAGCGCAACAGTTACAAGGGGCCCAGCTACCAAACGCCGTCGGGTGTTGGTGTCGGCCGGACAGTCTCGATGGGCGACATGGACGGCGTCGAGCGCGCGCCCAGGGTCCAGGTCCAAGTCTAGAAGACCCACGACGATGATGAAGACGATCCCTGGACTGCGGCTGTCACCTTTGTTCCCATGTCGAGGTCGGAGCCCTGCGTGCGGCGAGTGAGGTTTGCGGAGCGCATAGTCGCGGGCAGGGCCAGGCGGCCCTTCTACCATCAGAACTTGTGAGCATCTCAACTTGGACTCTGCCGCCCTGAGAGCCAGACTTGGAGCAGTACCTACACCAAAAAAAACCATCATGTTGTAACAACCACGCACACACTCGCCGCAACTACCAAGCAACAACCGAACAGGCGTTTCGCAGTCTTTCTATTTACGAAGTATATGACGAGATGACCACATTTTCCTTCCGCCTCATATGTCACAATACAACACGCAAACACGGGCTCGGTTTGTCTGATGGGACCATGTCACGAGGAAAGGTGGGGGGAGCTCAAGGGAGGGAGAAAGGAGAGGCAGCATGGCGTTCGATCGAATTTTTCGTGTCCCCCCAAAAAATATCAAGCTCAGCGTTGAGGTGAAGTTTCGTCCTTACGTCTTTTCCTTTTCTGATGTGATGTGGACGGCAGGGAAAGGGAACACTTGATCTGGAGGAGACGATGGAAATTTGACGGAGGGACAAGGAGTGGATATGGTTCAGGGAAGGTCACATTGTTGAATTGTTGTAAACCGTATAGAACGACTTTTGACGATAGATACCTGGCCGTGTTTTTTCTTTTTGAAATTCAGTTTCCGGCGTTGTTGCTACTACCTCCTCTGTTTTATGATTTGCACGTATATATGTGTATGAATATATGCACATTGGCGATTGATGGTATTTTAAAACAAATGTTCCATTGGCAATATAGGGGTATCTTACGGATGGGTTTGCCCAGGTGCTGCTATTCATTGATGTCAGCTTTGGCACTAGATTGGCTACCATCTTGTCGGCTGTACTTCTTAACTGTCCTACATCTCTGCCATCATTTGGGTGACACAGCCCGGAGCCCTGGAAACGATTACCTATTCCCTTGCCTTGTTTCTCTCTCCGTAATACTGATCACCAATGACTTCCTCTAGGCAGCATCATCAGCAGAGCCCCACATCATTTCGATGGCGACTCGTGAGGTTCAGCAGGAACATTTGCTCCACGCTTTGCAGCCTGTTGTCTTGAGGTCTCTTGTTGACGGTAGGAAGCGCATTGGCGTTTTGACGAGCACTGGGAGGTACCGGAGTACTACCGAGTCTCTAGTCATGCCAATTGAATTACCATGCCACCCAGACTCCAACGCTAGCCAGGAAACAAATGGAAACATCAAGGTTGAACTGCGCTGGGTGCCCTGGCTGGTCGCTTGTTCGTAAGAGGCGGCGACTACTACTACTCAGTGGTTGCGCGAGAGATGCACCGTAGATGGCAATTCTCATTGGAGATCGATGATCCTTTCGAAATGGGGTATGTCATGCGAAGCATCGGACCCCAAAGGAGTCCGAAGCTAAATCCAGAGTTGTTCTTTCTCGTTTCCGTAGTCCAGTGCCGTTGGCGATGAAGTTCCACGGATACTCACAGCAGCCTAACGTCCACCCTGCTGGCCTGGCGGGGGTTGGAACGGGGGCATTCCAGGAGGCGTTGGGAAGCCCGGTGCACCCTGGGGCATTCCCGGGAAAGGGAACGGCGGAGCGCCCGGCGCACCCGGGGGCGGGAAGGGGAGGTTTCCTGGGAACGGGGGGAGGCCGCTCGGACCGGCGCCGGGAGGTGGGAATGATGGGGCGCCTCGTCCACCACCGGGAGGAGCTGCAGCGAAACGTCCGTTAGACCGGGTCCTTTGATCGTTGTACCTCTTACCGTAGGCGTATCCGGAGCGGGAGTACGGCTGGTAGCGATGCTGTCGGGGGTGCGAAGGAGAAGGGCGGTACTTACGTGGTAGGCCCTGAGCACCGAAGGCTCCAGGCGGCAGCGGAGGCGCACCGGGCATACCGGGCAAGGGCGGCATGCCTGGCAGAGGGGGCATGCCAGGGAAGGGCGGGGGCATGCCGGCCGGGAAGGCGGGAGCACCGGGGAAGGCGGCGCCACCGTGTCCGGGCTGGTTCTGGGGGAGCATGGGGTTGGCGTGGGCCTGGCCCTCGGCGGCGTAGGACGAGGTGATGCTGTCGATGACGGACTGGGCCTTCTCGTGGCCAATCTGCTGGTAGTAGTCGACGACGTTGCGCAGGTGGTTTCGACCGCTGTTGTGGGCCTTGCGGACCGACATGGAGTCGTGCGTCAGGTAGACATCGCAGTAGTCGCAGAAGACTGTCGGCGCGGTTAGCTATGGGCGAGGGAAGAGATGGAGAGAGTGGTGGCGAGGGGACTGACATTTGGGCATCTTGGCGGACGTAAGCGGGGAGACCTGAACGTGCGCGGTGTTTTGTAGATAGTCGCTGTCGGAGCCTGCGCCTTGTCGTGTGCGTGCTGGACGGACGGAGAGCTCGAGGGAGATGGTCGTCGGAGGTGGTCTCGAAGAATGGCTCGGAACAAAGCGCGACGAGGCTCGAAAAGGCAGACAGGCAAGGTGACGGGCCTGAGAGGCTTGAGGCTCAATCGGGGTACCCGCCGGCTGAAAGAGCCCCACATATTGAATTTAGCGTTTCCATGCAGTGGCCAGGGGAGCACTCGCCCAGCTGGCCTGGGCCGCTAGAGTCCCTGAAGCTCAGCTCTGGTCCCCCCCAGATCTGTCTGTACCTTGGTGGCCAGCAGGCTGCTTAACTGCATCTTGCACCCAGATGTTCTGTATATCCGTACAGGTCGTCGTGAGATGTAAGAAGGGGCCAGGACTGTTTTGTAAAGATTCGTCTATTCGTTCACGTACCATTGTACCTAGATACTGATGGATAGGTGAGGTTCAGGTTGCCAGTAACTCGGAGCAGCAGACAGCGTCGCTGCTCAAAACTGACATGCTGCCCATTGGCCACGGCCACAGCTCCTCCGCTTAGTTGCATATCCTTCAAGCTGGCCAAGTGAGCCAAGTCGCCCTACCCCTGTTGGATTTTGTGGAAGACACGTCGAACTGTCCGTCTGCCCATCCATCCAAAAGTCCAGCCCAGCAGCCGCAGCGCAGCACGAGCTTGCAACCAGATCCCCGACTTCTCAGCCTCCCGTCTCCCTTCTCGTCGATCTTCGAGCGTCCATGTTCTGAGCCTGCCACCTTCGGAGCATCGCCCTACCAATTGCACCATCATGGCCGTCGCGGGGACATTGCTGCAGCGCCTCTGCGCCCTGCTGCTCTTCATCGCCGCCACCTCCGCCCTCAAGTTCGACCTCGAAGCAAAGCACGGCAGGAATGAGAGATGCATACGGAACTTTGTCGCCAAGGACACCCTCGTCGTTGTGACTGCCACCTCGGACGGCCACAAGGGCGACGGCATGGTTGTCAACATCCACGTGCGTCAGGACCCTTCCTCCCCCGTACTTCCTCTCCGTACACCCAGCACGCTAGCTAACTGAGCCCACTCCCGCCCTGCAGATCAAGGATGCCGTAGGAAACGAGTATGGCCGCGCCAAGGACGTTGTCGGCGAGTCGCGACAGGTCTTCACCTCGCACGCCGACGCTGCCTTCGATGTGTGCTTCGAGAACCAGCTCACTGGCAGTACGTTACGTTCCCTGCCCACTGTCAACGGGGTCAACGGGGACACCTGTCTACCTTGAGTCGCACCAACTGACCCCCTCCGTTCTCTAGGACCCAACAACCCCAACCGCCACATCGAGCTCGACATTGACATCGGCGCCGACGCCAAGGACTGGTCCGCCATCCAGGCCACCGAGAAGCTCAAGCCCATCGAGGCCGAGCTGCGCCGCATCGAGGAGACCATCTCCGAGATCGTCACCGAGATGGACTACCTCCGCTCGCGCGAACAGAAGCTGAGAGACACCAACGAGAGCACAAACACCAGAGTCAAGTGGTTCGGCGTCGGCACCACCATGCTGCTGATCGGTCTGTGGGGGTGGCAGATCATGTACCTGCGCGCCTACTTCCGATCCAAGCACCTCATCTAGAGGGCGTCTTTCGAACTTGGCGCAAAGGAAACTGGTATCTGCTCAGATAGAGAGCATGGCGTTTGGCCTGTTTGGCCGTCCGACCGATGCACAGGCCGCTGGACCCCGAGCTGGGTGATTCGGCATGCCAGCATGGCCGTGCATGTGCATGTACATCAACGATTCCATGCTGTGTAGCATATGATGGTGTCTGTATAGGCGTCTTATGGCGGGATGGAATGGAGTTAAGAAGAGAAATAAAATGGCTTCATGACTGACAAACCTCGTTCTTGTTATCGCATGCAATGTTTATGAGAGCGCATGCTATTGATCTTGACTTGACACCCATGCACTGGCAAGGCTACTACCGATATGAGCTCACTCCTTGGGTGGCTGTGATTGCTTTCATTCTGTATGAATTAGCTCTTGATCGCAGAAACAGCTATACGTGAGGACTTCTGTATTCCTACTGAATGCACACGCGGACTGTTGTACCCCTGAACTCCGTCGCTGGCCGACGTGCCGGGCCAGACCGGGCCAGGGCCGTCCGGGGATCCACGGCCTCGGCAACCCTCAAATCGGAGCAGAGCTAAGAAATTCTTCTACGTCAACGATCCAACAACCATCCAAGGAGACCGGACCTCTTGATTGAGAACTCTCTCTCCGCCCATATCGCAAACGCACAGCCACCGTCTGAAGGCTCTTGTCACGCACGCACGCACACCAGCCCCCCGAACCTACCATGGCAGCATTACGAGCTGTGTTACGGCGCGCCGCGCTCCCCAGAGCGACAGCTATACAGGTCCGTCCATTCTCGGCGGCTGCCCTCCTGCGCGCCCGCGTGAGCAATGCGCCGCCTCTCGACCCTCTGCCCCAGGGCGAGAGGGGCGTCGGCGAGCTCGAGGGCGCCGAGTTCAAGATCGAGCCCATGCGACGGGTTGGCGAGGACGAGAAGACGATGCGCGCACGGCTGGTGTGTAAGTCATTCATTCCCCATAAGCCAAAAACGTTCATCTTTACTGTATTCTTGTATTCCACCCGGACAAGGAGAACAGTGTGCTGACCAAGGCCCCTTTCCAACAGACCAGTCCCGTAAGCGCGGAACCCTCGAGTCCGACCTCCTGCTGTCCACCTTTGCCGACAAGTACCTGCCGCAGATGAGCAAGGAGCAGATGGCGCAGTACGACCTGTTCCTCGACGAGAACGATTGGGATATCTACTACTGGGCAACGCAGGAGACGCCCTCGCCCGACGCGGCAGCCTCGGAATCGTCGACGCCCGCCCCCCAGAGCAGCAGCAGCAGCACAGCCGGCACCTGGCAGCCGACATCGCCCTTCGCGAGCCCGAAGGAGGGGGCTGCCGCCGGAAACGCGAACCCCGTGGCCGCAGCCGCCGCCTCGTCCGAGGAGCCCTACCGCAAGCCCGGCGAGGGCGAGTGGGCCCAGACCGTCGGCACCTTCAAGCCGGCGTACCGCCCCGTGCCGGCGCGCTGGCGCGACAGCGAGGTCCTGCGCCTGCTGCGCGAGCACGTCAAGCGCCGCAGCAAGGGCGGTGAGGAGGGCGGCGGCATGGGCTTCATGCCGAACCTGCGGACTGGAGAGTAGAGCAGCCGGTGTGTGAGCCAGTGAGTGTGTGACTCGGTGGGTGGGACGAATGATGACCGTCGAGACTGGCCAAGTCTTCTGGATTGAAGAGGCGGTGTAAGAGTATGATGTTGGGCGCAAGGGATCTCTTGGAATACTTCAGGGGGTTGAAAAGGAGGTCAAGGTCATGGCGACTCCCGTGAAGTAGACTACAAGGTGACGTTCAGCATTGTGGCTGGCGTGGTAAGATAGAGGATGCTTTTAGGTCAGTCCGTGTACAAAAGCCATCGTAAACATGATCAGATCAATACATCAACATTTCGCAAGGCGTCCATTTTTCTCACCCCGTATCAGGCGAGTTTATGAGTCTAGCTACCCAGAGCAGATACCTCTCGGGTCATAAATACGATGTTGTTCTTGATGGAGCTAGATCATTTCAAAGACATGAAGCTATGCTCCAAAGCCCCGTGACATTCACCCCTAAATTCACCCAGTTGTTCATGGGATGATCTATTCAGCATTAGCCTTCTTTTCCCAGCTGTAAAAATGCATCTAATCTAGATTCAATTAGACTGGTGTAACCATAAGATAGTAGACTATGCTACCATCTGCGCCAAGATCTGCTGCTTATGCACCCCAGACTGCAGGAATAAGCTTATATACCCCCTTTCGTCGTCTTTACCACCCAGCGCTCGTCCTCAAGCTAGCTGAAACCCGGGTCTAGACTGCCTTTGTCATCCATGGCAGCCACAACACCAACCGCCCTTGGGGGCGACGAGATTCATGCCGATGTCTTGATATGCTACTGCTGGTTTGGAGTAGATTGTTGCCCGCCATGTCACTGCGGAGCTTCGATTTGAGGAACCTCAGCGCTCACGCTGTGCAGGTGGCTCTATAATGCCCGGCGAAGATTCAACAAGTTTTTCTTGGCTTGAAGGTCATAGGTCAGGGTACTCCATTGGCGTGGGATAGTGCAAGCTGAAGACCTCCTTTTGAGTCTTAGTGAATATCTGTATACAACTCCATATCACACCTAAGAAGATCCAGGACTTGTCTCTTCAAGACGGGCACAAAATGCAGGGGCAACGTAGAGACAAAATAGGCTATATAAGGAGCTTGAATCTCCTTCAAAGACCGGTTTCTCCTCTTCGTCAGAAGAATCAATCAAGCCTTCGTTTAATAAGCTCAACCAAGATCAGACACTTCAAACCCGGCCCAAACCTCTTTCAAGATGTTCTCCAAGTCAATTCTTAACGCCCTCCTCCTCGCCCTCCCGGCCCTGGCGTCCGCTGTCGCATTGCCGGCCCAGCTGAAGGTGCCCGAGATCAGCAAGCGCATCGATGCCTGCTCCAACTACCATCCCATGGTACGTCTTGAGACTTATGGCCCCGTCTCCCCCTTCCATTTCTGGGGGTAAACATCGCGCAGAAAGCTGACTCCGCCTCGTGACTTGCACCTTTCAGACCCTCGGCCGTCTCGTGCTGCACAACAGCGCTCCGATCGCAGCATACGTCCGCTGGAGCTATACTGACACGTCGACCTGGGCCGTGCTCCCCGGCGGCGACGTGCTGGCCGGCGCCGAGCACACCTACACGCGCAACGGCGACCTCAGCGTCATCCAGCGCAACCGCCAGTTTTATCTGCAGGTTTGCGACGACACCAACGTCATCGGCTATGACTGTGTGAATGTCGAGGGTTACTTTGTGAGTTTCTATTCTTACACTCTTTTGGGAAATAACGCCCTAGTTTGCCTTGCAGTGTATAGTGAGAAATGGCGGGCAACATTGCATCTCGGTTCAGAAAACAACCAAGTACTGACTCCATACCATTACTGACGCATCGAATTGTTAGAACATCCCCGCCAACCCCAATCCCTCTTGGGAGGCCAAGATCACAGTCGAGGACGAAGGGCTCATCTCCTTCGATCCCGTCTGCGACGTCACCGGACCTGTTTAAGATGCGCATGACCTGATTATTGGTTCTGCCGGCTCATGAGGGGAGGGAAAATTAAAGCAGTGGTTGCTCAAGGAAAGAAGACGCGAGTTTCTTTGTTCTACATTCTGTTATCAGGGCCTTTGTCTGGTTTGTCTTTCACTTCACAAAGCTCTGGCACCTAGCACAACGATGGAAGTTCTCTGTGTAGTGGCCATCGCCCTTAGTCTTTCGTTATGTTGTGAGTTGCTGGTTTTCTGTTATCAGATACATCACTTTTCTATCAAGTTGTTTGCGCTACGTGCTAGATGAAATGTGAAGTTGACCTTCGAAGCCAAAACTACTGTAGTACCGCAGTAGTAAGGCAAAATGATAGTATGTGGTATCGCTTCCTAATTTTAACCCTGCAAATATAACAAATTGCGTTCTAGGCACACGGTAAAGTATTTCAGTACTGTGGGCTTTGCGACTGGATAAAGCCAATGATATCCTGTTCCCAGTTGTCACTCTAGCTGGAAAGCCATGCCAACTGAACATTGCCATTGTCTGGACAAGTCCTCTGATGTCACCGAAGCCGACCAAGTGAATGTTTACAAGTTCTTATCGGTTTGTTCTGTCGCAGCACTACTTGAGCAGATAGCATCCGCATGCCTTGGGAACAACCAAGACTGCAATGGAATGCCTGATAACACTTACAATGCAAACAAGACTCTGCTTCTTTTCCGACTCTCCAGAGAACAAAGGAGGCGACTGATACTTCAAGCGACGGACCGCTGTAACAGCCTGTATGCTCGAAATTATGTTGTCCAATACTACTGATCTAACAAACCCATGGTTTAGAAAGAAGACATTTGACTTCTCTGTCCAACAAGAAGCTTGTTCATGACATGTTGTTCAAGTCCCGTAGTATATAAAGACTTGGGCTGCTTCCGGAGAAAAATAAAACCCCCCCAAAAAACTCTTGGTACTCCCGCTACAAACAGAACATCCATTACATACAGGTACACAAGCACTCTCCAAATAGCACTCCGAATACTCCATCAATTCCTCCCTTTCACCATGAACGAACTATGTAAGATGGTTCTTCTCGGCTTTTTTGGGATCATCGGCCTCGTTTTGGACTGGCACCTGGCCCGTTGGCTTGCCCAACCCTTTCGCCGGCGCTTTTCCGTATATTTCTTAATGGATTGGCGGCCCAGAGGCGCCTAGGTAGTGGTAATATGATCACGACTCTCCAAATGGAGATCCGTGGTTCTGTGAGAGACGACGTGTTTCTCGAGGAAAGTTCTGATAAGTACCTATGTAGGTTCCGTCACGGTTACGTGACTTCACTTTTGGCATATGGTCCGCTACAGTAGTATTTCAGTGGTTCAATGTTTCCCAGCGCTGTGGAGGAACCTTTCCCTCCCAGCGCAACAGTATCGCATGTTTCGCCCTTGTTTCTCTCCTTGTGAAAAAAAAGACATAGCGTCAGCAAAATAACTAATAAATAAGCCACGCCACCAACAAAGACCATTCTTCAAACAGTATTGCGTGACAAAGCTTCTTTTTTTGTGCGGCTGGCGATCCTAGGCGTAGATGCTGGCGGTTTAAATGCAAATGCGGACCAGTAATTGACGTGAATGCGCAGGGGAGTAGAAGGAAGGCGGGGAAATGAGGACCAGCGGGCCAGCTCTCTCTTCAGGAAATCATAGTCCAGAACCGCCAGCTGATAGCTGCAAGTTACTATAAAAAGGTAAGTACATTCCACACTAATATGGATCCTTGTCGGCCACCTGTTGTACCTACGGTACCCCGTCCAAAGGTCTGTGAACAACCCTTGTTTTTTCGAGCTTCTCGTCCACTTGTTATGGGTCCAATGTCTTCCACCTTCGCGCACTTAGGCTGTGACTGCCTCACATACGTATGGTTCTCGAGCTTCTCTCCCTTGTTATATCGATCGCCTGTGAACCAACGTCAGCTTGTGCAGATTCAAAGACTCCTACCAAGCTTGCCTGGCTGAGCAACCACCGAGCACCGTAGATAAAGCCATGCGCCTTATCAACGCGGAAACATTTGCGAGTTCAGTGGCGACTGCCATGAGAAGTACGCCATCCTATCTCATACATGGGGAGAAGAAGAATGCAGTCTTCAGGATATGTCTAAGCCCGATGTCCGCTACCGTAAGGGATATGAGAAAATCGTCTTGTCCTGCCGACAGGCTTGTCGGGACGGAGTTGCTTGGATCTGGGTAGATACGTGGGTTCTCTAAGTTGACGGCAGCTGGCGGCACCTTATTAAGTTATCTAGGTGTTGTATTGACAAGACAAGTACGGCAGAACTGTCAGAGGCCATCAACTCCATGTTCCGCTGGTACAGGCAGTCCTACATCTGCTACGCATACCTCGCCGATGTGCATCATCTTGACCAGCTCGAAGGCAGCCGGTGGTTCACTCGAGGCTGGACGTTACAAGAGCTAATTGCGCCTCTAAATGTTCGTTTCTACTCGTCGGATTGGAACGAATTGGGCTCTAAGAAGGACCAGGACCTCCGTAGTCGCTTGGGTATTATCACCAACATTGAGTCTCACGTTTTGGAGACAGGTACGTTAAGTCATGTTTGCGTCGCCAGGCGAATGTCATGGGCATCCAAACGAGAGACAACAAGACTAGAGGATCAAGCATACTCACTTATGGGTATATTTGACGTCAACATGCCGCTTATCTACGGCGAGGGCGCCAAAGCGTTTCGACGACTTCAGGAGGAAATCATCAAGAATTCTGACGACCAATCTTTGTTCGCTTGGGGTATACCATCTCCGTTGGGTGACGTTGGCCAGTTTTCCAGATCGCCAAAAGCGTCCATACCCCCAACGCATGGCTTGCTGGCGGACTCGCCCGGAGATTTCGCCAATAGCCATCAAGTCTTGAGAGTGCCATTCGCTTATAGGAACGCGCCTTTGGTCGAGGTCAGAAATGGAGTACGATTCGAGGCACCTGTCTTTGAAAAGGGGTCAGATCGGTTCGTCGTACTTGCCTGCGCAATCCGTGGCGCGAAAACAGCCCTGATTGGTATTCCCTTCCGCGACTGGAATCCGGCGTACAGCGCTCGCCATGACACTGCCGTGCTCATCTCCTCCCGACAGTCACTACAGAGCACCGAAAATACCGTTTTTCACTTCAAGGAGAAGGCCCAAGAGGAGCTTCTTCCATTGAACACCTTACAAATCCTGCGTCTACCTGATTCCCGAGACCATAATGATCCATTTTTCCTCGACGAAATATACTGTCTCCGAGACTGCACGTATTTTCGAGAGCAGCACTCAATATCATTCTCGGTGGGTTGGAGCGGTCCGATAGCTGCGCTTTTCTTCTCGCCGAATCCACGGTACCAGGACGACGTAGGGAAAGGCAAGAAAGAGGCGGCTCCTGAACGCATCCACGAACGTTGCTTGTTTATCTCTTTCTCCGTTGTACTCGGAAGGGACACCGAGCCCTGGGCTGCATTCGTGCCTTTGATGCGAGAAGACCACGCCGAGGAGGATTCCGCCAGATTTGCTCTGCAGGACGCAGAGAACGTGGAACGCTGCATGACCAAGAGCCAGCTCAAATCTCATTTGTACCAGGGTGGCGAAGGGTTGTCCTTTCTCAGGAGAGGCGAGGGCATGACGCAACGCAGTCTCCAACTCTGGAAAGCACGAAATACCCAGCGGCACAACCGATACATGAGGGCCGTGCTGCATGTGCAGTTGCACGAGGGGTCGGCCAACTTCTTTGAGAGGTGTATTTTTGCCTCCATTGGCCTCACGACCCTCGGGAACTGGGATGCAGACGTCGCATTCGGAACGAAGTCCGGGAGCCTCTGGAAGGAGACGGTGCCAGACTGGCGGTTTCTGGATACCACATCGTGGTTCACTGAAACATCTCACCCGTACCCTCGATCAATGTTGGCCATTCCGCAAGATGGAACTCAAGGTAGAAGCTAGAGGCAACAAAGATTCCTGTAGTGCATTTGGACAAATAGAACATCATATACGCTTGAAACGCAAAGCAAGTGTCGTGGAATGTAAACAAATTCCTTGATACAACTGGCACGCGAAGTTTTGCCCAAATACCAAGTTGCGATGTACGGCGAAAGGTGTTGTAGTTTCAAGTACGCGTTTTACCCTTGTGAACACTATAGGAGTAACATGCGGCGTTTCTAGACTCCAGAAGAAAAAAAAGGAGTCGGGAAAGCAAAGGAAAAGCAAAGAAAAAGGTTCAACAGTTGCGACAATACTTTGACGTAGGTCTTCGTTGGTAGCTAGAGTGGCCACCGAGTGTCGTTCCTGGCGTTTGCTATTTGACAAAAGGCTATAGAACGGGCCAACGTGGAAGAAGTTCGTTGTTCGAAAGCCTGCTTGCTCACGATGCACTTATGTCTTCATCTCTCACTGTTTCATCCTTTAAATTTCTAGTAGAGCAGTGATCAAAACCGCGGGCCTGGATAGATCTTTTTCGACGTTTAACGAACACTTGAGAGGCCGGAAGTGTAGAAGAAAATGTCGACTAGGGATGTAGTCATTGGTTATCCGTTGTATTGTGTCGATTATGGACTGAGTGGTACCCCCATCCGCGAATCAAAACCGATCGTATAGCGCACGCCATGTTACAGTACTGCCAGGCTTATCTCTTCCAGCGATTTATGATGCACATGGAAAGCATGGGTTCGCTTTCCTTACTATAACGAGAATGGCAAGATTGACGTCGGCTGTCGGCATGAAAGTAATGAGTGATTTACAACCTAGCCACCAACAATACCGACGTCACGATAGGAAAAAAGAAGAAGAGAAAAAACCGCATCTGCCAATGCGGTCTAACACTATCGGTAGCAAGGATTATGACTAGTATTGCTGACGACGAGCAATTGCGTTGTAGAACCTGATTGCTAAGATTAGACCCCACACAATACCGGTAATCAATTGCCCTTGTCACCTTGTCATCCACGGGGAAGTGATGGGTCTGCCGGGTTCGGTATGGCAATTGGAATAGATGGTACGGGAAGCCCCGGTCGCCGCCTTGGGGAAAATGGTACAAGTAGTAGACGACATGCATCTCTTGCACCGGCATCTCTATCCCGGTAACTCGCGGTAACACAGCGAAGTAGCAGTCTACTCCCGTCTCTAGCTCCCCTGAACACCCGGCGCCCAAACCCAATACCAACCCGGCAAGATGAAGTTCTCGAGCACGTTGCAGACTACGGTCGTCTGGCTTGTGACCGGGAGCATCTCACACGTCCATGCGACCCCGGCGACCCTCCGCGCCCGCAACTGCACGACCCCGAGCAACACCACGGCGCCGGTGCTGCTCCGTCACTGGCCACCGGCTGCCGCCGCAGCACTTGGCGCCATGATCACTCGGAACGCACACCAGGGGAACTATGCCGTGTTCGATATGGACAACACCTCGTACCGGTACGACCTGGAGGAGTCGCTGATCCCGTACCTGGAGAGTCTAGGCGTGCTTACACGCGATATGCTCGATCCGTCTCTGCGCCTGATCCCCTTCAAGGACACGGCTAACTACACTGAGTCGCTGTACAGCTACTATTTGCGGCTCTGCGACATGGATGACCTTCTGTGCTACCCCTGGGCCGCGCAGGTGTGGAGCGGCTTGACGCTGCGCGAGCTCAAGGGCCACGTCGATGATCTCATGGCGCTCAACACAACCATCCCGGTGCACTACTGGAGCGGCGACGCCGTCGTCGACGACAGTGTTTCGCCGCCGCGCGTATTCCGTGCCCAAGCTGAACTGTACAACGTCCTCATGGCCCATGGCATCGCCGTCTACGTTGTGTCGGCCGCTTCCGAGGAGCTGGTGCGCTTCGTGGCCAGCGACCCGCGCTACGGGTACAACGTGCCGCCGCAAAATGTGCTGGGCGTCAGCTCTTTCCTGCGCAACTCGACGGACGGGTCCTTAACCACAGCGCGCCGGCAGGTCGCCGATGGCACCTACGACCCGGACCGCAATCTCGACCTCGTCTTCGGGCCATACCTCAATACGCCCGCCACCTGGTTCGCTGGCAAGTGGGCTGCTATCCTCACCTACATTGACGAGTGGAAGCGCCCCGTCCTCGCCGCCGGTGATACTCCTGGCAGCGACACCTACATGCTGTTCCACGGCGTCGACGTCGCCAAGGGCGGTATTCACCTCTGGGTTAACCGCAAAGACGCATACTTTGACGAGCTCCAGGACATGATTGCCCAAGCCGCTCGCGGACAGGCTGAGAACGGCCGCGAGGTTACGGCCGACAAGAACTGGGTCGTTGTAAAGCCTGCGGATATTCTGTAACGTTTTGGGATAATACAATGACGGGATGGGGAGAAAAACAGGTAAGAGAACGGAGTACCGCAAAGCTAGCCTGAAAACAGAGAATATTATAAACCATAATCAACATGTAATTATACTATTGACCTAGTGTAACATTTCTTCGCTTCTAACGTACAGGCATGCAACTCACAGCCACGAGCTCAGCTGTTGCCCTTTTCTGTACTACAAGTGGCAAGACAGATGCCGCAGTACGAGCTCAAACTTGGCCTGTACTTGCAAAATGACAAGTGCTTATACAATGCTTTGATCCCAACCTGCCTGCGTCATTTCGCCAATTTCTCGAGTCCACTACCCACGACAGCTCCAGCATCCTACATTCCATTAGTATTCACAGTATCAGGGAGAATTACAAGCTCACCATGGCTGACTGCGGTACTGCCGTGGATGTAGTGCTCAATTGAACCCTGTCAGCATAACTGCCGAACCAAAATCGGCCGGAAGTTCGTTTCGTGATCTCATCTGCGACTGCTAGAGCATATTCCATAGTGTCCATTCTGGGCATGCCACCATTGCCCTGTGCCCTGCTAGCAATCGCATATTCAATCTCCTTATAAAGCGACTGAGCCGAAAATGCAAAATCCTCAATATATGTCTGCCCCAAGGATTTCACTCCTCCTGTGACAACTTTGAGCACGCTGACCCCGAAGGGAGCCAGCTCGAGTCGGAGAGTGTCAGCCACAATCTCGATTGACTTCTTAGATGCCGCATAAGTTCCTGTGATTTACCTATTAGCTCCTAAGGAGGGCCTCTAGAATATGAAGAGGCAACTTGACGAGTGCACTTACCCATAAATGGGATATTCAGGTATCCACGTAGACGTGATATACGCGGCCATACCTCCGGCTTTGATGAGCAAAGGTGCAAAAGCTTGAGTGAGAGCGATTGGCCCCTATAGGTTTATGTCAAAGAGCTCTTTGACCTGATCCAGATTTTCGTCTAAAATAGGTATGAAATGATTACGTCCCGCATTGCTAATGAAGCAGTTCAAAGTCCCACCAGTCTGCTGAGAGACTGTTTCGACAACCACCTTCATGTGGTCTGACTTGACAACATCAAGGGTAAGCAACGTGACGTTGGACAGACAATTGAGCTTAGACATCTTGGAAACATCGCGTGCCGTAGCAAACACGTGGAACCCGCGTTGTTGGAAGATAAGTGCTAATGCTGACCCGATGCCGCCATCGCTGCATCCTGTGATGAGAACAGTCTGGGTGGAGCTCATGATGATAGGAGATAGTCAAATTTGTGGTACAGAGAATTTGGGTTCCAGAGGGGCGGAGGGATAAAGATGCTAGCACTTGTGAGGGGGGTCCATAACACCAAAGCGCTGCAAGGGATCGGTCCAGGTGTATGGCTCGCCTGCTGGAAATGATCTGATGTACATGTGGAAGTGTAGCGTTACTAAGTCAGATTGCAGATCACCAGAATGAGCAAGGGCTCTTCCTCAAGCAAGGCATCGTCTACGTGGTACTACTTCAGGTGATTGTACAATATCATGTGATGAACAAACTGGGCATCTCGGATAGCTGCATTCCCATTGTTGACATGATACACATTGGCTCAGCAATCACTCGCATCAAGAACGGGTCTAAGGTCGGCCACCTGACGGCTCGTGGATTGTGACATCTAAACAAGAAATTCCTCCTTTAGCCAATGCTTCATCACTACATGTCCCTCTGAAAAAGACGGCTTTTCGGTCCTAACAATGATCGCCGCGTGGCTATGTCGGTGCTTATGAATCCACACGGGATACTTGCGCCAGCCAAGTTTGTCTAGGGAGCGGATCATGTCGAACTGTTCAGGCGCCAGCGCCAGTGTCGGCCACTGGGGATGCGATTGCCGGCGCTCCAAGGTCAAGGTGCGTCGTTCACGCTCGTCCAGTTCGGCATCGTCGTCATCGTCCGAAGGTGCCAGAAACTCCTGGTGCTGCGAACTGTTTATATTCTCGTAGACGTCCTCAACAGCCTCGCGCAACTCCTTGATCATAATGGGCACGCGGTAATTCTCGACTTGAATCCCGGCAAGGCCTTTTTCGTGTAATTTGATTCGACGAGAACTAAAGAAGTTTTGGAATACGGAATTGACGAGGAAACCGACAATGCCGACGGGAATAAAAACCACCAGAAACAAAGCTATTGGCGCATTCCTTATGTACCACAAGCTGGATTCCTTGACTGATGCAAAGGTAGCAGGGCTCATTTTGGGTGTCCGCGGTGAAATGGGGTTTTGGGGATCGAGAATCACGTCTTCGTAACCCTCGACATAATTGGCCTTGATCCGGTCCATGTTGGTGTAAGGGTCCGCCTTGGCGATGCCAGTCGTGTAGTAGACCGCACTTCTGTCGTTAACTATATTGGTGTAGAGAGTTCGGCGCTTAAACCTGGCCAATGAAGACATGAAAATCGAGTTTGGGTCTGCCAGAATTGCAAGTAGTGGCTTCCCGGTTCCCCTGAAGTCGTCGATGGTGAAGAGTTGGCGGCCAGACATGGAGAGAGTTCTGGCACCCAAGACATTCCAAACGTGGTTATGCCATCCTCGTAAGGGCGACCGCACACCTAGATGTGGCGAAGCAAAAGTGGTGAAGTTCTGGGTCGTCAGTGTGAGCGTCGAACGGCCGCAGGCTACTGCAGTAAACATACCATAGGCTCAACTTCATCCAGCACTCCTTTCGCGCCAAGCAACCCGACCGCATAGCGAGCAACCAGCCCGCCGAGGGAGTATCCCACCACGCTCAGCTTTGTGATTTTGCCCCCTTTGCGCTTGATGGCCTCGAGTTCTTCCTCGATCTCCAGACACACGCGCTCGCCGCCCCGCTCGATTCCATCGTAGGTGAAACTGCCAGTGTTGCGCTTTGCGACGAGCAGATAGAGCTTATCGGCTGGATGTTCGGCTCGTAGGGCTTTTGCGACGGACTTCATGTGGCTGGGGTTGCCCCATAACTGCGAATAAAAGTCTGGAGTCAGTCAAGACGTCTGTCAGTACTTTGGGGAAGTTGAGTGGAAGTTGCGCAGCCCGTACCCCATGGACGAGGACACAGAGGTGGTCCGCCTCGGGACCTCCGCCGTTATATTCCATAACTTCTTGGTCGCTCAGGTAGCCGAGACAGGTCAATAGAAGCGGTAAAAGTGGCAGCAAGGTGACAACAGATAACGAGGCGTTTGAAGAGAGCCTGTATGACCCAGGGGTAGTTCTTCTAACTTGTCTGGCATACGACAGACCAAGGCGCGCGCCACGAGTCCTTAAATCGCATTCGCATAAAACCGCCCCCGGACGGAATTAGGCACAGTTCGGGGCCCGGAGGTTTGGGAGGGCCGCTACTAGCTGCAGCAACTCTATTTCTGGAGCGCTGTAAGGCAGGGTTTCGGGAGTGCTGACGACACCCTGCAGCCTGTTGAAGAATAAGTTACCAGTACCGTAATAGATGCGACTACCCATGTAGAGAATTGTGTCCCTGGAGCTAGAGAGGATGACTTCCATTGATTATCGCTATCTTGCCCTTCCCTTCCGCTTATATATGTACCATAGGCATCATTCAGGGGAGAAGATAAGAAAGTCCCACTTGGCTTTGTCCTGATAACCTTAGCCACCAAGGTCCAGTACTCAACTTAGATACGTAGACGTGCAAGACGAAGCTCTTCCGGCCACCTACGCCCGAAAGGATGTAACTTATGCCTCAGCGACGCTGTTGACGTGAATCGCTTGAGGCTAGAAGGTCTTGATCTACCTTATTCTGCGACATATTGTGTTAGTTAGCCTGTACCTAGGTAATCTGACTGAGTCGTCAACACTCATCCTCCACTTCAACACGCAATGGTCGCTGCTGATGCGGTCAGGTATTGCTCCCATTAGCTGACCTCGAGCTCAGCCGCATACTTGCGAGGATGGCTGGGGGCGCACAATATTCAGAGTAAGGCAACCGAATTAGCTGACCGATTGCCGACCCCAACGTCCAATTTTGCTGAGGCTTTGATCATCGGCATTCAAGGCGGTTGGTGCAATGCCTCACAGAAGTTATTATTGTTGACATAATTGCGTTGGTGACCTGTGGATTTACGCAAGCTAGTCCCCAGCCAAGGACAATTGCTGGGTGAGCACTGTGCCCAGACAGTATCTCTACCGTGCGGTCCAAGGCATCAGTGATCACTGGACTGTGCTTGCCGCCATCCGCTACAGACGCGTGCACGGTTGCAGCTAAAGCAAGTTGACACTCAACGTCAACGATCACCAGCAATTGCCATCTGGGAAAATTGCACCGTTTGCGCAATTTCAAGATGGTCATCTAAGCTCCCAGGACCGCGGACTCCTTCCTTGTTCACCATTAGATGCCCCGCAGTGTTTCCATTTTCACCGCATTCGCATCAGAGTCCTCCCTCACTACGGGGCGCTTTGAGCCGTGAGTATCAGGGTAAAACAACTACCCATGAACTTTTCTCTTTACACATTCGTAGCCGTTATCACCACATTCGTTCTCATCATGGCAGCATCTCTTGGCATTCTGAAGAGCTTGCCCTGCCCCGCGGGCAAGAACTGTACTGCTTTTCAGTGCCTCTTCAAGCACGACGGAGATGACGCAACTGCTCCAGTCTCGAGCACAGAAACCCCTGCGCTGGAGAAGAATATCACAGCCATTGAGGAACGTGACAGCCCACGGAAGCGGCTGAAATTGACACCTAACTCACCGGTCGCAAGTTCGACCACACCCGAGCAGTCAGGATCAAGCTCTGTCGGGTCACAGGCCCTACCACGGGACAAGACGCAAGGCAAAGCAGAAGGCACGGCGGCCAAGGCGTCTACCATGAAGCCTATCTCCCCTCCCACAGTCCAGAGAAAGACTACTGCTTCGGGCAGAGCAGCGTCCAGACTTGATGGTGCCTCACTGCCTGGAAAAGGAAAAGCCACTAGTTCTGCTTCATCGCAGAAGTCACCCAACGTAGCTGCCGCCGACAAAACGCCAAAGAAGCCGGAGACGCTCAATCCACGGCACCTGAAGAAGGCTCCTGCTAAACACGACATGCGCTACCAGTTGGTGAAGCTGCTTCATGCCCAATATGAGCGCCTCAACAATGAGCTCAAGAAGGTAGCCCATGATGACGAGACCAAGCTGATCATGTCTGAGCAAGAACTTATCGTTAAGGCTCTGGACGATGAGCAGGAAGTTGCCATCAAGAAACCAGCCATATATGGCAACGTGTTGAAAAACCGACTTTCGACATACAGGAAGTTATCCGTCGACCAATGGAAGATGGAAAGAGCCGCAGCTGTAAAAGAAGCCTCAAGCGAAACATCTCCATCCCAGGAGGCGCATAAGATTATTGAGACAGGATTGAGCGTAGAGCAAGAAGTCGACTTCCTTCATCGACTGTCCACTCCTCTTTCGGGCTTGGAGCGCTTTGGCTACATTTCAACGATACCCAAAGATGAAGACGTTGAAAAGGCAAAGAAAGCAGTCGAAGCCTCGGGAAACATCGAGGTCTGTGACAGATGTGGGCGCAGATTCACGGTGTTCCCTGGCCGGAGGGAATCTGATGGCGCATTGACATCTGGTGGATCATGTGTTCACCATCCTGGCAAAAGCTACTTCACCTATAAGGCTCCTGGTGATCCGACACCATCGTCCAAAAAATGGCGATGCTGTGACCAAACTATGGGCGACACAGAAGGTTGTGTCACTGGGAATAGTCACGTCTTTAAGACCACCGATCCTAACCGACTCGCTACTGTCCTCAATTTTGCGGAGACCCCTCTCAATCCCGATGTCCCAGAGGGTCGAGCTGTCGGCTTCGACTGCGAGATGGGGTACACCGTCTACGGCATGGAGCTAATTCGCCTGACTGCGGTCTCTTGGCCTAGTGGCGAAGAGCTGCTCGACATTCTTGTCTATCCTGTAGGCGAGTATATTGATCTCAACACCCGCTACTCCGGAGTGCGACCTGAGGACATGGCTGAAGCGGAACGGTGGAAGCCTGGCGATGACCCCCATCCCACTCTTCTTCCATCCGAGGATGCCTCGCAGCCCCCTCGACGAAAGCTCAAGATTGTTCCATCGCCCAGAGATGCGCGAGACCTCCTTTTCAGTCTCATCTCTCCGGATACGCCTCTTGTCGGCCATGGTCTGGAGAATGACCTCAACGCCATGCGTATCATTCACCCAGTCATTGTCGACACAATCTTACTGTTCCCACATAAGCGCGGCCTACCAGCTCGGAACAGTTTGAAGTGGCTGATGGAAAGCCTGCTGGATCGCAAGATCCAGATTGAATCCGATGACGAAAACCACATCAAAGGTCATGACAGCGCAGAGGATGCCAGGGCAGCTGGTGAACTTGTGAGATTGAAGGTCAGGGACGAGTGGAAGAACTTGCAAATGAAGGGATGGAACATGGGCCCCGATGGCTCACTCCAGCCTCCGGATGATTCGTGGACTGTGGTTGGTGGTAAGAAGACCAAGCGACTAGGTCAATAGATCAAGATCTCAAGATTGCCTGTGCTGTGCACTTCTAGGACAAGTTGCCCGTAATGACATCAGAAACTACATGGTTGATAGACAGCAATGGCCCGCACCAATGGTACTACTGTAAGAAGAACTCAGCGGAGCCCAGTACCCTCGAGGTTCATCGCCTACATTATAAGCGACTCCAAGTGAAGTAACCTCCAATATGTGCGTGGTGTATATACGTGCTGGTTATGATTAGACCAATAACTAGGTCACTACAGCGCGGAGCTGCCTATATTGAAATATGTGCCCAACCCTGCTCCATGTCTAAACCAGCCAGCCCTCCTGCCGCCGGAATGCGTCCTCCCATTTTTCTCCTTCCCCTCTCGTAAACTCCTTGGCGTCCTCGACATCCGCAGCACCAAAGTTGCCGTGCAGGTGTGGGCACTCCTCACCGTTCTCATACGTCACCTTATCCGCAAAGGTGAAGCGCAGCTTCAGGACCCAGAGGCTGCTGGCCGACTGGAAGAAGAGGCCGGCCGTTGTGGGGATCTGGAACACTGTGTGAGCGAGCGACTGCCCCAGGTTCGCCGTACGAGAGCTCGAGGGCCCCGAAACTTACCTGGCTCGCGATGCTGAGGTGCACAAAGCCGTCCGTCTTGTCCAGGTCCGACATGGGGTATTCATCGGGGATGGGCGACGGCGGCGCCGTGGGGATGATCTTGTAGACGTACGTGCGCTGCGAAGAGGGGGCCATGGTGAGGGATTTGCGTGAGTCGGCTCCGGGTGAGACAATTTCACAGGGCAATTTGAAATAAGAGATCAGGCAATGTAGTGTTGGCTGTTAGGTGCCTCTCGGTTTGACGATGTGGAATTGTGTGTGGTCTGTGATTCTCGCTGTCAGCTGCCAGAAGTCGGCAATTGATGTCGTGATTTTAGGCCGGCCGCGTCCAGTGTTTCCTATAGTCAAACCATGGACCATCCCCCAGTCCAGATATTAGACGATTCTACGAGTATATGGCTGGTGTGCATTGTAAATTGAACCGAATTGAAGACCAATTTACCGGTCTACTTTTACTGTGCACTCAGTCAAGTCCAGTCGTTCGGGTTAAGTGACAAGAATAAAGTTTGAGTCCCAAAGTGATTTGCCCGATGTCGACCACCAACGACCTCAGAGCTCCATATTTCACTGTACACTTGGAATGGAGTTCATGGAGTCGTAGGCTTGCAACACAAGCCGAGCATGTGGGTATGTCTATTGGTCTAATCAACCTCACTATCGGCCTTGCGCCTGATACCATATCGTACCGACACCGCTCATGCTCTTCCGATTTTGAAGGATAAGATCTGTTACCAACAGTCAGCTTTGCTCCAGAAACGCTTGTGGTGTATAGTTGAGAACTTACGTCATGCTTGCCTACTGACACAATATCATCCTCGGAGACTCTTGTGCCCCCAACACCTTCCACATATGCCAGCGGTGCATCGCCCATGATCTTCCTTCCGACCTCTCCTACTGTTGAGTTTCTCTTCACCAGAACGCAGTCTCTGAAGACCGAGCGAGTGTCTGAACCTGAACCAAACGTCGCGGTACTGCGGACCGGGAACACGGGGACCAAGCCCAAGACCTCGGCCGCCCGCGTGAGTATTTGAACAACACCGGTGGACCCGTACCGATATAATATCATGTCCTTGTACTCGTCGATGAGCTCCTGGTTTTTCTCATCTAGCTCCTTCAGCCCTCCTCCTTCAGGATCGCCGTCATCGATGAGATCTTGCCTCGTCCATACCGAGTCGCTGCCTTCTGTGTACTGGACATAGCCCTGCTTCGCCATCTTGCGCAGGAACAGCTCTGCCTTTGCGGAGCACGGCACTACCGGGCTGTCCTTGTACATCTTCGTAATCTTCATCAGATTGGTGTAGGCGTCGGCGTCATCGATCTTGTTCAGCGCGATGACGGTCGGGAACTTCTCGTCGGTGAAGGCGCTCACGACGCGGTCAACGGTCTCCTCACTCCATGCCTCCAGCGGCTCCTTGAGCGCGAGCTTATCCAGCGTGCGCGCCACGAGCGACGACGTGCTGCCGTAGCCGGAGAACTGGTTCTGTAGCGTGTCGACGGGCGAAGCCTTGATGGCCACATGCCGCCTCTTTATCGACCCCCACCGCTCGTAGAGGTTGCCCTTGATCCAGGCGACAATCTCGCCGCGCAGCCATGCAATATCCTGCGACGGGTCGTAGCCCCTGGTATTCTCTCCCTCGGCATTCGTCTTCCCGCTCGCGTCGACCACATGCATCAGCGCATCGGCATGTCTGAGGTCGTCCAGGAACTTGTTGCCGAGACCCTTGCCCTCGTGGGCTCCAGGCACGAGACCGGCAACATCAAGAAGCTCGATGGGCACGGAGCGGCGCCCGTCGATACAGCCGCCGTAGTTGGGCTTGCACTTGTCCTGGAGGTCGAAGCGCTTGCAGGCGCAGTCTATTTGCAGGTAGCCGATGGCCCTCTGGGGATCGATGGTCGTGAATCTATGGGGAGGAAGTACCCGTCAGCGCCGGAAACGTAACATGCGCGGGAGGGAGGGGGGGAGAGAGGGCGTACGGGTAGTTTCCTATAATTCGCACTCGAGAATCAGCGGGGGCTTCGGGACGCGCATGGGCTCGGGTTGAGGTGAGGACGCACCAACTTTGGAGGAGGCGTCGGTCAAGCTGTTGAGCGTGGTGCTCTTGCCGGCCGACGGCTTGCCTACAATGCCGATCAAGGGGTCGCGAGGCATCGTAGCTCCTGCGCTGGTGATTGTGGCTCAAGAGGGTCTAGGTCCGGTGTACATACACTTCACTGTATAAAGGTGTGTAACTGGACCACCGTCTACGAAGCCTTGTTGCAGCGCTGGATGGCACCGCGGGGCAGAGAATTTGGTGGTGGGGTTAAGGTGCTGCTGGATCGGCGCCGATCGCGCGGCTCTGTCCGCTACTATAAGTGCCTACGTAATACCTGATTGATGAGTTAAGCACCTGATTGGCAGCTAAGGCGTTGGGCACTACTTGCAATCATCACTTGCGATTTACTTGACATATCACGGTGACGATGATAAGGCTAGCATGATTGTATTGTATAAAAGCTTTCTCTCTGAGCTTGCAACCATAAAATCCACGGGTACAAGGCCAATGTGGCCAGAGCAGGAATTCGCGACAGTCCCAATATCCCAGCTCTGGACTATGGACTGAGCATTTGTGAAATGTCCGCGGGATAGGCTATCTGGTCAATAGTTGGATACAAAAGCTATTCTTTGTTGTGACTATCACTAGAAAAGGGAAGCGACCTGCACCTTCCCTCGTGGGTTCCTGATCTTCGTGGGAGCAGTCAAGGAACAGCCTTGAGCAACGAAAAGATTGAACCATTTAGAGCTGGGGGGCCCGGAGGAGCCAACAGTATCAGGCGTCGATAAAAGAAGCCTTCATTGCCGGGCCTTTGTTGTCGATCGCGTTTCGCATCTTGTTCACGCTGCTACATTCACCATATCATCACGCGTCTACTGTAGTCAGCGCAAAGCAAAAGGTGGTGCCACGACTCTATGCAAGTGACGACGAGCTGTATTTGACGGACAAATGGGGTCCGTGGCTGGGTGAGTGCTTCTCCCTCACTTCCGGCGGTGTAAACGAGATGATACATGCCCTACTCAAGCAACTTTGGCGTACGCTGATATGTGATATGGGTACTACGCATGGTATCGAGCACCGGGAGCATACTCAAGCTCTTTCCGGAATGTTCGCAAGCTCCAGATACCCTGCTTCCCACTTTACTTCCAAATCATTTGTCATTGACGATCGAGATGAGGGCATTTCTTACAGTTTACGACGAGTGCCTCATCACTTTTAGCTCTTTCAAGAGGGTTTCCCTGACCGCTCATCACCCGCCTCAGCCAGATGCGCCCTTAAGCACTCCCGGGTGATCCTGTTTGTATCCTTGTCAAAGCTCGAGTCCCTCATGTTATACGGCCCACAGGGTGAGGCGCTTACAGTCCAATCGGCGAACGTTACTCAGGGGGGTTCATGGGTGGTGAGTATTGAGCATGGAGGAATAAAGGACGAAATGCTCATTCTGGAGTGAGACACGATTGACTATGAGTTTTATGTAACAAAACCAAGGCCCTTATTTACATGTACAGAAACGAATACAATGTATCATGGCGATGTAAGTCCTACGCCACCTGTTATCCCTGGTCGACGATAGTTAATCCTCTTATGTTGTCTTCAGTATGAAACTTAATCTTGAATCCCGAACTCTGAAGACACGTGGTATATTGTCTGACTCGATGACATCTAAGACCCCTCTCCCTCACCGTACATACCAGCCGGAAGATGACTTCTTCACCCAATTGCGGATTGGTGCTAACGCCTCCGGTGACAAAACCATCCATGGGTTTTACGTAGAACGGCATCTCGATGCGGAGGGTGGCTAATATACTGGCTATACTGTCCGTGGAGGCTCTGGCGGCTAAGTGGCGGCAAGGAAACCATCTACGATAACACTGCCAGCTGTTCCATGTCAAAAACACCTACTATCTTGGCATCGATTAGAGCAGTTAGATTCGGGATGACTTTATAGGAAGCCTGTGCGCGATTTGAACGAGTCGAGTGTTGCATATTCATTGATTTGTTTTTTCAGGCATGTTATTCAAATCTATGGCAAGTCTGCGCCTCCCACTGTATGCGCAATCAAAGAAGATCAACGTAACTGAGCTCGAAGAGATGTTGTCGTTGAACGAATGATTTATACGTAGTTCAGGAACCTAGCTTGCCTAGGTGTACGTAGGTACCTCGGTACCTAACTTGGGTAGTTTAGCGGGCTGCTGCGACTGCCCCGCCGAAAAGTCCCCTAGCCTTGCGGTGGTTGAGGTCCAGTGCAACCTTGGAGAGATGTGAGCTTGGACATCGTGCGTCAGATCACGACAGCGACATGATACTGGAGTCAGCGAATCCATCCATGACAAGGCGTGGATACATATTGATCAAGGATATCGTCTCGAGGCTCAACTGATCCCACGATGCGCCGCGGTGAGTTTTCTCTGCCAGCTTTTCCCGCGTGGTGCTCTTTCAATGATGTCAGCTTCTTTGATGTCCACGCGGAAGAGCTTGATGGCAGAGGATTCGGCCTGGTCGCAGACAAGGACTTGGTGAACGACAAGGATAATGTCGAGATTCCGACTCTCCTCACTATCCCAAGAGACCTCGTCCTCTCGGCTGCTGCTGTGGAAGAATATGCCAAAGTTGATAAGAATTTCCGTGATTTGCTCGAAGCTGCGGGCCACCAAGTGTGTAGTCCAACCAAACACTGAACTATTCTTACTGACCGACAGTTTAGTCACACCGAGGGAATATCCTCTTGTTCCTGCTCATGCAGCTGGTGCTCTCCTCGCCAGACTATCAAGGGCACAAAGGCAGTCTCTCACCGTGGACCCAATATTTCAGTCTCTTGCCAGCGCAAGTGCCAGTACCAACAATGTGGACAGAAGCAGAACTCTCCTGCCTGCGAGGGACCTCACTTGAGGTACGTCGACTCATTGTCATGACTAATGGACTTCGTTCCATAGAATGACGTCTAACATTATAACAGGCTGCTGTCGCTGCAAAGCTGTCCGCGTTGACTCACGAATTCGACCACGTTTGTTCAAAATGCGATGATCTTCCCTTTTGGTACGACCTCCTCTACCAAGATGAACTCATCACTGTCCGTGACTGGGTTCTGCTCGATGCACTATATCGGTCCAGATCTCTGGAACTGCCACTGTCTGGGGAGTCAATGGTTCCATGTCTCGATCTTGCCAACCACTCTCAAAATGCTGTCGCATACTTCGAAGAGAATCAGAAAGACGAGGTCGGCCTTCTCCTGAGGAAGGGATCTGCGGTGAAATCTGGTGCTGAAATCACGATCGACTATGGTCAGAAGAAGTCTGCAGCCGAGATGGTGTTCAGCTACGGTTTCCTTGATCCGAACACACCCGCAGGGAGCTTTGTGCTGCCACTAGAGCCCATGGATGATGATCCTCTAGCTAAAGCTAAGCTACACATATTCGGCGAGTCACCAACTCTCAAGGTCGAGGATGCGGAAGACGGTGTGGCATGGAGTGCGCCGTTCGTGTACCTGATGTGCCTAAACGAAGAGGATGGCATCCAGTTCGGCTTGCTCCAGGAAAACGACGGGACTCGCCATCTGAGGCTGTACTGGCAAGAAGAAGATGTGACAGACAGATGTGCAGACTTCGAGACGCTTATTGGTGATCACGAACTTAGTCCGATATTCCACCTCCGGGCCATTACCGTTATAATGGAACGAATCTCACAACAAGCCGAGACCCTTGAATCGAATCCTGCGCAGCCGAACTTACCGGGCCTGGTACGCGCGGAGATACTCGGAACCGTGTCACAGTTGCGAGAAGCCGAACTAGACCTCATGCAAAGGACACTGCAGGCATTAGAGAGCAAGGTAAGAAGGTTTTCTCTCAACCCCAGTCTATGTCTCAGGGGCGCAAGGAGCTCGCTTCCAAAGTTAAATCGCTCGAGCTGCCACATCCGTTGTGCCTCGAGCTTTGTGGCTGACAGTTTCATGCAGCGGGATGCACTACTCAAAAATGATAGGGTGGTAGCATATCTCGGATCGATGGAAGCAGCCCAGAATGAGGGGTTGGCAGCACAGTCGTCCAATGGCGAAGATGACTTCAGCTAGGCTTGAGCCAATGAATCGGGAGCCTGTCCTTTAGTTAGTCCATCCCAGCCACGTGGTATGGTGCCTTAACTTACCCCAGGATTTCTCCAGACCATCAACAGTCCCCCGCGCTCGGCCGTAAAAGTGGCTTCTGTAGACTTCGAACCAATGTCATGAATGAATCGCGAGGGCTGCATTAGTACCATGTACGGGGTCATTATACACCAATAGCTGGTCAGAGGATAGGCTATCGAAAAGCAGCGAATGCACTGCGATAAACTTGAAAGAAACAGTGGCAAATTTGCGATGCTGACTTGACAATCCCGCCTATCGATGTAGACTGGGCTCCTTCTTTTGGCATCGCCGCAGGATGTAATCACAGTCAAGCTGCCGAATTCCCTCACTGCAGTTGAGAATCCAGCTACGATGATTAAGGAGGTATTATACAAAATATTGATGTTGCTGTTGCCGGTCCGAATTGCCAGATCCTACCAGTTTTCCACGTACACGGTACTATGACTGGCATTAGCCCTGTAAGCTAGTGATTGGCTGGTCCCTGCCTACGTCAATATAGAAGCATATTACTCCCCGAATGGGCCTTAAGCCATGAGACCAACTCGCTCATTTAACCAAAAGTATGGGAATCGAATTAGCCGGGGGCTTCACTGACTTTCGTGTCGATGATTGAAGACGGCGTGGCCGTTTGGTCTTCTCACAGCGTGATCACCGCAAAGACTCTTTTGAGTAGAATCAAGCTTTCCAGTCCGTGGATCATTTGCGGAATAGATAGATCAAGGCATTGGGCAGGGATTCTGACGGTGCCATTAGGGCCTCTTTCCTCGTGGCTCACTAGGCTAAATTTGAAGGTGGCCAAACGATGACTTGTTTCAGTTTGAGGGCAGACGCATACGTATCAATGACTCGAGATCAATACCAAAAACAGACCCGACAGATTGACACATTCCAGAAAAACGGTTGGAACAAGCTAAAACCGTCAGCCGCTTCGACAGCGTGGTTATCGGCTCCAATCCATCCACATTAATTCAGGGCCGGTGTTAATCTAAATAGGCTGCTTGAAAGAATGCCATGTGGCCATATAGTCTAGTTCTCTCCACACCTTAGCCGCTCGATCGATGTCAAGGTGGAATGACTGACTCGGACAGTACTTTGGTGGCAAGCCTCCTCCCAAGCTTTAACGTGGAGCAGCAGAGATAGTTATTAAGGCTGACCGTTGTTGATCTACATGCACGCCGCCCGAGTGGATATCTGCGGAATTTCACCGCGACGCGAATCTACTGTACACCGTAGTGGAGAGACGCAGGCCAGTACCCCAAGTGTCACCATATCGAATCCCATCATTTCGCAGGAACACACTTTACTCCTGCTCGCCTGCTGGCCTAGGGTGGCACTGCATATGTACCCATGCATAAGTCCGACGCTATTCGGACTGGAGAATACAGTACGTCCGGTTGTTATCTATCAAACTGTTTTGGGCCCTGTTGGACAGACATCAGATCCGGTAGGTAGACTTCTGATGCAGGTTGGCCCCCATGCATGACTGCTGACCGCGCATATGGACCTCACCAAGCCTCCTACTACAGTATACATATCGGCTTGTCATTGACTACTCAATTCGTATTCGATTCGCGGCATTGCAAGCTTTGATGGTGCCCCTTCTTGAGAGATAGTTCCCCTTATTATTGTGCGGGAGTCGCAAGACACTCGCTCGTGGTAGCAGTGCTTCATAGGGTGGGGCGAACCAAACGCCTCAACAGAATGACTGAGTTAGCCCAAGGTAATGGATACAGATCAAGTCTGTCGGACCATGGAGGTCTCTTACTATGACAGCATGCTACTAAATTAGAGGGTACTTCCAAGTCCAGCAGCCTAACTGCGTAATCCTGTGATTGACAAGAGTCACGATCGATGACGGTGAGTCTGGAGGCTCCAGGCCAAGTGCCGGATGGTCCCAGGCCTAGAAAACCGCAGCGGGGCGAGTATTTTGCAGGGGGTGTACAATGGCGATGCAGGAATCTGTACTTGTGCACACACTGTTTTTTGGGGATCTACCTGCTAAGACTGCCCTGTGCTTCTACCATAGTAAGGCTGGCCCCTGATCGAAGCCAATCATACATTAGTAGAAAGCGCATGGCGAGCCCCAGTTGGTGCTAAGTCCTACGGCCTATATGCTATACCTAATCCAACGATAGCGACGTTTGAGCGCTACCAGCATTCCGTACGCTCTGGCGACCTGACCCTGCTTGGCAGACGAAAACTCGGAGGCCAGAAGAAGGAAAGAGGGGGGAGACGTATCGGTCGCCCTAAACGGGGGTCACGTACCCTCTAGTGATGATCGTCAACCATCACCCATCCTTGCTCTCCCCGGATTCGTATACTGTAGCTCATTGGCAGGCTGACGATAGGCCCCCCCCCCCCCCCCCCCCGCCTAGAGGATTGGCACGCCGCCCCCTCCGGTGGGTTTTCTCAGGCCCCACAGTCTCACCCGCATTCTCTCCATCCTGTTCATAATCCTTCTTATTTCTCTTGTTTCCTACTTGCTGGTCCCTCGACGCTACCCCGGATTTTGCAGCCAGCAGAGAACTCACGCGATAAAAGAAAGCAACATCAGCTCGCTCACACTGTTGGGTTGATACGTCTGTGCTCCCCATCAAAGATCGCTGTAGGCTGTGGTAGAAAAAGACTGTATTTTGTCAAGCAACGCCAGCGGTTTCGGAAATGCGCGGTTTCGGCAGCTGCTAGGGAACTCTGTGTACGCGACTTGCCCTCGCCGCAGCTACTTTATCCTCACCACCAGCACTCAGGGCTTAACGTGTTTCGAGGATTACATTAAGAGAGTTCAGAGATCGAGAATACAAGTCAGGCGCGATCATATCGTCAAGATGCCTGGAATTCTGCCGATGAAAGTTATCAAGGTGGGCACAAGCTCGCAAAGCCGGATTGCCCAGGTGAGTAAAACATCTGCCCCTGCCCTTCCGGGGATCCCTATACTCACAGTACATGACAGGCTTGCGATCGGTGCCGCAGCAAGAAGATCCGCTGCGATGGCATCCGTCCATGCTGCTCGCAGTGTGCCAACGTCGGGTTTGAATGTCGCACCAGCGACAAACTCAGCCGACGCGCGTTCCCGCGCGGCTACACCGAGTCATTAGAAGAAAGGGTAAGGGCGCTGGAGGCTGAAAATAGGGAGTTGAAGGATTTGCTCGACGAGAAAGACGAAAAAATTGACATGCTATCCAAGATGCATAGTCATCATCATCAACGACGTCCGTCTGTGGGTTCTGTTGCCAGTGCGACACCCGGCGCCAGCGCAGCAGCGTCCAAGAGATCCCCGTCGCCAGCGAAGGAAGATACATTCCGCGTACAGGCGTCACCTCTGCTGCTTGGGGTGGAAAATTCGGATTCTTATTTCATGGGCCCTTCGAGCGGTCGCTCGTTCATTGGTGAGCACCCTATAGGACGAACGCGCTGCCCTACGAGTCTAACCGTCTTTGCAGAGACCTTCAAACGCAAAATCCAGGAGAGCGGGAAATCTTGCTCGGACTTCAACCCTGAAGCCTTCTTGCACATCCAAGGGTGCTACCCCTTGGTAACACAACCACCGTCATCGTCCATGAGAATACCGCCCCGGCTCTTTACTGATAGATGCGTCAACATCTATTTCCAAGAGTGGGCACCGTTATTCCCCGTCCTACATAAGCCGACTTTCCTCCGAATCTATGAAGAGTTCGTCGCCGATGCCGATAAGATGAAGGGTAGCCACCAGGTTGCTCAACTCAACCTGGTCTTCAGTATCGCTGCACTTTCCAGCGACCTCCCGGATACTGAACAAATCGCTGCTTGTGAAATCCAGTGGCAGAAGGCTTTAGACGCGATTCTAATGGAGAACACGATGAACACTCTGCAATGCCTTGTTCTTGCATTGATGTATTGCACCATCCGTGCTGACTACAAGCGCCTCATTCATTATAAGGGCGTCGCCGTTGCGTTATCTCATCGGCTGGGATTGCATCAAAGTCAGAAACGGTTCTCCTTTGGGGCTCTTACTATCGAGACCAGAAAGAAGGTTTTCTGGACCTTATACACTCTTGACTGGTAAGTTTCAATTCCCAACACTTATATTGCACTGCTACTCACACTGCAAAGCTTTTCTGCTGCTATACTTGGGCTGCCAAAGGTCCTTAAAGAGGAGGATGTGCACGCTGAATATCCCTCCGACTGTGATGACGAGTATGTCACCGAAAAGGGATTCCAGCCAACTCTCCCTGGAGAATATACCAAGTTGTCGAGTGCATTAGCGCTGTTCAGAGTGTCACGGATTCTCTCCAAGGTGCTTGAGAAGAGTTACCCTGCCGCTACTTCATACGATCTGTCGTTGCAACAGATGTCAGCTCTGGATGCCGAACTATCGGATTGGGATGAAAATCTCCCCGCACATCTCAAGTTGACCTTCGCGCAGGACAAGCCCTCGACTGACGTTACCGGAAGTCGGTCCCCAATTCTCGTAAGTCTTTCTTGATAAACACTAAATACAGACAGTTCTGACCTTCGCAGGCGCTTGCTTTGTATTATATTCGGACCCTGATACATCGACCTGCTGTTGGTTCTAGCCTGGGCCCCAAGGCCGCGCCGTCTCTTCTCGCGATCGGCGAGTCAAGCAAGCATATGGTCCAGATCGTGCACTTGTTGGAAGAGAGAAGCATGTCGTTTTCTTTCTGTCTTAACAAGACTGACGTGCTCATGCTATGTGCCATGACTTTGTTGTACCAAACACTCGACCTGAAGCAGGACAGCAGACTCGTGAAGGACGCGGAGCGTTTAGTCAACAGCGTACTGAAAGGCTTCACGAAGGCCAAGGCGGCAGGCGCGCATGATCTGAAAAGAGTCGCAGCGATGCTGATCTCCGTCGATGAGCCTGCATCGCCCGCATCTAGCGGTGCAAGTCCAACTTCATCTGCGCCTTCGAAGATGCCTAAGCCTTCGCCACAGGCTGCTATGCCTAGGAAATCTTTCTATAGTCTTGGTCGACACTCAAGTATGACCATGAGTGAGACAGACCTGTTGTCACAGCAGGAAAAACTCAGACGGATGACATTGCCACACTCGTCCGCAGTCAGACCTGAGCTTTATCGCTCGCCGTCGCGTGCATCTTTCGATGATGCTATGCAAAGACCGTCGATACCTCATCCCGATTCCCGGTTCTCCATCTCACAAATCCAACAAAGCATGATGAGACTCGCCCCAACGAACAGAGGCAAGTCGAACCTTGACTACTTGTCTCTTGGAGCCAGCTCAATGACGCCGCAACCACCTTCACCCATGCAAACAAGAATGCCGGCCCCGCAACATGTCGCGCAGGGTCAGCAAACACGCTCGCCATCATACTCGGCGAACACGCCTGTAACTAAAGCCGGCTCAGGAGGAGGAATGTCAGCTACAGAGTGGGAGTCACTACTCGGTTCACTGGACGGGGGGCAAGTCAACCTCTACGATGCAATCTACGGAGGTCCTGGTCTCTCTCTCGAGACCCCCACAACCGTTGCCACCAACTATAACGATTGGTCTCCGGACTCCTGGGATCTAGCGGGGTTCAATCTCGGAGACCTGAACTCCAACCCGGCTCCCCCTCAGAGCGTCCTAAGCTTAAGCGATGATAGTCTCAGCTCCGGGGAAGAGCTAGCACCAAACGACGTCTACTACAGCTTAGGACATGATGACTTCCGTAACAGCTTGTTACATCCGAACCGACCCCCGAACGACGGTGGATTAGTGTTGGACGGGCTGGACTTGAACCTTGGAATATGAGAAATGGGCGGATAATCTGGAAGCTATCGAAGGTGCCACTTGTTGCAACATCCAAGCAAGCGAGGCTCTCACTTATCATTCGATTAAATGGGAATTTCTTCGCCATATTACATTGATATCCCTGAGACGGCTGTAGGTGTTTCGGTATTATGACAACTCATGACTGGGGGTACGATCAGATTTCTTCGCTTTTGTATGGTTAATGAAACTTTTTTCAGAACCAGGCCGACGTCCTGTTAGCAGCAGGCTGCCCGTCTTTACTATGTCTCCTTTTTGTGATCGGTAGATACTCGGCTTCGATATCGTGAGGGGACGCGGTCGGATCAGGCCGGTGGCGTCAATTGGAATTATCGTAGTCTTTGCCTGTCAAGTATACAACTTTGAGTTTAACTGGGTAACTCCTCTATCCGTATTCTCATGATAACGTGTGTTGTTGTCAGCCAAGCTCAGCTCCACAACGGGAACGTCCCGCCCAAATCGGTGGCTCCAGGTCAGGCACCGCACCCCAACGCAAAGCAAGGCTTCTGAAACCCAACATGTTGCACCCAGATCTGATAAAACGACGTCGGGATGTCTGGACGCAGCGTCTCCAGGCCCACATTTGAGCATGTCGGAAGGCGTGGACGGCAGTCAAGACTTTGCACACGTCTTTTTTTAGACCTGGTGTCTCACCCTTGCATCTTCGGCGCCCAGGGTCCTGGGAAGACATAAGCTTAAAAAGAATATGCTTCGAGGCTATGGGACGTTTCGCGACACCTGCTCCACGGCGGCCTTGCACGGAGTCAACACCGCGGTTTACTCGTCGGTTCGTGAAACGAGGCATTTTTCCCTTTGTTTGGATGCAAAAGGGGCTGTTCCAAGACGTCCCATGTCCCAGTCACGAAGATCAGTGGTGCCAGACGGGATCGGCTGCCTCTGTCGCTTTCCAAAGATAACACCTTAAAATGTCTTTGGCGCTCTCGCCTAAGGCTTCGAAGCTTTTCGTCTGTTTTTCTCTCTTGCAGCGGCCGTGTCCATCGTATCGACTCTGTGAACCTCATACAGATTCCGCTGTGTTTCCTGCTGATTGACCGGGGTCAGTTGCATGACGTCCGACCCAACCGTACTTCTCCTTGTCGGATTTACTCATCGAAATTCTTGTCGTGGCCCAGACCCAAGTTATCAACGTCCTAAGAACGGGTTATCCTCAAGCCAGACGCCACAAAGGCCGATTTCACCACCAAACCCACTCGGAACCCTGGCACTCCGAGCGCCGCGGTAGATCACGAGTCCACGATTGGCACCCAGCAGTCTGCAAGAAGCCGGAAGTAGCGGGTATTAGGTGGATTGGCCCCCGCGCCGCACTCGTTAAGCAACTCCGCCAGCGACCCTAAGTGTAGTTGCCGATTATATCCGCGATGGTTCCCAACTATGCGTTTTACCCTCACAGTAGGGCCGCCACCAATTCCACGTCGTCAACGTCGACAGCAACAGGTGTGTTTGCGATGCCCTACCTCTAGAATTCTTTGAGAAATGCCGTTTCTTCCCAATTTCCTAGCCTGCATTCCTGAGCGCTTGTTGCGCAATAACAAGAGGCCGCTCGAATCGGCTGCATCCCCACTTTCTCTACCACTGTCTGAGAAGAAACCGGTGGTTCCGCGCGCTGCTGCTACGACCGTCAGCGCCGCCATGAAGGCCGATGAGTCCACGCCGCTGCTGAGTCCAAATGACGAGCTGAGCAAGGGCCCGCCTGGTAAGTCTGCCCCCAGCTTCAATGGTCAAAAGGAGAAGTTGCGACAGCAACATCCTTCGAACCAGTTTAATGGCGGGTTGGTTGACAAAGTGTCTCCATAGCTGCTGGGTTCGCCCGGGCATTAAGCACGGGAAGCAGCCGCCATGCGAAGCCAAGCCGGCTCCCGCAGGCCATCGCGCACCGTGGGTACAAGGTAGCGTTTCCGGAAAACACCATGGCCGCATTCCGGAGCGCAGTAGAGATCGGCGCCCATGCTATTGAATCAGATCTGCACCTTTCGAAAGAGGGCGTTGTCGTTTTGTCACATGTAGGTGCCGCTGCTGATGCCTTGACGCTGCCTGCGAGCACCTCGACCCGTCCCACTAACGGCCATGTAGGACCCTACTCTTAAGAGATGTTTCGGCATAGATGCGAAAGTTGCCGATTATGATTGGGATTATCTCAGTACACTACGCACCTTGCGCAAGCCGAATTTACCAATGCCGCGCTTGATTGATCTTCTCGAATATCTCGCCCAGCCTCAACAAGAGCATGTGTGGCTCCTGCTCGATGTCAAGGTACTTCTTCGCCCCTTTTGAAGATGCGCCATGGGCGAAGTATTAGAGTCACAGTGTCGTGTCCGATACTAATGCAGAATTTTCAGAGAGATGACGATGCCAGTGAATTGCTCACCCGGTTAGCGGAAACCATAGCCTCTGTCCCGGCGAGGATACCATGGAATACACGCATCATACTGGGTTGCTGGAACGTAAGCGGCCACGGAGTTTCTCATGCATACGCTCACAGACTGATACCTATCCTAGGCAAACTACGTGCGGCTAAGCAAGAAGCTTCTCCCAGAATTTCCACTCGCCTTTATCGGCTGGTCTCTGGCATACGCTACCGCGTTGTCGCACGTTCCCAATATGAATTTCAACCTACTTCTGCACAGTTTGACCGGCCCGTTTGGTGCTCGATTCTTGAGGCATGCCAGGAAGATCAACCGTCTCGTCTTTGGCTGGACAGTCAACGAAGAACGTTGGATGGAGTGGAGTATACAGCATGAGCTTGATGGGGTTATCACGGATGACCCTAAACTCTTCCTCGAGGTTTGTGACAGATGGAGGAAGGATCCTGACGGTGCTGCCGCAGCGATGGGCTCTAAAACAACCCTGCCATGCAGAGTGAGGCAGTTTGCTGAGGCTGTGGTAATGTTCATTATTTTGAATACCCTGATCATCACACTGCGCACTGTATCGGCATTCAAGCGAGGTTCGCCGACAACTCAGGTTCGGAGGGGGCTTGCAGGGCAAGACCAAGGCTTTCAGGGGCCTGTGTATTAATACCGCGGTATTCAAATAGTTAATCTAGCCTAGTATTTCTGGAACGTCGGGAGCATTTGGTGTTTCTTGTTTCATGATACCAGGGGTGCCTTGTGTGGTCCTCTGCAGTCTTCTTGTGTCCACGCCAGCGGGGATAAATCCTGCGGTTCGAAAAGGTATCAAAAATTCATGTCGAGACAGCAAATAAGTTATATAAAGCTACGAGTCACATCATACTCTGTGATGGTAATGGGCAGCAGAGTATTGTGCAATGCAGAAACCCATGTATTGGGAATTACAACTCATTGTGAGATGATTGATTTTCGATAACACTCTGGACGTATAGGCAGTGGCCGTATAACAGACAAGAGTATGTCTGCAGTAAGCAGTCAGACTTATGACTGTCGTTCCTCTATCTTTACTCATACTTATCGATGCGCCGCAGGCTATTATATCAGAGGAGATAATGAGGCCAGGTACGATAATCAGGTTCAGTATGGGGTAGCTACAATGTAAGACTGAGTTTTGTCCTCTAGAAGGGCCTGGAGGGCAGCACATTTTATATATGTGTAACGTAGCGCATACGCTACGGGGCCGGTTTGGCCACCGAGCCGCAGGTGAAAGGCTATTATGAAAAGGGCCTGCTACGAGGGGCTTCTATATTAAGAAATGGCAAGCCCGGCTTTGAAACGGTGTGCAGTGCGGCCGGGGTATGTAGCGGCGGCTAGGAATGGCGGAAATCAAAAGCGCACGGGTGAGATTTCTATCAGACACTGATTGCTGGCAAACTGGCTCCTGTAGTTTTTTTGGGCATGAATTTAGTCATGGAGTTGGTTATCACTCAAAAGATGAAGAGATTATGGTAGTACAGATGAGTTGGCAAGAACTACGGGAATTCCCTTCATTTTCAATCTTCTCGAAACGTTACGCTTGGTGAACTGTATTCCTAGCCGGGCGGCGAACACTCCGTGCGGGCAATCTACGACAGTGACGTTCAAGATGGGTTCATCTTTTCGATCCATCCAGTCTTTCTACCAGCGCGAGGTATTTATTCGATCTGATGAGAAGCCACAGACTTCTGCTACTGGAGATGGCTTCACATAAACGGAGTATCAGGTGTACTTCATCCGTTCACGTCGCCTTGGTCACCTTCCAGGGAATACCACAAAAGGCCTAACGCCCTTCTCGAGACGAGTCCTCGCGATTACGAAATCACCGGTAGAGTTCTGAACTACTCAATTGCAACTGGCAACGGCCAAGCTCAGCCTTCTTCCGAAGGTCGTTGTCTCATTTTAATGAGTAATGGAACTGGGGCTATTGCCGTATTTATATCACTACTCCAGTGGGTCGGCACAGACACGGCTGAACTTGGAATATTAGGTCAACCTGTTCTACACCAAGACAGCAGGCTCCTTTCTCGTATTCAGCCAGAGAATCACCATCTGCACAACGTACATGTCCGACTCGGCTAAGGCTGATGTTGGCTACATACCGTTTACCAGTGTCTCTACGATGATATGCCCCGGGTGCAATGGAGCAACCCATATCGTGTTGCACCAAGACTCCACTCCATCAGACGATTACCAGGCTTTCAGATACCCCCTGGGACTAGACACAAATCCACAAAATAAGGTTCCGGGGCTAATGAGCCTGAGATCATTCCTCGACGGCGGATTGAACATTGTAAATGCGAAGATTATTTTCTGCCTTGAGTCTATCGGGCGTCGCAAATCGATTCGCCTAACGAAGCGACAGGAGCCGGTGGATTAGATTGAGATTGGATTTTTCGACGACACAGCTGTAACTGCGTTGAACTTATGGGGAGACCACACATGCTCAGCTAATACATTCCTTCCAAGTGAAACGTTCTTACTCATATCGAATCCAGAATGTAAAGTTAGGGGGCACCCCTACAGCGAGTTGAGGGGCGCCAATGAGATCAGTATAGACTACAATTCAATGGTGAAAGTCAATCCTGCATTTTCTGAAGCAGATTGGCTATGTGTGAAAATCAGAAAACTTTCAGAAAGGGAGAGCGTATTGACACAGTTTCCGGATGGATTCTGGGATGTCGACGCTTCTATCAATGGTTGTGGCAGGCAACTCTTTCCTTTTGCGGAGTTTGATGAATGTGTGCGCCAGAAGGGGGAGCAAGCTTTCACTGACAAAATGAATGTGGTTAATCTCGAAATGAACCTCATGGATAACTGGCGGAAGGGGGTGGTCTGTTGTACTAAGTGGTGGGTGACTACAATACTTTTCGCACCTGCATTGGTGTCGCTGACACTGGCTAGTTGCGGACTCTCCCTTTGTGCCAACAAACCCATCGCAATATGTAAAAACTGCGGCTTTCGAAGTTGTCTTTGAACCCTCGAAATATTGGTGCAATCATTGATGAGAGTGGGATACTGGCTGCCGCCAATCTTGTCTGGAAGGACACAGCTTGGACCCAGCTATTCTTCAATGAGTCGGCAAAGACGCATAATTCTGATGCCGGCGAGAGTCAAGATCTTATCGAACAGGCGTGGGAAGATCTGACAGTACTGGACACCACTTCTTTGCGCGATGTTGAGGACCAAATTCTGTAATCCGGGGTCACTCTCACTTTCGGGTGGTGCCCCAAGCTGGGAAAGGTCTGCATCTTGGGAGGTGAGTGGTCAAGGTAGCTTAGAGCATATTTACGGTGCTTCGAGAGGGTCACATGGCATATAGGCGATAGCTGTTCTCCGCAATACTTGGTAATACCCGAGAGCCGTAAAGAATGGTTTAGGGTCGTTTCGGGAACACTTTGAAATTTTATTTCGAGGTAAACAATTTACTATGACTTGTTCTGATGGCTTCATAATCTAGAATAATCGAAGAGTTTTTACAATTCCATAATGCCCCCGTTTTCGCTCATATTATCAAAATATCTCAATGTCCACAGCCAAGATAACCATTTGCAGGCGTGATTTGGAGGTTCCCGAATCCAAATGTAATATTAATATGTGCGCGCCACGATCTCACGTTATATATAGCGTGGCTGAAAGAGCCATCTCTTTGGCTGCTCCTCTAATATGGCAAAGTAGTGGCACACTGTTCTGATCTATCTTGGTGTGTGCCTTCAACAGACAATCATTTTAGACATGTGGAATGATGATTTATGCCAGTTTGGAGGCTGCTGGCTTCCTGTCTCCGACCTCCTTCGCAGCTCGATCCCTGAGCTCTTTTCGTAGGATCTTGCCGGACTGTGCAACCCCTTAGTCAATGATCGATAAACTGGTTCAAAGGAAGCACTTACTGGGTTCTTGGGTACTTCTGGCACGAAGACCACACCTCCTTTCAGCCACTTATACCGGATGACTTTGTTCTCCATCCACGAGGCGATTTCCTTCTCCGTGACTTTGATGGCCGGGTTAGGAACAACGTAGGCGCGAGGTAGCTCTTCGCCATTTATCGTAACGCCCACAACCGCAGCATCAAGCACAGCTTTGTTCTCAAGGAGCACACCTTCCAGCTCCGCCGGAGCTACCTGATTGCCCTTGACCTTGATCAGTTCCTTCAATCTATCGATGACGTTCCAGAGTCCACCGGGGGCGTAGGTCTCGACATAAGCAATGTCACCCGTCTTCAACCATCGTGTGCCGTCCGCATCTATGTGAATTGTGTTCGCTGTCGCCTCAGGCTTGTTCCAGTAGCCCTTCATCAGGTTCGGCCCAGAAACCCACAGTTCACCGGACTCATTCGCCTTGGTAATCTCACCGGAACCATCCAATCTCATCAGCTTGGCTGAGCAGTTGGGCTGCATCTCTCCCACTGCCAGGCTCTTCAAGGTGCTGTTGGGGTCCCAGCTCAGGCAGGTACAAGTTACCTCCGTCATACCCCATCCCTGGCGGATATTGACTGCACCCGGGGGCCAGAGCTTCGCAACTTCTTCACCGATCTCAGTGCTCAGAGGTGCAGCCCCTGAGCCAATGCTTTCAATAGAGCTGAGGTCGTATTTACGAGCCAGAGGATGCTTTGCCAAGGCCACAACAATCGGGGGAACGCAGGTGAGAGTGGTTATCCGGTACTTCTGGATGTACTCGAGCATCTTAACAAAGTCGAAAGCCGGCATGATATAGACGGGAACTTGCAGCTTTGGGAAGTTGCAAGTAAAGTATGTCTGGCCGAAAGCATGATACATCGGAAGGAAGCACAACTGCTTAGCGCGTTTGTTTGCCTCGTCAAAATCCTCTGCCAGCTTCCCTGTGTAGATCACGCCTACCCCGTTGGCGATATAGGAGTAGTGCGTGATCTCGACACCTTTGGGCACGCCTGTGGTCCCTGATGAATAGTTTAGACAGCACGTCGCAGTTTTTGAGTCTGCGGGCTCTACCCAGTCCCATCTTTCTGCCTTTTCAATTGGTGCCAGCAAAGTGGTCCAGTGTTTTGTGCCAGATGGCGCCTTTCCTGGCGTTGGGTCCAAGCCTGTCGAATCGAAGCTGTAGACTCGATGCTTGGAGAGGCCGGCCTGAGCTGCTCCTTCCAGAGCGATCTCGATGCTGGTATCGGCAGCAATGAGGAACGAGGCACCGCTGTCCTTAAGCTGGTACGCTAGCTCTCTGGCTACGAAACTCGGGTTTGCTCCTGTGAAGACGCCGCCAGCCATCAGCACTCCCATGAAGATGATGGGCGTAAACAGTTTGTTTCCGGAAAAGAGCAGAACTCTGTCGCCTGGCCTCAGCCCAGCCTCCGTAAGCCCCACCGCAATTCGTTTAGACCATAGCCGGTATTGAGATAGTGTCAGGAAGTGAGTGTCTGGTCGCTCAGGGTCAATGAATTGAGGCGTGTCGGGCAGCGGTTCGAATGATGAGCCAAACACCCATCGGGGCAGGGACCCTTCAGGTATGTCCACACTCCAACGACTGCGAATCGGCATCGTGATCTTGTTCAAGATGAGGCTTCACGTAGCAGGCAGCGCGTACAACAAATGTAATGCTATAACGTATTTGGTTGAAATGCGGAAAACTCAAATGTAAAGACTCGGTCCGAGGCTGAGACGTATTCGCTTGTTTTTCGGCTCAGAAAGGTCAACAAGCTCCGGAGACTCTCCCAAGGGTACGGTTCAAGTCAAAGGACGACGACATTTGCATGCTTTTGAAAAAAAAAGCCCCCAGCGAACGGCTCGGTTATCTATTCGTCCGTAGGTTCGGGCCAACAGCCTCCAAGAAATACCTCCAAGCCTTTCCTCGGTCCCTGCGATTCATGATTGGCCGTCTAATCGACAAGCACGGCGCTGTCGCTCGGGCAGCGCTATTAACGGCCACGATCCCCGCATCGCGTAGTGGAGGTTGATGATGAGAATGCGGAGAAATGCTGGGGTCAGCGAGGTATGCCGAGGCTGGAATACCCAAAGTGGCATAGAGGACGCCCGCCCGTGCCTGGATCCTGGTCCGCCCCTTGGGAAGTTATGGGGTAAATGTGGAGGGCGGAGGATCCAGCTTCTCCGACCGAACGGCGATCAGGCCCCCAGTTCTTCTCTGGTTGATTACGCATCATTGTGGTCGTGTACTCTGTAAAGAAATTCAGCTCATTTAAACCCTTTCTACCTCTTTGGGTGCCAATTCACAATATGAAAATCCATCATCATGCAATGCCTGGGTCAATGATCTCTCCGGCGATTACACCAGAGCGTGCAGCTACTGTATAATCCTAGCCAACTACCCTTCATTGGTCTCTTCACCTAAAGGTCCGAAAGATGCCACCATTCGGCACATAACAAGGATTTCCAAGGAAGACGATTAAAAGGCATGGGGAGATGAATCTGATTAAACGAATTTGTGCATTTGAAGGAGACTTATACGGTAGGTGCAGCTGCAACTATTGGCGGATCTCCATTCTACAGTACATCACGACGTTATTAATGCTCTACGCTGCTTAAGTTAGCTTTAGCGGGCACCTAACATATGTTCTTCACAGCCTACTGTCAGTCGGTCATAAGAAATTGTTGGAATCCAAAATATGGAATATCCATCTCGTCAAGCAATTCGACCACACACAAATCGAAGTCATACCTGTAAGGGAACGAGTGTCAATGTCCACGTGAGCAACGCCAAGCCCGATAATTAAGGAGCCAATGGTATAAACCGATACTCTCACCCGACAGGGAATTTCTGTGGTGCGTCACAAGCAAGTTATGTTTCATTTCAAGCCTCGCTTTGAAAGAACCCGAGTAGAAACTCAATTGCTATCTTCAGGAAACTAAGTGGTAATTAAGTTGGTGGTGATTTCAACGCCAATTTAGTCCCAAGTTGTGCCCACAATGTCGTCTGACTTCTCAAAATTCAATTTTGGGTGTTCATAAAATAGACCTTCTAAAGGACCCAAGACTGCCAAGAGGGAAGTCAAGATGAATTTCAGACTGACCAAGGCCTGTCAGTTTTCTCGGCGCATCTTGTCACTTATCTTAGCGCACTGAATTAAGAGTCCAGCGGTAAATACTACGTTGATCTTTTGCAATTATACGAGAACCGGACTTGGATTGCTCAGGCTGAACTTGCAAGCCGGTGTTTTGAGGCCGCCTGCCTGTTTCATTGCGCCGGAAGATGCGATTGGATCAAGTGGATTACTGAGCTCCTTCAAGAATATGGAGCTTACACCTGTGCGTGACTATCATCTGGTCCATTAGTCATCTGTGGCAATGGTATTGAGATCTGTTCTAGGGTGTTTCAACTAGTCGCTGAAGCCCCTGGTCGATACGAGGAAACTAGAACATTGCATTTCATTCATAGCTGAGAATGAGTAATCTTGCGAGAGTCTGTGTTACCGGAAGCTCAGGCACGATTGAGGCTCAAAGTAGTTCGGCTCATGGGCGACATGGCACTCTTGAAGTGGGGCTGATACTCGCTGGTGGTGACGACGTCGAGGTCCGAGTCCTCTCAGACGTTCCACGTTTGAGCTTCCACCTGGAATTTCCAAATTTTGAAAACAAAACCCCTGTCACGGCTTCGGATCCAGAGCCGAGATTGTCATAGCTTGCGCAGTTATCAACCACTGATGCATCGTTTCAGGCCCAAATCTTCCCTAATCGAGACCTACTTCGTTCCTAGCGCCCAGAGACCACGAGCTTAAAACTGCAAAGAAACGACACTGCCGGGCAGTGCTACGCGGTGGCCCCTTGTCGCAACGGGGTTCTCCATGGTTTGCGGATCTCCTCTACGCTACGATCTCCCGCAAGCGCATCATGCTTCGATGGTGGTCGCTTTTCCGGGGCGCTCCCACCACGGCCCCACCAATTAGACTTGGATATACTGGGCTATTGTGTTGTTTCGTTTAACCAATCGCATCACTTCGGTGATTTTATTTGCACTCCCGTTTGTTCAAGCTACTGGAATACCTCCCGGCCCCTGTTTCCAGATCGACAGTACCCCTGACCCAAGGTCAGATCATTGCTTCGCCTGATCTTGTTGTTTGCCTTATTCACAATATCCAGACCTCCTTCGACCGAGTAGTCTCAAACACAGGCGCAGCAAGGCATGAGGGTATCCTGTGCCGAGGACACCGAGCGGGAGATACGTTCGCCAAGCAAACCAAGCTTTACCAAGAGCTGTCAGCCAAGACCACACTATAAGATGGACAACGACTCCGGCCCAGAGATCGGATTCTCTATCATCAAGCATCAATCAACTCTTCCACCATCTTTCCCCTTCTTCTAGAGCCCGGTGCTCCTGGTTGCTAATCAGTTTTTCTCCTTTGGTCATATCTCTTTACTACATCCAACCGTCTTTCAGCCAACTCTCTTAACCGTTCACGATGAAGTACGCTAGCACCATCCTTATTGCAGCTTTCGCTGCCACCAATGTCTTTGCCCACGGTGTCATCACCGAGGTCCAGGGCGCCAACGGTGTAAACCTTCCCGGTCTCTCAGTAGCTGATGGCACCCCTCGGGACTGTGCCACACCGAAGTGCGGCTCAGAGGCTGATACCTCCATCATCCGAGACAGAGAACTTGGAACCTCAAAGGCTTCGGCACTCGGCCGTACCAACGGCGGCGGGCCCGTCGACGCTGCGAAGATGGTCGCCCTGTTCATGGACGGTGCCGGCGGCAACACCACCGCTGCCAAGGCCGCTCGTGACCTCCACGCCGAGAACAAGGCCCGATACGCTGGTCTCGCCATCCGCGCCACAGGGGGCGGTACCAAGACCCCCAAGGGCACTTCCGAGACTGGTGTGAAGGCCGCCACTGGTGCCGCTTCAGGAGGCATGCCGACCACGGCTGACGATGGTACTCTCACCATGACTTTCCACCAAGTGAACCAGGACGGCGCCGGCCCCCTGACGGCTGCTGTCGATGCCACATCCGGCGGCACTGATAGCTCTGCCTTCAAGACTGCACAGGTGACCCAGGATGTCCCTGGAATCGGCATTGGTGGCCTCTCTGCTGCCACTACTATGGATTTCCCTGTCAAGATTCAGATGCCCGCTGGCATGACATGCCAGGGCTCTGTTGGTGGCGCTCAGAATGTCTGTATTGCACGACTACAGAACTCTGCCCTAGCTGGACCCTTGTAAGTATCATCAAGCCCCCTTCACTACCCCCTTTTAGCAGATTTTAAGCTCTGAAGACTCGTTTCTGAGGAGGCGCACAAGTTGTGCGCACAGCCGCCAGCAATGGGACCTCTCATAGCAGACACACCTGGCAAGAACATTGCTAACGTATTTCACTATAGTGGTGGTTCCGTCGCCTTTACCCAGAGTCCGGCTGCCAAGAAGCGTGCTATTGAGTACACCTTGGCCCGCAAGCGATTCGCTCGTGGCATTGAGTCCAGCCAATAGGTCCCTGGCCAGGTAATACAGGAAGAGTCTGTTAGAAGGAGGACGTTGTATATAGACAAGATGGAAATGTAAATACTCAGCTGCGCTCGCCGGTATGAGACAGCATAGAGGCGGAACATATATATTGGATGCTTTTAGGTTATTTTCTGTTCTATTCTTTACGACCATCCTCTTCACAGGACGGAGCCGCTTGCGGGGACTTGTATTAGATAAAGTCAGACAGTTTTGTGAATGATGAGTCTCACGTTCCTTACTCAACAGCTGGCATCACCAATCACCCGTCATTAATTGTGACTTTTTACGCCTTAGAGCCAGGGCTCGGAGAGCTGCAGTGCACCGCTGGATCGATTAAAGGTTCTGTCTTAAACCCGGGGCAGTCTGCATGATAGGCATGCTAAGGGTATCATTGATTTCAACACAAACAATATTATGGCGAAATAAACCAGAGGTCCAACAATTCAGAGACAAAGCGCTTCACCAACACATCGGTCGGCCAGGTAGCTTAATTGGTAAAGCGGAAATCTAACATGTTGGTTCAAACCCAACCATGGTCCAAATTCTTTTTACTTGTTTCTTTCTTTCTTTCTTTTCTTTTTTTTTTTTTTTCTTCAAAAAAAAAGGGACTACTTATTGGCAGCACCACAGACACTCTATTGATAGTTGTTGAAGCTCCTGTCACGCTGATTGAGCGAGTTAAAAATCGACTTGCCACCTTTCCTTCCTTTAAAGCGCAGCAGTGAGAAACTTAAAAAGGGGCAGCCTAGGGCCGTAGAATGAAATGCTAACTGAAGACTGAGAAGAACTTCGTCGTGGACACCAATACTGGTCTTTTAGACAATCTTCCAACGCGTTACAATTGAGAAGAACGTGCTGTTTATTGTAGTCGCAAAGATTGGGTCCAGTGCCCAACTTTATCAATTTGCCCACTTGTCCTAACTTTCAACCAACCTAACTATCTCCTGCCAAAGGAGACTCCCCAAGAACACCCAAACTCGGGCTCCTGACAACGATCTGTAATACCATAAGGCCGGGCTGCGAAGTCGTAGCCTGATAGTTTGCTGAAGTGTTGCAGATGAACAATATCTGGTCGTGATTGGTTGTGCATCGTATCAAGAAGGGAGGAGGAACCTGTAAGGTGCAGGGCATGCGGCCATCATCACGTAGTAATCCAATGAACTCGGAGAAAGAAGAGGTATACAAAGCTCTAATAGTAGATTTTCAGATGTCTATAAATGTGCTTCTACTGAAGTATAGTATAGTGTGTACTTAGCATACAAATTCAAGCTGTTCAGCATGGTTGCGGCTCGGTTTACTCCTTTCTATTTTGCCCTCTAGGATACAGCAGAAATATTACTTTAGTGTCGCCCGACGGCAACATGGAGTTCTCGCATCATCTTGAGACAATGAAGGCTCACTCACATTGCGCGCACGCAACACGGGCGGCAGACGATCGTATAAGTAACATGTCGCAATGAAATGGACACCCCACTATACTCACGGCGGGACCCCACATCGGCCGTCCCCCGCATTTCCGGGAGAGTTCTCTTCCGCACGGCTCCGAAACTCGGATCTTGTGTCACTCGATTGCCCGAGGTAACCAGAAATAGCTCTCCTGGGGGACTTAGCCCTTCCTTTTCTCTAAACATCAGATTATTTTGACCCATGTTCAGAGCCCGTCGCTTCGTGCAACAGGTTTATCGTCCAGCTCGTGCCATCAACCGAACATCCCACCACCCCGCCGTCGCCCGCCCGATTACGACTACGCCCGCCGCCAACATGCGTCTGCCATACACGCCCGACCCGCCGACGACGACGGACCCCGAGGCCCTCGAGGTCGTGGAGCGCGTGCGGGCGCGCCGGGCGCCGCGGCCGCTGCAGGCGCTGGACCTGACACTGCTGCACTCACCGCCGGTCGCGGACGGGTGGAACTCGTTCCTGGGGGCGATCCGGACGAAGACGACGCTGTCGGACGCCGTGCGCGAGCTGGCCATCTCGCGCGTCGCCGTCTGCAACCAGGCCTGGTACGAGTGGGCTCACCACGCGCCGCTGGCCGTCGCCGCCGGCGTGTCCCAGGCCGCCATGGACCTCGTCAAGACTACCGACCTGGCCTCCGTGACGGCGGAGAAGCGCACCGCGGCCGGGTTCGGCGAGAAGGAGTGGGCGGTGCTCAAGCTGACGGACGAGATGACGCGGAACGTCAAGGTCGACGACGCCACGTTTGCTGAGGTCCGGAGCTTCTTCAACGAGAGGGAGGTCGTCGAGCTGGTGGCGACGGTGAGCTGCTACAACTGCGTCAGTCGGTTCTTAGTCGCGCTTGATGGTAAGTCAACCTCAATGTACATTCATGTGGTAAATGCTAATGAGTTCATGAAGTGGGCGAGAGAAATGGGCTTGGTCCGGATGCCACCCACTAGTGATGCATGTCGTGGAACTGTCAGAGAGGGAATGCTCGAGGTCTAATTGCACACCTTGATACTGGCCATGATAAGGGAACTCGCAGTCTATAGCAGATCCAAAATGTGGGTTATACCTCATCAATGGCACCCTTAGCTAAGATGTCTGAGGGTGATTATGAACAATTGCATATATTCACATTAGGCTTCCTGGGCCAAACCTAAATACATGCAGGAATGAATGCGATACACATTGCACTACCACTTATCACTCCCTATACGCACAAAATCCGTCAACAATACATACCTACAGCTGCTCAACTCCACACTCAGTCCATGCTAGAAATGCTGGGAAGGAAAATACATGAGGGGGCATCGAAGGCATAGAAATGGTAAGATTTAGGCTCCAACATGGAACAGTGCAAATATGCAACTCAAAAAAAGAAAAAGAAAACATTAATGGTGGGTATCTAAATTCTCCATGCTGTGACCAAACTCCTGGTGTAACGTATGTCATGATGCAATGCGGGTCGGATGCTCTGTTGTCTCGTTCGGTTCGTGGCTGTTCTTGAGCCTCGTGAGTTCGTCGTAGACTTTCGTACCATGCTAAAATCCTTGTAGCGAGTTTCCCTCTCATTCGTCGCTCAGGAATTTTGGTGTCTTCCGCATAGGCGTCGGACTGCTCACAGGGCGTAGGGGCGTTGGGCTGCTCAAAGGTGACAAGGGCGGCGACTGCATAGCCTGCTCTATCGAGGCATGTCGCCTTTGCATCACAGGTGACCGCTGCAGCTCCTGGACCACACCCATCCAGCCCACCCGGTGCGGCGGGGAGGTCTTTTCGCTGTGCCCAATAGCTGAGGTTGTCAACCTGCGCAACGACGGTTTCTTTCTCAGGCTGTCCGTCAGACTTCGTGGAATGGCTGGCCGAGGTGTCCCTAGCTTCAGTGACATGCCCGCCTTTTCCGGGTCTTTCGGCGCCGACTTCTCAGCCTGCTTGTCGCGATGGCTCAGCGACGTTGCTATAATGCCCATGTAGACGGTCAAGAAGCGCATGCGCAGGAGATCGAGGCGACGTATGCGCTCCTCCAATTCTCTGCGGTGTCCGGCCCACAAGACCCTCGCGCCAGTACGCAAAGCGGTTCCCTCCTCGCTAATCAACAGGCGGTTCAGGTGCTCGCGCAGATCGTCGCCGCCCGACTGGATCTCGCGCAGCAGGCGGCCGAGGCGCATCTTGTCCTCGAGGCGCTGGACGCGCGCCACGTCGCGGTCGTAGCTCTCGTTCTCCTGGATGGAGAAGTCGACGGCGTCGATGAAGGTGGTGATCTCGCGCGGGGCCGCCATGTAGGCGCTCGAGTAGCTGGCGAGGATCTGGGCGGCAACGACGAGCGCAAGACAAAGCGCCGTGACCACAACGATCAGGGTCCAGAGGAGGGGTGTTGGTGGATCTGCCATGGTGGGCTGAGGCGGATGCTGCGGCTTCAGTGTTTCCCACAGGCGCGTGTGTATATGAGAAGGTGTATTCGTATATTCCTTGCTACCTATTCATTCTTCAGGCTCAGGAGTCCCAAATTCCGTGGAATCCGCAGAGCAAAATCATGAGGCAAAGCTTTCGCGTCTGGGTTGTGCTGCAGGAGAGAGGGGGGAAGAGCAAGGGCGACGTTGATGACGTTCCCCTCCAAGTCCCTTTGTAGTAAAGACGAACGCGGAGAGGGAGAGAGGTATATAACTATAACCGAAGGGGCTGGGATTGTGTGAAAGCGCAAGCCCCCCGGTCCATTGTTGCGGGCGGCCAAGAGCGGGTACGCGGCCGAATATCGCATAGGCCCATCGTCAGGTCAGCGCATAACCCTAGCAGCGCGTCCAGAACATCTCGATAGCCCCAGGGGGACCAGGGCAGGCGAGGAGAGAGGCCCTCACCGCATCCAATCTCGTCTCATCGACGCTGGCCGCCGCTGTGGGTTGTCGGCCATGCCCTGGCCCGACGTGCAGTAGTTGTCACATGGGTCGCATGACCAACAGCGCCTGGAATAGCAAGCTCGTGCAGAGGCTCGGTCGAGGGCAGCCATGGCGCTTGTAGTAGCGGTGGGCGGTGAGTTTCGCAAAGCGTTGAACGGCAATCCAGAGCTGGGGTTCCTGCGACGCTCATATATAGAAAAGAACGAGCCGATGGGAAATTAGATCCGGGGCCTTGTCAATGCTCTTATTGCACGTCTGCCCAATATGCGACGCCAGCTATCGATCCAATTCCCATGCCTCCGCCCAGCCATGGTGCGCCGACGCCCTGGCTGACGTCGTTCTGGTTGGGTTGGGCTTGGGCTGGAGCGAGTTGGCTGCCAATGATGGCGGGGCAATCCCGTCCACACGTCTGATCGAGCTGGGGTTGAGGAGGGGTCGACATTTTTCGCAGCGCCCATCTAAGCACACGATTGACTGCCTCGCGACTTTGTATAAGCGGGCTTAGTACACCATTCATCAAAGACGTCCGGCTCTATTGATACATCCACGGTCGGCTGAGGGCAAGTGATTTATCCTGCCACAAACCTCTGCTTAGGACGAGCCGCGGTTTCCCTCTTACTTAGAAGCCGGACCCCCTCCACCATCACCGCCCACCTTCGTTTCCAACACACGAACCATGACAGCAGCAGCAACAACAACCGCACCGCAGCCGATCCCGGCGCCGGTGCCCGACCCGTCGCCGCCCGAGCCCTCGATTCACGACTTCCCGCTGCCGTCGGCGCTGCTGCACCCGTCGTCGGAGCCGCCGACGCTGATCACACAGGGCGCCGAGGGGCGGGTGTACCGGACGACGTGGGTGGACGCCGGGCGGGAGTGCGCGCTCAAGCACCGGCCGGCCAAGCCGTACCGGCACCCCGTGCTGGATGCCCGGCTGACGCGCCACCGCATCCTGTCCGAGGCCCGCATCCTGCAGAGATGCCGCCGCGAGGGCGTCGCCGTGCCCGCCCTCTACGGCGTCGACGAGGCCGCCGGCTTGCTGGCCCTCGAGTGGATCCCCGGCGCCCCTGTGCGTGTGTGCGTCAACGGCTGGATCGCGCGCCGGAAGGAGAGGCGGCGGCGCCTGGCGGACGGTGCCGTCGGGGACGAGAGCAAGGCGCAAGAGGGGCAGGATAACAGCGAGCCCGCGGTGGTCGCAGAGGTCACGGCTGACGAGGAGGGCGCCGACGTGCTGATGGACCTCCTGAGACGGATGGGCGAGGCGGTCGGCCGGCTGCACAAGTCTGGGGTTGTGCACGGGGACCTGACGACGAGTAACCTGATGCTGCGGCCCTGGGAGAAGGGGAAGGCGCCGAGCAACGGACATGCAGAGACCGAGCAGGCGGCCGAGGAATCGCTGGACGGCGAAATCGTCATCATAGACTTTGGCTTGGCCAGTCAAGGGACGGCAGACGAGGACCGGGCCGTGGACTTGTACGTGCTCGAGCGGGCATTCGGCAGCACGCACCCCAAGGCCGAGGGCCTGTTTCCGGTCGTGTTAGATGGCTACCGGGGCACCTTCAAGGGGGCGCCGGTGGTGCTCAAGAAATTAGAAGATGTGCGGATGCGAGGGCGGAAGAGGAGTATGCTCGGCTAGACCACAAAACAAACGTATGATACCCTTAAAAGGATAGACAAGAATCATGAAGAGACCAATGGCAGTGCCTTATGCTTGATGCAGAAAAATGATGCTCATCTATGCATGCTATATAACGCCGTGATTTCTAGAAAGATGCAGTTCGTGTAAATATTCCGGCCAGACTTTTTATACAAAGGCCGGATCGATTCAAGTCATGATTACTCCTCGAGCTCCGCGCCAGCGAAATATCCCTTGTTCTCAATAACACCTCGATCCTTGACAAACGCCGTGTACTTGACCACCCACTGTGGTACGAGGTTTCCTTGCAACCCGGGCCTCGTGCGCTCGTCCGCCAGGATCCCAGCGCCATCTGGCCCCTGGCCGAGCAGCTCTCTCAGCGTGCCGCTCGGTAGGATATCCGTGCAATCGCTATGCGTGAGGAGCTCGATGTCGGCCTCCTTGGCCAGCTGTGCCAGCGGCGGAGGGACGTTACAGCAGTTCTTAATGTTGATCTGGTCGACGGCCGGCCGCACCTTTACCTTGGTGATGAAATTTGACAACTTCTCGGAGCCAAACTCGGCGATGCCGAGTCTCTGGATCTGACCCTGCTGGTGCAGTGCCTCCAGCGCGGTCCAGGTATACAGCTCCTCTTCGTCGTTGCCCATGCTTCCATTCATCTTGTCGGCTTCCCACTCGCAGTCGCCCTGGAACGACATGCCCGGGAACGAAACAATCAACAGGTCAACATCGGCGACGCCGAGCTCTTTCTTCACAAGATCCATGGCTGCGGTTATGTATTTGGGCCGGTCCGCCGCCGGCGCCGTCGGCAGGAAGAAGAGTTTGAGTGTGATCTCGTACTGCGCCCTCTCCTCTTGCAGACCGGCGCCTGACCAGTCGATGCGTGGTACATATAATGCGTCGCCGTCCCTCTGCGTCCATATGTCGGTGGCCGGCCGGTCGCCGTTTATTTGTGACGAGGGCTTGCCATTGGTCGCGGCATCCTTTGCGCTTCCATTGGTTGAAGCAGCGCCATAGTCCTGTTGCGCGGCCAGGAAACTGCTGCGTAGGGAGTTGGTGAACTCGAGGTTGGATCGATAGGCGCCGGGCTTCCGAATGATGGAGGGGCCGCCCGAGATGATGTTCCTGCTCGTTGCAATTAGTAACGCGAATTCCGCAGGCTGGGCTGCCGAGGCAGTAAGACATTGACTGCGTTGCGCCGCACGTACCCGGTCGACAGGATTAGTCTGGTCATTGTCCGCGAGCTGCTCTGCCCAAACAGGCCGAGTCTCTCCAGACAGGAGAATACGATTCCCATTGGGACTTTTTGTAGCCAGCGTCTGCCGCAGGGAGACTCTGCTCTGAATCGCAATCACGGGTGGAGGGGTAACTAGAAAATATCTCCACGGTCAAGTGGGGTGGATTTATGGCCGGCGCCGCTCGAGGGATCAGACCACAGTCCTGTTCACAGTAGAGTCAGAGAGCAGTATAGCGGCTAGTCAGGTCGACCGGGATGATCCGGCGCAGCGAAGCTGGAATACTGGCTGGCAGGCCGCAGCTGAATAGATATCTCAAGTTAGAAGACTAGATGCATATGTAGGTGAAGGATAGCGCCGTGGTCGGGAACACCGATTTAGGTCCGAAGTTTGTCAGCAAAGCACGGAACCGCAGGTAAGCATATCTATCCAAGGGCGTGGGCTCGGAATCGGGTGCTGATGTCAACCAGTTGACATTCTCATGATAATGACTGGCACTTGCCGGCTTGATATAGTGAACGTCTGCCCACACCACTCGAGAGTGTCACGCATTTCCAGCCACTCAGCAGGCCTGGTCGTCTCCGCGGATAGCTTCCGGCCAAATGGGAGCATTCTTTGACGACAATGCAGATCCGGGTAGTGTGTTTGTCAATCTCAGGGCGTGCCCCCCAAAAGCCCCATGGGGTGAAGTTGGCACCGCGAGACTTGAGTTGAAGGCGAGCACCCTGTTCCAGCGCTCCGGTTTGTCACTTTTGCGCCACTGCCGTGGGACTGCCGTGGGGTGAGGTGTGAATGGCTGCATAGAGGCAAGGTTGAGAATGATGCTGGTTCAAGGCAGGCTGAGGTAGACTTTCCTATCCCGTAGGTTTGTTTGCAGCCCGGTGGTACCAAGCGTGTGGGGGTAAATGGGGCATTCTGCAAGTATCCCTCTGCAAAAAGTGAGTGCACGCGGGCACTCCCCCTCTCTAGGACTTGAGCCGGGCATCGAGTGAGATCATAGGCACGGGAGCAGCGAGAAAGAATACATCATTTCGTAGCTGCCAGTGCAAGGGGTTGCACTCGTTGAGCGAATGGCGAATCGATGAAGACCTCCATGGCAAGCCGCCTGAACATAAATGAGGATAGGGGGGCCATGGGGAGAGGCTATACAGGTGCAGCGCAGGGCAAACATGTAGCAATCAGTTTCAAGAGCATCTGGACGATACAAGAGCAGGCGGGCCTGGCATTTGCGTAATTGTTATCGCCTATACTGGAGATGACAAGCAAATGATATAAGTAATAGTTGACAGTATCAACACGTAACTATAGGACCAGAGAGCACAACTTAGACTGTACGGAACGCTCTATACATTGCCAGGCCGCTGGGTGTCGGCGGGCAAAGCGGGGGATTACCTAGGTAGGGCCGCTCTGGAAGCTTTGGACCAGTGTCCCAGTGTCCCAGTGTGCCCAGTGCCCTGTGCTCAGCGGCTGAAAGCGCGCCCGCAACCAACGCAACTCGTGGCCGACCTTTCTGACCCAAGGGTGCATGTGGCAGAAAGGCAACTGCAGCCAATATCGGGTCCACCAACGTTTTGCTCTACACAATCCGTGAACTCCCAAGACGTCTTTCAGACCTTTTCCTCCTCCCTCCTCTCCAGTGGTGGTGCGGAAGCATCATCATCATCACCATCATGGCCATCAAGTAGGACCTCCCCCCGTGTCCCATCGAGCGCCGTCCCTGGTTGCTAAGACTAAACTCCCACACAGCTACCTCATCCTCCTCTCCAGGCAGGGCAAGGTCCGTCTGGCAAAATGGTTCTCGACACTATCTCCTAAGGACAAGGCCAAGATCGTCAAGGACGTCTCGCAGCTCGTTCTGGCCCGGCGCACGCGCATGTGCAACTTCCTCGAGTACAAGGACACCAAGATCGTCTACCGCCGATACGCCTCGCTCTTCTTCATCGCCGGCTGCGACTCGGACGACAACGAGCTCATCACGCTCGAGATCATCCACCGATACGTCGAGCAGATGGACAAGTACTACGGCAACGTCTGCGAGCTGGACATCATCTTCTCCTTCACAAAGGCCTACTACATTCTCGACGAGTTATTACTGGCAGGCGAGCTCCAGGAGAGCAGCAAGAAGGCCGTGTTACGATGCATTGGACAACAAGATTCCCTGGAGGACATGGAGGTAAGCTCGCGGTCGACGACTTCTCTTGCTTCCTCTTTCTTTTCCACCCCCCTAAGAGCGACTCTCCTCAGAGTCCCGACACCGTCGCTGACACTATCTTCTTGCACCCATCAGGTCGAGGACGAGGTTACGAAGATCATGTAGCGAATTTCACTTGTGTATATTGGCATCAGAGGCCCAGGGCTGGCGGCATGGGCCCGCGTCAGGCGTACAGGTTTCTCAAAGATAAGACACTTGGTCATTTACCGGATGCTAATAAAAACTGTTTCAATGGCACAACAGGACTCCGAAGAGGCCACAGCCGCACTGAAAGCGAACGGGCTCATATGATGACGAATCGCTTGGGGAGATACGCAGTGAAGAGAAAGGGGGCGACTCGCGCCTCACCGCGAGGCAGCAGTACAGGAAGACGGTTGATTGACTTTGTTGGTTCTTGGAAACCGTGACTCTTGCACCGGGAGCATAGCATCTCAAATCCAATTTCTTGGATAGGGGCATCTAGTAGCGGGGTATACACCCAACAATTCATGGCGTGGGACAAGCACGATGACGATTGCGAATGTCAGCCCGGGAAAGTACGGCACACAGGCACGTTGCAATGAAGTGCTGATTATCCCCCCCCCCCCTCTCGTTCAGCCCGTGGTGTGTGCGACAGGACAGCAGCAGCAGCAGCAGCGACAGTAGCAAGAGGGCTCCTGGACAGCCGCGAAGCCTGCTCGTGGCATCTTGACGTTCTCTCATTCGTTTAGCCCTCTGGGACCGGCGGCGTGGTCGGTGGGTGCATGAGTGAGCGAAGGTGGAGGTGCCCACCCCCAGAAACGGCCTAGCAGGTCAAGCGGCCACCCAGCAGCAGCCCAGCAGCGGCCCAGCAGCAAGCCCAGGCAAAGGCACCCCGCCCAGCGCCGCTGCGGACACGGACGGGGACAACGCAACGGCCCATTTCGGACACGTCCAACTCTATCGCGCCATGGCCCTCAGCCCGCTGCTGTCCGCGCCGGGGGACTGACTGCAAGACCCAGCTTTCCTGACCAAAGGTGCCCGTTGCCGCCCAGATGTGTGTTCGTGACATGCTTGCCTGTGAATCCCGCCGGGGTTTCTGGGCCAATTTGAAGCAAGCGCACCATCGAGAGGGTTTGTTCTCTCTCGTAAGCCCCAGGCTTATCGCTGTCGCCTTACCTACACCAACCTCCAGCTAGGCACACACTGTATGTAAGCTTTGGGTCTACCATGCGTCCTGCGTCCTGCGCCCCGCGCCCTGCCAGCGGGTGTCCGGTGTCCGAATCCTGACACGGCTGGGTCAGACAACACCTCACCACCCAACACCCGGCTGATCGTCAAGTGCTCCTTCTCGTTCCATTCGCTCCGATCCCCTTTGTTCCTCCCCTCCCGCCCTGCTGAACAACACAACCAACTTCCAAACCACGCCCAGATACCCGATATACACATTATGTCTTCTCGCCTCTCTGCCTGCTAGACGGTCTCGTCTGGCACGTTCGATCACTCGGAACTGATAAGCAGGGACCGAGCCAGCGTTACGTGTTTGCTTGCAACCGCCAACCGCCACACGGCGCGCCATCTCCCTTGGACATAGACACGCAAACGACACACAGCATACACTCACCACCTTCGATTGGGGTTCGGTCATCGGTCCCGCGATTGTTATATTTGCCAGGCGCAAATCGCTGCGACAACCACTACACGAACCCGCACACCGGACTACAACGAGATCGACGTCATTGCCATTGTTCGCAACAGCCCGACCGCAGCGACCACGACCTCATCTTCAGCAGTACTGCTGATCCACTGACACGATGAAGGTGCGCAACCTATCTGCCGGATCGCATCCCCGAGTTGCGCATAAATGACATCCGCTGACTCTTATCAGTTCCTCCCGCTCCGCGACTTCGACACCGTGACCTCGTCACTCAACTTCACAACCCCTGATCTGCGCGTCAACGGCGGCTGCGATCTGTACACGACGAAAGCGGCAGGGTCCGATAGGAAGCTATACAAGTCTATCGACCAGTCCCTCGAGTCGCGCCATGCCGCGCTGCTCAAGTTTGGCGCCTCGCTGTCCCCGCCGCAGCGGGAGCAGATGGCCGCCTCTCTCAATCTGTCGCGCTCGAGTCCCTTTGGTCCGCTGTCGGATATCCAGAGCCGCCGGACGTTCGCATATCTCATTGCGACCTTGAACGCGAGCCATCCTGATTACGATTTCTCGCACGTTCTCAGGCCAACCGATTTCCGGCGCGAGCGTAATCTGCGCCGGCTGATAGCAAATGTGGACAGCACCCTCACCAACGTGCGCCCGCAGTCGTTTCTGTCGCCCAACCTCGGGTCTTCGTACCGCGCGCATGGCAGCTCGCCCTCTAACTCCGCCACGGCCATCAGCAGCCCAGCATGGGGGCCCCAAATGTGGGCCATGATTGATAAGGAAATGCAACTCAAGAACTGCACGTGTTTCTCCTACCAGCCTCCAGACGACCCCTTTGATGGCGAGGAGGCTGCCATTTGGAGAATGCACTACTTCTTCTTCAACAAGAGTCTCAAGCGGGTAGCCTACCTCTATCTGAGAGGTGTGCCTATCATCATGCATTCATCGCCCGCGCTGCGACCCAACAACGGAAGGCGCGGCAGCAACTCGCTTTTGGCTTCGTCTGTATCATCTTCTGGTGCGAATAAGCGCGCAAACTTTTGGCTCGGCGACAGATTTGCGGACAGAATCATCGAGAGCGAAGGTGAAAACGACTACGAAGATGACGAAATGGAGATATATGACCCCGATGAGGACATCGATTTCGATCCCCTGAATACTCAGAGTAGCCGTGAGAACAGCGAGGATGAAAACCTCCAAAGCGACAGCGAAAGCGAGGAAGATGATGACGACGACAAGATGGCGAGCAGTCCTATCCGTGGAGTCAGTGAGGACATAGCGGCGCGGATGGAACTCGAGTAGTACCTCCGCGGTGTTTCCTGGTTGTTTGCAGCATAGCTTCACGCCAGTATGACAACGTTGGGCAAATTTCATCCCAGCGTGCCATCACGTCTTCAAATTCCTACGGGATGAGCCGTCCAAGACTTCAACAGTCACAACACACATCAGCCCCTTGGCTCTAGTCTATCTCTAGGACCCCACGAGCTTGCTTACGAAGTTTGATTTGCCTTTCTTGCCTGTATTGATTTTCTTACGGTTTGGCCAGGGTGTACGAGGAAGGTCTCTTGTTTCCCGGCTCGGCGTTATGGTCCATCGGTTTGGATCGGGGCGGAGCGTGTGTGAGGCGCCCATTATACCCCCCAGTTTCCGCGAATGCTTTTATTTCCTTTCTGTTATTATTTGAATGTTGCTTGCAATGTCTTCTGGGTCTAAATGCATTGGCACACGAGCTTACTGGTTTTGTTTTGGCCACAACGGTTGGGTCAGTGGTGAGAGGACTGGCCTCTACCAGCACGGAACGGATATATGAACTAAAGGGAGGCCGCGCAGTACAAGTAGCGGATCTGGCAGCTTTGCTACCTGCGTGGACGCCGTTTTTGAGTGTGCTGGCATACGGCAAATTGCTCATTATGAAACATAAAGGAACAGTTCATAGGATGACGCGATGAAATTTACAATTGTTCGAAATAAACATTGGAAAACTGCAACCACCATTTGAACAGAATACATCACCGGTGGATAAGACATGAGGCCTTGACAGGATTGTTCATTTTGCTATTATATGGCTGCTAGGCCAAACCCGCGAGCCCTTCTAAGTGGTTCCCATGCCCAACTCTTGAAACGCCATCGCTATGCAACTTCTAAATGTACTTACAACAGACGGCCTCCAGATACATTCATGCTCTCATTATTCACACCATTCCTCGTTCCGCTAACCATGACCCATCCAATCTTCACAGCCACGTTCGGCTCGAGCTAAGCCGCTTGTAGCTCTTGCCGTACGTGCCGTCCGCGAGCAGGTTCGCGCCGCTGGCGGTCGACTGGCCGCTGAAGCGCCCGCGCCAGGGCCGGCTGCTGGCCTCCTCGAAGAAGTAGTGGTTGGCGGACTCGGCGTAGGCGACGCGCCAGGGGACGACGAGCTCGCGGCCGCGGGGCCCGCCGCCGCAGCTGCCCTCGAGCTGGCGGGCGGGCGGCGAGTTGACGGCGAGCGCGAAGGCGTTGCGCGGCTCCGTGTAGTCCGTCACCATGCCAAAGACGAAGACCAGGTACGCCAGGCACAGCACGTTGACCAGGAACACCAGGCCCAGCACCGGGTAGAAGACGGCCTGCCACGCGGCCGTGTGCGCCGACGCGTACTGCTGCGTCTTGACCGTCGCGTTGAAGGCCTCGTAGACGCCCGGGCTCAGCTCCTGCGACGCCCCGTACGCCGCGTCCCAGTACGGCCGGTACGTGGTCCCGACCGAGCCGATGATGAGGGTCGAGCTCGCGAGCACGGCCAGGCCCTCGGCCATGGACGGCAGCATGGGCGGCAGCCGCGGCGACTCGAGGATCAGGTTGGTCAGGATCCGCGCGTTGGACGCATTGTTGTTGCTGACGCCGCCGTTGAGGTCCATGCTGAGCCGCCACTGGTCCGCCATGTTCTTCCAGTCGACCGAAGGCGCCACCGGCAGCCCTGGTGCCGAGCGCTCGTAGGCCACCGTGTCCCCCGGGTCCTCGCAGTGCGACCGCATCTGGGCGCCGGCGATCCCTGAGATGTTGAACTGGGTTGAGCAGCTGGACGACATCCACGAGCGGATCTGGCAGAGTGTATAGTCCTCGATCCTGCCGGATTTGGCGAGCAGGTAAAGAGAGTCCGAGCTGACGACCGTAGTGTTGGTTATCATGTTGTAGTCTATCGGGAACTGTGCTCTTGTTAGCAAAACACCTCCTGATATCTGAAGATATAGATGGGACGCACCAATTGGAAGACAGGTGGACGACGCTTGTACTTCTCTCCCCATCGGAAGACATCGTCCACCACAGTCCTGTTGAGCCATTCATTGTCGCTCACGACCGGCACATCTTTGTACCACTCATCGTACCCCTTTTTCTGGCCTGGGACTTCGGTGTCATTGTTGATCGCGTTTGGCCACGTTGTATACACCAGCGGGGCTAGGTCAGCTTCGGCAATATTTGCACAGAGAACATTGGTCGTTGGTGACGCAACACTGGCGCGAATCTGGTACTCTCCGACTCCAGATAGGTCGTTGGGCTGTAGAATGCCGTTGATGGGGTCTGTTGCAGCCGAGTAGACTCCGGGGTGCGGCATTGCCAAAGTCACATTGTTGATGATTCGGTTGCCTTCACGGGTCTGCTTTGCCGGGTTGCTAAACTCAGTTTCAATCCACGAGGAGTAGAGGGTCGTGTTGTCATAGAGAAGCGCAGTTGAAATGGGTCTCTCCTTGATATCCTCAGTCGAGACCGTCGAACTGCCATTATCAAGTTCCTGCCACGTCTTCATGAATGCGAGTAAGTTTCGATATGATTGGCCCGAGTAGTAGACATCGAGGCACGAGGGAGCCGAGTTCCACTCATCAAGGGTCTTATTGATCGGCGTCGTACAAGTATCCTGTACGAAGTACGGGTTGCCGTAAGAGGCCTTGACTAGTCCGCGCATTTCCTGGTACTCCCAACCACCAAATATCAACTTTGGAGTCACCATCGCGTCGGATGCTGTCGTGTAAAAGATGCCACTCAACGTGGCCAGCAGTGTCAACACCCCGAGAAACGTGCTGCCAGCATATGGGATGCTGTCCCAGTGGGTGAACAAGGAACCGGGTTGGATCACCCAGTTGCGCATAGTCATTTCAGCCAGCGTCACTCCTTGAGACGTCTTGACAAACGCTCTTCTCGTCAAGACCTGCCCCACAAATGCAACAAACACTGTGACGAAAGACAACTCGGTGGTCTTTGCGAATAGCGCGGTGACGAGAGAGGCTGTAGCTGGTGCAATTGAGTGGGGGTCATTGCTAGAAGAAATCCCCTTGCCGTATCGCGGCTGCACGATCGACACTACGAACCAGAGCCCGCTCAATAGAGTTGAATATACTGAGAAGATGATGAGTGTGACGTAAAGCCAACTTGACCGCCGGACGTGAACATCTCTTCTCGAATGACAGTCCATTGGGGCTTGGCCTGTTTCTCTGGGTTAGGAATTGCATGGGGTCAGATGGGCACACCGGACGTACTGTATCTTAAGGAGAAGTTGTCGGAATCCCGGCCATCCTCGTCCTCTGAGATTGGGTGTAGATAGTTCGGATCGCGGTCTGACCCTGGCGAGCCCGGGAACGCGGTGCCTCGAGTCGGCATATCCCTAGTAGCTTCATAACGCGGCGCCGGCCCCGAGTCTTTGCCCCATGATGACGAGAGAGACCTCTTAAGCATCTCCGTGAACTTGGACTTCCTCGACGGCTTGCGGAGCGCCGGCGTGACGTTGGCTACCTCAGGCGTTGTCTCCATCTGGGGATCCGCCTGTGATACTGCGATTTCTGGTGTGGACGTGTACCCATATCCAGTCTCAACTGTTGACACCGGAGACACAGATCTGTATTCGGTGAGATTCCCCGTGGGGGACCGTATCGTGTTGGGAGACACGGCCCTTTCACCCTCCATTGTCGGTGACAGATGCGTGGCCGTGCCGCTCTCGGCAGCTTCTCTGCGCGATGAGTTGAAATCGGTCAGGTCGATCTCCTTATCATCAGAGGTCATTCTTTGATACATGTGTCTCTGGGAAAATGCCGAGGACAGGAAGCCCGAGGACCCTGTCGCTGCCTCATCTTGCGACCGCTCAGCCATATTTCATACCCAGACGCGGTACCCGGCTGGTCTTGACAGATCCTGATTGTGGCTGAAGGAGGGCATACACGATGATTAGCAGATCATGACAGTTCAAGATACGGCGAAATAGCAAGGGACAGAATTCATGATTGGCCAATCGTAGGGAGGACGTCGCGAGTCTAATTTCTGACGTGCAAACAACTGGCACGGTCATGAGCCTTGACGATCAATGCTTAGCGTCGCTGGCGCACAAAGCCACCAACGCGTCCAACGGGCTCCCGCCCATATTGAGATGCGCTTGCCAGGGGCTATTGCCGGGGAATTTCGGCTGTCCCGAGATGAAACTGCAGGTATCCGGTCGCCAAACTGCAAACCACCCACGAAGCCGAAGCGCTCCCCGTCCGTCCCGGCAATCAAGACGCCTGCTCTCAACTTCCAACTGCACATTTCGTTAGCTAGGAACGGGGCTGAGCTGCCTGTAGCTCCACGGTCTGTGCAGCTTTAGCGGCTCTAAGCCCTGAATGACGCTATGAAAACGGGTTGGCTCGCTCTCTGGGGTGCTCCATGTTGCTATTAAAAGCACTGCAACCTCCATCCATGGGTTCACTTCCATTAATGCTAGCGCAAGTATGGGCAGTCGATCCCCTTGGCGTTGAGACGGTCGCTGGCTCCGTAGGAATGTGAAGCAACGATAGGTCGACTGCGACTTGATGCTTTAGGGTTGTTGCGTGAATTTGTTTTTTCTTCATTTGAAAGCAGTTATCGATGTGCAGTCTAACTTGAGACTTCCTGGAAGCCAGGCAGAATCCCCAAGATCCTGTTAAGCTCAGTCAGTGCACGTTAGGACTGCGTCGATTATAGTATCGTACGGTGGAACCGTACTTAAAGTTGCCGTTACGCGAACCTACAGAGCATATGTGATTGATGGCCAATTAGGTCGTGTTTGCATGTGGGAAAACTGCTGTGCGACGATGTTGCCACCAATCAAAGTCGCCCGGACAAGTCACTTTGGGCAACTGGGCAAATCCATAACTGCCGTGTTCGCATGTCTGCATGACCTTAGAAGCATCACAGCCTATCTCTATACGATAGAGTGATAAAAGATATATGCCAAACCTCTCGGTCGACTGTGGTATTATATTCGAGCCAGATATGAAGTGTTCCTAGGTTGATGATGGCGGTGGAGGATCATATTGATACGCAAGCTAAGGCTGCCCTTCCCTTAATAAATACCCACGAATTATGTACATTGAAATATATTTTCAAGTCTATCCATGTGTTCGTACCAACCTATGCATTGCATATTTACATTATGCGTACCACTTGCCATGAAGCGGCGAGGTCACCGCATCTTCTTCTACACCGAAGCTCAGATGCCCGTATGTCCTCTCCCCCATGTTCTCGAACTCAGTATAGAACTCGGGCGGCATCTGGACGACGCCCCAGCGGAGCTCACTCTCGGACACACGCTCTAGAAAACTCTCCTTGTTCAGCGCCTCGGTGCTGGAGTGCGTATCCATGGTGGGCCGTGAGCCCTTGCCACCCATCAACGTATGCATCTCGACATCGCCACCACCATCGGGTGAGAAGAACCCGTAATCCCTGTTACCCCGTACAGCATCGCCCTCCTCGTTACTATGAGTCACCGCCGGCAAGGACGGTGGTGGCAGCGTCTCGAAAGGTGATGGCAACGCCTGAGAATCTCTAGGCGAGGAGTCATCGCCTAACCTGGACAGGGGCGAAACGTGGCACGCGGCACTGATGGCCATCGAGTTGCTACCGACGTTGGTGATGCCCTCAGGTAACTTTCGCATCGATAGAAGGACTGGTACGAAAATCAAGGCCAACGATAATACCAGCATCGTAACCAGAGCTGCGGATGAAAATCCCACGGTAAGAACCGTACGGTCGGGAAGACTTGGGTCGAAAAGATCAAACTGTAAATCACTGAAGTAACCTATAGTGAGGCTTAGGACCTGACGGCAGCCTTTAAGCAAACAATTTTGTAGCTTACCTCCTTGGGAAATGAACAAGTAGAGCGTGTTCGATAGCATCCAGTGTAGAAGAATGCTACAAAGTATGAGAGGGATCGAATACTTGTAAGGGAGTTGTAGCCGGTAAGTCGAGTATTGTTTGCCCCTGCAATGGGTTAGCCGGACGAACGAATAGGAGGTCTGCTGGCACCATGCTTACTTAGGGTCAGTCACTCTTAGCGGACGATATCCAGAGCTGAATTGCGACCACTCTTTTGCCATTTGAAGTCGGGTGAAGAGGTTGTTGTACCTATAAAATGGGTGTCAGTAGTTTGCCCCCTTGCCAGAATGTGTCTTTTATGGACATAGAAAGTTTTGGTGCAGATTCGCACGTCAACAGGGTCCTTGGCTCTCCTAAAAGACTAGTCTCATCTGTTTGCGCAAGAGGTCTGGCGGTTGGGCTTGACAGAAACTCGCTGAAGGGACCACTTACGCCAAGTAGCAAAATGACAGCAGGAGTTGCGGACTGTTGGCTACTAGTACGCCCGCCGTGAAGGTCCAGATGATACCTTCGATGATCGCATTTGGCTGGCTTTCAATGATGGATCCGGACCTATTTGATTATCAGTTGCGTGAATCCTGTCCGACTACCTCAGGAGGCATTGCAACCACTCACACGCCTCTGGAACTGATAGCCTGGTCCGTAAAAATTGCCAATATCAGGATACCGACGGCAAAGAGCAAATAACTAAAGACCCAAACACCTTTTGGCACCACGCTCCAGCGGCGATGTACTTTACCCAGCCATCGCTGAGGACCTGTAAGCACCTTCTGATGCGAGGACCTGGTGGCCCGGCGCATATCCTTCTGATTGACCGTGCACATGCCGTACGTGGTGTTGTCAGGATGCTGGATGAAGGACGCGATGGCGTCTCCTAATGTAACGAGAGGAATCTGATTCTGGCGGCCGAGGACAAAAGTAACGATGATAGCGGTGGCTGTCTTCACCGCAACGCAGATGGTGACAGCAAGCAATAGCGTATTGGAAAGACCAACGTAACAGACGCGCTCCACAGGCTCCACGAGGCAGTAGTCAACCAGGATTTTACCGCCGCCGGGAACCAAGCCTGAAGTATTACTTGGCTGTATGCTGCGGGCCTGTATGCTATTGACGTAATCAAACTCCTGCCGGAAGAAATCGATGTTCCATGTTGACATATTCTCAAAGCTCGCAAAGTCATACTCGTAGGGGTTGTCAATGGCGTAACTCGCTAGTGCATATTTACAGTCGTTTGAACATTCGGCGCCGCCCGCGTTGCTGTAGCGAACTTTCATCTGTTGGGCGAAGTGGAATTAGCGATCAGTCCAACAGACAGATTGAAGGGTGTGCGCGCTCAAGGCCGACTACCAAGGCCCAGAGTATTCTCGACGCCGAACTCACTTACCGCACATTGCGTAGAGAACCAGAGAGAGTTGGGCGCGTTCCCTGGGACTATGGAATCCCAGTACTCGGTCTCATTAGGGGCCAAGTTCCACACTTCATCACGCACCCACCCCTTCGGCTGATCAGCGACAACGATGACGTCCCGGTGAGATCTCAGGCCATCGCAATCGAAATATTCCTTGAAGCAGTCAACCCAGCTGATCTTGGCCCAGCTCGCTCCAGCGGCGGCCGCGGCAGTGATGTTCTTGACCGCCGGCGACGACGAGTTGCTATAGTCGACCCACTTCTGCGCGGCACCATATCCAGTGAAGGCCCCCATAAAAGTATTGTCCCCGCCCAGTTTACGTATCCCAGCGGGCGAAAGCGAAGCCCCGGGAATGTAGTACGCCTCGCCTTCCACAAACCCGCTGCTTGCTATGGTGAGATGGAAGTCCGAACTCCGCTGGTCCGTTTGGAAGATCATACTGTTGAACAGCAGATGCATGGGGATCGAGGAGAGGAGCAGCACGATCCAGCAGCACGTCTTAAATCTGCTGACCTTGAACGTGTTCCTCACCGACGGCACCCCGATCCCGAGGTATGACCCCTTCGCATGCACCAGGTCAACCTCGTGCCTGGAGGGCGAGTTGAGCACCTGCATGAAGAAGTTGGAAGAGGCAAAGATTGCCGTCGACACGACGTTGAGCAGCAAGTGCAGTGCTACGTTGGTCTTGCTCGCACTGCCTCCATCGCATGTCCCCTCGTGGAACATGAAGGACTTTACCAGGCCGCCGGTCTGCGTAATCGAAGCTATCAGGCAGCTGATCAAAATGATGGTGACTATGACGAGGACAATGCTGTTGACATGTGCGGCGCGCCTCCAGTTGCTTGATCGGTCTCCTGGCCGGCGGCGAACACCGATGAAGTCCATGATGCCGTCCCTTCCAACGTTCCCTGATCCTGCGTATTATTCATTAGCCACAATCTCCGTTGCGCATGTTGTTTATGGTCTCAAGTGCGAGAGCAAGAGGCATTGCGTGAGGTGATGGATTCCAAACCCTAGATTTGCTGCGCCACAATCTGTAGATCGTCAAGACCTGGCATTGGGGTTACTATTTTCGGTAAGTTGAGAGTAAGGATGCGAATCCTACCAAGCTAGACCGAGCTACAGACAAGCTTGTCTTGCTTTGACTGGAGTGAATTATTCTATAGTGCGGACTAGATTATGAACACATTTGTCAGCGAGTTTTGAACATTCAGCTGCATTCTTGTGTGTTTCTTTTCATTCGTGACCTCAGGTGGTCTTTCTTCACTGGCGCACTCAAGAGATGAGACTAATGAAACTATCGTTATATGGTCCTTCCATGAACCCCGAGTGGCGAAAGTTCAGATTTTAGGAAAATGCCACAGGTGTGGGCTGAATTATATGCATGTACAATAAGAAACCTCCTATTCCACAGTCCTTCCGTAAGGCCTTGTGGATAAAACGCCATGACGCCTTGCCAACTATCTTTTTCGCTTCCAACACAGTCAACCCTGCCGAGCAGCTGTTCAATGTCCTCCTGCACTCAAGAATTGTGATGTGACAGAGGACCCAGCGGCTAGATTACAGAATTGATATCGATGCTGACACAGATCCCGTAGGGTAAGGAGCAAGAGCATCGTCTAAATACAAAGAGTATGGAAAAATTAGGTATAACACGGGAACGTGGCTGTCGGGTATCATGATGTGGTGGTGGTGATGTTGGTGGTGGGTGTGGGTGTCGTAGTTTCGGTGTGCGTCCCATTCATTTCGGCAACTTCGTGTGTCGAGGGTAACGCTTTCTCCTCCACATGATGGGTCTCAGTGGATGGAGATGTCTTTTCCGATGTTTTCTTTGGATAGATCGAGGCAGTCTCTGGCTCCTCGGGAATCGTGGCAAATCTCTTCAGAACCTGTTTGAGTGCCGGTCTGCGGATCGGCTTCGCGAGGAACTCGTCCATTCCAGATTCCATGCACTCCTTTACATTGCTTTCTTCGGAAAACGCTGTCAAAGCAACGATCGGGGAGTTGTAGCCCATCTTCCGTATCAAGCGTGTACTCTGAAGTCCATCCAAATTTGGCATCTGGATATCCATGAAAATAACATCAAATCGCAGGTTCTTGTCCATGTTGGCTTTGACAAGATCATAGGCTTCCTGTCCATCCTTGGCGATGGTCACATCGTAAATGTCTTCAAGCTTGAGCAGTTTGCTGACAACTTCGATATTGACCGAGTTATCGTCAGCAACAAGGACTCGCAGTTTCCCATCCGGTTTGTTGGCCATTGCACGGTCGATGGCACGCAGATGATCCTCTGCGCTCGGCTTCGGTTTCGCAGCTGCATTTGTCGCAAAGAAGGGATGGCTCAATCCGATGAGACGAGGCTGCTGGTCCAAGACTGTGGCCTTGGCTTCTACAGCTGTTGCTCCTGATATTGAGTTGCTACGGCCGTCTCCATCAGCAGAGACTACGCTGGGCGGTCTCGATTTCATGCTGCTAGAGGCAGTACTTGATGCTCTGGGAGGATACACCATTAGTATTCATCATCCTGTGAGGTCTGGATTTAGCTTACCTGTCCTTTGTATACTTCAGTGGTATGTGCATTGTAAAAGTAGTTCCAACGCCCAGAGTGCTCTTGAGCCCAATAGAGCCTCCCATCAGACCTGCAAGCTGGTGGCAAATGCTGAGACCAAGTCCGGTACCGCCAAACTTCTTGCTCAGCCCCAAGTCGCCTTGCACGAAAGGCTCGAAGACGCGCTGCTGCATATGTTCCGGGATACCCGGGCCTGAGTCTTGAACTTCGAATTCGAACATGTATGCCTTCGCGCTGGGCGGCGGCGGAGTAGGCGATCTTTCGCGTACGTGGACATGAGGCGTTGCTTTGGGATCTAACGGGTTGATAGCCAATGCGGTCCCAGCCTTGTTGTAGGGTTGAGGTGTTGTGGCTCCCTTCGAGCTTCCAGAATGGTTGGACCGATTAGACCCAGATCCCATTCTATGGCGGGTTCGTCCTGCACGGCCCGATCCCCTCGAAAACGATGAAGTCCTACTTTCGTCGAACGGCTGTTCCACTTCTCCTATGCACCTAATTCTGACCGAGACCTTGCCTTCAGCTGGTGTGAATTTCAAACTATTGCTGACGAGGTTGATTAGGACCTGCAAGATCCTATGCTGATCACCCCAAAGACACATATCCTTCAATCTGCCCGCGCCCTGAGGACCCATAGCTGGCAACTTGGGATCCACTATCTCCATGCTCTCGCGCTCAGGGCTCCTACCAGGATCCCAGTCGGTGCTCAGGAACGTGACGGTAAAATCGATCTTGCCTTCGCGAACTTGTTTATCGAAGATTGTCAGTATCTGCGACCTGATATCGCCAAGTCTGAATTCTTTCTCCTCTAGATTCAGCTGTTGGCCTATCTGGTTCTTGGAGAAGCTCAGCAAATCTTCCAACAGATGAAGTAGAAGATCTCCCGACTTGTAAAGTGTCTTCAGAGACTGCTTGATCCTAAAGATATCATCTTCTTCCATACAAACAGCGCACATCCCCAAAATGCCATTGAGGGGCGTCTTCAGCTCGTGGGAGATGTTGGCAATAAATAGCGTTTTGCTCTCATTCGCCGCCTCGGCAGCTTTTTTGCTGATTTCAAGCTCGCTGGTCCGCTCAGCAACTTTCTGTTCGAGGGAGTTGTACTGCTTCAGGAGTTCGTCGCCCATATCATTGAACACCCGGGTCAGCTCTGTCAGCTCGTCGGTAACGTAGTGTTTCGTGTCCTTGACTCTGCCTGGAATCTTGAAGACCCGTCTCCGCGGATCGCTGTCGTGTTCTGACGGGGGTGGCTTGCGTTTTCCTCGGATCGTCCTCTTCAGAGCTGCAAGCCAAGTCTTTTCCGACCTGCTTGAAACTCCAATTGATGTAGGATGATCGAGGTTGCTGTCATGATCGAAATCCAGCTCGTCCATATCATCGTATCCAGGTGGCGCCACGGACTTTTCCGTGGCCGCCACGAGCTTGCGAATAGGCTGAACACTGAAATGGGCACAGGGCACAATGAGCAGAAGCACGACCCCCACCGTCCCAAAGACACAGCCAAGAATGATATTCCGCAATGTTGTGATAGGGGCGTAGGCCTCGCTCCGATCCTGCTCCACTACCAGTGTCCAGTTTACGAGACCTGTCTGGGGGCGTGCATAGCCTACAGCAACCGGGACTCCCTGTTCATTGGTTGTCGACAGCATACTGCTGGCGTTGTTAGCAGCAGTGTTGCGCTGCGTGAGTGCTGCCAGCACAGCAGGGTAGTCGCCGACTCGGAAGGTACGGTCGGGTGCCCCGGCGGCAAAGCTACGTTGCGAGTGTCTGTCGCCGTTACCGGAAGAGACGTCTGGCGGTAGGACAAAGTCGACCAAGACGTCTGACATATTTTTGGCAGCATCGTTGACGGCATTGACTGGTAGGTTGTACCTGCTGAACCTGTTCCAGCCTGTGTTGGGACCAATCACGAGCAGGGAACCAGTCTCCCCTAGTCCTTCCCGCGAACTGACGATTCCAATAAGAGAACTTGACTCGGATATCATGGTCATATAGCCAAGGATTGCGCTGGTGTTCTTGTTATCTCGTACAGGGACTGTCAGTGATACCAAGGCATAGGTCGTGTTAATAAACAAAGGGCCTAGTATGAGTCCGTTGACGGACGTGTCGATCCTGATGTCCGGCCAAGGCCTCGCAATCATCAAGGTCGAGCCATTGTTGAGCGGATCCGGATCGTTTGATGGGTAATACGTGATATTCGGATACAAGCTCGGCGGGTACCCTAGTTCGGTGTCCGCCAGGTAGACAGCGGATCCATTGGGGCTTTTGTAGGGCAACAAAATGCTCGGGGGAGATAGAGAGGTGATGTTGAGCAGACCTCCTGCATTGCCTGTGGTGTTCCTGGAGAAGATCTTGGCTTGTAGCAGGTTAGTCGAGGAATCGCCGGCAGCCTCGAGAGCACTTTGAAGATCATTCGTGGCCTGTGCGAAATTCTCGACAGTCGTGTTTCCTAAATAAAAATTTCGCAGAGACTGTTGGATCAACAAGCGTGTGGCGATGGTTTTGGTGGTCGTCTGCAACAGCTCGATCTCGGACGAAATCTGGGCGGCCTTCAGCGAGGCTGCCAGTGCCAGCTGGTTGGTCTCGACATTGACGACAAACTTGTTGACATAGATCCACGTCGGTATCGAGAGAATGGCGAGCGAAACCAAGACAGCCAGCAGTACCAGGGCTGCCAACTGCTCTCGTATGGCGACTCTCATGGTGGTACTGCCAGTCAGGCCGACTGAGACACAAGACTACAAAATTCGTCGTTCCGCATGCATTCTCCTAGCCTCTCGTGTCGGTGCTGCGCGTATGAGCTCAATTGTGTCCTCCACCGAGAGATCGTCCGCTAGAAAAAGGTCGGAGGTGGCTCCGGGTGTGTGTGTACACGAACGGCTCGAGCTGCCCTAGACAAAACACGGCAGAAAGGCGAAGACCGGAAGGGGGTCGCGCGACGCGCTGTCGCAAGATGGGGAGCCTCGACCACCTATCGTCGAGTGCACAGAGACACAGTGAGGCTCGGGCCACTCGTGTCCTCGTCGAGTCTGAGCAACGTCGCCCCGTAGGATTCGTTGCGAGGGGAAGGGTAAAGGGACGTAATGGCAAAGAGCGTTGGGATTGGGACAAGTGAGTAAGACCACAATGCTCGTCCTGCAGGACTAAGGTATGGCAGACAGACCACGAAGTGAGGGTGGACTGATCGGGGTTTAGCGCCGCCGGAGCTGAAGACGCGGCGCCTTTGGCTCGTTTCTGTGGTATTGGCCACAACCCCGAGCTGCAGTTCCAAGGGCCCCCAGCCGCGCAAGCCCACTAAGTTAGCTGAAGGCAGTCAGTCTTCTCGTGCGAATGCCCGGATGATGCTTTGGCACGTCGGGTCGGGAGATGCTCAAAGGACCCTGACTTGGCTGAGAGGTCGAGACCAGGTCGCTTGCGGCTCTGCACCTGATAGTCGTGGTGATCGGCAAGACGAAGGGGAAGGAAGATCGCAGGTGGAACGAGCGATGGGCACCCGCTAAGTCGGGGGTGGGAACTGGGTGAGAACAGCCGAGAACTCCAGGATTCCCAATCGCGCTGTGGTCGGCAAGGTCGGGTCGGGTATGTATGGGGATGCAGTTCGTCGACGTGGCGAATGGGAATGCGGTTGGCGTCTGAGGCAGGCGAGGCAGTCAAGACAAGACAAGAGAAGAGGCTGTTTAGCAGTGGGTAGCCACGTTTTGCAGCTCTGCACGCAAAATTGAGTTGAATCTATGTTCCTCGTGCGTCGGCAGGCAAGGCAGTCAAAGGGACGGGACGCCAAAGTCAATCAGACAATCCCATCTCATCTCATCTGTCCCCAAGATTTGGCAACATGTGCGTGGGGCTACTCATACAGCGGCCTTTTCTTTTTCTTCCCCCCTCCCATTCTGTTTTTCTTCATAAGCAGAGTCCCGGCTGGCAGGGAAGAACCCAGCAGAGCCCGGCAGCACTTCGCTCTCGCCGTGGACTGGCTTTGACTGGAGTTGCTCGAATTGGCTTTCTCTACCAGACTGTCCACAAAAAACGGCCGTGGATCCGCAATGGGCCAGGGACAAGGGCGTGGGGAAATGAACGAGAGAAACGCAAGAAGCGCGCAGGGGCTCGAGGCTAGAAGTGGCCTAGACTGGAAACGTGCAGGGGTTGGGCGACCATCCGCATGCTACCCTGTCGCTCTCGACTGTGCCGATCGCGATGGCCGTCTGAGCCCCTCATGAACGTAAGTCGTACTGTAATGACTACATAGTAACTACGTGGTCATCGGTAGACACAATGCGACACGGTCCGGGAGGGTATACTTCGCACATACCATAGTATCACGTTTGAAGAGCACCTCCATACAATGATCGCCACCATCGACTAGTCACGCCGCGCACCGTAGTCTGGTAGTGGTCGACCTTCCTTAATACCTTGGGGAAAGATGTAAGGAAGGCTTGGGCCCTTGTTTTTCTTCTTCCTCTTCTCCTTGTTATTTCGATGTACCATAAAAGTTTTATCGTACTTGGTGCTGACCACAGATGCAGGTGCAAAGTCTGATACGACGTCAGGTCTTCAAACGAACTTATTCATGTGCTACCACAAAAGTAGGGTGCCCGAAATCTGGAAAGTTGTCAGATCGCATGCCCCGTAATTAGATCGCATACTCACAATCCCCTCCCGAGTCAGCCTCGTAAGATGCATCCTACACGGTAAATCATAGCGTGCCGCCCTGACTAGTATACCATGTGCTCTTCGGCCGCTAGAGCTAGGCACAATGCCGTAAGGTTGCGTTTGAAGACGGCCTCAGCTGCTAGAGCAAATAACCACTGCCGCGGTATTATAACTCTGGACTCGAAACAACCTTGAAGTTGCTGTGCACTCATTACTGGCCAGTCTTGCTTAGAGCCTTGCCTTGCATCGTACCGCGAAACCGAAAACCTATGTGAAAGAAAGCCAAAGGCTCACAATACCAAACCCCGTCCAAAGCACCCACTTGTTACAATAACATGCCCCATACGCTGACTTGATATCCCCATTTGCGACTGCACTGAACTAATCACTACCAGGGGCTCTTAATATCTTCCCGTCGTGTGATCTTGCGCGGGATTTCGTGGACATATAAAGTAGGGGGGGGGGGTTCGCTTCTGGTCCAAGATGACACCACCGACGTAGCCTATTGGGCTGTTCGTAGTACCAGACGATACTCCAGGCTGACCAGGACTTTACCTGTTACAATTTATTCCCTTAGATATGCTCGCTTCATGGCTAGTCCCCTACTCCGGCAGTTTCCACGTTGCGGGATACGGGCTGCCGATCATCACGGAGCGGGGATGCTTAGAATTTCGACTAGTTAGCCAAGTCAACATCTCCACCTCCGATTCGCCGATGATGACATAAGGCCGGGTCAAATAGAAGCCGGTTATTGTATAAGCGGCCTGTGGAATGCTGGGTGGAAGTGATATTGTGCATCTTCAAGCAGCCTGGCATCGGAAGCAGTTGTTGAGCCCTCCAAATCTCACCCCTACACGAAGTCCCAGAGAATACCAGATCCCCCATCATGGCATCTATCCAGCCACTCGTTCTACACGCCCACGCGACCGGCCCCAACCCCTACAAGATCGCAGCAGCACTCGAGTTTCTCTCGGTGCCGTACACGGTCAAGATGTGGGAGTTCGGAGACGATCCAGAGAAGGGTGTCAAGGGGGCCAAGTTCCTCCAGCTCAATGAGAACGGTCGTGTGCCCGCTCTTGAGGATCCCAACACAGGCGTCGTGAGTTGGGAATCCGGCGCGTGCATGAACTACATTAGGCGTGTGTACGACAAGGACGAAAAAGTGCTGGGGCCTCGGGGCAAGAGCGAGCAGGACAGAGTCGACTTTGAGAAGTGGGAGTACTTTCTGTTGACCACTTTGGGCCCGATGATGGGCCAGAACAATTGGTACAGGTAAGTCTCTCCTGCAATGGACAAGCCCCGAAACAAGCAAACGGTGCAGATTCCTCACCAATTTCATAGGCATTACAATGCAACAAAGAACGAGGACGCGCTGAATCGATACGTCGAACAGTGCAACCGCTGCTACGGAGTTCTCGAGGGCCAGCTGAAGAAGACGGGTGGTGAGAGTATCCTTCCCGGGGGCGTAACGGCGGTCGACCTTCACTTTGAAGCATGGGTCAGACAGCACGGCTTTGCTCAGTTGTCGCTGGACCCGTTCCCAAGCGTTGAAAAGTGGCTGGCAAAGATGGTGTCGCTGCCCGAAATCCAGAGAGCGTATAAGAAGCTGAAGGAGGCACCAGCACCTTGAGGGATTGTATTTAGAAAGGTAGCCAAAGTGACGACAAGTTTCGTTCTTGAGCACCTAGGTAACTAGGAAATGCTTGTTGGACCGAAGATATGCGGGTGTTTAAAGAAAGAAGTTTATACCTCCCTATCCTTGTTTATGTGTGTGCCCTCTTTCGGGGGTAGCAAGAGACTCAGCAGGAAAGAGCAGACACCAGGGTGACTCACGATGCAAATCACAAAGGTGCGATCTCATCCGCAATACATGATGACCACGTACGTTCTTCTCAGAACAAGAAGACTTGCTCAACGCCCAGTCTTTCGGTCACAGGGGTCCTGATCCGACGAAGCTGCCCGACGACGTCGAACGCTGTGCATTGTATCTGAAGTTAAGATCTCACACATAGCTGTGAACAAGACGTCATTCATCGGCGCCAAAACAAAAGTCTTTTTGAGAGATGACCAATTTAGGGCTGCTACCTGTAGAAAGAAATCATCAAGCTTGACTTTCAGGTTATCATTGGCTTGGGGGTGGTGCAGCAGCTTCAGCTCCAGTCCAAGGAAGAAGGAAGACTTACAGACCCGTCGCGTCAAACACGGCAGGCACCACAGGTCAAGACACCGCCCTACAGGCCATCTCGCTGCGTCTCGGATCGGGACGAAATTGCATCTGACTCGGCGACTTGTTTGTTTGCGTATGCGACATCTCGTCCATCCATCCTCACCCTGATAGTCGCGTTGCCTGCAGGCAGCCCCATCCCTTCCTTCACCTGATCAAAACCCATTAAATTGGCGGCGCGCCAAGCCTCGAGCTCCCGTCGCCCTGGTCTCCACTTTTCTCGCGCGGTGACGCGAGCTCCAAAGGACCAGCACTTCGGTTCCCATCTTTTTCTCCAGCCCGTCGGCATCACAACCAAGGCGACGAGCTGCAGCCTTCTTCTCCCCTCCATCCCCTCCTCCCCCATCACATCAATCAATCACCACCGCGTCGCCGATCTCCGTCGCACATCTCCCATCAACGCGGCCCGTCGCGTTCATCGTCGAGATGGCCGATATCAAGATCGACGCCAAGCTCTTCCAGGAGCGCATCAACCATTTCATCACCTCCTGGAAGAATGACAAACGCGCCGGCGACCAGGTCTTCGCCGGCGTCTCCTCGATCCTGGTCATGATGGGCAAGGTCGAGGAGAACCCCGAGTTTCACAAGAACAATGCCATGCACGTACGTACTTGCTCCCCGTGTTCCCAGGCAGCGACCGCGGCGTCGCTGGCTCTCTGCATTCTCAGGCGCTGACTTGCTGTGCTCCAGTTCTGGCTCCTAGGCTACGAGTTTCCGACCACGCTTATGCTCTTCACCCTCGATTGCCTCTACGTCGTCACCACTGCCAAGAAAGGTGAGCCGACACAGAAACCTCTAATTCGTCGCCGCCAAACGGCCCGGCTAACATGATGATTTTAGCCAAGCATTTGGAGCAGTTGAAGGGCGGCAGATTCCCTATCGAGGTTCTTGTCCGCGGCAAGGATGCCGGCGAGAACGAGAAGCTGTTCTTGAAGATTGCCGATGCCGTCAACGAGGCAGGCGTAAGTTGCCCGGTTCTGCCTGCTCGCATCTCATCTCATGCTAACTCGCACTGCCCCGCTGCAGAACAAGGTTGGCGTCATTGCCAAAGACACGTCAAAGGGCCCCTTCGTGGACGAGTGGAGGAAGATCTTTGGCGATAAGTGCAAGGATGCCGAGGAGACCGACATCTCTACTGCCCTCTCCACCGCTGCCTTTTCCGTCAAGGACGAGACCGAGTTGCGCGCTATGCGAACGGCCTCCAAGGCCTGCGTTGCCCTCATGAACCCCTATTTCCTCGACGAGATGTCCGACGTGCTTGACCAGGAGAAGAAGGTCAAGCACAGCGTCCTCGCCAACAAGATGGACTCCAAGCTTGACGATAACAAGTGGTGGAAGTCGGTCGAGCTCCCTAACAAGCAGAAACTCCCGTCCGACTTCGACCCTGCCCACCTCGATTGGTATCTCGGCCCCTCGGTGCAGAGCGGCGGCAAGTACGACCTCAAGTTCCACTCCGAATCCACCAACGACAACCTCCACGCTGGTATCATCATTGCCGGTATGGGTCTGCGATACAAGTCTTACAGTTCCGCTATCGCTCGAACCTTCCTCGTCGACCCCAACAAGTCGCAGGAGAGCAACTACAAGCTACTGTTCGCGGTCCACAACCTGATTCTCAAGGAGATCCGAGATGGCGTCACCGTAAGCGATGTCTACAAGAAGGCCGTGGGCCTAATCAAGTCCAAGAAGCCCGAACTCGAGAAGCATTTCCTGAAGAACGTTGGTGCCGGCATCGGCATTGAGAGCAAGGATACGACCCTGCTTCTGAGCGCCAAGAACTCGAGGACACTGAAGGACGGCATGACTCTATGCATCACCACCGGCTTCCAAGATATCGAGAACCCTCAGCCGCAGGATAAGCTTAGCAAGACATACTCTCTGGTCATTACCGACACGATCCGCGTCACGCCTACCGAGGCCGTCGTCTTCACAGGCGACGCTCCCACCGAGCTGGATGCCACCTCATTCTTCTTCAAGGACGAGGAGGATGAGAAGCCGACGCCCAAGAAGGAGAAGAAGGATTCTCGCGTCGGTGCGGTTGCTACTAAGAACATCACCAACACGAGACTCCGTTCAGAGCGCACGACACAAGTGGATGATGAGCACGACAAGAAGCGCCGAGACCATCAGAAGGAGCTCGCCTCTAAGAAACAGAAGGAAGGCATGGCCAGATTCTCCGAATCCACCAGCGAGAAGAATGGCGCCGAAGTCAAGAAGTTCAAGAAGTTCGAATCTTACAAGAGAGACAACCAGTTTCCCAGCAAGGTGAAGAATCTGGAGATTATTGTCGACCAGAAGAACTTGACAGTCATCCTCCCTGTTATGGGCCGACCTGTCCCCTTTCATATCCACACCATCAAGAACGCCAGCAAGAACGATGAAGGCGAATGGTCATTCCTCCGAATCAACTTCTTGTCCCCCGGTCAGGGTGTTGGTCGGAAGGATGACCAGCCGTTTGAGGACGCTTCTGCCCAGTTTGTCCGCAGTTTGACCTTCCGCTCCCTTGATGGTGACCGTTACGAGGAGATTGCCACTCAGATCTCCAATATGAAGAAGGAAGCTACCAAGAAGGAGCAGGCCAAGAAGGAGATGGAGGATGTTGTCGAACAGGACAAGCTCGTCGAAATCAGAAGTAAGTGTAACCCCAAGTCGTTAGCCCTCCCCAGCGCTCTGCTAACCCGGACCAGATCGCCGTCCTGCTGTTCTTGATAACGTGTTCATCCGCCCTGCCATGGAAGGCAAGCGTGTTCCTGGTAAGATCGAGATTCACCAGAATGGTATCCGTTATCAGTCACCTCTCAGCAGTCAACAGCGGGTCGACGTACTGTTTTCCAACATCCGCCACCTCTTCTTCCAGCCCTGTGCCCACGAGCTGATCGTGATCATTCACATACACCTGAAGGATCCTATTCTTCTGGGTGGCAAGAATAAGAAGACCAAGGATGTGCAGTTCTACAGAGAAGCGACAGACATCCAGTTTGATGAGACTGGTAACCGGAAGCGCAAGTACCGGTATGGAGACGAGGACGAGTTCGAGGCGGAACAGGAGGAGCGTCGCCGTCGTGCCGAGCTCGACCGCCTGTTCCAGAACTTTGCCACCAAGATCGCAGAGGCTGGGAAGTCGGAGTCCATCGAAGTGGACATGCCTATCCGCGAACTGGGTTTCAACGGTGTGCCATTCCGCAGCAACGTCTACGTCCAACCGACCACCGACTGCCTGATCCAAGTTACCGAGCCTCCCTTCCTGGTTGTCACCCTCGATGACATCGAGGTTGCTCATCTGGAGCGTGTGCAATTCGGTCTGAAGAACTTCGATCTCGTCTTTGTCTTCAAGGACTTCACCCGCGCACCCGCGCACATTAACACGATCCCGGTCGAGTCACTCGAAGATGTCAAAGAGTGGCTTGACTCTTCTGACATTTCCTTCACCGAAGGCCCCCTCAACCTCAACTGGCCAACCATCATGAAGACGGTCACGGCCGACACGCACCAGTTCTTCCTGGACGGCGGTTGGTCTTTCCTTGCCAATGACAGCGACGACGAGGAAGAGGAAGAAGAGGAAGAGGAGTCCGCCTTCGAGATCAGCGAGGAAGAGCTTGATGAGGCCAGCGAATCGTCTGAAGAAGACTCGGACTTCGACAGCAATGCGTCCGCCGAAGCCTCAGAGGAAGGCTCCGACGAAGACGACGAAGGCGAAGATTGGGACGAGCTCGAAAAGAAGGCTAAGCGAAAGGACCGCGAGAGCGGCATGGAGGAAGAGGACCGCAAGAGCAAGAAGCGTCGCCATTGAGCTTAGGTCCAACACGGTTGGTGGGTGCTGATAGTGCGGAATCATTTGTTTTTGGCGTATGTTTTCCCGTATATGGACACATGCAGTCGGGGGATGGGGTATTTCACGGACAGAGCGAGACGCTTGGGTGGAACTTCCTTAAAGATGGTTGTGTCCAGTGGTATGTAGATTATATTGTCGAGGGACAAGGGTATATTTCCTTCCGCTCGAGACCTTGAGCCGCAAGCCCGTGGCGGAAGCTGGCAGCACAGGAGATCGCCACATTTTGGTCAGCGAGATCCCATTACTGTCTCTTGGGCTTTGACATCCGAAAATGCAACGGCGTTGACTGGACCTGGACAATGCAGACTTCGATAATATGTGACGTGACAGGGTGAATCTTAGAGAGTGACTTTAGTGTGCTCGAATTTCCACAACTTAGAGACTCCAGCCTATCACCTACTGTTATGGTGTATACGTCCACTGTGCCAGTTTCTCTGTTGGAAAACCGCAGCGACAGCTTCAAAACTTGGGTTCAACTTGCGTTCCTTGTCGCCAAGCAAAGTTGTACCAACACAGATGACCAGGAATTTTTTTTTTTGGCCTAAGCACGAACTCATGTATAGTAGAGTTTGAACTGATATACAGTGGGATGCGCATATATCCATTCGAATCAAGGGACAGCGCCATGACTAATTGGCTCTGGTCAGGTACGGTGAGGTCTTCGTCCGCCTTCATTTCACCCCATCACTACCGGATACACACAATACGGTCAAAGGTGAACGCGAGATTTAATGAAGTGACTTTATTGTAGTTTTCTCTTTATATTATACACCGTGGACCCGTCCTACGCAGACGCGGGGGGTGGTTCGTTCGCTCATTCGTTCATGGTATCAAAAAGTAGGGCCTATCAAGAGCGCCGACCGACAAATAACAACAAAAACAGCAGGTTTGGGGTATATAGGACCCGGCCTGTACGCCAGCGCAAAGGAGTCGCTCGTATTTCCAAATTCAAAGCAGAAGGGGCGGTTTCCATTCTCTCCCGTCCCTTGGTCCGTCTCATCAATCATGGGGGGTTCATCATCGGTCTCGATCTCCCAACCGTACGTATCATCTCGCCTTTTCTTTTCGTAACTATCCGACATCAGCCAGCTTAGAACCAGCGGCGGCTGGTGGAGCGGACGGGCGGGCTGTCGTAGCGCTCGGCCTTGGCGCTGGCGCGGCGCTTGTTGTGCAGGCGGGCGCTGCAGCAGGTGAAGAAGATGACGACGGTGGCCAGCAGGTTGCAGACGGCGCTGGCGAGCAGGGTCCAGGCGGCGGCGCCGAACTCGGACGTCGCGCCCGACCCGGAGTTGTTGACGGCGCTCTTGAGGATCGAGAAGCCCACAAAGTCCGTGATCAGCACCACCAGCGTCACCAGGAACGTCAGCAGCGCCACCAGGCTCGCCAGGAACGAGCCCACGACGCCCGCGCCCAGCGCCAGCAGGAACGCGATGAAGGACATGCCGGCGGCGACTGGGTGGAGGACCTGGTTTTGCACGGTTAGCGAGCTTGATTCGCGAGAGGAAAAAAAAAAAAGATCGCCTTGCGCAGAGAAGAGATTGGGACCTACCATGACGCGCGTCAGCGCATTGCTGGTGCCGGCCGCATAGTCCGAGAGGTCGATGTCGACCGGGGACTGCTGCTCCAGGACATCGCCGGCGTCGTAGCCGACGTGGGTGCGCGAGCACAGGTCGCCGGTGCTCTGGCGGATACAGTAGCCAAAGGTGCCGAAGGTGACGTCGGGCGTGTATTCATTGTTGTTGTTGGGCAGGACGACCTTGAGGACCGACAGGTTGTGGACCACAGGCGCCGAGATGGACGTGATGATCAGCAGGATCATGGCCACAAAGAGCAGGAAGGACCCGATGTGGTGAAAGAAGCCGGTCTGACGCATCTTGGGCGATTTGTATAGGCGGCGCGTTCGGCGGCCTCGTCAAGGGGGTTGGTTTGGGTTGGCTATTGCGGTTGAGGACGTGGGAATGTTCCTGCGGCTGTGTCTTGCCACTTGGACGAGATGATTCCAGCAACTATGGACAGAATTGGAGAGGGAGAGAGAAGATCGGGATGGGAGCAGAAGCCAGAGCGAGTGGGAGGATGAGGGAGTCAGACGGCATATAAAGATGTTGTCTCAGAAGGGCGATCTCAATTATGCCGACGACAGCGATACTTGGCAGGCAGCCCTGCACACTCGAGGGTCCGCGGTGACAAGCAGCACAAACAGGAAACGGAACGAGGGACGGCTATTCGTCATGTGGCATGCGGTGTATTGAACCGTCGTGAATGGCTGGTTCCGAACTGGCAACTAATCTAACTAAGAGACAGACAGTGAATAGTAGCAAGCCACCCTGGCCACGACGTCATCCGGGCAGGCCCTGGGGCTTTGGGGGTGGACGACGGCACTGGATGTGGGCTAGCCACTGCGCGCAACGGCAATTCGGCAGGGTCTCGTGGGTATTCCCCAAGGGCGGCCCAGGCCCGGCCACCCCAGAGAGTATAGACCATCTCGGTCGAGGGAATCGTCGCGCACGAGCGAGAGTAGGAATCCGGAAAACGCGCTGGTGTAAGTGACGTATGCGCTAGACCAGGAGTCGAATCGGCCCCTGCATCGCCTGGGCGCCGGGTAGGAATTGTGGGGTTGCCGTTCCTTGATTTTGAGTTTGGAGCAAACAGTGACGTCCCGGCACAGCACAACACAGTCAACTGACGCGACACGACATGAGATGACAGTTCCTGTTGCTGCAACCTGCAGGCACAGGCCTCTAGGGACCCCTACTTCGTCGACTAACCTAGCCAAGAAGCCATCCCGCCCAGCCGACTTCCGACGACTGGAGGTCCTCGAGGTTCTACATGACGGGTCCCGAGTTCGAGGGAGCAAGCCAATCGTAGAAGCCGTGAACACAATGCCCGCAGTCCGGTTTGCGCGTCCAGCCATACCAATCTGGACCCCTGCTTGCCTGCAGTTGCTGGCCGTGGCCAGATGTGTTTCACCGTTAGCTATCAGGATGATTCCGCTCCACAGCTGTCCCGCCGAACCCTGCATAAGACATGCCGCAGCCCCGGTCATGATGAGCTGATGAACGATAACAAGCGCGTTAAGGCTTAGGTAACGATGCGTTCGTGCGCTGCTCGTGGCCCTGCTAGCCGTAAATTCGGCTAACCGATACCCAGCTATGCGTCCTCATCGAACTGAGCCCGACCTCAGACAACTCAGACTCTAGCATGTTGACCGTGGTTCCTGCTGTGTCTTTTCGCGATCCCAGTCGGTGATGCGTGTGCAGAGTTGAACGGACAGTTATGCTCTTTCTCCAAGAACTTCTCATCCGTGCCGTGGTATGTTGCGGCCAGTGGTGTATTGTTGTTATTGTCGTGACTTGTGCATCCGTAGTGCTTCATTTTTGAGATGTTCCGAACATATTGTAGAAATTAGATGGCGATACGGGTTCGCTGTTCGAGGCTTGACTGTTCCCCTTACTCTTTCTGCCACCCCTGCTCTTGCTCTCTCTCTTGTTTTTCTCGCTTTTCTTGCCGTCTGATGGCACTTCGCCCCCAAGCAAAGCTCCCTTGAAAGATCCGTCGCTCATGAGAGATGTCCCATGCCCAGCCTTGTCTGGACGTCCTTGGGAACCCCCAGAGGATTTTGCAAAATCCAACATCCGTCCCGTAGTTTGAGTAGTTTCCTCAGATTCTGTCGCGCCAGCTGTTTGATTTGCTTTGGGAGGAGGCGACGGAGGTGCGGCTCTGGCGACCGCAGCTAGACTTTGCATAACGTCCGGGACCTTTCCGAGTTGCCTTTTCCGCAAGCGCTCCTTGATGAAATACGATCCTCTCTTGGAGGACCCGAGCAAGGCTTCCGCACCTTCGTCCTCTATTCCCGCCGGGTTGTCTGATGACTGATGGCCCGTCTCCCAGTCGCGAAGAGCACCCGTCATGGGACCCGGAGTCACGGCTAGTCTCATTGCGGCCGATATGTATGTTTGGCGAACGCCATTGTCTGGCCATGGGCCATGGAGAGGATTCAATTTGACGGCGCGGTGGTGGTCGTACGAGGCATTGGCAGGGAACACGTGGACGGTGAAGATCTTGGACTTGAGCCCGAGCTCGCTCCCGGTCTTCGCCTTTTCGTGATTTTCTGCCAAGACAGGCGTGAATGGTCGGATGTTTATGGGCTCGGTGAGCGAGGACCGGAAAGTAGAGCCCCAGGCGGTTGTCGCGAACGTCGCGGCGGCCGCCCGATCTTGCGTGTAGACGATTCGTTTGAAGGGCGAGTCGGTCACCAGCGCTGTCGCCGCAGATACCTCTTTCGTCACGGCTATGAAAGACGAATTATCCTGCAGGAAGAATGGATCAGCGGGTTGGTCATTATCAGAAGTCAACCGGGATCCTGTTGTCGCACCTCGAGCTTCTTGAACACCTCGATCTCCGGGTTGCCAGCCGTGGTGCGCAACACCTTCAGCACGGCGCGGCGCTCCGTGAAGCTGGTGGGCGCCGGTGTGCATCTGACGAAGAGGGTCCGAGAGCTCAGCGTCGTCGGGAGCGATCTCGCAAAAGCTGAGGCGGCCATCGTGCGCTGGCGGATTGCCTTTTCGCAGGAGCGCGGTTTCCAGGTGCTTTGGAGCTCCGGGGGTCAAACCTTTGAATTTGCGACGGAACGGTCCCGCGTCGGAGTCTCGGTGCGGAAATCTGACTTCTCGCCAATCACGGCTGCACACCCCTTACCACCATGCTGGCCCACCCCTTTTCGGCCTTACATGCCATCACATTCAACTTTCCACGTCGGAGTACATAATAATCGAGTCTTATAGAGGACTATGGTATTATGCATACCAGGACTAAGCCCTCAGATCCTGATATCTAACTCAGGAAAGGCACCGAATGACCCCAGGACACCATGCGCCGTGGCTTTCAATTTGGGGCTGAATTGGCGTCCTCGATGCTAAACCATGAAAACTGCGTAGGTATGCATATTGGCCTTACAGAGTGCTACATACTCGTGGTGGTACATTACATGTTGCAGTTGGAACTGTGGAGTGAGCCTATAGATATCCAGTCTACTTGACGATCCTTTAATTGAACTTTCATCTAATGCTGTGTTTCGGGTATCTTCAAAATATATATATACAGGCAATGCTACACTAGCCTCCCGCCCAGCTCTTTGAGCCGTTTGGCCGGGTCCTGGCCGTTTACGTAGGCCTGGTCGATGGCCTCGTTATACACTTTGGTCAGCCTCTCGACCTCGTTATGAGCCTTCACCCGATCCTGGGACATCTTGTCCAAGCTGTCCTCGTGCTCTTTCCTGTCCTTCGGACGCCAGGCACCCTCTAGCTTCTTCTTCTCCTCTTTCATGGACTCTTCGAGCCTCCCGACCTTACCCTCGATCTCGTTCTTGCGGTCTCTCAGCCACTCGAACTGCGCGTACTCGTTCTCGCCCCCGAAGCAGAGCCCGTACGAGTCGCAGTAGCACATGTGCTCCCGGGGGCAGACGACCGCCTCCCCGAGGAACAGGTACTGCCACAGGCTCTCGAAGACGCGGCCCGCCATGCCGTCGTCTAGTTCCGTATTTGTGATCCAGTCCCGCAGCATCTCGTACTTCTCGTAGGGGATGCTCTGCAGCGTCTCGCGAGTGACGGCGAACTGCGAGCAGCACGCCGCGCCCATCATCGAGGGCATCGGATCCTTGGGGAAAAGTGCCTTCCACGCGTCGGCGAAGATAGCCTGCTCCGGCATGTCGTCACCCGCGGCGAGGCTGTGCGTGTCGATGTGCGCCGGGCACCCCGGGTTCCACTTGCAGCGCAGGTTGGCGTACCCGACGCGCTGGACCTTGTCCATGTTCAGCCGGCGCAGCATGTCGGCCGAGTCCGGCAGCAGCGAGTCGTAGGTATGCCAGGCATACTGGTGCGGGTGGAGGAAGATGCTGATGTCTGAGAGGTTGTGGTAGTGCGTGAGGATGTAGGTGAGGTACGGCATCGCCTCGTGACCCTTGTTGATGGGCGTGTGTAAATCGGCTGACTCAGAGTCATCGACCGAGTAGATCCGAAGGAGGTACTCCGGCTCCAGGAAGTTATCACGTATCCAGCCGACATCTTCATCTTTAGTGTGGCCTGTTATTATGGTCTTGGTAGGTGTTGCATGGTGCGTCGAGTTCTTTGGCGGTTGTATGGAACCACCGTCATATGGATCTGGTTGCTCATCTGGTGTCTCGGTGATGAATGGCGTGTCTGTTATGGATGTCTTCTCTGTTTCGTCTGGTAAAATAGCGGTTTCAACGGGCTTCTCAGTCTGTCCGCCGTGATTTTTCCCGTTTATAGTCACAAATGGTTGAGATGGGTCGTACTGTCGCTTGAAGATAAGGATGATGGCGCAAGTAACGAGAGTCCCGATGATGTAGAAAGGTGAATGCGGATGCCTCCAGAGTCCTTTTGAAACGCTTTTTGAAATCATTTTGCGTAGACTGGGCTTCTCGGGCCAGATATATGGTAGCACCGTATACCTAAGAACAAGGGGGCATAGTTAAACGGATGCAATGGAGACCCAGTAGAAACAAGCAAACATGAGTATAATGAGCGAACAACAATACAAGAGCAACGTGTGAAATGGGCAACAGCGTCAGATTACTGGAAACCCTACGCTCACGGAAGCACAGGAAGTAACGTGTATCTTATTCTCTGTCACAGAAGCATCAGCTGACAACGCCGCGGGCAGTGAGGATCCTGGGTGGTCCTATACGAGAGGGACATGCAAGCGCCCCTTCCATGCTAGAGGTCAAATCTGGTAAGGCCTGGCTGGGTACGCGGAGATTTTCGTCCAATTCACAGCCACGGACTCCCTGGCCCCTCCCTGATGCGATTATCTTGCAATCTGCTCATACTGTTTGTCACCTTTTGCGGGGGCAATAGGGCGTACCCGGGGCCCTATTGAACCCCACTGACAACCATCACCGGGTCCTCTCTTTCGGTGATACCTCGTCGATTACGTACCCCCTTTATCATACAAGGGGACCTATGTGATTTTCTTTCCACATGGAGTTGATACGATCTGGATGCGATCCCATCAGCCGCATGCCTTGGTGGATTATGCGCTGATCCCCCCATGCCGCCGTCTTACCTCACGAAGAGACAGTCAGCTTGGCGGCCTCAGCTGGTGGCCGGTTGGTCCCTCAAGTTAGACCCCCGGAGGAGGGTGGTATTGGATTCGGCGACGCGACTGAATGGAAAAGTGTTACAGAAGGCCACTCTACCACAGTATGCTGCACTGATATTCAGGGTCTTGCGGCTCGCAGACATTTAATTAAGACGCAGTGGAGACTTGAAAGAAAGCTTGGCTATGGTGTGCATTTTGAGAAGGATTTACGCTAACGTACGGATACAACCCGCAGCGGACTTTGCATGAGAGTTCTCGCCTGTTTCGGCACGCCCAATTTGCAGCTGTCAACGCCACGCACTTCAGCTCTGCAAGAGTCGTCAGCACTTAAAACCTCGCGGGGTTTTCCTCTCTGCCGACGCCATACTCATCAGTCAGTGGCCAGTAGCCTATTGCTTAAGTGACATGATTCCCAGATCCGACGGGGTGTCGGAACAAGTGACTGATCGTCACGGGGCGCTGTAATTCTACTGGCCTCTGTGGACTGACGGGATTATCGACGACAACACTTGAACGTCGTTTAATCCTTGGTGCACATAAGCTTAACACTGTTGCCTGCACTCTTGCTGGCCTAGCCGAAACCAGGTCGTTCTCTAGACCTAGAATGTGAAGAAGAGGATCCGGACCCCGGCACCATGTCACAGTCAAAGTGGAGTGCTCCCGATCTGTCAACGCCTTTTTCCAATCGTATCCGTATATTCCCAAAAATCCCCAGCGAAAAAGCGCCGGCCTGTGCCCCATTGCTGCACTTTTGCAGTGCCAAGAGACAGTGACAGTGACAGCACCAGAGCCACAGGGGTCTCCTATGGCTCGATACTCTATACTCCGTACTCCGTAATTCCCCCCATGGACACATCTAGTTAACCTGTGCTCCACAACCGCCCCGAGGAAGTGGTATGTACGCAATTTCCTACGCAGATACGACGACCTTATTTCCATAATTAGGCACACAGAGAGGCTAGCCCCCTGCTCAACATCGACCAGGCAAATGTTCGTCGGCTGCTTTGCTTGTTGCGAGGGGACCCTGTCCCCCACACGGTTTAGAAAGTTTCGGGATGGTGCATCTTGGCCTCGGAGCACAACCTTAAATCAGAGCAGCCCATACATATGTTTCATGTTAAGTGAAGTGTCATTGGGCTACTCGCAATACAAGGATTATACTAGAGAAATGGCCAGACCATGGTAGAACCAATGTCCGGAGGCCCTATACCAACGCCGCCCACTTGCAGCGTCAAGCTGTAACGTTGTCAAGAATCTTTATCTTACGTGATATCTGCAATAATAACATGTCAATTGATGTAGAGACTGAATTACAAGGACTGGCCTACTAGTTCTACAGAAAACGGCGTTTTCGATCATTGGAGTGACCCAACAACATCCAGTGTAAGAAGAATTCGTCGACCCAATATACAACTTCATACGCTCCCCTATCTCACAACGCCGCGATCGTGCTCCTTGCCTCAGATGTTATAATGAACAAAGGGAAACAATGGCAAGACGTATTGCCTGTAGTAGTTCGACTTTAGTTAGGTCATTAGGACTGCAGCGAGCATGTAGCAATAACCACAAACAATGGCCAGGCTGAGGTCGTTTGCGGTTGGCGGCTTCAGCCCTCTCGAAGGGACCTTACATACCGCTGCTTAGCCGTTGTGCGTGCCCTCGACGGTCCTCCCATCGAGACACACCATCAAGTCGGGAAGTAACAGGGCCTCCCGGACCCAAACTGTCACATGTAAAAGCCCTCCCGGACCAGTTCATCCACATCTCCGCCAGCAGCCTGCACCGCCTTGACGGCTGCCTCGCTTAGCCGGCGCCGCCGGTCCGCCGCCTCCTTCTCCCGCCGCGCCTTGGTCTTGGAGCTGCCGCTGGGCGCGACCCCCGTCATGAGTATGTTCTTGTCGTTGGGCGTGAAATTGACGAAGCCCACCTGACCGCCACCACCACCACCACCTCCTCCTCCTCCTCCGCCGCCGCCGCCCATCATCCCGTCTCCGCCGCCGGGGCTCCCGAAGCTGACGGGCCCGGATCCCGGATTCGGCGTCCGGGGCTCCCGCCGCGACCACGACCGCTGCTTGCGCACCGAGATGGACGACGAGCTCGCGCGGTGCCGCGGGCCCATGTGGTTCGGGTCGTACGGCCGCCGGTGGTGGTGATGTCGTTCCGCGGGCGACGGCGAGGCGGACTCGCCCTCCCGGTGACGTGCGAGCATGGACCGCGAGGAGCTGTGGTGGTGCAGCGACGGCTTGCGCGGCGACGTCATGGAGCCGTGGTGCCGGGCGCCCGAGGACGGGGCGCGCGGCTGAGGTCGGCGGTGCTCCGTGTAGTGGCCGCGGTGGTGGCTCTGTTGCTGACGGGGGTGGTGCGTCGGCGTCATGAGCTGGTCTGGGATGTTCGCCGTGAGCACGGCGGCCTGCGGCTGTCGCGGTTGTGGCATGTGGATCATTAGGCCCGAGAGCTCGTTCGTGAACTCGTATGGGAGCTCCGTCTGCTGGTGGTGCATGATTTGATTGAAGGACGCGTTGCGGACGCCGTTCTGAGAGGGCGGTGGGGGAGGATGGGACGCCGTTGGAGTCGGTCCGTCTTCCCACCAGCCTGGGCTATGGATGGTTTCATTGTCGGGAATATAGGAGTCAGTCGGCCACTGGCAGGAGTTGTCATTGATAATTCCTTCCATAGGCCACTCAGCGGAGCTAGTGTTCCGTTGCTTCGACCTCGGAACTTGCGTGGTGGGCTGATCAAGCGTTGGAAAGTTGTCGTCGAAAAAGAATTCATCCTTCATGGCTGGGGTGTCCAATGGCGTAGTAGGGCCATTGACAGCCCCAGGGTGAGGCATGCCCTTGTCATAGAAAGGGTCTTCCAGGTCACCGGTCACGAATTGTGTATTGAATGGATGTTGGCCGGAATACGGTATCCTGCCAGTAAGTGGTGGTGATAGTGGCAGCCCATTATTATCGATTGGCTCCGGCTTGAGACCCGGCCGATCTGTAGTATATTCATAGGGATTTTGTAGGTGAAGCTGAGGCTCCGGGTCCCTGCTGAACACGTCCATTGCTGACATTGAGGTATGAGTCTTCAGTGGCTTCGAGCGATGGGTGGCTCTGCGAATAGTTGCATATACCGAGTTCACGAATCGACTGCGTTTAGTTGGACTTGACTGTGTCAACAATGGGGGGCTTGACGGAGCTGTTATATTGGCACGTGGGGATTTGAGAGATATGCCTTCCAACCGCAGTAGCTCAGAATCGGAGATAGACTCTCCCCCTATGACAGGATCTGCTGGGCCTAATATTGCTGATGCTGGGTTGCTCTCTTGGGCCAACGAACCTTGAATGGTCAGACCCGCCGGATCCTCAGTAATAGAGGAGACCGGGAAGCTATCTTGGTCATTGGACGAGTTGGTCCGGCTATCGTCAAGTGAGTCGAGGAGGACCGAGGGACTCTGAGGGTCGTTGAGAAAGTCGTTTGGGTCAAAGGTAACATATTCGTCAAAGAAGTTCTCATTTGTTGATACCTCGAGTCCCTCGCCATCTTGCCAACATGAGAGTTGCTCTTTGTCTGTCTTATAACGCACCGTGGTGGACGCCATCGCTGGGGAGTTGGATATTCAATGAGTTGGCGAGATAGCAACGCTTTGACGGGGAAGTCGTGCAAAGGAAGTTCCAAAAGGGCCAAATGTTTCCTTGTATCTGGACGTGGTACACGGATTAACAAGCAAATCGGTATTCCACGGCAACAGGAGGTATGAGACTTTTGCGAGCCACCCACCAGAAGGCTGATCAACGAGTCAGTCGCTTGTGTTGTAACGAGGCATCATATAAATCGATGGAGAAAATGTCTGTACATAGGAATGTGAGTCGAGGCCAGGCAACTCGAAAGGTTCAAAGACCCCATTCCTCGCGCTTTTGAGAAGGGGCACCCTCCAAGCCGTATCCTCGGACTCGGCGAAGGCCAACCGAGTATGCCCATCCTAGGTGCTCATCGGGGCCATCTCGAATCTCTGTCTCAAGGGGAGACAAAGGACCCTTTCAGAGCCATTCCCTAACCGACGTCTGGGAAAACTCAGTTGGAGGCTCGTCCCTGGACGATTTAACTGCGGGGCGGCGAGGATGGACGTCGAAACAAAGAAGGAATGGAATGGAATGTTGGTTGATTAGGAGTCGGCACAATTGCACGGGCCAGCCTGACGCTCAGCCACGGGAGTGAATCCAACTCACGATGAAGACAGAACGTGTACGAGCGATGGTAGATCCAGCCGAATCGCGGCAAAGAATCTGACTTCTTGTGTTGTATGCCTAGGCTGGCGAGGTATACAATGCCTTGCCAATTAGCCAAGCTCAACTCTGCGGCGGCCCCGGAGGCAAACACATACTTGATCCATGAAAGACGATGCAGCCTCCACACAATTACTGGCCAGAAATAGAACTCGACCATCCTCCCAGAGCCAGGCAGTAAGTACTAGTCAGAGTCGTGAGCACAGGGTCGAAACAAAGGGTCCAAGGGGGGATGGACGCAACAGGACTCAAATTTACGCAGAACCACGTGTCGTCTGTTTGAACTAATTTTGTCGAATTTGTCGATCTAGTTTGCCGTGCGGCGCATCTTCAAAGGGAGATGCTTATATAAAAATCGCCAGGCCAGCCAACCAGGCTTTGGCAGTGCTGGCCGTTCAGGGCCTAATACTCTCATTCTGACCTTGCGGTCGAGCAGGGAAGCTCAGCCTCTTCCCCGTTGTAAAATATCCCAGTACCCTGTTACAGAATCCAAATATACCAAACAATGGCCAGTCGTATCCTCTCCCTGAACCAAGCTTTGGTAGAATATGCCCAACTTTAGCCACCCGAGTGCCAGGCAAAATGCCGCCAACGCCGATTCTTTGTTAAGGGGCCCATTCCCAATCGCCCCAAAATAACCTGACCTGCCATGGCTTTGCCATGCTCTAATCGCCGTTTAACGCCTGCCAAGGGGTATATGCAACGTGCTCCCAAATCATTTATACAATAGCCAAATCCCAACGGTTTAAATCGACACAGAGCCCACCGGCGCTTCGGGCGGCGGTGTGAGCATCGGCTTCGACCTATCACGTTTCCGCATCTTTAACTTGTTTCGCTTCAAGTTCTTGCATTTCAAGGCTGCTTCTGTGGAGGTGCAGAATTTCAGCCCATTGGGTTTTCGAATTCCTCCAGCCATGCCCGCCTGACGGAGGGTAACCAGGTTTCTGATGAGCGCCTCCTCCTCCTGCTCGCGAAAATCCATGTCGACTTCCAGGGGCTCCAAGGCGTCCAGCATAGACTGGTCGGCCGGCTCTATGGGATCTGTAGACGAGCCACTTGGGAAGCCGGGCTGCGAATTCGAGACGGGCGTAGGAGGCGATGAGTTCTGCACGTTGCACTGCACACCATGTGCAATCATAATCTCCATCAGCGCCTCACGTACGGCACGAGGGTTGGAAGGGTTGGTCTGGCATCGGGTATCGATGCGTGGCTGTGGCCCAGAGGCACAAGAGGCCACTAGATCCGTTCGACTGTCAGGCAATTGCGACTGTGCTCGATCAAGGTTCCGTGGCGGCGAATTCTGTAGGGTTTCGCTTGGTTGTTGAGCTAGCGGAGCCTGACTTGGGACGGAAGATGATGCGACGGGACTGCGTTGCGACGAAGCATCCTCAACTGGAACGGAGATGCTTTCAAGGCCTTCATGCTGGGTCCGCGATAGCAGCGACTGCCTACTCAGTTGATGGGCGAGTGTATCGATGGTCTCCGAGTTGCGTTGAGTGCGTTGAGTGCGTTGATATGGGGTGGAGCTGCTCTGTGTCGGGGCAGCTAGGCGTTGCGACGAGGACCAGTCTGCCGGGACGTCTGTGGGAGAGAGGCGCGTGTCCGGGTCGGGGGCGGTGCCCGGATTCACCCTCTGATCGAAGGTGAAATCCTCGAACATCTTGTTCCCGACATGAATGAACACGGGGGTTCGAGGGCCAGGCTGAGGTTTGGCGGAGAGAGCGAGAGGGAGAGAGCGCTTAAGTGACGATTGCGTCTCTTGGAAGGGAAATGGGGAGAGCCCGGGAATTAAAAGGTGGCACCAGAGCGCATCAACCGTCGATTTGGGGGTGGTGCGCTAATGCAGCCCCAAGAACTGGGTCCTTAGCGAGGTCCTTCGTCGGGTGGGCTCCAGGTCGCTGGTACAGGACCGGACAGGACAGGACAGGGCCTGTAGTTAGTGTGCCTAAGGTCGGTAGCCAGTGACTGTGAACTGCCTGCCTGCCAGCCATCCAGCCAGCCAACGGAGGTCGCTCTGGTACGGTACAGCCCAGTGCGTGCAGCAGAGCAGCAGCAGCAGCAGTCATACTCAATCTGGTGGCACCGGTCGATGCGAGACACAAGTGACACACGCGCACACCCAGAGACGAAGCAGCTGGCTGTGCAAGTGACTTTCGAATGTTGGCTCAAGATCTCTCTGTCAACCAGTCCTCGAGTTCCTGGCGGCCGGCTCTGGCATTTCTGGCTTCTCGCCTGTTGGCGCCCAAGATTATCATAGCCCTTCTCAGGAGCACCCCGGCTTGCACGGGCGTCTCAAAGGGCAGCTCATAGTGGCAAGGCACCTGGATAATTAAGGTCACCATTGCCACTAACGACGAATGGCGGCTGTCCGCCACCGACTAGATCCTACCGGGCGCCTGCTGCAACCTTGATGATGAAGCCTCGACTTTCCCGACCGCACGCCCACGGCCGCCCTCGAATGTACCTGCGACCTGGTGCTTCTGTCGCGTGGCCCCTACACAGTAACTAGTTGGGGCTTTGGACGGACTTCATCTGAGCGTGCGTGGGCACGGGCGTCGAGTTCGAGCTACATGGTACAATGTTGGCATGAGCACATGCCTCTGGTTCGTGCTCTGGCATTCAATGCACGATAAAAGTCTGTGTGCTCTGTAGCAGCGCTTGTGAGGCCCGACTACTACCTTGAATCACACCTAATGCTCCGATCTTACTCAGGAGACCCGCTCAACTGATCAAGTCATGAGTCTGGAGCCCTCAAACTGGAGAACCCGAGGGAGAGGACAGGGCCCAACGCCTCCCAAGTCACTATCGAGGATCCCAGTGACCAGGAAAGCCTTGATCCTGGTCGCGAGCGGGGATTGGACTCTCCGTCGATGAGTGGGGATGGATGATGCCGCTTCTGCAAGGTGGGTGGAGCCAAGTATCGATCAGTCGGACATGGCCTGAGAGATCCTGTTTCCCTTGTTCTGGAAGGAAAACGAGGTGGCCAATGACATGGCCACTTCGGTCATGCCCTCCAAGCTGGTCACACCTTGACACCCCATCCGAACATCTACTATAGAACATAATCCCACTGTAATCGGACCTTGCGTGTGAGATACAGTGCTGCGGCAGCAGATTGACGGCAGTGCTCAAACCCTCAAGAGATCAGGCATGAGCGCATCCAATGAGCTTAGCTACCTGCCGAATACATCTGGTCTAGATACAGCGTCTCTTGTTATTCACTCGAGTCTCCATTGACTGCTGTGTTGCGTCCCTGGCCCTGTCATGGAGACTCCATATGGACTTGGCAGTGTAATGGCCATCGTAAGATGTGCATACTTTTCTTTTTTCTGGGTGGTACTGTTTCTCGTTTCTAATTGCGGCATGCGCCGGTCTAGCAAGCGCTGTGCCTCGACTTCAGTTGGCGCCGGCGTGCTGCCACAGCCCGTCCGTCGGCGCTTCCCACATGAGAGATGGTCGAGGTGCAAGGGCTGAGAGACTCCACGCCAGGGCTTTCAAAGGCGTGTCGAAGAAGCAACCCGAGGTCTCCGTGCCAGCTAGGCTATTCCGCTGGCCCGTCAAACGTCATCTGTTCCGAATGACGACGGGGTTCTGCACCGGACGAGTCAGTCGGTGCTTCCCAAGATGGTTGTTGACAGCGGCTTATTAGACAGTCGAGTTATAAGGTACACATGTAAGCGCAAACCCAACTGATCGGTACTAGCATGCGAATGACTCGACCGATGCCTCGGAGATGATGACTAGGTAGAGACTCAAGACAGGCCCTGCCTAGGTATACGATTGCTGACCAAGGTGTCGCCAAAGACTTCTGTCAATAGCAGCTAGCCACGGGCACTTGGGGCTTGATGGCGGGCGAGCAAGGGCCAGAGCTGAACGCAGAAAACGTGCTCTCGATGCAAGCCAATTTGCACGTGGTGTTCAATAGAAGGACGAATCACAGGCGTCCAAGATAACGGTGTCGTTTCTTGGTTTGGCTAGTCGGCATGCGATCATGCACTCAGACTGCTGCCGGAGACTGCCAGGCTGCTAGGCGAGCTCGCACTGTCGCTGCCAAAACGGATTGGTGGGGTTGGTGGCTTGTCCTGATGGATTACTCGGGCCGGTTCAAACCTTGCGCTGGGCCCCAAAAGTCTGGGGTTGAACCAGGGTCGCGGTAACTGGCAGTCAACGCACGCGAGACTCGTCGAGACGAAGCAAACATGTATCACCGATACCCCTTCGTTCGGGTAAGATTGCTCTCGAGTGCCAGTTCCAGCTACAGCATCCTGAGCCTCAATCAGTCCCATCCCGTCCCCGCCACTGTCTAATGTCTACATCCCCTCCTCATAACCTTGGTTTCGCACACCACGATGGGCACCCGCGGGCTTGAGTTGCGTTGTGCGTTGCATATTCTGGGGCTATGTCATCCACGCATTCATTAGGCTGATTGTCTGGCGCTCTGCCGGGGTTCTCGAAAAACCTTCACGCCACCATAGAAATCGTTCGACTTTCCATCGCGCCCCGGAGCTTTATGACTTGGCACCTTAAATGGCGGCCCCCTAGTCAGCCCTACTAGCTTGCAAAAGTACGGAAAAGAAAGCAGATTGAAGGTCAGCCCATCAGCCCCACGAAACGCGGCTAGTTATTTCCTGGTGCCAGCCACTCGGTGCACAAGTACCCATCGGAGCGTATGGTAACCGACTGTCTGGACTTATGTCAGCACCATCAATCGAGCCCAAGCCAAGCTGCGAAGGGTCGTTGCTGCGACCACCGGCTCGTACTGGTGTCTCTCCTGTCATGCTCATATCTTCAAATCGCAGGAAGGTATCGCAACTACAGATCTAGATACTACGTCCGAGATAATCATCACTAATTCAAGAGAGTGCGGGCGGGGCCTGGAGCAAAAGCGTTAGTGGAGTTCATGCGGGTGATGTCCCACTGTCTGCCGCTGTACATACAGTGTAGTATGAAGCGCTGATCTCGCAGGTCTCGGTTGGTTGCGCCGGATCAGCAATCCCAGGGTCTCGTTGTGCTATGGTACGGGGAGCCATCGACGGAACCGCTTTGCGCGAAGCCTTGGCAGGTATCATCCGTCGATGAATAGATGGGTATACTTGCACGTTTACAATAGGAATGGAATAGTACCGTCGGTCTCTAGAGGCTGCTCCGGCGCGCGATCTTGAGTTCGACGGCTTTCTCGCTTCCACGCCTATAGCAACCCAAGCCCCTGGGACTCTAGCACACCAGGAGGACACAACCCGATTGATCAGTCCGCACGGATAAATGCCTTCTGAGAAAGAGCTCCGGCACACGGCTCATCGTAATTGAAACTTGCGATCATCTCGTTTGATTGGCCATCAACATTCTTTTGGAAGATTGCTCTTGTTTCGGTAGCAACGGTCGGTGGCAACGACGGAGCGGATCATCATCACGGGGATAGGACTTGGCAAATGGAATGCAACACGGGCAGCATGTTCCTCACAACATCGCTCGCATACAAAGTAATGTCCGCAGATCCGCACCGAACATCGCCGTGTTCGTATTGCCCTGTTGATACAGGGACCGTGACACTGCTCGGTAGTTGTGTCGAATATCGGACCTCGCTTCCACTTGCAGATAAACGGCCCTTCCGAAACACGTGAACGCACCGGAACCAGTGCTTCAAGTCTCCGCGAGAATATCTAACCGTAATCGACAGCCCTTCATTGGCTATGTGTATATGTAAGAAGATAATGGCTCCGGCTTGGTCTTTACGACATTGCCGCGCCCATTTCCAGATGAACTCGGTGAAAAGCGTCTGAGGCTGTGCGGACAGGAAAGTCTCATCCTTACACAGGAAATGTATCAGTTGGCAGATAGGAAAAGGAGCGTGACCGTTCATCAAGCCTGTGATGATAACCTGAATTCGATAGCAGATGAGCCCAAAAGTACTAGACGCGGGAAAACTCGTAGCCCCTTTTCCAGGTTATGAGCTGGCTACCAATCACGGTATATGGGCTTTCCATGCGCTTTACGTTAGTATCCGAGAATGAACCCTTTTGAACCATTCGGATGTAGGGTCTACTCCCTCACAATATCATGTCCATGGCTTCACGTCAACTATACTTGCTTCATCGACCAGCAGAACAAGAGGGCATACGAAACGCATCGCAATTCTGTCTAGACTAGCAGTCTGTCTATGGAGCCTCCTATGGCTCCTCATGATATAGCTGCCCCCGGCGAACGAAGTCATCGTGAAAGCCCATCTTCATGTGCCTGATCATTCCCGCATCCATAGCCAATTGTTGCTTGATCCCCTATCACAGTGGAAAAGTTCCATCCGCCTGCGAGCTGGTAAACTAGCTATGAACCGGTTACAATAATCCCAAACAAGTCACCACCTAGCTCTGCTCGCGCTTCGAAAGCGCCAAGCCAAAAGGCTTCCTCTCCCTTGAACCTACAGCTCTCTCGCCCACGATTTCAAGTTCGTCATCTGAGATGATGACAGACTCCCGAGGCACGGCGCGAGAGTTTGTTATGGTAATCTCCTCGTCCGAATCTTCAGCGCCGCCCGTCATGAGGAGATTGTTGTAGTTCTCGTCATCAGAGTCCACGTTCTCTGAGATATCAGTCTCCTTCTTAACACTAGGGGGCGTCGAGTCAGACTTGGCTCTATTCTGATATCCGTTTGGGATATCTGACTCATGCTCTTGCTTGATACGGAGATCTTTTGTCTTTATTGGCGCTGAGATTTCTGTCATGTTGACATCCATGTCAGAATTATCTGGTTGCTTTTCAGTCTTTATTCCAGTATCTGATCCGTGTCGCTCGCCTGGATTGCAGCACGCTTCGTCGATCATCATGACATCACGGCTTATGTCTGCTGTAGTTAGTTCATGCGTCTCAAGGTCGCTGCGGGTCCTGTCATCAGGGCTGGGTTCTCGCTTCACTGCAACGACATGGCTAGTTACCGCAGCTGATGTTTCACTGCCCGCGCTCTCGGTATCGGGTTCGCTGTCCTCTACATCATTCTTTGGCTGCTTCTTGAAAATAATTCGTACCCGATTCTTTGCCGCTTTGGGCTCTGCTTTGTCTGTGCTGGGCTCAATTTTGACTTTCTGATAAATATTATCAAAGGAAGAGCGGTCTCCAGGTTCTATTCCCTCGGTGGGAGCACCACCCTCGTCAATGGTACGAGCATAAGTACCAACGGGCGTATTTCGCCAGTCAACGCTATCCTCGGGGTTATGCTCCTCTTTGATCAGCTTTCTTTTCCCTTCCACTTTGGGCTTGGTGTAAGCTGATACAATCCCATCACTGTGGTCATCTTGTATTTGTTCTTCGGCCTTCTCGATCGACATTTGGCCTTGAGTATTCTTAACAGCTTCCTGGATCTTGAATTTCTCTGCCTCGTCGCTGGCTCTCTTGTCTTTAGCATTCACATCCGTTTCTGTAACGGTGACTTGTGAAACAAGTTCTTGCACCTCACGCTTTTTCTTAGCAGAAATTGCACTGAGTGGAATCCAGGGAATAGGCAGCATGGCGAGTTCCTCGGCCCCCAACCGAACTTGCAGCACCCGCTCCAGGGCCAACTCCAAGACGGGCTGCTTATTCAAGTCCTCCAGTGTCCACAAACACCCTGGATTGTCGCGCTTGTAAAATGAGAGTTTCCGCCGGAGCTGATTCTTCTTATGGTCGAAGCGACTTTTTTTCTGAATAAGCGCTTTGAACTCTTCGTGATAGTCCGCGCGGCATTTAGGAGCCAGGAAAGACTGTAAAGACTCGCTATGTGCTTTACTTCGCTGATAGACTCCTCCGGCCATTTCTGTACTGGATTCCGACGCAAAAGAAGATGCCGAAGTGCCTGGATCGCAAAGAGTATCCTCCCAGCCTCTACCGCCGCCTATCTCTCCTTTGACGAGTGATTCACTGCGTTTGGGCAAAGCAGATACAGATGTTGCTTTAGCTTCTTCTGTACTGATTTTTCGCTTTTTATCTGCATGGAATGACGCGTTGTTTGATGTCGCCTGCGTAGCTTGGCTTGCCGATAGGGCAGATATCGAACCCTGAGAGGAATAAGAGGTTTTCGGTGTGCTAGGCTCGGACAAATTTCTCTCATTGATTAGTTTCTGGCCATCTTGACTCTTCCAAGCAGTGGCGATCTCATTATCATATAGGTTTAGTAGTTGAACAAGAATGTGGTTCATGTCACCTTGAGCCCGAACTGCCAGTTCTGGCAATGCCTTCTCGATTTGTCGGCCTAGGGAATGTATTCGTTAGCAAAAAAAAAAAAAAAAAAAAAAAAACCCGTACTACCCTCGATAATCAACTTACTTTCAACGAAACTATGATATGAGTTGTTTACTATTAGGCGGAAGACCTTTACGTCTGAAACCTGGCCTACCCGAATAACTCTGTGTACCGCCTGAGATTGCACCGCTAGACTATGTGCTTGGGACGCAATAATCACTCGGGAGCAATTTTTGTGCAAGTTTGTCCCAGCGAATCCGACCGTGTACATCTGGATGAATATCTGAACCGAATCCTCCTCGTCAGAGTTAAATGACTTAATCAGGTCGTCCCGATCGTTCTGGCTCAGGTCCGAGTGGAGTGTGCGGGCATTGAGTCCAATGAGCTGAAACACAAGTTCGTAGTAGAAAGCCAATATAGGGCTGGCCTCTGTGATCAGGAGCTTCTTGATCTTCTCTTTGGGTGTCCCTGACCCACCGGATCTGCTGTGTTTGCCGGGTTCACGGTCCAAGATATGGTCCTTAATATCGTGCAAAATGTAACGGAGCACTGGTGAATTCCTGACCGCCATTCTCAGAAGGCTTAAGGCTGTGTTAGGCATACGTTCCTTGTATTTTTTCAAGAACGGCGCCAATGTCCTGAAGTCGACGTTGTTCTTTCGCATCTCCGCAATATGTGTCACTTTGGTTCCGTATCCGTGTTGATCGAGAAGCTTATCAAGTCCGTATATATCCATAGATGCTGCGGCGATCTGGAACTTGCGACGAAGGGTCGCCAAACTCTGGGGCTCGCCCACTTCTCCATGCGAATCATCCTCCATCTCTCGATCAATTTCAACATCAGACCACTTTCTCAGGCGCTTGAGATACTTAATCAACAAATCAACATGAGCTGATTGGTACACACGCGTCAATCTGTCGTCCAAATCAATGTATACGGTTGAGTTATCAACATTAGGGAGCAAACCCTTAAGTGACATCGGGCACGTCTTTTCGAAGTCTGTATAGATTGTTGAGCCCGGACCTCGCTTGAGAATGGCCAAAGACTCAAAAGGGTGCAGGTAATTTCGAATCTCCGTGAAATCATGACCGTTTTCGCCTGGATCTTTGCATAGTAGCTTCTCCAAAAGGTCAGGCTTACCAGCTAGGAGGCGGAAGTCGCTGCACTTATCTTCCACTTCAAGGAGCTGAAGGTCTTCGAGGTCAGAAAGTCCCCGGATCCGACTCCATAGGTCTGGTCGTTTGCTTTTGAGATATTGTTCCGGAACTGTCCAAAGTACCCGTGCCAACCCGTCAAGGTCCACGAGGTGGTTCGTGCATGGTGTCGCGGTAACAAGTAGAGTATACGCCCTTTCTAAAAGGTAAACACTCCTCCAGTTCTTTGTTAGACTGTTCTTGATCTTATGTGCTTCATCGACACAGACGACCGAGAAACCACGGTTGTCTTGCGTAAAGGTCGAGTACCGCTCCCCGTCCTCCGTGCGAGTACGGATGGTTCTCGCTGACCATGTATCAATAGGCATAATGAGAACAGTCATTGACGCTCGGGGATTTTCCGTGTTCCACATATATGATAGATGATCAGGCCATTCTCTGAAATCTTCGGCTTCGATATGCGTGACTCTGTCGTCAAGGTTCTTACCCTCGGCGTAGTTTGTTGCCTTAGCTCCGCCAACAACGATCTTCTTAATAACATGGCGAGATGTATTCGAGACAAATTCCTTGGCCCACTGAGCTGCAACGGTAACATTGGGGCAGAGAACCAGCATAGGACGATAGCTTTGCTGGCCGGTGGATTTGTTGTGCTCGACCCTAGAACCATGCGCAGCCATGAGCTCAAGCGCAGCAGTGACGGCGCGAGTCTTGCCTAGGCCCATTGAATCTGCAAGAATACCACCGAAAAGTCTTGGCGCTGATAGTCTTTTTCTCGCATCTTGCTCCTTGACAGTTTCAAATTCCTTGAGTTTTGGGAGCTCACCATGGAACCTCTGTAGTATCCAGACGATAGCCGTGACTTGATTAGGGAGGAATCCGTTGCGACATGTTGTCTCTGGAGCACTTGGCTGTTCTACCTCGTCATCAGAATCGCTAGAGTCTTGGCAATTGACTTCCCCGACGACGGACTCGTCATACGCATCCGCGTGTTCACCGTCGTAATCGCCGTCGTCGGCGTTGTCGCCCATGGAACTACCATCTTCACTTTGCTCTGCTTCATCCTCTTCTCCGCTATCATCATCCACCTCGGGTTCAAGATCTTTAGAATCTCGAACCCTTGGAAATAATGGCGATTGGTATAGAGGCAGCTTATAGCGTCCTGAGGGTTTCGTATTGATCAGTCACCACAAGTTATCACGTAGCACTCGATAATGTATCACTCACCATAGTCACCAATTTTCTCCATTTGTAGGTATATGCAGCAAGCTTCCAAAGGGGGCCCGAGACAGTTCGGCGATCCGGAGAGGAAAGCTTGAGCAGCAGTACCAACAAAGTGTGAGTGCTCAGTGTCCTCATCGGTAATATTCTTTTGGAAGCTGGATTTGGTTGAAGTCGTCGTCTACTAATAATTAGCCTCGATTGACCAACACATAATATGACAGATAAGTACCTCAGCATCAATGTCTTGTTGTGTATCTAGTCCCACGGAGTCGACTACTCCCTTGTGAACTGAGTCGGGGTTTCCAACGACACGATATGTGACGGGCTCAGCCTGATTAAAGTGGCCAATTCCCTTCAGGTCGCAGATCGGGTAATACTTCTCAAACTCTTGGATGAGCCAGCGAGCGGTTTTCTCTCGGCCTTTAAGAGGGTGGTTTTTATTGGACGCATGACCTCCGTAAAATCTTTTCACCTTGTCGTCAGTCTTGTAAGCTGGGTGAGTAAATGGATCGAAGAAACCCAACTTCATTTCGGGTCGTTTTTCCGCATTTCCCTTTAGTGAAGTTTTGATGTGATGTTTCCAGCCTTTGCTCTTCTTCCCGCCATTAGTTGTCTTTCGACTAAACGAGGGGGTCGCGTTGGCGGCTGATGTATTTGCCGAGGCTGGCTGCCCCGACGCGATGGTGCCGACGCTCGACATGTCGAACCACTAGGGGCGAACCTAACCCACCAAGAGATGTGTGTAAATTTAGAATGGTTGAACACAAATGAAGTGACTTTGAGATGAGAGGGCTGCAGAGACTTTAAGCACCTTGGAAGTTGGGGTGAAGTCGAGAGTCCTGATGGGACGAAGAGATGTGACGAAGCGGAAATGTACTTCTCGTCCTCCGATGTGCAGGAAGGTGGGATGACGAGGGAGAAATGGAGCAGGTAAAGATACGAGTTCGTCGTTTTCGGAACCTTGAAGAAGGCAGGAACACGACCAATCCGTGAGGTGAATGCTATCGTCTCGCCTTGCGCACAATGTGAGAGGTGAAATATAAGAGAGTAGGTGCCTGCCTTGGCGAAAGTGCCGACTGTTGTAGGAGGTAACGGTGACGAAGATGAGATTGCCACTTCGGGGTGAAGGCTTTATCTGGGAGGGTTAAGTTTGGGGGTGCGCGGAGATCAGAGGTACCCGATCGCCGTTCAGGAAGGATAGTGATCCGTGGGGACGAGAAGACCTATTCTCAGTGTGTTGAGAAGTTGGATTGGGTAGAGGTCCCACGCGTAGACGAGGAAAGAGGGTGATATGTTGCGACGAAGGGTTGAGTAGGGAACTGAGTTAGGAGAGCGACCGGATGTCAGTGATATTTGACCGTTGGCGCAGGGTGGAATGTATGCGTTAGGACGAAGTCCTCGCCTGGGTGAGTTGAGTAGGAGCGTGTTCAGAAATACCCGAGGGTGGGCGAGGTAGAATACGGTAGGGACTTTGTGAACGGTCAGAATGATGACCAGGAGGAGGTGAGGGTTGGTTTACCTCAGCATCCCCATTTGGGTTGAGATGCGAGGGAAGGCGCAAGTTATAGCCCCGGCGTGGCCGTAGGTCGATTCGGAAGGCTCAACAAATCTCGAAATTAATTTATTGTGGACCAGCCTCGAAGATGTGATCGGTGATGGCTGAAGATTGATGTTGTGCGATCACATGGGCCGTTTCCTCTCGGACGACAGTCCGATGTCAAGTCAAGCACACGATATCGCCCACCTGCCGGTATTTCCCAGCAGGGTGCGAGGAAATATCGAATGGAATACGAAGCAGGATCTTAGAGACCACTCCTTTATCTGAGATAGGTCCCTTTATAATTACCGTGAAGACAAATCACGACACTGAATGCTTTCTGTTACTCGACCAAATTCCAACCTGCGGCATCTGCTTGGCAGTGACTGTGCCAAGCTCAATATTGGTCTATCATACAAGACACCGGTGAAGGCGAAAGATTGAAAATACATTATATCTTAGCTTGGGCAACACGATATGGCAGAGTAGAGGAATACTATCCTAATGCGGGAAGAGACATCCGCAAAGCTATAGCCGCCGACCAATCATCTTTCATGGATCAGAACCCACTTTTTGGCAATCGCAGCATTAAATGGGAAATCGAGATTCAAAACCCGCCGTGCTACTTTCTTACTCCTTATTATTCCGAATTCACATTCGGTGCAGGGGTGCCCTTCATTCTTGTTCCACTCTTCACACCGAAAGAAACAAATTGGAAATCCAGCGGGTACCATGGCACCCGGCGCGGACATTGACCTCGATGCCCCTTTCAAGGAGGACATCATCCTCGAAGTCCGCAGGAGCAGGATGAAGATGATGCCAGGGTTGACGATTCAATCGGGAATCGACAAGACGATTTGTGAAGAGATGGTATCTGTTGATTTCCTGGGAATTGAGGGCGACGAGCACGATCCGACATTTCACGGGGGAAGAGACAAGGCAGTCCATGGATGCAAGAGCGCCCACTTGCCCCCTTTTCATTCACACCGTGGTTGCTAATGCAATTCTCCCAGACTGCTCGTCACATTATCCCCAATGGCAGACCGAGTACCCGGAAGCAGCATCCCGCTTCAAACCGGGCGGATTTGGGGAGAACCTCGTCACGGCGTCGATGAACGAGCGCAATGTGTGCGTCGGAGACATTGTCAGTGAGCCCCTTTCCTGCGTCTTGGCGGCACCGCATCGTCACCATGGGACCCTCCCATCGCCCGCAACTCTTACAATCGGCCATCTGGTCGCATCCTGACCTCTCCTTTCGGCTCCACAATGCCAGACCACAAATCCTGCAGGGCGATGACTCACAATGGCTTCCAGATCTCCGCGGGCGACCCCGACAGCGGCCTTCTCCTGCAGGTCTCCCTGCCGCGGCAGCCGTGCTTCAAGCTGAACCACCGCTTCCATCTCAAGAACTTCGCGCCCAAGACCTACGCCGCTTCGCGGACGGGCTGGTACTACCGCGTGCTGCGGCCGGGGCCCCTCGAGGCGGGCATGAGCATCGCGCTCGTGGAGCGCAAACACCCCAAATGGACCATCGAGCGCCTGCAGGAGTACCTCCACCGGAACCAGACGGACGACGCCATGAACGAGGAGCTGTCGCAGATCGAGGAGCTGGGCCAGGAGGCCCGAGGAGCCTTCGGTAGGTGGACTGCCGGACCTGGTACCAATCGTTCCACCCCAAAGCAATCGCTGACTCCACCCGCTGCGATCCAGTAAAGCGCGTCGCCAAAGCCAAAGCGGCAGCAAACAAGAAGCAGCAGCAGTCGAGTGAGTCCTGGGCCGACTACAAGCTGGTCGAGAAGACGCGGCAGACGGCGCGCATCACGTCGTTCGTGCTGGAGCGGGTAGCGCCAGACCCGGACGCGCCGTCGTACCTGCTGGGGGCGCACGCGCGGCTGCGGCTGCCCGGCGGCCTGGTGCGGTCGTACTCGATCGTGTCCGGGACGCCGAACCGGTTCGAGCTCGGCGTCGCGCTCGAGGACTCCAGCCGCGGCGGGTCGGCGTACCTGCACGGCACTGCCGCGGTGGGCGACGTGCTGCCCGTGGCGGCCTCCATCACGTCGGCGATCGCGCCGGCCGGCAAGGCGAGCGCGCACGTCTTCATCGCGGGCGGCGTGGGCATCACGGCTTTCATGGCGCTGCTGGACAGTGAGTAGAATTGAACTTAGCGTCATTCAACACACCCCCACTGGGTAATCCTACGGATGGGATTAGGAACTCGTTGCTAACACTCGACATCGTACAGTGTACCGCAAGATCCACTGGGACTCGGTAGTGCACTACGCGGTGCGGTCCAAGGACGACGTGCCGTTCGCGGAGCGGCTGGCGGCGCTGACGGGGCCAGCCCCGGCGGCCGCCGACAAGTCCAAGGGCACGGCGGCGACGGAGGATGAAGGAGAAGCGTCGTCGGTGAAGATCGTGTACTACGACAAGGCGCAGGGGCAGCGGCTGGACATCGCGCAGGTGATGAGCTCGCTGCCGTGGAACAGCCAGGTGTATGTGTGCGGGCCGCCAGGGATGATGGCCGAGGCGCAGCGGGCGGCGGGCAGCGCCGGGCTGGGCGAGGACGAGGTGCACTACGAGGCGTTCGCGGCCGACACGGGCGGGGACCCGTTCGAGGTCGTGGTCGCCAACCGGGGCGGCCAGCAGACGCCGGCGCCGGTGCTGCAGGTGGGCGGCGAGGAGACGCTGCTCGAGGCGCTGCGGCGGCACTTTGGCGCCGACGACAGCGCCATCGCGAGCAGCTGTGAGGTGGGCAACTGCGGGACGTGCAAGGTGGTGCTGAAGAGCGGGCGCGTCGACCACCGGGGCACGGCGCTGATGGAGAATGAGAAGAAGGACGGGATGCTGAGTTGTGTCAGTCGGGGGATCGGGAGGATCGCTATAGAGATATGAGTGCACGATTGCCCATAGAGCTGGTTGGCTGGGTGGGGAAACAAATAATTCTTCTATTAAATGATGCCGTGAACGCCGAAACCTGCGGATATCAAGTGAAATGGGAAGACATCGCCGTAATCTCCATCCAGCATTCAAGTCTTGGGCCAACGACACAGGATATCAATGATTCCATGATTCCATGGTCCCCAGTCTGACCCCGAGCGCATCTCCCACAAACCTTCGAGAGAGATATTCTAGGAAAAGGAAACAATGCAACAGTATTCATACAGTCATCTCAGTAGCCACCCGGGCGACGAGGAGTCTTGGCTCTCTCCTCCGACCTCAACACGTCCAGTGGGGTTTGACGTCCCTCATGTTCTCCTTCGACCAGACTTCCCCCGAATACGGATGCGCTGACAAAGCTGGGCCCCGAGATACTGTTGACCAGGCTCGTGGCGCTGTCTACGTGGCCACCATGGACGGGGTTAGAGCGGAGGCTCTTCGTCGGCGAGGAGGAGGACGACAAGTCCGGTTCGTGCATACGTGGAAACGCCTCACAGTCGGGTGGTGAGTGCCTGTGGACGAGGGACCGAGCCTCGTCCCAAGACGGCGGTGCAGCTCTGGCATCCTAAGCCAGATCGCGTCCCGTAGACATGCCAATGGCAGGACCGCCTGGCCCAGATTTGGCCGCATTATTCGAAACCTTGTTCCATGAGAGGTAGGTGTGGTCGCCAAGTTTTCTGCAAGGTTTGATAAGCAATGGGTTCCCAATGGACACCCAATGGGCAGAAGGGGTAGGGGGGAAGTGTACCTTGGTTTGATCAGATGGGTAACGGTGAATACGGCACCAAGGACAATGCACAGGCCGCCCACTACAACGTAGAGGATACCCAGGAACGGGTTCTTGCCTCCCATGGGGCTCGTAGTCGTGATGACGATGGACTTTGTGCCCTGGTATTCGGTAGTCGGGAACTCTGAAGGGGGAATTAGCTTGGGAACCTGTTATGAAGGCGCCAGACGTACCTGAGAGAATTTCAATGTCATAAGTGCCAGCCTCCATGGCATGAGAATCATTTCGCATGTAAAGCTTGGAGAACGTCGGGAGACCAGCAGTTCTCATCCAAACCATAAACTGTTGGTTGTTGTTCAAATCCGGAGGGGGCGAATCGGTACTATATTTGCCGTCCTTGTATTGCTTCTGCCAGTTTGGCGGTGGTAGGATGGTGTCATAATCGGTACCCGCGGGCAAGTTTCCATAGAGAGCGTTGTCGGAATCCCAGGCGATGTTGGAGGAATTCTGCATGACGTAGGTCTCATTGACTTTGGTTTCGGTCAGAGAAGGCTTGTTGGTCAGCACGGGGCTGGCAAACGTGTCATTGAACATCGAGTTAGCAATGAGGCCGCACGGGTAGTAGGCCTTGTCGCCGTCCGATGTCAAGGGCGAGCAACTGGAGTCCTTGACGGCTTGAACCGAGACGGAGTCCCCCTTGAGCTGCTTGTCGTAGAAGGACGACACGTAGCGTCGATGGTTCTGGTAGAAGTTGGTAAGGCGATAGAAGAACAGCACGGGCGGCCCCATGTCCTCAGGCGTGGTGAACGTAAGGATACATTTGGTGATGTTCTCGACGACGTAGCTCCCGTGGTATGTGTGGTTCGTGAGCTCTCTGCGCCAAAGTGCATTGATCGCTGGTTTGTCGGTCTTGAATGACGCCTTGATCAAGTCTGTCGGCATGGGTTGCGAATCCGTTGTGTTAGGTGCGTCGGTGTTGCATGTCGAGTAATCGATCTGGAGTTCTTTGACCTAGAGCGGATGCTGTCAGTACGTCGCCGGTGTTCGACGGGTGGCCGCGGGGGACACGGAGCGAGAGAGCGTACCGTCGCGCTGGCATAGAGCAAGGCCCCGCCGATGGGGGCAAAGATGATGCCGATGACGAAAAAGATGGGGATCACCGTCTTGGGGGTCAAGATGGGTCTGTTCGGAGTATGTCAGGTCGGTGTCTTGCCAGTGATCGAGGGGATGGGTGTACTCACTGCCACGCCTTCAATCGCTGCTGTCGGAACGCAGTATCTGTTCGGGTCGCAACTCGTCAGCGGGGGCCCCCGAGTCCATTGGCACAGGATAGATGGCAGACACAGGCCGAGACGTCGGTGGTCGTTGTCCCGCCCTAGTGTCGTCGTCGCCCGTCACCCGTCACCCGTCACCCGTCACCCGGGGTTTACTCACTCGCAGGCCTCCTGGACTTCTTCTTCTTCTTGTCGACCGGCTTGTTCGGGTCATCGCGCGAATCGATGGAATCGGTGTGCCCGACGCCGGGTGATGGTTCTGCCATGTTGTCGCGATGCGTCGCAGTACCAGAGGTTGGTGATGGTGCAGCGCCGGAATGAGGTTCAGCAGCGTGGTCGTCAGCCAAATAGATGTCCAGTTCCCGTCGACGGCCCCGAGTTCCTTTGACAGCCCTGGGCTTAGGATTGGGGAACGAGCGACGGGCCATGGGCGGCCATGGGCAGGGTCCTGGCCATTCATTGGTCAGCCGGCCGTGGCGGGCGTGTGTCCTGGCACAGCCACATTGGCCCGTGGGGCCCGCAGATCGATCCCATCAGGACGGACATGATTTATTTATGGAAAACCAGGCCCACAGCTGACGCCGGCTGCTGGCTGTATACGGACCCCCAAGGCATGCAACACGCTCTTGGGAATTATATCTACCGGTGAAGTGATGGCACCCAGATGATCGCCGCAGTTCATATGGCGTGTTCGTAAATATCGTCAGGGCCGGTCGTATCATCCCTGTGTTCATGCTACCAACTCTCTACTCTCAGCGTACACAACGCCAGATCGGCTCAGCTTTCGCGGTCGATACTCCGAAGCAGGTGGGCAACAACAGACGGGCCAATGCGTCAGATCTCGTTCACGTGGGAAGAACGAAAAGTCATAGTGGCGATCCAAGCCAGCTCGCGGCTTGTTCCCTAGAATACATTGGTAGCTGCCGCCTCTGTGGGCATCTCATATGTTGGGCGCGCCCAATGGCCAGGCGCTTCCCAAAAATTTAATGTACACTTTTCTTGATGTCGTAAAACTCCAATCATCATCATACTGACGCCATGCCGGGCGAAACGCCGAGTCCGTTGCGTGCATCCAGTCAAATCGCAAGACGGGCATCAGAGACACACTTGGCCTATTGCCCGGGGCCCTGCCCTCCACGGAGCCGTTGCGGAAGGCCGGCCCTGCCAGCTCCAGCAGAGCCAGACCTACAGGGGAGGCAAGTCTCCCATCTACGCCTCAGTTGCCGGGGCCGCTTCCTCGGTCTTGGCTTTCTTAGGATCCTCGCCCTCGACGGCGTCCTCGGCCTTGCGCTTGCCATTCGTCTCGGGACCTGGCGATGGCTCGGCCTTCTTCTCCTTCTTGCGCACGAAGCCAGAAAGATCGGTGGCGCCCTTCTTGGCCTCCTCGATGCGCGCCTGGGCCTGTGCCGGCGACTCGCCCAGGGCTGCACCTAGGATGCCCGTCATCGGGTTCTCCGCCCCGAGCACGCCCTCCACATCCACCGGCGGCTTCTTGAGCTCGATCAACTGGAAGCGGACAGGTCAGTATTTCAGAATGCAGGTATGAAGAAGACTGGGTGAATCGTAGAGACACTCACCCGCTGCTCCATATCTGCAATGATCTCCTTGACCTCGGCAATCTTCTTGCGCGAGACGTCATTCTCCTCAGGGGCGTGAAGCGTGGCCAGAGTGACCTCCTCGTTCTGGAGCTTGAGCTTGGTGCTGGTGATGGCCTTCTCGAGCTCGACGGCGGCCTCATCACGCAGTCCCTGGTCGACCGTCTTGGCGCCTTCTGCCTGTCTCTCCTCGTCGCTTGTTGTGACCGAGGCAAACTCGAGAGCCAGCGACAGCTTGAAGTGCGCCTCGGCTCTGATCTCAGACTCTTCTGGGTACAGTGCCAGCTTGTATTGCAGGGAGGCTCGGGCATCGTGAATGGCAAGGGGGTACCTAGATCGGAATGTGTTAGCACAACTTGGCAACGAGAAAGGAGCTCGGCTTCTATATCCTTACTTCTCATTCTCAAGCGAGATCTCGGCAAGGAGATCGTGGGTATCGGCCAGGCGGTCTTTGATATGTCTGACGGCAGGCGAATCTGCTTGTACCGTCTCCTTGCCCTTGCCTTCGGCGTTCTGCGCCTCTTGCTGCTCCAACGCCTTCTCGAAAAGAACGCGGGAGAGGTCGAGCACTTCGAACGCGACGGCAAGGTCGTCGTCTTCCTCTTCCTCCTCGCCCTCACCCTCGCCCTCGCCGGCCTCTTCGTCGTCCGAGTCCTCAAAGTTCTCGTCGCCCGTGAACTGGAAGAGGGGCTTCTTGGCCTCGGGCACCTCGTCGCCTTCCTGCAGACCGCTTCCGCTGGCATTCTTGGCAACAAGGGCAACCTTCTCCTCGGCGATCTCCTCTGCCTGCGACTTGTCCTGCTCGGAAGCGGCTGGGGCGGCGCTGGACTCGGCGGCCCCCTTCTGGGGTTTGGCGGCGCCGTTTGCCTTGGGCTTCTTCTTCTCGGCGCCGGCTTGGCCGCCGAGCACGTCGCTCTTGCTCTGGCCGACCTTGAACAGGGTGCGGCCGTAGAGGTACAGGATGTCGGCGTTCTCGGGGCTCATCTCGCCGTTGAACTCGGCCTGCATCTCAGCAGCCTGGGCATAGACCTCGGCGGCCTCCTCATAATTCTTCTGGGCGTACAGGGCTGTGGCCTTGGCTGTCAGGTCGGCCAGGGAGACCTTGATTGACTTCTCGCGCTCCTCGTTGTCCATGGGAGGCAGGGACTGCGGAGTGGCAGCGTTGGAGGCGACAGCCGATGGCACTGCCGACAAGACGGGCGTATCGGTAGAGGTGGGGTCGGCCATTGCGATGGCGATGCGATTGATCGTTGGTTGGTCAATGGGGGAGCGGAGAGGTGATGAAGTGCCAGATGAAAAAGATCTGGGCCGATGTAGAAAAGGTGACGTAGGATGATGAGAATGAAGGTGGGACGGGATCAATGGGGTGCTTGGCCAAAAGTATTCCTTGGCCCGGACGCGACTCGAGAAGGTCTGTCAGCACGCTTCGGGGACGGAAGAAGGGCGCGGTGGATGGGCGTGTATTTCAATGCGACAGCATGGATTCGATTGCAGTGGCAGTGGTAGCGGTAGTGGGTGACTTGGGTGACTTGGGTGACGCGACCTGGAGACGACGACGCTCAGCTTAACGGTGCTGCGATCCCACATCGCGCCATAGGCGGCACCACGGGCGCGTCAAAGTCCGGGGTCGTCTGGGAGCTTGGGCCACATGTCCATTTAACACCCGCCGCTTCAACATGAGCTCCCTTCTTATCGTCACGTGCTGTTGGCCAATCAAGGTTGTACGTTACTATGCACGAATGCTTATCATCACCCTGGTCTCTCGACGCAACGTTGGAATCGGCCAGGCTGCCGAGTTTGGAAGCGCTGCTGTACATAGTACCGTAGGTTGCTCCCTACACCTGTGCCCGGAGTTGTCACACGAACGCCAGCGGTGATTTTCAGGTATGGCCAGTTCGAGAGTCACCGTACCGAAGAGCGCAGAGAGAACTCTCGACGAGGTCAGGTCTCGACGAACAGTAAGTTAGGAACATGTCATTTTTGCCTGCTATCGGGTGGCCTTCTAATCGCACAGTTTACAGTAGTAAATAAACGACTGGCACGCCAGATTTACACAAATTTGCTGTAACTGTCCAGCTTGGGCTATGGCTGACAATGGATGCCGTTTGAAGCGACCAACAGTCCTCCGCAAACGGTCGTCGCCGGTTGAAGCGCGTTGTCGGGGTTTGTCAATACATCCGGGAGGCCACTACATAATAGCCGCTATCCTGGACTCGTAGCAGACCTACACACATGTTGAACGAGGCAAATAATAGTTCATTAGTCATTGGCCGCGAAAGTGAAGGACAGTACTATGTAATTCGTACCCGTGGACAGGTAGAGCCTCAATTTGCGACGATGTGGGAACACAAGGATCAGTGCGCGGGAAAAAAAGCTCCTACCACAACATAGTACAAGGCTCGGTTTATTTTCGAGGCGGACTTGCGCAGGGGTTGCGCTGGCGTAGAGACTGTGAACCTTAACATGTGCGCCAAGAGAAGACCCTTACTTGTCGACACCTGTCGGGCAACGACGTAACTGCTATCTAAATCGTAATTGATTCTTGTACATACGTGCTGGCAGTCAGCAGAGGGCTTCGACGCTGGGATTGACTTCCACGGCCAGAACTATCCTTCCGCCACGACTCTTGACCTTTCTGACTTACGCATTCCTTCTGACGCGTTCATCGTGCTGCGGCACAGTAGTCCTCCGGATCGAGGATAAGCTGATGCGCGATTCACTGCACAGAAGCGAGATAACCAGTCAAGCATTTTCGGCCTGTTCTGTCAGTGGCTCTCAGCCAGCCCCTCTACACCCGGCCGGAACACCGGGTTGAGGAAGATGCATCTAGACAGTCAGCCACCAGCTGATCCAGACAAAGTCGTCCTGCGGATTGGTCAGACCGTGGGGTGGCCGTGGACTGCGTAGAACGGGTTCCTGAATCCGCTCCAGCTGTTCCGACACCTCGTTTCCGACAGCAATTCCAAACTCGTACCCAGCAACCCAGCAGCACAAAAGTGTCCCGCGTTATTTTTACTTCAGCCCCATAACCCATGTATTAATGCACGATCCCAAAGTATCCTCCCATTTGGGTGCCTCTGATCCCTGGAAAATTGACGTTTCCGGGTTCTGACATTGACTTGGGTGGGGAATCGCAATTTTGAGGTCTCCCCCGTACAGATGATCCCTGCCTCTCAGCTGGGATAATACGATCGTGTCACGCCTGTCAAATTGGCGGCTTACAATGGTGTAGTATTGTGCCGCCTCGTCAACCTTTAGTGACGAGCGACTATCGCCAACAAGCGTCTCTCCATCATTGGCTGACCCGACGCCCGAATGGCAGATGCACAGAGCACGCACAGATGCCACAGAGAGTCGCATCGGTCTCTCCCGAGCGAGCGGCCATGTGCATTTCCCCGCGCAGCCTCCTTCGCTCTTGACGTGTTTCATATTCCAATAGTACGTGGTACACTGGTGCTGTCAGCATCTGACTGACTACAGTACTGTACTACTGCATCTCGTTATCTGCGATTGTCTCCAGATGGCAAGCGTCCGGTTTCCCCATTGGCCGTGCGGCGCGATCGGATGGCCAATGTCGGGGCGGCTTAGACCGCAGATCCCTCGCTGTCCTTCCACTTGCGGAACGTCTGTACTACTATGCACTGGGACATGGAGACACACTCTTCAACAGCGACCTACAGTGAGTGACTATGCAACTTCGGATTTCGTTGTCTCTCGCCAGGCGTGTTGGTGGTCGGACCTTGTATGGTACGCCGGTTTTGTGAGCTAAACAAGTGTTGGACCGCCGTCGTGAAGAACGAACGGCTGGAGTCGTGGAGCCGAGCCCATGCAGGGCCATGACAAACGAACGCATGCATCCCTGAAGTTCCTTACCACAGTCGAATGGCTCTGCTAGGCTTTAGCGTCCGGTAGACTCGGCCCATCACCACTTATGAGCCTGACCCCTGCCAGTTGCGTCAAGGTATCCAGACTTTATGGCCGTCGCCCACAGGTCCCATCCCAAGGTCCCACGGTCCCAAGCGGGCACCACTTTGACCACGGCCACTGCAGAAAAGTCCCCAAGCCCACTTCGCTCCCAGGTGTGCCTTAGTCTTGCATATCAGCATGCCCCCGATCGCGAATCTTCCTCTCCTATTCTGGCCCGGCCAGTCATGTTAGTATGGCTTGTGAAGCAAGTCTAGGCCGCCCCTCCTAGGTATTGTCCTTTCCCCTTCGTATCTAGTTACACCACCCGCGGGCTGCGGGCCAACTTGGGTAACCGACCTAGACATTTCGTGGAATTCGTACTACCAGCGCTCCAGCTCGTGTTCACAACTCTCATGTTCGTTTGCCTGCTTTGCCACTTGGTCTCGTCATTCTCTTGTATGCTACCTACTGGCCATGTTTGTTGATCCAACCCACTCGCCTTGAAGCCCTCATTCCCCAGAAATCCTACCCCGACCCTAGACGTCGTGAAGCGTAGAGAGACCTTACGGGTCAGGTCAGGCCCGAGAGACCGCCATGCTTGCCTCGCCGCACTCCCGCCGGCTGCGGCTGTTTGGGGGATTCACCGTGCTTGCCATTATCGCCACATATATTCACATCCGACCGAGTTGGCGGCAGACGACCTATGAGTACGCTGCGGACCTGTCTAGCAGCGTCTCCAACTACTTCGGCCGCGAGCAGGTGTACAACAACACATTGTACCAGCAAGGGACTGAAGGCACCGTGGTGCAATACCACAACTTCAGCAACCCCTGCGCCAACTTCCCAGACACAGATGGCGTCCTCCTTGTTATGAAGACCGGCGCGACCGAGGCATTCGACAAAGTACCCACCCACCTGTTGACATCGCTACAATGTCTCCCCGATTTCCTCATCTTCTCGGACATGGTACGAAGTCGCAAGGCAACGCCTGGCATGCACAGCTGCAACCGCTAACGTCCTTTTAGGAGCAACAAATCGGGAAGTACCACATCTACGACGTCCTGGCAGGAGTGGAAGAGAAGGCCAAGGCCCACAACGATGACTTCGATCTGTACCGAGACCAGAAGGACTGCCCTGTCTCGCAAAAGACCTGTCTGGACGCGCGAGAGGAGGGCCACCGGGCTTGGAACCTAGACAAGTACAAGTTTCTGCCCATGATGGAACAGACGTGGCGGATGCGACCGGGTCGAGACTGGTATATCTTTGCCGAGGCCGACACCTACGTCTTTTGGGCGAACGTTGTCTACTGGCTGCGCACCCAGAGCGGCCTCAACCCCAAGGAACGGGTCTACCTGGGCAGTCGCAGCTTCATAGGAGGGACGCCATTCGCCCACGGCGGGTCAGGATACATCCTGAGTGGCACTCTGTTGCGCCATCTCATCGATCACCACCCTGGAATCGTGCAGCAGTACAACATCAAGGGTGCACACGAATGCTGCGGTGATCTGATGCTTGCCCAGGCGCTGGAAGAGTACGAGAATGTCAAGATCCGTCAGGCGTGGCCCATGTTCAACGGCGAGAAACCCAGCACGCTTCCCTACGGTCCGGGACACTGGTGCGAGCCGATCTTGACGATGCATCACATGAATGCCGAAGAAATTAGTAATGTCTGGCAGTTCGAGCAGACACGCAAGACAGATGTGAGTTTCGATGTTCATTTAAACTACTCGGGAGCAGGTCCGACATGTGTGTGCTTGCTTCTGAAGCCGCCTACTGGGCAGCCACCAAACGCCATGTCTCATGACTACCCCAACGGGCCCTAGATGCTGAGCTCCTCTATATTTGTGCAGCTGACTAATATGTCTTACAGCGCACGCTCTTGATCAAGGACTTGTATGAGACTCTCATCGCCCCCAATATGCAGGTTAAGCGACAAGACTGGGATAACCTGTCGGATGACGTCTGCTACATCAACCCAGACCCGGCAGCTCAGGCACGAGCGGACGACCACCGAAAGCGAAGACAAAAGAAGGAGAGCGACATGACAGATACCGAAAAGGTGGCTTGGAAATCACCCGAGAACTGCGCCCGCGTGTGTGAGGAGGAGGATGTGCCAGATGAGGAGGACCTGATATGGGGCGGATCACGGCAGAAAATCGTCCCCCGCGAACCGAACTCGGGAGAGCCGTCACCCGCGCTGGCTCTTGACACGGAGAAGGCAGAGGACTCGGACGCAAGCGATGCAGCCATGAGAGAGCAATGGCACCGCGCCATGAACGAGAAGAAGAAGAGCCGCACGTGCTTCCAATACACCTGGCACGACCAGCAATGCTGCACAGCCAAGAGCTTCAAGTTGGGGGCCCCCAAGGCCAAGTCTGGCAACGACAAGTCGCGCTGGGTCAGTGGCTGGGATCTGAAGGGTATCAATGATTGGATCGACGCCATGGGCGAGTGCACCCAGGTCGCTTGGAAGAAGCTGGAAGCGTGAAGGAAGAGGAACGTCTAAATACGTTGGACAACTCGATAACTCATGCAACGCATACGCGAGCGAGCCAAAGAGGGCCACGGAAACTTCATTGCAGGATAAGCCAGGCGTCGAGCTACTCCGCCTTCCGCATATCACGAGTCATCACACACCACAAATCAAAGAGAACGCCATTCGAGACAGAAGGCGTCCCACTCTCTCTGGTGTCATACAACCGCCAGAAACGGGGAGTACTACGATGAGCATACTACGGCGTTCAGGATCAGCGCAGAATAGACCTATAGACGGGGATCGGGTTGCCCATGGGTTCAAGGGGAGAACCCGGTGGGGGTTGGGCTTGATGTACATATACTCCACATGCAGCAGCGACGGCTGCCTTAGCGACCTTGTAATGGCGATAGAGCTGTTTTTATGAGAACAGAAGGGGCCCGGCACGGACCTCGAAGGCCAGATAAGGCAAAATTATTATTCTGTAATGTTGTAGATTGACTGGGTGACCTATATCCTACGGCGGAAGCGCCCAGAAGTTGTGTATTTCATAGGATATCTCGCTCGCCTTTCCAGGAGTCGATATGAAGTATACTAGACATCCAATACTCTATTGCCAGTAGTCAGATCGTAGAAACCAACGGGTGTCCTTGCGGAAGAGTATCATTGGTGGAGGTTGACTCCTTCGTCTACAGTTGCCACCCATCGTGCAGCCGTCTTGGCACTGCAAATATACGAATCTGTATAGGGGACTTGGGACCTAATCATGACTGGTCATATAGCTTACGGATGCCCACAGGGTCTCAGGGCATTCTGCATCAAGCGGAAGTGGAATCCTTGATGTTACACAAAGCCGACCTGAAGGAGCACCTGGGTCCGTGGCCAGCCAATAGAGGCTAGCCCAGTTACCCCAATCGGAAAGAGGGTTGGTTGGAAGCTGGTCCGGCCCATAATGGGTCAGGTTTCTAGGCAAGCCGTTTTTGTCGAGAAAATGGACGCATTATGAGCCGCAGCTCTATTGATTCTGCTCATAAGAGACGAAACGCATTTTTGTCATCATCGTGAGTTGAATGACCGTTTGTCTCGAGGGTCGGGCGAGGGGATGACGTATTGTTTGTTGTGCATCCGCGCTTAGCGCATCGCGTCGAGTCGCGTCGCATCGCGTTCAGTCATAATTGCCAAGTGACCCATGGCATAGCACAGTACTTACGCGATCAGGATCAAGTAGAGCCTTTATTTGCTAGAGGAGCACAGAAAGGAAAAGTTAGTCAAATCAAGTCGGCAGGTTCATAATTACGTTACTGCTGCAATTGCAAGTTGCTCATCGAATGCTTGATAGATTGGTAGCGCGGGATGCTTCTGATTATAGTTTTGTGAAGCGCGTCCTGACCGGGGTTGCAAGGCTTCGTACATCTCGCTTGCCCCTGACGTACGAAGTCAAACAGTCTCCATCTCTATACCACAACCAGCATGAGCGTGCGCCGATACTCCATGTAGAACCTTGATTTGTTTCTATATCTCAAGGCCTCTCGAGGCATAGCAAGCTCAACCGAGGCCATTTGGACCTCGCATTCCAGCATGGGTAGTCCGACCAAGCGGGGGCCGCTGCAAGATGTCTCGCAACTGCACAATGTCAATCGTGCGCCCGCTCAACAAGGTATGTCATTGTCGACCGCCATCCTGGGAAGCGTATCTATATATTCGTCCGGTACAGCTTTCCATCGTGCGCAAAATCCAAGCTAATAGCCGTCATTACCTCCAGTCCACGACGTCAAGAGCGAGACGGGCGAGCGAGGTCGAGACGCCCTGTCTGGTCAGGAACAAGCCCTGCGGGCCAACAGCGAAGCGCAGCAGGATGCTCTTCGACAACCATCGTCCCAGCAAGATCAAGCCCGACGAGGGCGAGAAATAGACGAGATATTCAGGGGAAGCCATCAAGCTCATTTTGATCGATCTCAAGCAAACCCAAATGGCGCTCAAGTCCAGCCTGCAAACCCTCTTTCGGGAGCGATCGTGCCCACAACTGCCCCAGTAAGGGTATGCTTCACGTGTCGGAAACCAGATAGCCCGAGTGTCTGTGGTATCTGTCATCAAGCTTTCTACTGTTCGCAGGAGTGCCAGATGCAGGATTGGCCAAGACACCACATATTCTGCTCAAGAATGATGAACCATGGACCACAGGCATTCAACCCACCACCGCCGTTGCCACAATCATCTTATGATCATAGCCAGGTTGGGATTGGGGCCATTATTGGGAGCTCTTCCGCCGACAATTATGGCCTCGAAGATGACGACGATCTTTGGGGCGAGGAGGCCTTCCGATGGTCTGTTCGCGATGATGACCGGGATATCGATTTCATACAGTTTCTAGCCAACCTGCCTGATATTGACGTGCCGCCGGAAGGGCGAAAGAAGAAGCCAGGCGCGTTGACGTGCAAACTGATGCCGCACCAGCGAGTAGGCTTAACGTGGCTGATCAACCAAGAGGAAAGTAGTGCCAAGGGCGGCATTCTGGCCGACACCATGGGTCTTGGGAAGACAATCCAGGCACTGGCCCTGATATTGGCTCGCCCATCAAACGACTGTGCTCACAAAACCACGCTCATAGTGGCCCCACTAGCACTACTGAGGCAATGGGAACGTGAGATCGAAGACAAGGTCAAGTTTGGCCATAAGCTCAAGACCGTCATCGTTCATGGCCAGAAAAAGAAGAGCATGACCGTCGCGAAACTACTTTCGTACGACGTCGTCTTAACAACATATGGAACGATCGCCTCTGAGCATAATCCCCGAAAGAACTCAAAGAACAACAAGGTCCTCCTCTCAACGAGATTCCATCGCATCATTCTCGACGAAGCGCACAACATAAAGAATGAGAAGTCCAAGTCTGCTCGCGCAATTTCCTCGATGCGCGCGGACTACAGACTTTGTATGACTGGAACACCACTCATGAACAACCTCACTGAGGTTTACTCACTTATCCGCTTCCTTCGCATCCCCCCTTACGATGAGTGGCGCAACTTCTGCCGCGACTTTGTCAAGCCGATAAAGGGCAGGAGTCCGTCTCTCAAAACTCGTGCTATGAGGGCTTTGCAAGCTCTACTCCGAGGTATCTTGCTCCAACGAACAGCGACCAGCCAGATTGACGGCAAACAGATCCTTCAGCTCCCAGAACTCGAAAGTAAGGTTGCCGTAACAGAATTTGACCAAGATCAACGGGAGTACTACGAGGCTTTGCAACATCGATTGCAGCTCAAGTTCAATCGTTACGTGAAAGAAGGCACCGTTCAAAAAAATTATAGCCATATCCTCGTCTTGATTACACGGCTGAGGCAGTGCTGCTGCCACCCGCACCTGATCAAGGACCATGGCATCCCCGAGGGCGCAGACATAACCTCTGAGGAAATGGTCAAGTTGGCTCTAAAGCTTGACGACCAGATTGTGGAGAGAATAAAACAGGAGACCGAGTTTAAGTGTCCTGTGTGTGACGACATCACCACGAACCCCATGATCATCTATCCCTGCGGACATTATGTTTGCGGCGGATGCTTCAGCGGGTTGATGCAAGTTGGCTTTACCCAGGCCATCGCCCGTCTAGACTCACAGTCTATTTGTCCCACACCGCTGTGCCGCCAGGAAGTAGACCCGACTCAAGTGCTCCTCCACACATACTTCGAGGAGGCACACAGGTCAGATGCATCAGAGCCAGGGTCTGAAGAGGAGGATATGGAAGACTCTGATCTCATCAGTGAATCAGATGATGCCGATGAGCACGGAGACTTAAAGGACTTTATCGTATCGGACGACAGCGAAGATCTCGACGAGGAAGACTCTCAATTGGAAGAGGAACAGGTAAAAGAAGAGGATGACACAATCCCAGACCTGACAGTGGGAGAAGGGAGATCAGGACAAGATGAACGGGAACGGCCCACGAGCTCGTTGAAAGTATCAGCTTCCCAGAAAGAGGATGATTCAGCCGATTCAGACTCTGATGATTCCTTGCCATCCTTATCAGAAATGTGGCAGCGAGCCGACAAGCAAAAGGAGCTAGCCAAAAGGGAGCCTACGCCCAACACCCCTATCAGAAAAACTCTTCCATCCAAGCGTACCGTCAAGCGCAATAAGGGCAGCCCCTCGACTCAAGTCAAGACTGAGGGTGACCTTGGCATTTTCAGTCAGTCTTCGGATTACTTTGGCAGGCGCATAGAAAGGTCTACTTCTAAAGCACCTCGGTCAAATCAGTCAAAAACAAAGGCAATAAAACCCGAAGACACAGATGACGATATGGCCGCCAGCAACACCCAAGGCTCCAAACGGCGTCGCATATCTCGTACGAAATCTGCCGCCTCACCAGTTTCCACAAGTCGCGATCACCAGGGTAGGGCCGATATGCATACGAAAGGAGGCAAGCGCAAAAGAGCTGGGACCAAAGTTGAGGCCAAGGGGGAAGACAAGGAAAAGCCGAGAAGCATCAAACTTGAGCGTGCAAAGAGACACAAGCCACAAACACTCGCGGAGTTGAAGCAGGCAAGCTTGAAGAATGCGGCAGCAAAGGAGAAATACTTCAAGCGACTCAGGAAAGACTGGGAGACCAGTGCCAAGATCGATAAGACTATGGAGATATTACGCCGTATCCGAGATGAGAACCCACGAGAGAAGACGCTCATTTTCAGCGTGTTTACGTCATTCCTCGATCTCTTGGAGATCCCCATCGACGACGAAGGGTACAACTACCGGCGCTACGATGGCAGCATGAGCAACCCACTACGTGAGGATGCGGTCGAGGATTTTATGACCAAGCCTGAGGTCAAAGTCATGTTGGTCAGTCTGAGAGCCGGGAACGCGGGACTCAACCTGCAGGCGGCAACACAGGTCATCATCCTCGAACCTTTCTGGAACCCTTACGTTGAAGACCAGGCGATTGGACGTGCCCATCGTTTAGGTCAGGAGAAGCCCGTGACGGTCCATCGCCTGGTTGTGGAAGATACGGTGGAAGATCGCATTCTTGACTTGCAGGAGAACAAGCGCAAGCTCGTTGGCGAGGTACTGAACAGCGAGGCTGCACGGGGTTTGAGTGGCCTATCCATCAACGAATTGGCGGGTCTCTTCGGTATTGGCACAGGCGGCCGATCTGGACGAAGAAGATAATATTGTTGTATACCCTGTATCGTAGCGTGCGTTTCTTTTTCGGCGGGTGGATTTTTGGAGTTGGGGCGAAAGCGCGAGCAGATTCAGACCCTGCTGAGTCGAACTGATGTGTACTATACCCGATTTTGTTTCAGTTTGGTGGACAACATCTGTCCTTGCCTCTTAGGCCTAGGCAAACCACATGGTCTCAATAGCCATGAAAGATCAATCAGTAAAGCGATGTCCCATTCACTACAATCTCAGTCGACTACATAACCCTCTGTACCTTCGTCCGCTCGCTCGATCTTGAGCTGATCCCACTCCACTCCGTCGAGGGCGCGCACACTCAGCGGCCTGATGCTCAAGTTGCGTGCGACCATGGCCTGCCGGGCCTCAGGCCACGTCGCCACGAGCTCCTTTGGCGGGCCGTACAGGTCGTCCCAGATGTTGACGCCGCAGGACCCGCAAAAACGCTTCCCGCTGAACTTGCGCCCGAAGGAGTACACCGACGCGAGGTCCTGCCCTTTGATTATATCGACCTGGGGCTTCTGGGGGTAGACGCCTACATACGCGTTCTGAATCCTTGTGTCAGATTACCAGGAGCCACACAAGACTTTGGAGTGTCGAGGGTAACCCGGGCCCTACATAGTCCAGGCAGCTCAGGGGCAAGAAAGGGCTTACGTACCCGTACGCAGATACTGCAGTTATCCTCCTTGACCTCAACTTCAGGAAGAGGCTTCGTCTTGAGGGTCAGAGATATAGAACCACAAGTACAACTTCCCGTATAGAGCTTCAGGCCTTCCGCGTCAACAGCAGGCTCGGCCTCGGTGAGCTTCGCCGCAGGGTGGTGAGACCTGCAGAGGGGTTTGTTCAGTATATGACGCGACGAGCATTACTGATGACACTTACTCTTGGATCTCAAGCTTGAAAGGGTTAACATCAAGGAGTGTCCGGATCTTGTCAACTATTAGTGAACGCTTCTCGAAGAAAACGGAGTTCAGTTCAAACATTAATCCCAAACTTCCCCTCTAAGTCACCGCTGAGATGGGTGCCAGATATTGGGCTTGAGCAGTGAGAGCAGAACTGTTCCTGTCAGAATATACACTTGTCATGCAGCCCCGTGCAATGCCAGTCCGAGCGGCGCCTTTACCTTGTGTTCGAGCGTTGCTCCGTGCCGAGTCTGCGTCAGAAGACTGTCGTTGCGTGAGACTCGGAAATCGCCTTGCGCTGGGAAGGCCCAGAGAATTCCGGTCTTGAAGCAGGCGACGCAGTTGCACGATACTCCTGTTTTGATCTCGGGGAGATCAACTTCAAACCTGTACTTTGCACAGTGGCAATTGCCTCGATACGTGATCTTCTCGGTCATCGGGGAAGTATCAGACACTATTGTCGACAATGGTTAATATCCGCCTTTCACATCTGAGTCTTCTTTCCCGCCAGAATAGGACACTGATTGCGGCTGAGGCTAGATAGTGTCAGGCTTATATGCTTCCCATTTGAGTCTGGGTTGACCGATTGCTCAGTATCCGTTCGTGCCGCACAGCTGCATAGTCGCAGCGGGTCACGAAGGCGAAGTAACTTGACGTTAGCAATCCACAGCGAGCGGGCTACGTTCTAAGCACCTGCCTCATCACTACTAGATCAGAAATCGGACTAATTTCTGACCGCATGAACCTTGAGTGCACAATAGCCCGCGAGTCCAAATTCAGTAGCTGGATGGCATGCATTGATCTTCACATTTAAGAATTGATGTGATATTCTCCCACCATATGGTGGCCAAGTATAATGTCCTAAATCGAGATGCAATGCCCCAAGAACGCCGACCAGGTGAAGCCCTTTCACCTGTGTATGCCAATGCACCTTTATAAATCCAAAATGCGGGTATCATAGCGAATGTCCAAAGAAAAAGTCTCCCGATCTGGAGACACCACCGTGCAGCCATACCGATCTCCAAACATGAGGGTCGAAGTCGAGAAACTTGGGTTCTAGGCCTTTTCCAGGTTTCCGCTCTCGAGTTTTCTCTTGTGATGCCCGCTGCAACAAGTGAACAGCAAGAATGTGGCGCCGAGCACCAGGCAGATGGTTGCAGCGAGCAACGCCCAGATGCCGACGTCAAAGTCTCCTCTCGTAGAGGTATGGCTGTTGTTCGCGAGCGCACCTTGGATGGCCCCGAACGCGACGAAGGCGCAGCAGGTCGCCACGAAGGCAAGGGCGAAGCTGAATGCGGCGACGAAAGCCGCGAGCATCGAGGCGACTGTGCTCACGAAGAAAGAAGAAAAGAGGGCCAGGGCAAATGCCACCGCCGCCGCTGCGGTGGCCACCGGGATGAGCACGAACACCTTGGTCAGTCTTGACACGGTCAGCTCCACATCGTAGGGGATGCTGGCCGAGTGGTATCCGTAGGTGTTCTCGATGATGTTGGTTGCCCAATATCCTACTCCCGACTGCACACAAGCAGGCTGCGTTGGGTCCTTGGTGGCGCTTGAGGATATGTTAGTGAGTGGACCGAGACTGCTTTCAGCAAAGGGATTCCAGCTTACCGTTCAGGGATGACCCGCAAACAATACCCAAACGCACCATAATTGATCACGGGCGAGCCTTCATTGTACAGCTTAAACTCATTGCTGACGGTGAAGAGCGACAAGTGTTGGACCGTAGGCGCGGTCACATCTGGCACTATGAGTAGCGCAAAGGCCGCCAGTACCAAGTACGTGCCGATGTGGTGGACCGTCCTAGCGAAACTCATCTTGACAATTTGCGTATATGATGCTGCGTGTTAGAAAATGCCATCAGCCTCGAAGCGAAGAGATCGCGAGTAGGAAGGATCAGTAATGCAAAAACGGAAGACTCAGCGAGACCGCCCGCATATCTAGGTGTGCGCTTGAGCGTAAGCTGTAAGCTGTGCCGTATATGACGATGCACGCGACGGCTGTGCACGACGAGCACACACCTGATGCTATGCCCCGGGCCATCACGACGTTTGGGCGCCGGCGCTGCGGCCGCAGGGTGTAGGCCTGTCATTTGAGGATGGCTGTGCTGATGTCGAGCACTCCCAGAGGATCCATTGCTGACGGCACAGCGGCCAGCGGGCCAATTGCAGGGCTGCCCAACGCTGCACTTAGTGCAAAGGTCAGACTTGGCAACTCAATTCCCTGTCCGAGTGTACTGCCCGTCAGCGCCGCCAATGCTTGTAGGACAACATCGCCCCATGCCATGTATTTCAGGCAACCGAGTTCGAATGGCTAGGAGCCTTTTGCAACAGAGCCTATGCCCCTTATACGAAGCGCACAATTATCCACCCACTTAAGTCCTCCGACAGCCATCAATTTAAGCTCATTTTCGCTCAATGGGGCCTGGCTCCAATGCCGTCTCAACTCGGACTCTGCTCAGTCGGTGTTGAGTCGCAATCATGACTTTGCGAGCATTATGTAATAGGAATGGCCAGCCTACAAGTAGCGAGCAACGATGGCTGTTTCGTGTTGCCGGCTTGTGCGGCCATTGCTGGCTGACCAGCGGCAAGGTTGACTGCGATGAATACCTTCTATATGGGCAAAGGAGCGCTAGTGGTAAGACAACGAAAGCTACCTGCGAGTGACTACCACATAGTTTCGAAAAAAAAAAAAAAAAAAAAAATTTGGTTGCGGCACATAAGCTCCCTTGGGGAGTAGAGGAAGTAAGACCCACGCGAAAAACCAAAGACTCAATCGGCATCCAAGCGCAGCAATGCCACAGGCAAAACATTAACCGAAAGTAAATTATCGCAACTACACTTTTAGGACCGGATTCAGCCATGGTGGTCGTAGTGGAATTAATCGTGTAGAATCAAGGCCTTGACTGCGCATAAGTGTTGTCCATTATCATGACGAGGAGAGGTCAGACTGAAGTCAGACTGTGATACTGTACGGGATATGGATATACATTAGGAACAGACTGCATGGGCATATATTCGGAAAAGACTGGTTGCGTATTTATCCAATAAAGACTGTTTGCGTATTTACTCGGAAAAGACTGAATCTTGGCCCTCCTGCAACAGACGAGACAACAGAAGAAACATGTATCAAATTTCTTCCATTATCTCCTCAGGTCCCCATCAACCCACGCCCTTGCCGTGACCTGCACCAGGGAAATGAATTCAGGGAAACCTTGGCCACGCGAAGGAGCGCTTGTACTATATATCTCGGTCTCACGCATTTCATATAGCGTAATAACCCCTACTCAAACTTGCTACTTGCTTTCAGAGCCTTTCTGATTTCGGCCGCCGTCATGGGTGAGCTCTGGGAGACAAAGACCGGGCCAGCGACTGTCCTTGGAGCGTAACCCTTCAGCGACGAGGTCTTCGCACCTTTATTGACTTGGACCTACAAGTTCAATCGGCGATCGCTCGTGACCTGCATCTCGTATCAGCTTTCGTAGGTGATACGACGGAACACCAAGAAGACTTGCACCTTGCATGTTAAGTCGAAGATTGGCATCTTCATACAGAGTTTTCGCAGAGCTTGAGAGGCCCTCAAGCTTTGAGCCAGGAATGTCATCAATGAAGTCTCTAACGACCTGCTTCTTTGTGCGCCCCGTCTTCGGGAAATGGGTAAGTAGTATTGGGTTAGGTGAAAATATCAATGTAAACAAAACAAAAAGGGAAGAAATGACAATTTCACAATATTTCCTAGTTGGAACCATATGAAAGTGCCAGTCGATACTTGAGAAGAATAAAAGTATATGCTCTCCGAGAAGAAAAAACATATACTATATACAAATTTCTTGAGACTCCCGTACTATACATCGAAATAGCACTTCGCCAGAGTTGAGCTAAGTTTGCTAGACTATGTGTTGCCGGTGAGTTGAAACTTCGGCTGAAACCATCTCTACCTGGCTTTCTGATATGGAATTCCCTTTTAAGAAAATGTCGGTACCTTGTTGGCCCCTATCAGAAGAGCGAATTGACATATGGCGTATTACGGAATTCAGATAACCGTTTGGGATCGAGGATGTGTCGCACCCAAAGTATAACTGTATGCTGCTCTAGGTCTTGAAACACCTAATGCATATTGAAGGAAGACTACTACTTATGGAAAGCGTCTTGATTTGCAATGATTGCCCTCTATTCGCGAGTTCTCGTACGGTGGATACGTACTAGGTATATAGCTTAATGGTCCGTGCATAAGCTTTGCGACATTCTTCAGTTAACACCACCCATCTATCGACTACAAACCTCTCAGCTCCCACTTGACTTTTCGAGCCTCTGCGATAATCAATCGGCAGAGATCAAGACTGTACCGGCTCGCACAATGCCAGCACCTCCTGCTCAAGATGGGCTTGGATGGGACGACGGTGGACTATATGTCAAGCCAATCTGGACACGAGAACCATCTCTGGTGGACATAGAGAATCTGTGCCGCAAAGAGCTTCGCATCGACACGGGAGACACCTGTGCAGTGTCCTTTCACGCCGAAGGCGCCTTCAATAAGCTGTACCTAATTGAGACGAACCAGGGGAAATCACTACTTCGAGTCTCGCTTCCAGTCCACCCGCACAACAAGACCCGAGGCGAGGTCACAACGTTGCGCTTTCTACGCGATAGGACAGATGTCCCAGTTCCGGAGGTGATCGCGTTCGATGATTCTTCTTATAATTTGATTGGGTTTGAATGGATCCTGATGGAGATGATGCCAGGCGTCTCCGTCTACAAGCGATGGCGAACCCTGACCATGTTCCAGAAGGTGGCCCTCGTCCAGCGTGTGGCCGAGCTTCAGACCCAGATCTCCCTCAAGAGTTTCTCTAAAATTGGGACCCTCAAATCCAGTGACGTGGATCAAAGCGGAAAAAACCAGCAGCCAGGCGAGCTTGTTTCACGCTTCTTCTTTTGGGGACAACATTTCGACTACGACGTTGGCCGCGGCCCTTTCCGCTCGAGCTACGACTACCTCATGTCTTACATCGAAATCATCATCAAAGACTACATGACAGCAATTGTAGAAGCCGAAGATGAAGAAGACAAGGAAGATGCAGAAGCTGCATTGGCTCTCGCTCGCAGACTAGCCAGCTTACTGCCGAAAATTTTCCCTTCCCTCCAGTGTCCTCCCGAGCGAACAGTCATTTGGCATGACGATCTATCATTACAGAACATCCTAGTAGACGAGCAAGGAAATATCACTGCTGTAGTTGACTGGGAGTGCGTTTCGGCTACACCATTGTGGGTGGCTACCAAGGCGCCCAAGTTCTTGGAGGGACCAAGCCGGGAGAAGGAACCAGTGCGCCAGGACTACGCTGACGAGGATTCCGAACAGCCCAGCGCGCCAGACGGTGCCGAAGATGAGTTGGACAACGAGGGAAAAGATGAGCTGTACTGGATTCATTTGATGGAGTATGAAACAACCCAGCTTAGGAAGTTTTATCATGCAAGCATGTGTCATTTACGACCGGGCTGGGAGGTGCAAGTCAGTGAAAGCTCGTTAAAGGCAGACTTTCTTGGGGCAGTCGTGCGCTGTGGCGATGGTTTCCACCTGAGGAGAATAGATCAATGGGTTGACTTGATTGAAAAGGGTGAGTGCCCTAGGTTGATGGATGTGCTAGAGGAAGGCCTGGCGGTGTTGTAGCCATCTCAAGTCACAAGACCGCCAGCAAAGAGTGCTGTATGGATCTGATTTATTGCGAGCCTACATAGAAATGAAGATCAAGACCGACCGAATGGCAGCATCTGATACCTGCGAAATCCATGCCAGTTACATTCCTTACCTTTCTCTTCAAATAAACTCACTAGCAATATGATCTCTGTATCACAGTTAATTTCTCGACAATTTCCCCCGTCCTTCTCCTTCATACCCTCACGGAGCTGAGGGATATGATGAAAAAAGTGGTGGCACGCATTGGGGCTGCGGCCTTGCCCATGTGGCGAATGAATGAGACTGCTTTTTTTTTTTAAAAAGGTAGCAAGCCGAGCCTTGGGAGACAAAAAATTATGACCAACAGATCTCGAGACCGATGAGCGTCAAGAGATCCATCCAACCAACACCGGGGTAGTCAGCTCGCTCTAAGGGCTATCCTCCACCAGCTTATGACTCCCACCCATTTCGCTGTAGAAGTTTGCCCCTCGTCGTCAGCATCCAGAGCGCGGGGGAGATAGCCTCACCTGGTCCTGGTATTCCGCATCGCCCGGTGATCAAAGGATACCCATGTTGAATGAATATAGGAGTGCCACCTTGCCAGCAATGCTCCCCACACACAAGCGCAAAGCTCTGAATATGCGCCCAATCGACCTAGCACGACATAACGGAGCTCACCAATCGTCAAGCGACATCCAACCACCCGAAGGTGAGATGGCGGCAATTCGGCCGCGGGAACCCGACCCCCTTCCTTACAGATGGCGAGAAGGGCCCCGAGCACGAAACCTTACGGATCGCTCCTAGGGGGCGCAGGGCAAGCCACCAGGGTGACTGCAAGCTTCCATGAATCCCTTTGCGTGCGGCAGACTTGTCCACGTCGGCACCGAGAGATCTCCCGGCCACAGAGGACCATCGGTAGGGCTGAGGGAGGTCCAGCTCTCTACACTCACAATCGACGCCATCCCGCCGAGGACGTCGTTCCCCTCTCTTCCCCCCGGGACAGAAGAGCGAGTACTACTCCTCTCGGACATTGATGGAGATAACCAGGTAAAAAGGCCCCAACGCGGATGCCGAAACGGGAATGGGCAGTTGAACTTACGAACGGGCTTTCGACTGCGTCTACAATTCCTCGCCTTGGAGACGAGGTTCAGGGACGGTGAGGCCTGGCCAGGGCACATCATCACGAAGACGGAAGCACAGTGCCATGGCGCATCACGCGTATGTATCGTTCGCAGTGGTGTACGTAGGCAGGTAATCGTAGGGAAAGTGGTTTTGCTTGGTGTAGCAAACGCGTCAGCGGATCGGAGATTGAAGGAAAATTCGAAGATTGTTGAAAGGAGGGAAAACCATACCTCGAGGCGCTGTTGGATTGATAAGTATTAGATGCCGTTTGCTCTGTGGAGCTCTCGAAATCGGACGTAGTGTCGGAGGAGAGGTAGGACGAAGATCGTAGATGGGATGGAGTAACATACGAGATGAAGAAGGTGAAGGTAGGAAAGGAAGAGTAGTGACAGTGTGGGAAATGGTGGGGGAGGGTTGGTGTGAACTAAGTGAAGAGGAAGTGATAAACGTTGGACCTGAAGCGCGTAAAATTGGCAGAGCTTGAATTTCACTTCAAGTTGACCCAAAAATCCTAAGAACGACGTGTTTCCGTGCCTGAAAAAGTAAAATAGGACAAGTCCACGGTGGGTTGTTGAGGCACCTTTGGGGTTTGAATATGCTGGGTATAAGAAGCTGGCGTGGCGGGCGTGGAGGTTTGATGACAAGTGGGAGTGTCTGACCTGAGGACCTGGATAACTTTCCTGCTATCGACACGATGGATGATGGAGATATCAAATGCTCATCAATGGGTAGTCTTGACGAAAGGAGTGACATACTTTTCACGTCGCAAGCTCGCGTTTTGATTGTTGCTGTGGATGAAGGCAACAATGAGGATAAATGGCGGGAAATGATTCAACACCTGGGACAATCAAAGATTCAAGTTGATTGAAAATCCTGCGGCTCATAATTGCGTCGTTGCCTAGGAAATATCAGGCTGCTAATTGAGAAATCTAGGTTTTTTAGATAGGCAATGGTGTTAGACGACGATGGGGAAAATTTTTATTTTTGGTGCAAGTGAATCAAAGTCATTCTCCTCGTCCTTACTCCGTTGAGACCGAAGTTTTGAACCTTGCGTCAACAGAGACCTGCGTGCAGCTAAAATCTGTAGTACATATGTCGAATCCCTTGAAGACCTAATTTTCTTGCAAGGGTGAGGGTGATAGTAGTTGTTGACCTGTTATTTCTGCGAGCTTATCATTCATCGGCCTAGATGTAATTACTTCAGACTTTCACGTCGCTGATAATGCGGAACGGTACATTAACACAAACAATTACTCTTCGATGAACTTCGCTCCAACCGCCATGCTGGCCAGCTGCAACTGACGGTCCCTACTCAGTCTGCAGGACAGACGATTGGTTCTCCAAGGCCCTTCGAAATATGAATACACAATGTCCTCTCAGCCTCCCAATGACGGCCTAGCCTGCGGCCAGCTCCCGGTCTGTCTTTGCGCCGGCATTTCATACTGGTTTTTTAGAGAGTGTTGACCGGGGTTGTATAAGGAGCGAATACCTGACCTCGCCTACTGGCCAGATGTCACTGGCTCGTGTGGTACATATATTGGCCTATCGTACAACTCACTGTACGGCAGGCTTGGTCCTGCTAGACTACGCGAACCGTGGCCGGAGTGAATCAAGATGAGCACCCTACACGTGATGTGTACCGCCCCTGAAGACTATATCTGCGGTGAGTTCGCTCACGGTGAATCAGGATGAGCATCATACACGTGACAGGCTCAGGTTTGCGGCGGGCCCGCCTATTGGTGAGGGGGTGAAGTGGAACGGTCCTAGTTCCCGCTAGGAGCACTTACGGGTAACCAAACATTCGGAAAATCGATTATCATCGTGTTCTATTCAGTGTATTGTAAAAGCAATGGCGAGGTCTACCTACTGATTTGAGGGTTACGAAGTCAAGGAGTTGCTTTGTACCCTGCTTATCCCGCATAACGTGCAATGAATGGTCAGCAGAGTCAGCAGTACCTATTGTATGCCTTCGAAACAAAGTATAAATTTCCGGGGCCCAGCCCTCTTCATGAATCGGACAAGCTGTTGACAACATGAACCTCTCCGCCATTAACGGTAATATAAGTTGTGCATTGAAACATTAACACGTCCATTTCTTCCCACCATTATATTTGTAAACGTAGTCGCCATATTTTGTCCTACCACAATGGCCTCTACGTCTTCATCCGAACCGATTATCTTCTACGACATAGCCTCGGGCCCGCCTCTGCGCCCATACGCACCCAACCCATGGAAGACGCGGTATGCCCTCAACTTCAAGCGCGCAAACTTCGTCACGCAATGGGTCGACCTGTCCGAGGTAACAGCGACCCGAAAAAGCCTCGGCGTGGATCCGGTGCGCTTCTTCAGCAATGGAGAGCCTTTCCATACTCTGCCAGCCATCAAAGACCCATCCACCAATACCGTTGTGGGAGATTCATTCGACATCGCCGTGCATCTGGATAAAAAGCACCCCACTGGCGCTTCGTTGTTTCGGCAGTCAATCGGATTGTACGCGGCGTTCAACGCTCAAATTGACTCAATCTTCTTCATCGGCGCAGCACTTTGCCCCCAGGGTCTACCGCTGAACCCGGAGACTGCGGAACAGTGCAAAGCTGAGTTTTGCAGGCGGGCCGGCTTCAAGACATGGGATGAGCTCATCGTGCGTGGGGAGGATAGGAAAAAGGTCTTGACTGAGTTCCAGGCTGCCCTGGGTGAGGCCGCGAAGTTTTTCAGGTTTTCCGACGGTCCATTCATAGGAGGCAAAGACCCCGATTACGCGGATATCATAATTGGCGGCTGGCTGATGTTCATGAGCCAAGTGGTGTCTGAATGGGAGGAGATTCGCTCGTGGCATAGTGGGGTTTGGGGGAGGCTGCATGATGGTCTGGAGCCCTATAGAGGAACATGGTGAGATTAGGGATGTGACATCAGAGGGCTGTGAATGTCGAGGGCGGAGGACGCCACTTGAAATTGATGACAAGAACACCAAGGTATTGTATACCAGGAACGTGAATGACGAAGAAAGAGAAATAGGCAAGCCGTTCATTTCTGGCTAGAAGATGGGCAGATTTAGGGTGTTCGAAGACATAAGAAGGCTAACGAGGCCTCGTACTCTTCCTGATATTCCCCTCAGTAGGCATCGTACTTGAATATTCAATGTTGAATCGCCAAAACAGGTCTTTAATCAACCCAAGCATTCGTAAGAGGTAGATAGTATAGTCCCTGCGCCACACCAAGCCCAAACGCCACATTCCGTGCGCTCACTATCAGCTAACTATCAATGTCGTCACAACTTTTGGACCGGGGTCCTAGATCCGATATCGAAAGCGCAGCCGCGCTCCTCTACCTCTCACACTGGGTTTCCCGCCGCTGTTCTTTGCAACGCCGAACCCTTTCTCTCCCCCCTCCCACAATCCTCCCCTCCCCGGCAGGCAGAGCGATCTTCGGGATGAGGGATGCCACTCCGCTACGCCATCCCGCCCTCGGCCCTGCTGCGCCGGGCCCTCAGCAGCAACCCGGCGACAACGCAGCAGCTCGCGTGCCACGGTCCGCCGGGACGGGCCTCCTTCCACAGCACCGCGCCGCTGCGCGATGACGAGATCGACGGCGCGACCAACCACTACGAGGCGCTGAAGCTTGCGCCGGGGGCCTCGAACGCTGACATCAAGAAGTACGTCTGTCTTCTTCCTCTCCTTCTCCATCTGGCCCACCCATTGCCTCCCGGGGCCGATGTGAGCGACAAGGGGCCCCCAAAGAACCCCTCTCGCTGACCATCATGGCACGACCCAGATCCTTCTACAGCCTGTCCAAGACGCACCACCCGGACCAGAACCGCGACCCGGGCGCATCATCGCGCTTCGTGCGCATCTCCGAGGCGTACCGGACGCTGTCGTCGCCGGAGCAGCGCGCCCGCTACGACCGCGACGTGCTGGGCCTGTCGCCGCACGGCGGGCACCACGGCCGCAGCGGCCGGGGCTCGTACTCGTCGGCGAACCCGGCGGGCGGGCGCCCGGCCACGGGCCTCAGCCGCCGCCGCACCACCTTCACGGGCCCGCCGCCCAGCTTCTACCGCAGCGGCGGGTGGGGGGCGCACGGGGCGAAGCGCAGCGCGGCGGCCGACGAGTCGACGGGCGGGTTCGCGTCGGGCGCCGGGCCGGCGGGGCCCCGGGACCACCACAACGACGGGGCGTGGGCGGCGGCGTCGTCGTCGTCGGGGGGCTCCAGCACCGGCTTCGGCAGCTTCGGCGGCATGGGCCCCGGCCAGGACCCGTTCCACACCGAGGCCGCGTCGCCGCACTTTGACCGCGAGGGCCACGAGCGCACGGGGCGCCAGACGGAGGAGCACCGGAGCCGGAGCCGCAGGCGGCGCATGGTGGACGGGCAGGAGGTGGATATCGAGCCTGAGAGAGGCGCCACGGGCATGTTCTTCGTTATCGGCGGCGTGCTGGTGCTGAGTTTCATGGGCCCATTCGTGGTTAGCCGGGCCTGGAATAGTGGTGAAAAGAAGCAGAAGTTGCCCAAGGACTGGAACAGAAAGGCGAAAGGGTGACTGAACGGGGAATTTCCGAAGAATCACATTTATCAGAGGTTCCCCCCGAGGAAAGGAGTGGCGCAAAGCCGTGTAAATACGAGGTTTAAGCATGCACATAGAAGGGCGAGCCACAATGGCAGGGCATTGTACAAATAGCATCAAGCGGGCACTGGACAGCATCCAATTGTCATCGAAAGTCGTTCGAATTTCTTCTAATCTACATTCAAGAGAGAAATGTCGCCGGAATGCAGATCTATCTTCTGAGTTATTGTATTACACATTGTGAGGAAATAAGAAGGGGTATAGTCAGAATGCCCAGGTACAAACGCCTTGGCTAAGCAACCGGCCCCTCCTCAAATCAAATCCCCCCCCTAATCTTCTTGTACATGCATTTAACCCTCGAAGGTGAAGCTGACACCAACCTGCAGAGTCTGTTAGCAAAATATCGCATCAAATGAGGCATTGCGGTGCAGGACGAACCTTGTGGGTGGCCTGGTCGAGCTTCTGGGTATCGAAAGAGCCACCGAGACCGAGGGTGACACCGGGGCGGAGGAGGACGTTGTAGGCAACGGCAGCGACACCACGGTCGTTGATCTTGGCCTGTTTGCAGTTGTCAGTGGTTTGGTCCATGCCAGTCAAACGAGTACATTCTGGGGGCGACGCACCTTGGCGAAAGAGACGGGGTCCAGGCGGTACTTGCTGGCAACCTCGAGGCCGACAGCGTTGCCGGTCTTGGAGTTCCAGGTGGCCTTGGCACCAGCCTCGACCTGGCCGTTGACCTTGTGGTAGTAGGAGGCAGCGAAGACGCTCAGGTTGTCGGTAGCAGTGATGGAGGCAGTGTAGACGGGGGCGGTGTAGCCGAGAGCGGCGCTGTAGCCGGTCAGGGCGCCCTTGTTGACGTCGAAGCCGGCGGAGGCACCAGCCAAGAAGCCCTCGTGGCCGACGACGGCATCAACGTTGGCAATGGGGCCCTTTAGCAGGTCGAAGAAGGCACGGCCGTGGAAGATGTTCTGCTTGAAGTGGAGGTTGAGCTTGGCGCCACGGCTCTGGGAGGTGGGCAGGAAGCTGAAGACACCCTCAGCCTTGAGGCCCTTGGCGATGCTGTCGGCCAGCTCGACCTTGGACTCGAGGGCGTTGGCGGTGTTCCATGTCTGGGTCAGGGTGAGGCCTGTTTTGAGAACGCGCCGACACGTGGTTAGCAAAGCCGGGGGCTGATTATCGCGAAACAACAAGGCAAACTCGAGGGGCCAGGCGCGCGGACCGGGCACCGTGATGCGCGATATCGAACATGAGAGGGAGCTTGGTTTTTTTCTCGATCTCTTGTAGTGCGCGCTGCCTTTGGAGCTGGTGCGGGAAGACTCTGAGGAGAAAGAGGAGCTGATGGGTGATTTACCGAGCGACTTGTCTGTGTATTTTCCCTCCAACTGTGGTCACACTCAAGTCAGCCAATGATGCCCCGGGAGCTGTTGCCAGGCAATGCAGTGGCGTAGTTTATCACCACGCCTCGCCATGCCTGGACGGGGGAAGAGGGAAGGGGAACTCACGTTTCCACTGGTGGCCTTGTCGTGGCTGCTCTTGCCGGTGACCTTGAAGGCGACGTTGTTGGGGGTGTTGCTCTTGACCTCGATGGTGCCGGCGGACAGGTGGTAGAAGTCCTTGTTCAGCAGCTGCAATGGTGGTGCACGGTCAGCGGATTGCGTCTTCTCTTGCAGATGTCGCAGCAGTCCGCCATGGGGATGGCGAATAGCTTCATGGCTGCGGGAAATCTGGGGGGTTTCGCAGGTCCCATCTGGACCCGGATGCCGATGCCGATGCCGATGCGATGCGGTTTAAGCTCGCGGCAACGGCAGGGAGGACAGACTTACGTCGTTGGCCGACTTGGAGATGTCAGAGAAGGCAGGGACAGACATGATGGGCGGTCGGTGGCTGGAGGGCTGGAGGGCTGGAGAGGAGTGAGAAGAGGTGATGGGATGTGGATGAAGGAGTTGTGGACTGATGATACAGAAGCTGTCAGAGCCGAGCTGGAGCAGAGTTCTGAAATTTGTTTTCTTTTGGCGGGAAATGCAGGAACGAACCAGGTGTCAGGCCCCCCGGCCCAGGCTGTCCAGCATTGACTGCGACTGCCCCAGGTGACGATGGCCCGCGGGTACGTACCGCTTCGGGTCTAGCTCGGCCCGTCCTCCAATGCGGTTGGACCGTCTGCCCATAGCCCCCATCTGGAAGACAGCCCCCCCTAAGGCGATCCCCCATTCACATTAACCCAGGGGAGCCAGGGCGCTCCTCCCAGGGCTCCACCCCCCAACCGTTCGCCATCCCGCGACAATGGCAGCCGGCGCTGAGGAACGTGTCGCCAATCAACGCCAGGACTGGCCCAATGGCTCACTGGCCGTGCGAGATTGCGGCGACATCTATCATCGCACCTCCAGGGCTCCAGGGCTGTCCCTCATGCTGCCAAATGACCCCCAATGCCCTAATAGTGTGCCCGCCTGGCGTCATGAGGCCGGCCATGCTCCCTCAACAACACCTGGGCACTCACTCACTCCCGTCACTTCACCGAGCAACTCCTCTCGCATTCGACCCGCGCTAGAATGACTCGGTCGTAGCACATGATTCTGATTGCATTGTCACCGCTCCGTGCTATGCTATTGCTAGAACACATGGACCTCTCTCATACACCCGCCCCAGTTTAACCAATAGACGAACCGTTGGTTTGGTTATGCCAACTCTCCACGTCAGCCCCATCCAAGGCCCAATTCCTCGTTATGGCCATGCAAACGCCCGTTGCTAATCTCCCTTGAACTGATGGTGTATATCTACTGTACGATCTATGACCCGACCCATCGGATTTCCCGGGCAGCGAGTCGTCTACCTTGGCTCTCCTCTCGCAACATATTTTTCTGCCTCGAGACTCCAGCGTCTTAGACAGCTGTCTTATACTTCTGGTTGTGGGTCGCAATCGCGCGGCCACTCGGGTCTGTCTGCTTGGACCATGTCGGCGTCCATCTCTCCACGGTACCGGCGCAGTGCGGGGGGAAGTGCTCGTCAAACATGGTGCGGTACCAGTATGCCTCCTTGGTATCCGGGATGTCGGTGCCCCACTCGGGCTTGGGGTTCTTCATCATCTCGTCCGTGACGTGCGCCTCGGCGTTGTCCTTGAGCGCATCGATCCAGCCGTACCCAACACCGTCCGAGAACTGCTCCTTCTGTCTCCAGAGGATGTCGTCCGGCAGGTAGGGCTGCGCAGCCGGGTCGTCCGACGTGTCAAAGGCCTTGCGCAGGATGTACTTCTCGATACGCTCCTGGGTGATCATCTTCTCCGCCGGGTCGATGTTCATGCATGCCTCAAGGAACTAGGAAGACAAATGTCAGCAAATGTGTATGACGAGAGAGAGACCACTTCCTCCTCCGGGAACTCACCTCCTTGTCGAGGAAAGGCACACGGGCCTCAAGACCCCAGGCCGATGTTGACTTGTTGGCACGCAGGCAGTCTGCAAGGTGCAGGTTCTTGACACGGCGGACGGTCTCCTCGTGGAACTCCTTCTTATCCGGAGCGGCATGGAAGTACAGGTATCCGCCAAAGATCTCGTCACTACCCTCTCCACTGAGCACCATCTTGATGCCCATGGCCTTGATCTTTCTCGAGAGCAGGTACATGGGTGTCGAGGCGCGGATGGTGGTAACATCGTAAGTCTCAAGGTGGTAGATCACGTCCGAAAGGGCGTTGAGACCATCCTCGATGGTGAAGGTCATGACGTGGTGCTTGGTTCCCAAGAACTTGGCAACCTTGAGGGCAGCCTCGTTGTCGGGCGAGCCCGGCAGACCGATCGAGAAGGAGTTCAGTTGCGGCAGGTAGGTGACGGTGGACAGAGTGTTATCGTCATCGATACCGACCAGCCCTTCGCCCTTGTCAGGGTCCTCGGTGATGTTGTCGGCGTTGCCGTTGGCAGCAATGGCCAGGGCCTTCATCCGCAGGGTTTCCCGCTGGGCGATGGAGGCGACCAGACTGGAGTCCAGACCACCAGAGAGCAGGACACCGTACGGCACCTCAGCCATGAGCCGTTTCCTTACCGACTTCTCCAGGGACTCGCGGATGAGCGTGAGGTCGAGAGGGGTCTCGGGGATCTTGGAACCTTCCCACCACGACGGCTGGAAGTATCGGTGGGTCTCGCCAGTCTTGGAGTCGTAGACATGGCCGGGAGGGAATGCGCGGATCTTGTCGCAGACGGAGTGCAGGCACTTCAGCTCCGAGGCGAAGTAGACAGCGTTGTTCTCCTTGGAGGACCATCCTTGGTAGAATGTGGTGATGCCGATGGGGTCGCGGGCCGCGATCGTCCGGTCGAGCTTCTTGTCGTACAGCACGAACGAGAACATGCCGTCCAGGTACTTGGGAGCGTCGAGGCCGTACTCCATGTACAGGGGGATGATGACCTCGCAATCCGACGTCGTCTTGAAGTGGTAAGGAGTCTTCAAGTTCTTGCGGATCAGTCTGTGGTTGTAGATCTCGCCGTTGACGGCGAGCACAATGCTCTCGTCGGCATTGGTGAGCGGCTGGGCGCCAGACTCTGGTGTCGTGTGAGCTGATGCGGGTAAAGTAAGGCAAAAGTCGGTTGTGAACCTACCAACACCAACGATGCTGAGACGCTCATGGCACAAGACTGCAAACGCGCAATAGGTTAGTACAGGCGCCGAGGTCAGTTCCTAGAGGAGAGGTCGGCTTACTTGTGTTGTTGGAGATGACGCTTCCACCTGTAACGCGCAGCTGGTCAACATTTGCCGTCCCCTCAAAGATCTGTAGTACACATCCGAGTGTCGGGTGACTCACTCCAGTCGGGGCCTCTGTGCCGGATTCTGCGGGTAGAAACAGGTCAATTGAAGTCGCAGGAGCTGCAGAAGGGGTTTACATACTGCTTTGCAAGTCGCAGAGCCGTCGGCTTGAACTTCTGCACCTCAGGGTGACTGCGCGCGCTCGGTCAGTTACCTGTGTTCTGTCCCCAATCGCGAACGGCGAAAATGTGATTATGGCGGGGTCCCAAAAAATGCCCCTCCAAACCCGCGCCGCAGCGACAGCGGCAGACGCATCGACGTGCAGAGAGAAACTTACCAGTGACAAGCAAAGATGCCACACATCTTGTCTTCCTGGTCTTGTCGTTTCGTTGGATGGCAGGTAAAAAGAAGGTATTCCTATAGCCCGGTCTAGTGTGAAGAAGGTCACGAACCAGTTTCTTAAAAAGTGATGCTCGCTGCAAGTAGTCTGAAGATGCCCGAGGTAGGGGGGGAAGTGTGATTTAGAGTCGCCGCGAGAAGAGCCGTCGAGTCATAAAAAAAATCCGGGCCCTGGAATTGAATTTTGGAAGAGACTAAAACTCCGATACCTAGGGCCCAAGGGGGGCGTGTCTGGAGTCTGGGCAAGTTTGTCTCCCTCTGGTTTCGCCTTTCTCTCGGGACAGGTAACGATTAAGGGACCCGTCACTCGCTGGTGGCTGCTAGTCTAGCGTCATAGTGGTGAGCGCCCGTGGGCCCGATAACCAGCACCCGGTTACGTTGGTCAATATGGTGAGAATGTGAGTCGTCCGTCGCCTCTACGCCCGCCGAGATCGGCGCAGTGAACGCCCGCCGCCCTCTGAGTCCGCGTGGTTGGCTGGAACCCGCGGTCTGGGACAGTCGACGCTCGAATTACCTAAGACGGCGTTGGGTCACTGATAACAGGAACTCTATCCAGAGATTCGAAACGCTTCACCCCTGGCTGACCGACAGATTTCAACACACGTATGAATGCTTTTATGTATGCATGCCTGGGGTTGAGCGAATGCCATCACCCTGGGTTATCTTCAGCAGCCCAAAATACCCTGCGCAGACCGTCATGTCCCATGTCTCTCTCTCTCTCTCTCTCTCTCTCTCTCTCATGTGAAAGTCGGTGTCGACTTGCTTCCTCTCGGGTGCCGATTGACGACGGTGGGGCCTTTGGTCGTTATTCGGGTGTGCCGAGAGAACCGTCGTCATCTCACGTATAGCTCCAAGGATCGCGAGTGCTTGCCTCAAGTCAGAACTTGCCATGGATTGCCCTATGAAATCGATCTATGCCTGACTCCATCCATCCATAACTGCATCTATGACATGGACAGCCCAATGCCTTGCTGCTGGAAATATGTGGCCATGGACTGCCACCATCTCGTAAAGCAGAAAAGCCCATCGCAAGTGGTATCGCATTCCTGAACGCCTCCCTCATGTCATCCCAAAGCTGCCCGCTTCAAAACCTGATGCGCAACTCCCGTCCCCTTGCTCCTCCAAGCGCCTCGTACAGAAACACCTCGATCAGGCCTAGCCGGCCTACGGAGCGTTCTCTCGCACGACGCGACGAACTCGGCGCTCGTACTCGGCCTTGTCTTTCTTGAAAAGATTGTAGGCCTCCGCCTGGGCGGGCGACTCGGGGTTGGGGTTGTCGAGAAGGTCCTGGACACCGAGCGCAATCTGTTTGACGGTGATAGCAGGCTTCCAACCCTCCTCCTCGTTCAGAATCGACAGGCAGACGGTGCCGGACGGGTAGACGTTGGGATGGAAGAGGGGCGGCGTGAACTTGCCTGTAATCACCAGACGATCTTGTCAGCATCGTGGTCGCTCGTAGGTAGCATCGAAGGGGAAGTGGTAGAGAACTTACACTTGGGCGGCTTGGTGGGGTACTCTGGAACAGAGCGAACATTGTCAGCCTGGAGTCCCGCGCTTTGCGTCGCATGAACGTAGGTAGGGCTGCAACTCACCATCCGGGAACGTCATGGTCATTTTGAAAACACCACCCTCCCACAGAGTCTTCTCCTTGCCGGGAATGCCGCACTCCCAGACCTTGAGGTCCATCACGCCATCGGATCGCTTGACGGGTCGGGCCCAGAAGCCGAAGGGGTGGTCTTTCCGCCACTGTTTTCTATAGAATAGCCCAGTCAGTATTCCAGGCGGCACATGGTAAGCCAAGGAGGAGGAGGACGGGGTCTTCAGCCTCGGAGGCGCAAGGAAGATACAACGTACCTCTCCTCCGCGAGTCGCATGTTGCAGAGCGCCATGGCTGCTTTTCGTCTCCGGCGAGGTTGTCCGGCTGGCGAGTCGTTTTCGTCTGATCAAGTCAAGGGACGGAGAAGGAGAGCGGTCCAAAGGTATCGTCCTTGGGGGGCGTTCGGGCGCTGAGACTGCTCAAGTAGTGTTGTTGCGCAGAGGTCGGCCAGACGGGACCAGGTTTGCTCTGGTGAATGGAGTTAAATGTGAAAACTCCGCAGCTGAGGCGCTCGAGGTGAAGACAAGGGAAGAACAAGAGGACGCGGGTCAAGCGGGTCTCATCAAGCAGAGTCGAAGTTGTGTATCGTCAGACGTCGGAAGTCTCCCAAGTAACGCAGTGGCTCTGGCCCCCTCGTGCCGGTTCGATGTGAATCTTTGGCACCAACACCTCGGCGGCGGCGAGACTAGGAGTGAGGCTCCCGGCTCTGGAAGGATCGCCCGCCGCTCTTGGTGGGGCCCTTTTTGGGGCAAGCGCGCTAAGGAGCTGCCTGTCTCACGGCCCGGAATGGCGGGAATAGCGATTGGGCTTAGCGCTGTCCCGGGTGACAGGCACTGGGCAGACCTGCCGGCTTCTGGGGGAGCAGACTCTGGGGACTCTGGGCGGTGATGCACATACGACTTCACCACTTCGACGCTCGCTGCACGCGATGCCAAGAAATGATCGTGACCAGGACCTCCAAACCAGGCTACCTGGACATCTACGCTGGGGAGACATGTTTGGTTTGCCTTTCACCCTATGCTTTCTGTCGCATTTGGTGATTGCCAAACTTAGTCACCTCATCATCATCTCAGTCCCAACACGTTTGTCCTGCGTCAACATCAACCAGATGTCCTTGTGACTCCGAATGTGCGCTGCTCGTGAATGTTAAGAACATGTCTTGGCCGTGTAGTACCTTCCCGTTCGAAGACAAACAACGGCGTCTAGAAAAGCCGATGGATGTAGGATAGCCCTTGAAAAACATCTATTGAGAGTCACAGATGTCAAACTTCATTCATGATAAGCAAGGATTACATGGTCTTGAAGGCCGAAGATTCTTGGGGGAATCGCTTGCTACAAGGGCACCGGACGATTTGTGAATGAAAGCAAAGCGTCGATCATTTTCTAGGTCTGGAGATTGTCACCTGAGTCGTAGGCCATTCCTGAACGTCCCGGGTTGAGGGCAGTGGCAGAAACAAATTAATCAATTTTCTACGTTGGAGGAGAATAATTAATGTATGTCTCACGAGGTCTGGTTGTGCTGACCAAAACTCTCCAGCAGCCTGGGCAACAGGTACTGGTTGTTGTACTCCCACAGAATAGTAGTGAAGTCCGCCGTCCAAGCGCCACCGGTATAGAATGTCGACTTGCGACCCTGGAGCGCGTAAAGCTTCTTGTAGAAACCTGACTGCAGCGTTTCCACCGACAGGTGGGGATGTATACCGATATGGGCCGCGAGGGCCGGGAACTCGAGTGGTTTGCCCTGAGTGTCTTCGATGGTTCCCGCAGCTGCCAACTTGTTGAAAGCCTCCTGAGCCAAAGCCTGCGCCTCAGGGATCTCATCGTCCGCTGTGCCCGTCACTAGCACGCGGAAATTGGAGTCGCCCAAATATTCAAATCGTCCGACGAAAGGGGCGTCGGGCAGTTCGAGCCAGTTGCTTGGAATGACGGAAGTCGGGTAGTTGACAATCGAGTAGTTGACGGGGAGCGAAGGATGTGTAGCGATACCCGCAAAGACAGCACCTTTACCCCAGACCGAGAAGATGTCCTGCTCAGTCTTGTCGAGGTCAAAGGGCGCGAGGTTTTCGGCAGTCGGCGAAAAGGAGATGAGCAGCCGCTTGGCCTTGATCAGAGTGCGCTGTCCACTGGCGCCTTCAACGAGGAGCTGCACGCCGTGGCAGGACCGGTGGGAGGAAACGACAGTACTGGAGTACAGAACATCATCTCCTAAGAGGGCAGCAATGTTGTCATAGAGGTCTTGGTTCCTCTTAGTTGTGGGCACCCACGAATTGGCTTTCCCAACGAAAGTTCTGACGATGGGAGCACCGAATGCTTGCATCACATAAAGCGTAAGTTCGTCGACCACATTTCCCAAACCGAGTCCCGTCACCTGGAAGACTCGAGGCACGATTGCCTCGAGGCCGTACTTCACCACAAAGTCTCCGAAGGGCAAGAGCAAGTCTTCGGGTACATCTTGTGCTGGGAAATTGGCATACGAAGGAAGGAATAGGTCCTCGTAACGCTCGCAGATCTCCAAGTACTTCTCAAGTGCGGCGGTCACGTTTGCCGCAGCAGGGGCTACATAGCCGTCAAGGACAGAGCCGGTCTTGAAGTCAGCAAATGTGGTTGTCAAGGAGAGCCGGACGGGCGTCTGGAGAGAGACATTGAAGCGGGTGAAGAACGCCTCCGCGCCCCCATACTCTGTGTACGAGTTGACGCCATAGTCGTAGGGTTTTCCGGAAACTGGGTCAATGTATGTTTCAACATGGCCACCCTAAGAGAAGAGGCTTGTGTCAGCGAACAGCCACATGCATGTCGACCGGAGAATTATATAGGCCTACCAGATTCTCCTGTTTCTCGACAATGACCACAGTCTTCCCATAGTCCTCCCGCAGTCTCACAGCCGCATGTGCCCCAGAGGCACCACCGCCCAGAACAACCACATCTTTGTGTATGATGTGGTTCGCTGCACTGTCAGGGATCGCTGCCGCCGCCACGGTTGTCGCTGCGAAAAACAGCTTAGCTGCGTTCATGCCGACTGAGACGTGCATCCTGGAGTTGGCTGGGGAAACGAGTGAAGGAAACCAGGCGCGGTTTGCGAGTTACAGTTCAAGGTGTACCGCAAATCACAGACGCGGGATATTAAGTAGGATGCTGCATCACGTTACTATGCAACCCTCGGTTCCATCCCCCCCTTGCATTGTGCAATTTTACATATCGGACGCACAGCAGCGGCACGGAATACCCTGGAGGTGCGACCTTGCCGTATCCGATCGCTGACAAGATGACATGAAGCGATTCATCACTTTTGTCATGGTTGTGATCAGGATCAACCGCGTTCCCTCACCATCGGTATCCCAAGCGAGAGTCGAGCCTGGAGCATTCCGACATTCCGATGTCCTTGTGGCCCCTGTTCACCACCCCCGACGTTGTGGATAGTTTCTGCAGCATATGGGATTCCCCACTCTACGCGAGCCGTCCCTCAGGGGCCGTCGAGCCAATGGGAATACTCCCATTGTTCTTAATCCCAGTCCTATGCAATCCTCCTATAATGACAATGCATTGGCCCACTTGGCAAGTTCCTTCCAGCACTTCCAGGCCCAGCCGAGGCCGTTACGATGTCGAGAAAACTCTGCTGGGTGGCGTGAGATGGAACGAGATTGTAGGTTCCGTTGTTCAAATTTCCGAGATTCATAACCAAGTGCAAATGATGAATCCCAAAGCGTAGAGAAGCGGCGCAGTTCAACTTGTAATAGGCCTCCGTTAAAGCGAGAACGAGTTTTCACTAGTATACGCTAGACCTCATCCGTGTGCCAGTATAGCAAAGGTGTGAAGGACGCCTCGCCTTGATATTGATGCAGCAGGGTTCTTCAGGAACTACTATTTGCTTTATTAATCCCACGTCCTGCGCCTGGAAGAACTTGCATGGGCAACTCTAGCTTCAGCATGTCGACCGGTCGGTGATTGCCGCTTCTGGATCCTGCCCCTGAATCCCTGCTGTTGTCAGAACGCTTGCAGCCGGTGAAATATCTATCCGTCCCAAATGCTGGAGATTTTGGGCCATTCAGGTTCTAAAACTTGGTAGGGTCTAGACGCGTTGATTGTCGCATGAGGGGAGATGCAAATGCGCCTTCCTGGCTGGGAGAGCAGTCAGTCGTGATGCAAAGATGCAACTGCGAGTAAGCATTCTCTGCCTCAAACATGCCTTCAGCTAGACGCGATCCAATAGTTTCCTTGAGTGTGAGGCTTGACAACTAGCAAGAGTGCTGTATGCTGCGAAATAGCATATATCCGGTCATGATGTTGTAGCTTACAACGAGCATATGTAGCCCAATCAACCTGTTTCATCCGCGTCGATGGTGCTGCATCGAATCCCTCCAAGTCACCAGCCTGCGAGGAACAGGGGTATCATTTGCATGCTTGCCGGACGGTCGGGTCCGCTACTTTAGTCGCTACTTTAGTCGTTGATCTCCCGTACACTTTATTCGCTCCTCTTCTCTGCTACCAAATTACTCATGCCAGTTAAGGCTGGATTGTTGGCAATAATGAATCTCCCAAGAGCTCCAGATCCTGCCTATGCGGCGGAAAGCAATACCACCTGGATCGTCACCGTCGTTACCATCTTCCACGTGATCGCGTTGTCATGCGTGGCCCTTCGGGTATATGCAAGAGCCTTCGTGATCAAGAAGCCGGGCTGGGATGATTTGATGATGGTCTTGTGCACGGTGAGGCACTCCTAACGTCGAACCCTGTACAATCTTGCAGTAATAACTAATTATCATACCATGCTGCAGCTCTGCACGATTGGAGGATGGTCAGTCTTCATCATACAGTCTTACCACGGACTCGGTCGTCATCAAGATACTATATCTCCGCCCGACCTCATTATTTATAGCCAGGCCGGGCTCTGGCAGTCCATCATATCAGCGGCATGGGCGCTCACGTTCCTGAAAATCTCAATCGCCCTCAATTTGCTCCGTATCGGGTCGAACAGTCGATGGTACATTTGGTCGTTATGGGCAACGATAAGTCAGTGTTCTCAAATCCTATCTCTCACAACAGGGCGCTGACTCAAATACAGTCCTGAATGTCATGAACTGCATTAGCGGTACTTTCACCTTCCTCCTGTATTGTCGCCCCCTTCCTAGGTACTGGGACAAAAGCATTCCGGGCAGCTGTGCCCCCATCATTGTCATGATCACGGGCGGTCTAGTGAACACAGGTATGGCTCCATCGCTCCTGAAGAAGTAACCTTTCGACTAACCCCCTTCTCAGCGGTGAATATCTTTACAGATATAGTCCTGGCAACGCTGCCAGTGCCAGTCATATGGTCACTAAACTTGAATCGTCGGAAGCGTTTGTCCGTCATTGGCATTTTGAGTCTCGGATGGGTGTAAGTCCTAGCCGCCCGATCTACTATCGCATGCCTCATGGCTAACAGACCGTGATAGCGCCGTGACATTTGGCATCGTCAAATCTGTGCATCAGATAGCATATGGCTCAGTGACGGATAAGTCGTTCAAGCAAAGCGTCCAGTTTTGGGGTTTGTGAGTGTTATCCATCGATCAGTAACCCCCCTTACTCTTTTCTAATCGCATTGTCTTTAACCAGTTTGCAACTCCAAGTCGGCATCATGGCCGCGTGTGCACCATCCCTAAGACCATTGTTCGGTCGGTTCCTTAAGCTTTCGACGAACGACAAGCTCAACCAATATAACAGCCAGTCGCGGCAGTACAATGCCGGGCTTGTAACTATTGGTGGCACAAACGACCAGCGAAGAAAGTCGATCCGGCCACAATCCGCCGAAGATAATCAAAGCGACATAAGCTTGACAATCATGAAGGGGGGCACCACTGTCAATGTAGGCGAAACATTTTATAGACATTCAGATACGGGATCTGGGAGTGAGGAGAGAATTTTACCGCACACGGCGCGGGGAGCCGAGTATAGCTCTGGTGGTGTCTTGCAGATGGAGAAAACTACCAATCCGCAAGCTCCGCCGGGTTCGGCACATTGAACAATCCGGAAATTTACAAAAATAGAAATAGACAACTCCAACCACTTTCAGGCCTTCCGGGAGGATGGGACATCTAGAATGATTCTATTCTAAGCGAGAAGTTCAATTGCGAGCGCCGCTTCTCGTTTCTTCACGCTCTGGGAATATTGTAAGGGTGACGTGTATAATCTGACCTATATCTACCTTTCAGTATTAGAGTTTATTATAGGGCGTCTATAGCAGAAGTTGGCCGCCAATTGGTCCGGGCGCACCCTGTTGCTGCTTGACGGAGCAGTACGTCCGCCTATGACATGGTCGGGACGTACAAGTAGGTCGCGAATCACTAGATCAGCTCCAATGAAAATACACAACTTGCTCCGCGACTGGATCACGACCAGCCGTAGACTACGGAGCCTACCATTCACTTGGGTTAGTTCATCCAATGGCGTTGAGTAAAAGTGGGTCCGTACACATACGTCACTGCGAGACAAAAGTGTCGCACATTGGCAGTCATGCGCTGAAACTCTAAATCATTGCAGTAAACAGAACACCCATGGCTCCTTGACCTTCACACAATATCGCCGCAGCAATCATATCCTCGCAGACTAGATTCTGCTACATCATGCGGACGGGCTGTCGCGCACTTCTTCAAACATGGCACCTAACCAGGTGACAATACCTCGAAAGCCAGTGCCGCGGCCTGAACCAAGGAACAAGCGCACCGTAAAGCGCAAGAGCCCAAGACTAACAACGTTATTATCATCTGCTTTCGCGGCAATACTTCTCTTTACGGTCCTTCCTTGGGCTCGTCGTTGGTTTCTATCTGGTGCCGCTATCCAGAGTTTTCTCCTTCTCTTCACCCACCGTGGCGATGATAGCGCATTCCCGTCCATCCCTCTATGGACGAGGCTTTCCACACTCAACCTAATATACGCAGTCTGCTCCACGTCATGGCTACTTCATGGGCTGTTCGTATCTGTGTGTTATCCAACCATACTGCTCACGAGCTTGACCCATTTCCCTTGGGTTGGTGAGCTTTCCCGCAAGCTCATGAGGAAGACTTTTGGTCGGTATGGCCATTTCATCCGGGACAAGCTTGCGCTGTTCAATCTGCCTGCCTTGGAGATAGATACAGAAGTCGACGGGCTTTTCGTGCTGAGAGGGGTGACGATCAGTTTCTCAACCCTATCCATCGTAGGACATGGCGTGGAATGCGGTATGTTGCCATTACATCAAAACCGAGCTTTGCACGCGTGGCTCACAACATGTACAGGAATCAAGCTCGCCAAGGATATTGAGCTAGCAATATATGTGGACGAAGTTGTTGTGAATCTCTTTCGCCGCATCGAAATTGGCGACGTTTATGCGAATGTCAAGGGAGGAAAGTTCGAGATGACCTTTGGTGGACTCGACGATGACACGACGGACGACACCGCCAGTCTCGACAGCTTTTTCGTGGGCGACACCCCTTTGCTTCGGGCTGCCTCCGCTGGCACTGATGGTTTCAAGAACCGGCCAAAGCTGAGGGAATCTCTCACTGGTGTCAGCTTTATGCAAGACTCCTCCCCTCGCGCCGGCCTCGACGGGGTTACTAGGTTATCACCGGATGAGGATGAGGCTGAAAAGGACTATCATGAACTCCTTACTGATATCAAAACTACAAGTGCAATCCACAAAGCACGCCGACAAGCCCTTCAAAAGGCCACAGAAGAACAGAGATCGGCCTTGGACGATGTTAAGAACATGCGTGCGGCCATCAATGCGGAGCTTCATAGCTTTCCCTCCATTTCCCACTCACCGACGCGGTCTGTCCGCGTTTCAATGTTACGGACAATGTCGCCACCGTGGGTACGTGAGTTCCAACATCGACTGCCATTGCTCCTGCGACTTCTACTAGCTCCAGTCAGCTACCTCCATCCTATAAAAATATCATCTATCAATGCTGCAGGGTCTGGCAAATGGGTTTCTTCACTCCTACAACATGAGATCTTCGCAGAACACACCGAGACCAACGCAGAGCTGCGGAGACTTCATCGGAGAACCTCAGCATGGCTAGCAGATACCACCTTCTCATTACAGCTCGTAGATGTGGACGGTCTCGGGCAAGTTCCTCTGAGCACCTATTTTGACATTGTGACCTACTTGAAGGTTCATGACGTCGTCGCATATCGGACTGTTCAGGAACACGGCACAATTGCCCAGGTGGTGCGTGTGGGCGGAGCCGACGCAACGTTTAGAATTCCTTCCTACTTGCTTCCACACCATGAACATTGCATACCCCCGGAGCCCAGTACGGAGGACAAAGAGCAGCTAGAGATCGACGTGACTGAAGCGGACGGCATTCCGCAGACAGTACGTGCAAAGAAGCTGCTCAAGAAGGCACAGAAGGACCAGACTTCCATCGAAATGAGCGTTCACGCTCAACTACCGGCCACATTTGATCAGAGCATGCTGAACTTCGTGGCAGCGGTAGTAAAGGCCACGAAGATAATCGAACTGGAGGAGGAAGCTCTTGACATAGACCCAGAAAGCCCACCTCAGCCCAGTCCAGCTCCTTCGCCTCCACCTGAAGCTGACAGCACACCACCAAGCTCACCAGTCAAGGCAAGTATGGGCATCAAAGAAGCTGTGAATGTCAAGATGCTGGCACGGAACATCAGGCAGAACCTGAAGGATGGCACGTATAACAGCAACATAAAGGACTTCGTGAAAGAGGTCCACAAAAACACCCGAGACGGTATGAGGAAGCATGCGGTCGGGACTCTCATCAATGATCGCTGGATTGCAAAGCTGGTCGGAAAGACTGCCGCAGCATTGCAGAAGGCACAGGTAAGCAAACAAGGACAGGAAATATCTATCCCCGTAGGACATATGCTAACTTACCATCGTGCTTTAGGGAGACATAGGTTACACCGGAGGGATTCCTATTCCGCTAGCACCTTATAGAGGTAGCAAGGATCTGCCAACAAAGTTGTTACCTTGATTGCTTGCCGTACCTCCCCGAATGACCCTGCTTGGGCGATACAATACAGGGGCGCCACGAAGTAGGATCACCTAGCTGTGAAAGCCTTCGGTTCATTTTACCGCATGATCAGGGCGAGGACCTGGCGGCATCTCACATGACTTCTGGACGACAGTCTTGATTGATTCGGCAGTTCGAAATAAGACGCCATCAAAGTGAAGTGGTTATAGAATAGATTCAATTCATACCAGGACTTGATATTCCTGAGTAGTCAGACAGAGGGGCAAGGGCAGGGGCTCACATGGCCGTGGAATACAGACCACTATCAGTTACAAGGATGTATCATCAGCCTCGAGGAGGGTGGAATGCCAATCTTCAAATATTCTGCTCTATGATACCCTTTGCTAAAGATAACAATTCGAAGAATGATTTAAAAGAGAAGTGATTTGGCTGCACTTCATTTCAGTTAACGATTTGAAATACCAAAGAAGGCAGACTGACGTGCCACTGACCGTCCTATAAAATCATCGATATGCGCCATTCCATCATATCACCCTAGAAACCTTCAGAAACTTCCCAAGATTCCCTCAAACAGCATTTGCATCCTAGAATCGAATAATCCTTTGCATCTCCCCGACGAATTTCCGTATAAAGATATAGTCAATTCTTTACCCACCACAGGCGCCAGACGATACACAAGAACAGGGGCCAATCTGAAGCGCATCGCAGACCGCTATATCAATGATTAGTCGCTTTCATCTGGATCGTCCTTGAGCTAGACTGACCTTCGATTCCGACCTTGATCTGCTCGAACTCATCGCCATTGGTCTGCGCCAGCGCACACCCGTAGCACAAAGCGAACGTCGTAATGCCGCCCATGACAAGCGCACCGGCCGCCGTGCAGTAGGCGTCTTCGACGAGCTCTCCAGTCATGTTCTCGGATCTATCCGGGTTGGTGCCCGGCGCCGGGTCACCGGGGCACGTCGTGATATCACCGAGAGTGCCCTGCTTCTCGCCGTTAGTCAGGTGGCAGCGCACGCCGTCCAAGCCTAGGCACTCTGCGCAACTTAAGGTATCGCCATCCGAGTCGGCAGAAAAGGTTGCCAACGGACCTTGAACCTAAGTTGTAGTTTTTATGTAAGTTCTGTCTACGGTGATGGCAATATGCGAGATATGGGGATGGAGATCTTCTTTGAAATGTCATTCGTTTTGAGGATCCTTTTCGGGACCGATTTGAGCTCGCTGTTATATTGCATTGACGAGGAAGGGTATTGTGCGACTTACATAACATCGTTTAGTTATTCGCTTGGCGCTTGGTAATTTGTAGTAATATGGATAAATATTTGTTGAGGATTTGAATTCAACGATGTCATAAGGTGATCGGACCTTACCTTATGAGGAGCCAGCCGCGCTGAAACGGGTGGTTGCTCCCAATCCGTATATCATTGGACGAGAGCTTCCCAAACTTGCCACAGATGGAGGTGGTGTATAGAGGCTTAAGGTGTACTATTTCTACATTGCTCTAGTAACCCATGCTGCGTCAAAAACATACTCCGTAACTTGAAACATGTTGAAACGGCTATCGAGGTTGCTGATCTTCTCCCGTTTTCAGTAATGATGAAACCATCAGATAATTCACGTCTGAGTCTCATTTGCTACTTGAATGGAGCATTCCACTTGTCGCTTTGAATGTTTTCCAGGGTATGCTCTACAGCCACATAAGGTTGTCTCCATTTGCTTGTCTTGGTAGGACGAAGTTCTCTGTATTATTAAGGAAAAGGAGCTTAGATGAAGTTGTCGAAGTGTCCATGTCATATTATATCACTTCAATTGGTGAAGAATGAAGCCTTATATGAGAGGTGTCTTTAACGGGGTTCGAGGCCTGAAGAAACTCTGGACTCAGAGCATCCTCATTGGCATTCAAAATATAATGGTAGTTGGAAACACATGTTTCAGGATCAAGTAGATGGCCATCAAGTTTTATTTCAATCTTACTTTGGAAACGAGAGGAAGTCAACCTTCAATGCAGTACAAAGGGAACCCGTATCAAAACCACAACTCATTTCGGATCTGCCCTTTCGGAAACGTCATGAAGCTGTGGCTTACTTCCACTCCAAGCCTGGATCCCAAATCATCTTTCACCCAAGCCGGCCTCAAGAAAATAGTCTGGGTGGCTTAGGAGGTGCACTCGCTCCAGGAGCTCTGAACACATTTTCTCATCAGTACTTCACTTCCGTGACAATACGATGGCCAGGATTGAGCGAGCCGAGTATATTGAGGGAACTTACGCAACAGGTCTGCATTCCTGGGTTGGAAGACCAAACTCCGCAGGCGATGGTCTCGGGGGACGGGTTGCAGTCTCTTCCAGCAGGTTGGTCCTAGATGGAACTAGCTTTCAGCGCTCCGATCTTGTTATGTGGTATACGCTATTGCCTCCTCCATGGTCGGCGCGAGGCATCGCCTTCCAGATGACTCACATGGCAACCAGCAAAAGCTGGGGCGACAAGGCCGGCCAGAAGGAAGAGTGCCTGGTAGAACTGCATTGTGGTGGGGGCTCGTAGTGATCTTTCTGTGCAAGGAGCTGTTGAGAGTTCGATTCGTTGATGTCGATAACGGATTGCAAGCCATGAGAGGTGCTCATTTGCCCTTTTATATTCCGGTTCCAACATCTAAGGCTACAACAAATTGACACAGCCGAACGAATTGCGGTAGAATGACTTGGCGTGATACTTGAATTTCCACGCCGAGTTACGTCAGATTCCTCGTTGAACCGTAAGCCGCAGTGGTTTCGTGTCAACTGGTTAGTTCCTCATCGTTCCTTTGGAAAGTTTGCAGTGTCTCATACAGCACTCTGACTGATCGCCAAAGCCTAGTAGAAGCGCTATTAGGGTTTAAATGACTATCGCGGTCCCTCTCTTGGCTTTGGCGAGTTGATTAATTGACCCAATGGGTGACGTTGCTATAGCATAGTTTTGTCTATTCTAATCCGTCTGCATCTCTGCTTGAATTCGATCTCTAAGCGCTGGTTTCAAAGCTGGCATGTCATGGTATGCCAACCACTAGATCATGTGTGATTGAGCACAGCGTTGAGTCTAGATGTACAAGTGAAACGAGCTTGGCTTAGATCAGCAGTGAGGTAGTCCCTTCAGAGACCGCAGAGGGTTGAAATGATTCAAATTGAAGAAGTACAATACTGACTAACAAACGCAAGTCAGCTTTTCGTGTGGCTCCGTGTGCGGGCTGGACTCCGAGAAATAAAGCTCTCAGCTTGAGTACATCGACACCTGTATAGTTGACTACTTTGAACTGATCCAGTATGTCGACTTACCCTCACAGTTCCATCCAGGCGCTTTACACCTGGTTTATCAAGATGCACGTCGTTTGACGGAAGACTTCAGCGTCTAAGTTGTGTTATAGACCGCAACAAGCATTGCGAACTCACCCTAGGTTCTCTCGGCAAGTGACAAATAAGCTTATGTGACCTTATCCTGAGAACATCATGTAGACGTACAAAGTATAACATGATGATTGATCGAAAGGGAATACATCGCAAGTCATGGGAAGAAAATCTAAAGTGACGTATTAGCGTGGAAGAAGACAGAGTAGCAGCAATATCTGTTCCAAACGTGGCCATGCGCTGGGCTGAGTTCTTGTTAGCTGGGTGACACACACCAACGTGAAATGTGAACCCTTGAGACTTATGTCACGAAGTCGATTTATCAAGATAAGAATGAGACGCAATTGACTGGTTTCATCATCTCCAGATCAATTAGCAGAAATGTGACGATACAGCTGCTGCGGGTAGCATAAACAGTGAACGCTTGGCATGTTGTTTTAAGTCCGTAAGCCCACTTATGAGCTCATTGTGCTCGGAGGTAGCGACTAAACAGCCCACTCTGTCAACACGGTAGGCTTCCAGAACCTTTCGTAAGCCAGCAGAACATGAGCTGCGCCTTCATCGTTCTGTGACTGCGACTCGACAAAAACTATCTTTTACAACATGGCGTAGGCGTCTGCCATTCTATCATTGGGTTTGGAAGAGCCGAAAGCCTTAGTGATCGTCTTCCGTCGCACCGCAGAATAGCGAAGGAGAGGGAGGATGGAAGCATTCGCGAAGTCCCCGCGCGCCTTCTACCGGGCTTTCGGCGCAACGCGGTCACCACTGTTCCATGCTGTTTCGATACGAAACCTGCCGGTTGCTGCCCGTACCCAGGGCCAGGCACCCTCGCGAATCCTGCGCCGAGTCCCCGCCCGCCCGTTTTCCCATGGCCCAACCCGACAGCGACAGCGACAGCGTTGGGGCCACGATCCCGAGGAGCAGTTGCGCAATGCCAAGCCTCTGATCACGAACCACGGCTTCGGGCGGTTCGTCCGGTCGCCGAGCACGCACACGGTGGCGCTGCTCGCGGTGGTGGGCGCGATGGTGTTCTACATCAGCAACCTGCAGACGGTCCCCGTGAGCGGACGGCGGCGCTTCAACTGCTACAGCCAGAGCACGGTCGAGGCGGTCAGCGAGCAGCAGGTCAAGCACATCATATACGAGCTGGAGAAGAGCGGGGGGCGGTTCCTGAGCGATTGGGACCCGCGCACGCAGATGGTCAAGCGCGTCATGCGGCGGCTGATCCCCGTCAGCGGGATGGAGGACTCCGAGTGGGAAGTTAGAGTTATCGACGATCCACGTATGTATTTGCCCTTCAAAGCTGGCTGAGCATGTATACAACATGCGAATGCAAAGGAGGGAGTGCTGACACACTGTGACATAGGCCAGGCGAATGCGTTTGTGCTCCCCGGCGGCAAGGTCTTCGTTTTCAGCGGCATCATACCCATCGCGCGGACCGAGGACGGACTTGCTGCGGTTCTGGGACACGAGATTGCCCACAACCTCGCGGATCACATAGGCGAGCGCATGTCGGGGCAGATTGGTATCAACATTTTGCTGGGCAGTGTTGTTCTGCTCACAGCACTATGGGGAGGCGCACTGCTGGGTACCCAACTATTCGGCGGCACGCTCCTGGATTTCCTGTTCTCAAGACCGATGGGTCGGAAACAGGAGTCGGAAGCAGACTACATTGGACTCATGATGATGGCCGAGGCGTGTTATAATCCCGAAGCCGCGCTTTCCTTCTGGCAGAGAATGGAGTCTCACAGCCAGATGGAGCCACCGGAATGGATGAGCACACATCCTTCAGTGAGTTTATATTGTAGCCCGCCAAATCAAATGTGGCATACTGACGGAATGTAGAACCACAACAGGATTGAAAATATCAAAGAGTGGCTACCTAAAGCCATGGAGAAGAGGTATGCTAGCGACTGCTCGGGTACCGCCAATTGGGCGGGGATGTTTAGAAGAGCGATGGACCAGGGATTCACGATAGAATAAATGATGGCTGTCGCTCTGTGCGATATGGCACGAGTGGCGTCTTTGGTGCATCAATACAGTTGTCGGCATTTCGCCGTTGTCACTCGTACCGCAAGCATGTATCTAGGGAGCGACAGATGCCTATGTGCGCGCATCTGAGTTCAACCCGACTTGCATAGACGAAAGGATACACAAGCGTGGAACGCCGGCTCGCAAATATATCAACAACTATACTTGGAAATTGAAGATGTCTGATTCGCTTTTCGGGTCTTGACATGTTCATTGATCTACACTACCCGAACAGTTGCTTGTTCACTGGAGGCGGCCCTCTCGTGATCTTGGCGCATCCGGCCGGCACCAATGACGTTGGAGGAGCAGTCATCCCTGCCCGCGCTTGTGCCGAGGTTCACCTGAGTCGCATTGTCACCCTCGACCTTTTGACACCATGGGAGCCGGCGCATATCAATCACCACATCTTCCTGGCCAGTCTGCTTGCCTGCCTGTGTCGCTGAAATCCCAATCGTTGAACATTGCATTCTTGCCAACCGCTCAAGCGCTTCATTTCCACGCTGCCCGCCATGTCCAAGTCACTTACCAAGAAGGAGGTCTCGGAGTACAAGACCGAGGACAAGGGCCTCTATATCATTGTTGATGACGGCGTCTACGATGTCACAAGTGAGTGTGCCTCTTCGATAAGATGCGACGCGCACCATTCCTAGCCCACGAGGGCGTACTTGAGATGAAGCCGAAGGCTGACACCTGACCCCTATAGAGTTCATTGACGAACACCCCGGTGGCGCTAAGATCCTCAAGCGAATGGCAGGCAAGGACTCGACGAAACAGTTTTGGAAATACCACGGCAAGAATGTGTTGGAGAAGTACGGCCCCAAGCTGAAGGTTGGAACGGTGAAGGAGGAGGCGAAGCTATGAAAGAGAGACAGAGAAGGCGACACACAGAGACGGTGGGGTTTGTTTTGGTGGTAGAAGAGGTTGAGAGTGATGGCAGTCGTAGGTCTAGACAGACTTGGGTACAGCATCGGATGAATAGAGCAGAGCATAAACCTACCGGGCGTAGCATGTCTTGGTACAGCAAACCTCCACCGTACCTCGAATTTAGGAGGTCTCGCACCTGGATAAGGTGCTCGTGTAGGCCGGTATGTTGCTCCCATGCCATCATCCGCCATGATGCCAGAGGTAATGAAGCCGGACATCCTCTAGCGGTTGAAATGCAACAGCAGACAGATGATGTGGGTGACAAAGCGATACTGCGCTTGTATGTAGATTTTTGTTAGCTTTGCTAATGCTCGTCTGGAATCTGAACATCGAGACTCTGCTTTCCCAGCACATTGATGAGAGCTCGAGATGACGATTGGCGACGCCAAGGCTGGGGTCATCTTTGCTGAATCTGGGGCTGCTAAGCGTGGTCGCTGTTGGCCTGGGTGGTGCTGAGAACGAATCGTAAGGGCGCCAAAGGTCAATTATGCCGTCGCATCCTATTGGTAGCGGCGAGCGCGGCCTGGGAACGGCAATCGTGTGACCGACCGCGAGCCACTGAACCTGGTCGCCCGAGCGCAGACAGGCCTAGCTACAGGGCAGACTCGCACAGATAGAGGATAGAGAAAGCGACAGGCATTGGATGCAAGTGGGGGCTGGTCGCCGCTAACTATCTCGTTCTGCCTGTGCAGCCAGTCTGCAAGTCTGCCGCCCAGCGCACCGCCAGGACCCCAAGGACCCCAAGCCCTTTACGGTGACGTGACGTCGCTTGGCTACTGGAGGCCATCCATACCGTAATCAAACGAGCCCAGGTAGTGAAGCAGCGTACTATGTACAGAAGATCTTTGGAGGGGCTCGGTGTGTCCTGGAGGAGCGCTGGCCTGTCCTGTGATGATTTGTGTCCCCCCTTACACCTCTCCTATCTATGTACTAGTCAGCGTCAACACGGCAGGGTCCCCGTCGTCAAACAATTGACTCGTGAACAAGACGAGACCCCCGGGGCGAGCATGCGAGCCTGCGAGGGAAAAAAAAATCTTAACGCTCCGAGGTCGACGGGTCTGGAGGTACTTGACGCGGCCGGCCAAAACGCGTGGGGCAAGCAGGTACCGGCCGGCTTGGACCTGCTCTAGCGTCATCAAAATTGGAGCTCGGACATCAGTCATCACCACTCTCTCACATAAACAACATGGAAGCTCCGCTTCTCCAATCTTATCCCCATGGACGACAGGAATTCACCAGCTCAGTCCTGAAGACCTCCAAAACATCCAAACAGACGTCCCTAGCAAGCACCATCCTGCCGTGACCTGCTCGAGCCCAACGTCTCGCGACCCCTCGGATCACCATCGCAAGAAGCATCTTCTTCCTCCCTGTAAGTCGGCAGTTTTCTCAGTCTACTGTATATCTCGCAGCAATTCGCCCGCGCGCTTTTTATTATCTCCACGAAATTCCCGTCATTTTCCTGTCCCATGCTACTGTATCCATGGAGCTACCTTTACCCACCCGGCGATCTAGCGAATCCTTGCCGTTTGGTCGAATGCACCTTTGAAAATTCGCGCAGGCCAGGCCGAAGAGCGAGAGAGAGCCCTGCCGCCTCCCGCAGTAGCCAAGCTTTTTGTTTCCCTCTGCTTGACTCGAGCTATTATCCACAGCTACCCAGGACATACATATTGTTTCCTCACCTTACGCCGGCGACCGCCTTCTTTCCCTTCTTCCCCTTCCCTCCCCCCAACTCGCCCGTCCTTGAACGAAGCCCATCTCACTCCGCTCAATTCCTCAAGATCCTGTCCAAGGCGTGTGTTGTTCGACACCAGAGTCTAATTGACAAACCCCAAGACTCCACCTCAAGAGACGCGACTAGCTCTCTTCTTCAGACGACTTCGACAACCTACCGGTGTCTCACCTAAAAAAGGTATGCCGAAAAGTCTCTCTACCGATCAGTTCAATCAGGCTTGAGCTTTTCTTGAGATGGTCAATTGGCCCTGTCGCTACACCACCCAAGCACCGGCCCATTCCTCTTATTCGCGCAGTATCACGTTGAAAGCGCACCGGTCGGTGACGCCGGGGGCCGCGACTCGGGTCTGGTGGAAGCTACATGAAGCTCGCCAAGTGCGGCCTTTTCTGCGCGTCATCCCGTTACAAGACGGAATCCCCGTGTCCATGATTGGGATCACCTGCAGCCTTTCAACCTGTCTCACTCGTTGCCTAATGTACTAACTGAACCTTGCTGCACAGACCTTCATAATGCCTGCCATCAACACCGTTGTCGCTCGCGACGCTCTCAGCACCATCGCCAAGCGCGAGAACTGGGCCCAGCAGGAGGCTGGTGTTGTCGTCGTGTTCTGTATCGTCTTCGTCGTCGCTGCCGGTCTCTTGGCTCTCTGGCTCCACAAGTGCATCACTGCCCGCAAGGCCAGGAAGCAGACCGTCTAAGCGTTGCAAGAGCGGATGGAAGGGGCGGCGGATGTGGTGAGGGCGAATATACCCACGAAGAGACGAGATATACAAGAGAACTGCGGTACCTGCATTCGATCTCGACAGTCAATGACTCTTCCCCTTTCGGCAACAAGTTGGACCTGAAATGCGCAATTGAAGTTCCTGCAGCGAGCTCGTAGTGGATGGCATGGTCTCGTTCCGGAGTTGGACCTGGTTACGCGTCGAGTCGATTCTTATTCAGGGTCCCCCTCGGGGGTTGGGCTGTCGATGGGAGAAAGATCGTTTGACCTCTCGTCGGCGTCCAAGGCTGTACTCTAATTCCCTAATTCAATACCATCGTTAAACAGTTACACATGTTCCTCGTCCAGATTGTGAACGATCCTCAGTCTGGTCGTAGACGGGCGGACCGACTTGACTGCGCAGTTCGTTGCTTGGAGATAGTTGCCGGACATCGCTGCTCCCCACGGAATACACCTCGATTGTGCAAGTTGATGACTGCCGCTGGTAAACACTTTCACAGTAGGATGTTCTACACAGGCTTTTGCGCTGGAGACTGTTACATAATCTGTATACAGGCATGTTTTCACATGAAGGCCTCTGAATACAGGTTTCGACAACTCATGACCCAACCCTACTAATACAACTCCATCTTCTCCAGGTGGATCAAACCATCCGCCGGCTATAGCGCCAACGTTAACCACACTGCTTATAGAACATAGGAAGCTGCTGATGAAAGGACGTACCGGTGAGAACTGCCTCAACTTGACCCCTGCACTCCTGAACACCTCGGCGGCCTCTCCATCCATGCTATACCCCTGATTGTACACCACCTCGCTGATGCCCACCTGCACGATCTTGATGCTGCACGTGAGGCAGGGGCACGTGTTGCAGTACAGGACGCTGCCCTCGCGGATCCTCTCCCTGCCGGCCTCGAGGAGGGCGTTCTCCTCGGCGTGCAGGCACAGGCAGGTGGCCAGCGAGACGCCGCTGGTCTCGCCGCTGTTGCAGCGCGGGCAGCCGCCCTCGCTGCAGTTGCGCACGCCGCGCGGGGTGCCGTTGTAGCCCGTGCTGACGACGCGGCGGCTGGGGCCGACCAGCACGCAGCCGACGGCGCGCTTCATGCAGTTGGACCGCCGCGCCGCCAGCGACGACAGCGACATGAAGTAGGCGTCCCAGCTCGGCCGCAGCCGGTCGCCGTCCGTCAGGTCCAGCTTGCCCAGCGTCGCGTACAGGTGCGCCAGGTCGCCCGACGTGTTGAGCAGCCGGATCGTCGCCCGCGACATCAGCGGCAGCACCCCGCCCGCCGCCGCGTACAGGTGCGCGTCCGACTCGGCCACGAAGTCCTCGAGCGACATCGCTGTGGTGGGCGGCGGCGGAGAGGAGGCTGCGTGGCGCGCCTGGTGCCGCCGCCAGCGCACCGTCAGCGGGGCGTCCACCGAGATCAGGATGAAGAAGGGCCGGCGCGCGAGCGCGTCCAGCACCGCCTCGTTGGGAATCGAGGTGATGACCCAGCGGGATCGCCAGGACTTGGTCACGAAGTCGAGCAGCGCCGCGGTGGTGGTGAAGGTGTGAGATGGCGGTGAGTTCCTGGTGTGGTAAGGAAGTGAGGCGACATGGCCACCGTTGACAGCTGGGCCCGTTTCCTCAGAGTCTGAGGGTGCTGTGCCCTTAACGCCATTCTGGCTGGTCTTATCCTCCGAAAGCTCTAGATGAAGCTTCTTGAACCCATGGTGCTCTATGAGGTATTGGGCGACCGTGCTCTTGCCGGCGCATTTTGCTGTGGACTTGGTGTAAGTGAGAGTTTGCGGGACGAGATGAGTGAAAAGGGGGGCGGAAGTCAAACCTACCACCGCAGATGCCAATCAACATGGCAGTATGTCGACTGGTGAAGTTCGGACAGTATATGTCGGGATGAAGGTAGAACAAGTTTCGCCAAATTTGTTTGCCTATAGGCTTCGAATGACCTGGGGTATACCGTTTGTGAATGACTGTCCCGACTTGGAAATCTTGAACGCATTTGGTACCCATAGACCGACGGCCAACGCGCCTCGAACGCGTTGCGCGTTCCCGAAAACCACTACCGGCATTTATCCGTCGGGTGCCCTGGGGCCTGGTTACGTCCAACTATGGGGGCTATGGTAGCAGTAGCCCGCCTGACTGCAGGCGATCCACGGTGTCATCCATGGCAGAAATGGGGCCGTTCAACCAGGGCTGCCTTAGGCAGGTGAGCGTAAGGTACTTGCCTACAGGGACCGTACTGTAGGTACCAGTTAGGTTGCCTGTGCCTGGTCTCCAGCTTTGCATCATCGGATTCGGCAGTGATCTGGGTGCCCAGGTGGGAGCCCAGGTGGGAGCTGACATTCCCAGATGACTCCCAACCCGACCGCTCACGGGGACCGAGGACCTGTGAAACCCCGTGACCCTCGCTGCGAGCTCTGTGAATGTGATGCGAGGTTGATGACAGCCCCTTCACCGTTGTGCTGAATCCCCCTCAAAAGGTTGTCTCGGTGTCACCGCCGACGTCTGCATCACTTACAAGAAGAACCTTTGTTCGTCCCTGCACGCCCCATCCCGCCGACAGCCCCAGCTCCAGCTCCCACTGCAGCTACCAACTACCAGCTACCAGCTCCCAGCTACCAGCTTCATCACAGCTGCCCCGCACTCTTCCCGACGTACCGTGCCGTCGCTGCCCCGCGCCGCCCTGAACAACTGCTACGTCGTCACGAGAGCATCGTTCGAGCTCATCCTGTCTTTGTCTACGCTGCAAGTCTTGCGAAGGCGGTTACTTTGGGATCGCCCTCCAACGACCATACAGCGAATCCTCTGAAGTACCAACGCTAAACAAGCTGAACTATATCCTCGGCGCACCCCCCGACCTCACTGAACCAAACGAGCACTCCGATTGCGACTGCGACCGCGACCATGGCCGACCCTGCGGGTAGCGCCGCCCCAAAAGAGGCGATCCCTCTCAAGTTTGCGACCTTCTCCTCCGAGATCGAGCTGCCCTTCTATTCGGCTCTCTTTGCGTCCAAGCTCGATCACGATAAGCTCAGTGATTCTGCGCGACCCGTGTTGGGGCTCTACGAGCCGAGGCCGGGCGTGGCAGCCGACGACGCTGTCAAAATGCAGGTCCTCGGCAGTGCCCTGACTAGTCATCAGTGAGTTGTTGCGGCCTTGCCATGACTTGTCATGCCTAGACATCCCCGGTGGCGCTTGGGACGGTGATCTTGCTCAAGCGGACTGCAGCTGACGTTCATGCGAAAGAGTCCCGCTAGGTTCAGCTCGAGCCGAAGGCATCATTCGGAACCTCAACACGTTGGACGCCTTCAAGACTGTGGACAAGGGCGAGGTCATCCAGAACGCCGCTAGACAGGTGCGTCGTGATTTTCCGGCATATACTTGCCCATCGCTAATACGCGCAGATCTGGGATGCGATCAAGGATGGCACCATCTATTCAGTTCCGTCGCTTTTGGCTTCCTACGTCATACTCTCTTACGCAGATCTGAAGAAATACCGCATGACTTATTGGTTCTGCTTCCCGACCCTACCGTCCGACCCTCAGTGGAAACGGGTTGGCAGCATTGGCAGGTTTACGGGCGACGAAAGCACCGCTTTGGTTGAGCGGATCGGCACTTGGCGATATAGTGTTGACAACAGAGAATATGGCTTCTTTCTGGCAAAGAAGGTTCGTGGTGAGGAGGCGGAGAAGCTTCGATCCTCGCTCGACATGCCCGCCGACGAAGACATTGGCTATAAGTGGGAGGTGGGCTCTCTACGCGATTTTGAGACCGGTTTCTTCAGCAACATACCCGACGAGGATCGCTATGTTGCATTTGTTGACCCCTCAAACTACGAGGAACACCCAGCTTGGCCACTTCGCAATCTCCTGGTCCTGGTGCGGCAACGATTCCGTTTGACCAAGGTTCAGATTCTGTGCTACCGTGATGTCCAGTCACGCAGACACGAAGCGCGCAGCATTGTACTTCCGCTCGCTATGGATCCTGTTGACGCTATGGAGTCGGCAGAGATGCCCAAACCTACCGGATGGGAGAGGAATCCTGCCGGCAAGATTGCGCCTAGGTCCGTCAGTCTAGCGGAATCCATGGATCCTACCAGGATCGCGGATCAGTCGGTCGACCTGAACTTGAAGTTGATGAAGTGGCGCATCTCTCCAGAGCTCAACCTCGATATTATCAAGAATACAAAATGCCTGCTCCTAGGCTCTGGCACTCTCGGCAGTTACGTCTCGAGGAATTTGATGGGATGGGGAGTGCGCAAGATCACTTTCGTGGACTACGGAGCCGTCTCCTTCTCGAACCCAGTCCGGCAACCACTCTTCAGTTACCAGGACTGTCTGAACGGAGGCGCGCCGAAGGCCACGCGAGCAGCAGAAGCCGTGAAGGAGATATACCCCGGAGTGGAGAGCGAAGGACACGTACTGTCAGTTCCCATGTTGGGGCACCCAGTCACGGACAAGACCAAGGGCGATTTCGAAAAGCTCAAGGCCCTGATCGAGGAGCACGATGCTATATTCTTACTCATGGACAGCAGAGAGTCGAGATGGCTACCAACAGTAATGGGGAAAGCTGCTGGGAAGATTGTCATGAACGCCGCGCTTGGATTTGATACCTTTGTGGTCATGAGGCATGGGCCGGAACCAAAGGAGGACAACGAAAAGACGCTCGGCTGTTACTTCTGTAACGACGTTGTTGCGCCAGGTGACGTGAGTATAGCCTTTTTTTTTTTTTTTTTTTTTTTTAGCGCCTTGTTCCATAATTAACAGATGAACAGTCGCAGAAAGACTTGACCCTGGACCAGCAATGCACGGTTACGAGACCTGGCATTGCTGCAATTGCGTCGGCACTTCTTGTCGAGTTACTAACAAGCATTTTGCAACACCCACTAGGTGTCCATGCTCCCGCTCCAGTCCCTGCTGATGGAACTGGAAAGACTTATCAGCGTGATCCACCAAATCACGCACTTGGTCTAGTTCCTCACCAAGTCCGTGGCTTCCTGTCCGATTTCAACAACATGGTCATCAAGGGAGAGTCATACCCATGCTGCAGCGCATGCAGTCCCCCGATATTATCAGCGTACAAGAAGGATGGCTGGGAGTTCCTAAAGCGTGCGCTAGAGGATAAGGAGTACGTGACCGAAGTCAGTGGGCTGGCCGAAGTTCAGCGCCAGGCGCAAGCGCTCGAGAACGACTTGGACTGGGACGAGGATGAAGAGGAAGGAAAGAATGGCGATGACGAAGCCGTACTCCTTTAGTCGAGTATCCTTCCTCTTCTGTCCTCGAGTCACTACAGGCGGCGTCTGCGAATACGGAAGACGCGCTTGGAGCGTCTGAAATTCTGGAAACGGCCAAAATGGAACAGATGGAGCTGGAGCTCCCCACCGACCCTGCAGGATGGAATAGTTGATGTGGCACCGGACATCACACCTCCGGAGGCTTCCTCCAGCGGGTTATTTTCCTGTTTTACAACACCATCGCCGCCCGTGGCAGATATATTTTCACCAAGACCTTTGCAACTGAGCAGCAGTTCCACCAGCTCTAGGATATCACTGGATACTGCATTGCGAAGGGGCCCATCGTTGTGTCGACGCCGCGACAGATCGTTGACACATGACTGAGAGACTTCAGAATAATGATCTCTCTTAGCCGCAAATCATTGGCAGCGTGTATTTCCACTTCATGGATTTTGTAGCTTGGTATACGCCTAGGCGTCTGCAGGGGAGAAAAGAAGAAAACCAGATATGAAGTTATGGCAAGAGAATGTTATGTCTCACGAGAGTACATGAGGAGAGAAACACCACTGCATTGGACGGCGAAATGAATTGGAAAGGCGTTGTGACGATTTACGAGGGGGGCAGACACGGAGTTTTACTATGCTTTGGCAAACTTGTAATTGCAAGGTATCTGAAATCGGACCAGGTAGCCGCTTGTTGAGCCCTGGTTTGATAGTGTTCAACGCATACTCAAATTACATTCACATGCTTCTAATACCATGATGATGCGCCCTTGGTGTTTTTGCTTGGACAAGTTCCACACATTACAATGCTGCGAACTCTCTGGAGCATCATAGAATCTGCCAGGCTGCTAGACAGACGTGGTCTCTCGGCTCTCGGCTCGCTCTATAGCCAGGTCGCCAAGCTGGTATCATACGATGCAGAGTAAGCAGGTATGCATCGCCGTGATGAACACAGAACGAGCACTTGATGCCTTAGGTAACTTCTTAGTCAAGTGACCCAACGCTGCCTTGGCCGTAATGTCGACCCGTGGGGGACTGTGAGTGGATGACCCCATCACCCCCACAAAATACGACCGCCTGAGCCGCTCCGGCGTGGAGTGCTGAACGCCCCGTGGATCAGCGGGCTGAGCGCAGCGGGTAGGCGGCAGGCTTACTCACTAGGCGCTAGCGCCAACGCGTTTCACTTAACAGATCCGGAGCCCTTGGCTTCACAATGCCTGTGGCTCCCATAGGGATCAGCAGAACTTCACACATATCGAAACCCATCTTCCCGGCTGCGCAGTCCTTCCCGCGTCGTCTATATATCTAGACCGACCGGTGCTAGACAAGACCTCTTCAGTGCCACTCGTTTCTTTGCAGACACTCCGTGCAGCGGGAGAACTCTGCGGTCAGGTTCTTGGGGAGAAGAAATCCTGGACGTGCTCATTGTTCTTCTTGTACCCCCCGCAAAATCCGTGGCCCCTTTTGTCGATCCGAATCCCCCGGGCATATATGGACAAGGCCTGTCTCACTCGCATCAAGCCATCACGTGGCTTTTCTCAGACATCCTTTACCCTTTTCTGTCCATTCGAGGACTCATCGCATTTATTGTTTTAAAGGAAAAGACGCGACATATTAGACAGCACATTACCGGATTCCATCTCGTTCAGGAAGGCTGTGACCACAAAAGTCTGTTCTTGCTTCGGGGGGCGCAGCCGAGCGTTTTGGGGGTGGTGCAGGCGGCTCTTGGACGGAAAACTCAGAAACGAAAGAGGGAAAAGTAGAAACTCTGGTCATGGTGTCACTAACCCGACTGCTCTACCCGGGACGGCTGCTCGGTCACCGCACCGAGAGCGTCCACGACTACGTGGGCGTGCTGGTCCCGCTGGAGGAGGCCCATCTGCACTCCCACTCGGCGCGGTCGGGCAAGACCGAGTTCGAGGAGTTGGCGAGGGACGGGGAGGCCCACTACGATGCGTACGCGGGCCTGGACGATGATGAGGCTGCCAAGGACCGTGACAATGAGGGCACGGGCATGCTGCAGATGAGCGCGGCGGAGTATACGATCGAGGGCCTGAGGAGGGAGGTTCGCGAAGGAGAGAGAGGACGTGTTGTCAGCGACTATGACTGTGAGTTCTCATGCGCCTTCCCGGGCGCGGGCGTTATGAGTTGGGATGGGACTGATTATGCGTGCAGTAAAGTCAAAACTTATCAACAAGGCCATCCAGGATATCGGAATGGGCAGGTATAATTGGCAACTGTTTGTCCTGTGTGGATTTGGATGGTTTGCGGATAACCTATGGATGCAGGTAAGTCTGTCCTCGGACATGATGCCCTTCGCGAGAGGCCAACTTGGTAGGATACGGCCTGCTAACGGCGGTATAGGGCGTTTCTTTGACATTGCCTTCTTTGTCACAAGAATTCGGCGTCTCGGAGAAGACAGTGAGATACACAACCAGCTCGTTATTCGCCGGCTTGTGCGTAGGAAGTTTCTTCTGGGGCCTCGGCGCCGATATCATGGGTAGACGAGTGGCATTCAACCTCACTCTGCTCATAACCAGTATATTCGGCATATGGGCGGCTTATGCACCAAGCTGGGGCTGGACGTGTTTTCTGTTCGCCTGCATGGGATCGGGGGTTGGCGGGAACCTGCCCGTCGACGGAGCTCTGTTTCTTGAGTTTCTACCAGACGCATCTAGTGCTCTTCTCACGCTCTTGTCAGTGTGGTGGCCAGTTGGTCAGCTTGCATCGTCGTTGGCCGCTTGGTATTATATCACGACTAGACCAGTAGAGGTAGGCTGGCGGTCCTTCATCATGGCTATTGGCCTTGTAACATTCGTCATGTTCCTCTTCCGCTTCTTCGTTTTCCACCTCCTGGAGTCGCCTAAGTATCTGCTGTCGCAAGGGCGTCAGGCAGAGGCGGTAGCCGTCGTGCACGGGATCGCCTACCGCAACGGAGCCAAGACCTGGCTCACTTCCGAGATCCTGGACGCCGTCGCCGACACCGAAGCAGTCAGGCAGCCTGCAACCCGGCTATCTACGAGGAGCATAATCCGCGAGAATCTCGCGTCTTTCTCGGGCGATCGCCTCAAGCCCCTATTCAACAACCGGAAGCTTGGAATGGCTACTCTCCTCATTTGGTTCTGCTGGGCCACGATCGGTATGGGCTACCCCTTATTCAACGCCTTCCTGCCGCAGTACCTGTCGCACGGCGGGGCATCGCCGCCCACCGACTCGGACTCCTCGGGCATATCGCCCGCCGACAGCGCGGCGACCTACCGCAACTACGCCATCATCTCCATGGTCGGCGTGCCCGGCAGCCTGCTGGCGGCCTACACGGTGGACCACAAGTCGCCGTACCTGGGCCGCAAGGGCACGCTCGCCATCGCGACGCTGGTCTCGGCCGTGTTCCTGTTCTTCTTCGTCACCTTTGGCACGACGCCCAACTGGCAGCTCTTCTTCACCTGCGTCGAGGCCTTCACCCAGAACATCATGTACGGCGTGCTCTACGCCTTCACGCCCGAGATCTTCCCCGCGCCCGTCCGCGGCGCCGGCACCGGCGTCGCCAGCTTCCTGAACCGCATCACGGGCCTGGTGGCACCCGTCATCGCGGCGACGATCCCCGGCGATGGGACCAAGTTGCCCATCTACTTGAGCGCCGTCCTCATATTGGCAGCGTTCGGTGGTATGTGTCTGATCCCCATTGAAACCAGGGGACGCCAGAGATTGTAGACAACAAAGAGGCTCTTGACGGGCCGTGTATTCTGATAAACATGTACCTACATTTGTACGTAACATATCTATTTAGGAGTGGCGCAAATTCTGGGAAAAGGGACTGGCACGCAGGGAATATTCTGCCAGGGTTTTGCATAGCGGTGCTGGGTCATCAAGGGGTCTGCCTCATGGAGATATGGCAATAATTGCATGGCCTGGGGTATATATAGTGATAATTACACAGCTAAAATCTTCGAACCCGCTATCACTTAGTCCCTCGTGCTCCTGCCGGCGCATCGACCCGTCTCTTCTGCAGAGACCTGCCCAATGCATCTCTCACCATGGGATCCGACCTGATGGTGTTTTGCACCAGCCACTCCTGCAGCTTTGTCCGCATTCCGTTCACCGCTTCCGGGTCCCCAGCAAATGGCGCCATCTCCAACTCCATGAGCCGGCCAGAGTCCGCATCGAGGGCACGTGCCGCCTGCTCTAGCCGGTCTAAACCCTGTCTCAGCGCCTTCTCGGATGCGTCGCCCGGGCTGACACCTTGTTGACCCGGCGGCTGCAGCAGCGGGCCGATCTGGCTGAAGGCGATGTAGAGCGTAATACTGCACTTGCGCGCCAGGCTGATGATCTGGAAGGGCAGGTAAGGCGCGTGCGTGGTGAAGCGCGCCAGCAGCGGGTTGACGACGGCGCCCACGAACCAGGGGAAGTCGGGCCGCGTGACCGTGTGCAGCTCGAAGACGCACAGGCACACCAGCGTCAGCCAGCGCCAGTAGCGGCCCCATTCCAGGTAGCCCAGCAGGCCCAGCACGTACATGACGGCGGCGGCGGCGCCGTAGTAGGGCAGCAGGACCTGGCTGCCGCGCAGGACGAAGTCGCGGATGGTGGCGCAGTGCTTCCAGGCGACGATCTCGGGGCCGAAGCGCTCGTAGGCGAAGCGGCGGGCGGGGTCGACGAGAACGTCCGAGGCCGTCTTGAGGTGCATGAAGAGGGCGCCGCCGTCGCCGCCGTCGGCCCCGGCCTTGTCCGGGTGGTGCAGGGCGGCGAGGCGGCGGAAGCGCGACTTGACGTCGCGGTCCGAGGCGCCGAACGGCACGCCCAGGTCGGCGTAGAAGGTCGACGACCGCGTCAGCTCGTAGTCGGCCTCGTACAGCGTGTACAGCAGGTACGCCGACACGACCAGAATGTGGATGCGCCGGCGGTGCTCGAGGAAGCGCGGGCTGTTGGGCGCGGGCCGCGGGTCGCCGGCGCGGATCGTGATGCCGTAGTAGATGGACTGGATCCAGGAGGTCGCGAGCTGTTCCGTAGTGTCAGTCGGCATGTGCGCGTGAATGCGAATCTACGCCGCGCACAGGGGCGGCGCGGTAGGTTGTCTTGGGATACGCACGTTAGGGAGGAACGACCAGCCCAGCAGGGACAGGATGTTGCTGGAGGACATGATCGCGGCGGTAGCGAGGATGTCCAGAAGCCTATATCATGATCTATCTGTTGTGATCTGGCCGCGAGGTTCCAGTAGAGCCAGTGGATGCGACGAGCGCAGCACGAGGAGAAAAGGGTGTGTCGTGGAGTCGTGGAGTCGTGGAGTTGGCGTTCTGCGTGTGAGTTGAGTTAGACTCGAGCGAGTTCGTTAATGACACAATGTCGTTAGGGGCTGCATGGTCCCTGAAAGTGCAGGGATCTGGCTCCCCTAAGCCTCCCGTAAGGCCTGGGCCCGCTGGGCAGCTGGCGGCTGGTTCCGGGGGACCTCGGGAGGCTCAGGTTGGTGGCTCAGTTGGCCGAACTTTCAAAGTGGTCTGATTGAGCGAATCAGGCCATCTTCCACAGCAGTTGTGCTCTGTCGGCAAGAGCAATGAGTGCAAGGCAGAGGTTTGGCGTCTTACAAATTCAAATTTGAAGCCGCGACATTTGGCATCTGACTTGCCGACAGCATGGCTTCCCGAGGGAGCCTCACGCCGAGGGTAAGAAGATCCGCTGCTCCCGCCGCCAAGGGAGCTGTGTAGACTGAAGATGGCTTTCCCATACAGACCGTGATGGCACCCCTCGCTGCTTTCACGATGGCTTGCTTGCTGTTCACGTGAGGGTTCTCCTCCAAATCTTCTAGATTTTTCACGTGTTGACTTGATCCTTAGATATACACGCTCCTCGATACAGGAAGCCAGACGGAGTGCGGTAAGCGAATTCATTGGGGATATCATGAATATGGTCAACACAGAAAACCGCTGACGGCTCCTTGTAGAAATTTGAGCGAGACCAACAGAGGAGACAGCAGTCTGCAAACCACCATGATCAGGAGAGATAGGAGGACGGCGCTGGATTGGTCTGCTAAATGGACTAGCGAGGTGACCAGTACGACTACCACCACCAAACATTAAGACGGTTTTGACGCCATGGAAGGATTCTAGCAATCCGGAATCCAAGTGCCTGAAAGCACGTGTGAAGCTTCATTGAAATCAACTAGGACCTTAAGGTTAGATGCCGAAAATGAGCGTGACGACGTCAAACTTGGAACACATAGATATCTGCCTTGTTTTGCAGTAGCGAAACGGGTTTCCAGAAAGTAACGAGTCGTACAAGAATAGGATATCCGGGCTATGCTGGGCTTCCTCTTCGAGCCTACTTCAAGCCGCGGAACTTAATGAATTGGACAGAGTTCGGTCTCTCGGAGATGGTGTTGAGTTTCCAGTGGTTGAACTGGGACGTGAGAAGTCACCTAAGATGGTTCCAGTCTCCATGAACAGTTTTTTTTTATTACCCTACGGTCAAATCAGCTCAGTAGTCGTGAAGAAAGAAAGGATTTCACTGACCTTCGAAGCACCAAAGAGATAGCCCCTTTCAAGGTGTTGCCGAGACCTGCCTAGTTGCTGTGATGACAATGACAACCTAAGACATCAACTCAATGGGCACAAACCAGGAAGTGGCTTTTCTTGGCTGCGGAAATGCTAAGAAAAGCCTAGGTTCTTCGTGTGTAAGTGCTGCGAGGTGCGCCCAAGTTGCACGTACCTACTCTGAGATCAAGCTGATCTCCAGTGTTCTCGAGAATGTAGACCACTTTGGCGCCTATCTCATTGACTCCGCAGAGATAGATGGATGCAAACCAGAGACGAAGCTCGATTTTGCTTTGGTGCTTTCCTCAACCAAAATAGCAGACAAATGTTAGATCTCTGATGGCCAGCGCTGTGCCTCGGCAGAGATGCTCTAGGACCAAGAGCGAGTTAAGTGATTGATGACACATGCATCTTCGTTCTGTGTAGCCAAAGAAGCTTCGTTTAAGAACCAATACACCATGACCCAGCTCTTACAATACAAGATTCACTCTGGGTTTGCCATGGTCAAACTCTGAGGGTTTGAATGACATGTAGCATGAAGGCATCATGAGAAATTGAAGGGTCGAATGGTCTGGCCAGTGTCTCGCCCGTGCTTTCGGGTTCATCATTCCCGTGTTCCTGCATTGGCTGACGGAGTTTAAACAGAGCTAAGAACGCGTTCCTGAGCCTAGCCACCGTTGTTGCCCCTTTTAGGTATGCAGTAATACTGAAATCGTGGAGAAGCTCTAGTGGGACTGCGGTACACATCAACTTAAAATATGTCGATACCTTGTGTAGGCTATAGAAGACATCAAGGTGCAGAGTCTATGAAAGACGGCCAGCTTCGGCAAACATAATTCGAGTTGAACCCTTAACCAATGAGTATAAAAGGTGTGTTCATCTCCCATTCTTCTCCCGAAGTTTCTGTGCTTCAGATATCATCGTTGCCTCTCAACAACTTCATAGACACTCACTACGAAGCTCCACTCACTACGCAAGTCCACCTCCCCCCCC